GTTGATGAGGAGAACCACAAAGGCGATGAGGCGTTTAGCGGCAGCAATGCACTCATATTCAACAATAACGTCATTTCGGCTACTTCAATGACATTTGATTCAGGAAGAGTGGTTGGTGCAACTATCCGAGAGTTCATGCGGGGCTCGGATATTGCAAATACTCAACAGCAACATGTATAGCGCATGCAAATCATGGCGTTTTAAGAGGAACAGCGCACGCTAATCACAGCTATGGAGCAACGGGTCCTGAGCTCTATTGCCCAGATTGCAGCAGGTCAAGGGCAGGGGCAAGCTGTGCAAGCTGCTTCTGCTTCTGCTTCTGACACCGGACCTTCCAGTCCGGTTTCTACAAATAGGAAAAGAACGCGCTCTGACGCCCCTCACTTTGGAAATTCTGGCCCCTAGTCGTATGTCTCAACTGAAAATAAGTAAAATAAAAATGGCGGTTTGGTGGAGCGAGTGTAGAACGATATAAAATTGCGCAGATGTAGAGACGGGAAAGCGCATGGTCTTGCCTTGCTTATCATTTTCCACGACAGTGAAAGCTAGGTAACTCCCTACGCGTCGGCATGCTTGCAAACGATTGGAGTATCTGAGGTGTCGAAGGATCTAGGGTGAAAAGGTATTTTATTGGCGAATGCTGCTATCTAGTTCTATGCGTAGATAGGGTTATATACTAGTTGCATCGGTGTCAACAGTGCATTGAAATATTGTAGAAACTGGGCGAAGCACTGTCGACATCATAGCATACTAAATCTAGCATTAAACCTTTGCAAAGATCCACGATAGTGATTTTGAATCGTAAAGTACTACTCCAATATGATCACAAACGACTGTCTATTTTCTCTTTCCATGGCACCTCGTCATTCAGCTTCGGAGTGAAATCTGGCTCAATCCTGCCTCATATTGGATTGGACAAAGGGGTAGATTCTCCAGCGATAAGGAAACCGATATGTGAATCTACATGTAGACCTAGTATGACACCCCGTTATCACCGCACTACTGGTAAACAGCAATTTAGTGCGTCGCCCGAGTGTGTCAAGAGTGTAACACACCTGGTATCAGAGAACGGAGCTGAACTACAGTCTATATTAAGGAAGCGATGGCTAAAAAGATCCGGATCCTTAAACGAATTGAGGTGATGGGACTAGATGTGTGATAGAAGCAAGAGCAATCTATTAACAATTACGTATTGGGTACGATGGCGCGTGGTCAGGGCAGAAGGAAAAAAGTTCGGGCTGGTATAGAGAGAGAGGTGTACAAAAGTGCGCACTGGTAGAGAGAGAGAGAGAGATGTACTGAAGTTTGCACTCTTGACACATCTGGGCGACGATAACGGGGTGTCAGGCGCTTAAGCACTTAGAAACCCAGGTATTGATCATAAAGCCTCTTTTATATGCCCGTGAGATTATCTTTGTTTCGCTATAGAATAACAGGGTGTAAGATTAAAGCTCTTACGGGGGGTGTGAGAATAAAATTTCACTATGTGCTTTGGATAATCTCACGGGGGGTGTAAGAATAAAATCTTACGGGGGGGTGAGATTATATTCTTCCCATTCACAATTGGATGTATTCTCTTCTTTGTTTTGCAGTCTATTGAGACATAGGATGTGTGCGCCCTACATGAATCTCAGGTCCATGTAATCACCTTCACGACCAACAACTTTTAGCCCCTTCCTGCTGGGACAGCATTCTGTCAATCGATGGTCACCCCACACAATGATCTTCTCCAGCTTTGGGGACGACTCCAAGAGTCGCTCCATCATATCGTCGTCCATGGCACGGCACCAGCTCACATCTAATGTCTTTAAGTTGAGACACTGCTCCATCGCAGCCAGCCCTTCCTTCGTGAGCTCATCCAAACCCTTGATACCAAAGTCCTCAAGCGTTGCACCCGAATGTGCTGCAATGGCCACTAGTGCCTCATCCTTGAGCATGACACAGTTCTCTAGGTTAAGATATGTCAGCCCGCGATTCAACTTCCACTCCGTAAACAGCGCCACGATGCCTTCGGTAGTGAACTCCTCGCAGCCCGCAATGTTGAGTCTCTCCAGGCGCACACAACTCGGCAGTACGGCATCGGTCAAGACACGGTCCTCCAGCGCGATACAGCCCTTCAGCTCTAACTCCTCTAGCCCCGATCCCACAGCCTGAAGGAGTTTCATTACAGGCTCTGTCGACACACATTCATGTTCCGGATTGCGAAGACGTAACGATCTCAACTTTGTAAGGTTGGAAATGGGCTCCATCCACTCGTCGTCCATCTGGTTAAGGTCACTGAGCCTCAGGTGAGTCAGGTTGGGACAGTTATCGCAAAGAGCCTTGAGTGCCTTAAGAGAGAACCTAGCTGCGTGCTTAATTTCGAACCGCTCGAACCTCTCGCCCACAGTCTCGAACAGTTTGATATAGGCACCTTCCGTAATCAGGATTGGGCCTACAAGCGAGAGCGAAGAGAGATCGGTGAGGTGTTCCGTATAGTAGGCCATGGCGCTGTCGTCGATTCGCCCGCACATCTTGAGCTTGAGAGACCGAAGGTTGGGACAAAACTGGGCAATGCTCTGAAACCCCTCGGCGGTGATGTTAGTGCAATCGTACAGAGTCAAATCAACATGGCGAGGATCGAGGAAAAGCTGGATAGTGCTCGGGTTCAGAGATCGATTCCGACAGATAATCTTGCAGATTCTGTTCAAGCTGAAGTCGCTGATGTCTCCGAATGCCTCTACATCCTCAATGTAGTTTGCAATTTTCTATATATACAAAACCAAGATTGACGTTAAAGACATATTTATCAAGTAGAAAAGCACCATGACTAATGCCAAATACAGATAGTGCAGTGCATACCTGAATGCACAGATCTTGCAGCGAAGGGACCTGGCTCTCGATCTCTGCCTTCTGTTGCTTCCTTCTAGCACGCTTAGCAGGCTTGGATCTTGGAATGGGAGTCAGAGCAGGTTCAGTGGCACCAGCGCACGTGGGACATAACATTCCACCATCATCTTCATCCATAGCTGGTGTAATGCCAGCCTTGATGGTAAACCGGGCTCTGCATCGGGAGCAGAACTCGATTCTGTTGGATCCTTGAGGCATCCGACCTTTGTGACTGAAGCTCGACCGGGAGACATAGCCAGTGATGTCATGAAAATCCTCGTCGTTCTCGTCGTCAGAAGCATCCTTCTTGCGGCGCTTCTTTGATGGGCCTGCTGCAGCAGAATCAGCATCTTTGGATGCGGCGGCCTTCGCCTTGGAAGAGGAAGACGAGGCCGAAGATGTGGATGCAGCAACGGCGACTCTTACACGGGTTGAGCGGGTAGTCCGGAGTGAGAGCGATATGGGCACAAGATCGACCCCGTCATCGTTATCGTCGCCGTTCTCTTCCTCCTCTTCAACATCGCCGGCTGAGGTATTCACAGCGTCAATCGATTCCGACCGAGAGGTGCTGATGGAAGCACTACCGGTCGCCGTAGTGATAGTCCTGCCTCTAGTAAGGCGAGCAGTGCGAGTGGTCTGAGAGGAAGATGGTGTTGTAGGTGTCGACTGATTTTCCTCATCCTGTTGCTGCTCAACTGTGTTGGAGACTGCAGGAGCAGGCGCTGGGTTGGCGCGGCGAATTCCTCTTTCGTTTAGAAAGCTGGTCAAGGCGCTGGTAGGACCCCGAACATTGTTGACGTAGGTAGTGCCAGCACCGTTTCTGTTTCTTCGGGACATTGTGTGGAATGGAGTGAGAAGGATGAGGGGATGAGAAGAAAGAGAGTGGGGATGAAGGAAAAAGAAAGAGATTACCAACCAAGCGAAAGGGCGGCAGGTTCGGACATTTTTTTATTTTATTTTGGTGGCGGTTTATGTCAACGCCAATCACTGAGAAGTAAAAAATATTACTATATTCGGAGGTGAGTTTACATGATAATGCAGGAAGCACAGTCAGAGTCGCCCTCGGGTCTGGTACCAGTAGTATTTGCTGGCGTACTTGGTCCTGCTCCGGAGTGGACCTGTATGTCTGATCCTTCCACCACCACCGAGGAATTCGACTGTCCCGCCTTTGTCGACGTCAAATTCGTCCCTGCCGCAGACCTGTTGACTGGCTTGATCCTGATCGAATGGACTGCGCCAGGCTGCATGTCGCGGTGCCGGTAATATAGGGTCTGGCGCTCTTTCACATAACGCCAGTCGCCGTCGCTAACAAGAATCTCCAGACCAGTATCGTCGTAATGATAGGATGGGATAAAGACTTCCGTCTCAAAAGCCATCATGGTGCCTTCGGGGGGATGGCCAATCCAAGCAGGATTCGGCTCTGACTTTCCAGAGGTAGCAACCTTTTGACCATCCAGCGTGAAGCCGTCCGAGTTGGCAAGGTCAGATGATAGTGAGGCAGACCCAGTACCTTGGCTTAGTTGCTCCGGCGTCGTGACATGGACGATCGGCACAGGAACCTGGATATAGTTACAGAACCGAAAGGTATACTGTAAGGTGTTGTAGTCGAATTCGCTCGAAATCGGCTCGCCTGCGACTTTGGCAGCATAGGGTCGCTATTAATAAAATCGATAATTATCATTATTTTGGTCCCTGATTCTGTACATAATTCCTGACACGACTCCTATGTTTTTTGAGCATACCACAACGGCATCAAGGGCGCGTCCTCCAAGGTGATGCTCATGATCTGGCCCATCCTTTGATTCTTCGTAGTCAAAGCAAAAGTAGGAGCGATCAAAGGGTGAGTCATCATCCATGATGGTGTCTGCCTCGTCATCTCTCTCCGCTTTCCTTTCTCCCTGGGCTGTATCGTTGTCATCGTTATCGACAGTGCTGCCATTATCGCTGATTGTGGCATCCACACCATCTGTCATCACGCTGCCGCCGTCTGCGTTCTGAGCGGCTGCTCTCCGCATGATTTCCTTTGCAAAATTAGGCGCCTGCTGTCGAAGCGATGCCTTTGATGAGTTGGGCGAAGAGCTACCATTGATTAGATGAGGAGATCGCCGAGGAGAATCCAGCGAGAAAATGGAGAAGTCCTCGCCATTCCAGTGGTCTCCATAGGTATTGTCATTTGTGGTGTTGTAGTTCCACAGTCTAGCGAAAAAGAGGACAGATAGCGGGTCAGGGTGGTGCACAGTAGAGGCTTAACACATAGCAACGTCATGCTCCCGATGGGCGTGCCTTACGTGAAACTAAGAAGATTGGCCTCCATGGCTGACAAGACAGCGTCCAAGAACTTGGAATGATATCCATAGTCGCCACTCATGAACGCCTGCCTTTGGTTAATATCCATTGGAATACCGCATTCTCCAATCAGACAGGGCTTTGTGCCAACATTCTGTAAACCAATGTTGAGGACGTTTGCCAGCTGGCCGCGGTAGTTCTTCTTTGCACCCTTCATCCCAAAATATGTCGCTGAGAACACGTTCATTCCCTAGAGGGCGTAAGCATATAGTAGAGGTAATAAGATCACAGCGTCAGATAAGCCAAGAATACACAGGGGTATTTTTCTTCCTCATATAGGGTACCGATAATGATTGCAGCTTACCTTGCTCAGGCCCTGCACGTTGTGTGTGATGCGGCCATCGAATGCTTTGTTGAAGATCGAATGTAGGTCATACCAATGAGGGGCATAGACGATATTCTCCTCGTGGTCCTCTGGACCCCACACTGGCGCTGGCTCATTAGGAATCGGACCGACAAAGATAAATGCAGATGGAGCAACAGTCTGAATCGCTCGAGAGTATTTGTTGACAAAATTGAGATAGAGGCGGTAAAAGTCAACTTTTTCGCCAGTAATCGGATCCTTAGTAAAATAATCTGGTTTGACGATCTGCGGTGCCCCTGTCTTTGGGTTCACGCGCCAGACACCCTGTTGCTTCCAAAGACACTCGCCGTCGATCCATGCACATTCTTTTTCCACGTTGATCAACCTGGTCCGCTCCTTTCTAGTAGGATATGGCCATGATTTGACCCAGACCTCAATCGGGAGCGTCATTCCGTCGGCGAGAGCAAATGACTCGAGGGCAGAAGGAAAGTCTCCGAAAAACAGGTTGGTGTTGAAGTCATAACGCTTGAGAGATTTGAGACCGACGTATCCAGGGCTGCAAGAAATGTAAGATGAAAACGGGGTCAGAGCCAGCCCAAAGAAAGCTCTTGTTGATTCGGGGCTAACATAATACAAAAAAAGACTTACTGTGGTTCATTCATGACTTCATATCCCACGATTGCATCAAGATGGCTCAGTCGTCTACAAGGCGTAATGACAAATCCATGTACTTCATGAATACATTGTGCATATATGCATATGGATTATGCATAGTGCGAGTAGTCAGTCCCCTTTACCTTGCAAGATGCTGATAGCAAGCAATATATCTGTTTTGCAGGAACTGCTGGATCGGCTCTCCTTGGTATGTCTTGTTGGGTGCAAATGTGTCTCCTGCCCAGAAGAGTGTAAACATGGTGCTGGCGGCGAGTTTGGTGTAGTTGGTAGGCCAGACCATGGGCGGTGAATCTCCAGGATACTGGTTCGTGTTGTGAACGTAGGCTGCTCCTGTGACCTTGAACTTGGTGATGTCTAATCCAGCTACCTCAAACGTCCACCCAGGCGCTCCTGATCCGCCAGAGAACCGAGACCAGCAGTCCTGATGTGGATCGATGAAGCACTTGATGCCATACTTGGGCATGAGCTCGATTAGCTCTACTAGAGAATCAATGAACGCTTCGTCGTATATACCCCTATTTTTTTTTTTTGAAAAAGAAGCTGGTCATTGTCGTGCCATCTCTACATTGCACAGCAAGCGCATATTGTCGTCGTGTCAAGTGGTTTGTACACGCGCGAGCAGCAGCAGCACATACGATACTGATGTTTGTGATCACAAACACTAAGGCTGCACATTGGTCTATGTCTCTTTGTTTGTAAAATGCAACCAGATCAATGACGATACTTACGGTCCAGAGTGCTCGAGGGCCTCCCAAGGCACCAACAACCGTACGAATGTCAGACCCCAGCGACGCAGCCTCGAAAAATGCTCGTCTGCTTGATCGCGAGGGAATGGTCGGCCCAGGAAGCAAACATTGCGATGGTCAAAGAATCTCTCGTTCAGATGCGAACTGCCATTAGGGGTCGTCGGTAACTTGGAGTTTCCACACAAATTGACTCCTCGCAGCAACAGTGTCCTGTTTTGTGAATCTCTGAACCATCGTCCGCGGGATGTGATTCGTCCTCCAGAGTACCAGTCGTGGGCTTTACCCGCGGGCCTTAGAAGTGTTCCTCCACCAGGGCGACGATCTTGTGCCCTTGTATGGAGCTTGTTTGAGGGCGTTTGTGAAGAAGGGGACTGGTGTGCTGTCGTGGGGACGGATATTTTTTGATCCCCAGAAGCGAAGGAAGAGCCTTGGATCTTGTTGTCATCTTTGTCTTCATCTTCGCTGTCGGAGGAGGCATAGGACGACATAGATGTGAATGATGTAGTATGTTTGCTCTGTGGTCTGAGGTGGTGAGGGCGGAAGGTCATGCCATTCTCTACCTCCAATTGCTCTTGGGGGGACTCTGTATCCTTAGTAGGATCATCAGCCGGAGCGGGTGCTGTCTTTCCATTGCCCAGCATTTTGCTGAAGGAAGGAGGATAAAGAGTAAAAGCTCGGGCAGCTGAGTAGGGGAAGTGGGAGGGGATTACAAGAAAAAAGTAAGACTTTGACTGAGGGGTTGCTGATCCACGGGATGAGGGGTGGTGGAATATGAGCTGTTGAATCAAAAGAAGAGAAAGAAGAAGAGTGAGGGGAAGGAAGGATGAGTGTTTTTTTTGTCTGATTCAGATGGATGCCGGAATCATCCTCAGCCTTCTCTCCTGCCCCTCCCTCCCTCCCCTCCCTTTGCCCAGTCAGTTTAAGGTTGATTAGGTGTACGGTGCGACTGAAGAGGGGGGAGGGGACAGGTCGTGTGGACACCATTGAGAGTGCATAGTAATGTATTCTGCACATGTACTCAGTCTGCTCTGCTCTACTCGGAACTATTGGGGTCATTGGTATCATTGCAACTGACTTCCATGGCCGTGCAGTTCAGCCCAGGAAGTGTTCACCGATCAAAGGCTGCCCTATATTTACACACTGCACTCCCTCACCTCTCCCCTCTTAAAAGGGGCTGTACGATCGATTGCGATCGTCCATCTTCTTGCTTTTTCTCCCGCGTCTCCCTCTCGGCAATATGTATCGCCAATGCTCAATTTGCCGCCGAAGGACAGGCCTCTACGATTTCATACTCACGCATGGTTCCTGAATTGCAGATCCTGTCCAATCTGATACGCACCTTTTGATAACTTTATTTCAAATGTGGCCTATCTTGAGGCAGGTTACCTTTTTTCTTTTGCCGCTCCACATTCCCTGCATTCTTACTTCGCTCATCTCTTTCTCACCCTTAAACTCAGGACTGCAGCTACACACTTCACAATTGCAATGGACCGTGGACAGTACAGCGTGATTGGGTAACACTCATTGCGGACAAGGCCCAAGTCTTGGCAGGATCGACTTTCGACTTTCGACATTTTGGGCACAAGGGCTGCAGTTTCCGCCCTTTCACTAGCTAACTCCGTGCCCTCGTCCTTCATCGTCCCGCTTTAGAGAGCAGGGAATATCCGTACCGGCAATGAGGAGCCAACATAGTCTGACCAGGCGTGAGATCTTTCAGAACCTTGCCAACAGAATTCTCTATTCAAAGTTCTACATGATCCTCTACTTTGTCATGGCCATCCTCAGCATCTGCTCCATCTTTCTCTCCTTCCACCAGGGCTGTTCTAGTTCCGCACTCTTTATCGTTCTCGAATCCATCATCAATGGAACTATGATTGCAGAGGTTGCAGTGCGGCTTACTGCGCTCGGGAAGGTATGTGCTTGGATGAGACTCTTTTGCCCTTTCTGCTTTCATTTCAATATGTAGCAATGAAATTTGCATTTCATTAACAGCTAAACTGCAATGAATTTTTCCTTCGTAACCATGATACATTACTACAGAATTACTGGCGATCAACATCCAATATTGTCGACATTGTCCTGGTGGTTTTTTGCTTGATCACTCTAATCCTTGTCCTCCAAGGGTGCGGATCTGGACACGAAACCGAGGAGGTGCTGGACACCATTCTGTTGATTCTGCGAAATGCTGTCCAATGTTGGCGGTTGTACACAATGATCAAAAAGTACGCTCTTTTCCAATGGGATCATTTCCATATTTAACGGAATACTGAGAGTTATTTATCATCGTCTTGTCTTTATCTGCGGACCAAATCAATTAACCTCTTGATTATGTGATTTGAATGAACATCTAGGAACTCATTGATTGTCAATCCACGAGTGACCGCCATTGATTTCAGCAACGTCCGTCCAGAATCTATCGACATTGAAAACTTTGGCGCAGAGGGTTACATGGACGGTGATACATTCTTGCCTGATGAGAGCGACGATGGACTTTGAGAGTGCTTTTTCCATAAGAATGGAAATAAAGCGAGTATAGACTATGATCGTATTCTTCGGGAGCCGTGAACTAGACATCAGTCGAAAATGCTGGGATTAAGTTTATTAAGGCATATTGGCGTATCATTAAAGAGGGGCGTTTTAATGGTTTAGGGCCATTGCTTATTGATCCCACTCCATAATAAAACTAGCGAGGGGGTCTAAGGACTTTAGTTCTTCATGTATGGCCTCGCGCGTCAGGTTCTCGAGCTCCTTTGTTGCTGTGTTCAGTATTTTCTGTGAGATTGCGCATCGTAAAATAATATCGTCAATAATTTGACCTGCACCAAATGAAGTTTCCAAACCGTTAGGTTTTTTTTGTGCTTGTTACCTTGAGCCGGACATCAATCTTATGAAATACATCCGAGTCGATGACAGCGTTAGCCTTGTGGGTATCAAACTTTTTGTAGGCTATGGAGATCATATCGCAGAGTGTCGCAAAAATAATAATGTAGTCCATTTCGAACGGCTATCAGCAGCAGAGGAAATATATCATAAGCACCGTGGTCTTATACGAGGAAGTAAATAAAACATAAAGAGCTGAGCAAGGTCCTTTACCACTGTCCTAATCTCAAAATGCGCGTATTCTTCTGTCTCTTCGAATGATCTGCCATCCGACAATTTTTTACCGCCCCTGAAGAAGTTCTATTCGATTAAAAAAAAAAAAAAAAAAATGCGTCAATAGAAGTTACTGTAAATACACGTTCCAAGCAGGGATGGGGATGCTTGGTGTGTTCATTTACCTTTTTGGACTTTGATTCCAAAGACAGGTAGTGCTCATATTCCTGCAGAACCATGGATAGGGATTTGGCATAGTCCGAAAGACGAGGTATGTCAAGGACATTGGCGATCGACGTTCCCAGAAAAAAATATTGATGTGCTCTAACAAAAGGGATAAAATAAAATAAATCAGGAAAATTGGTCCTCAGAGAGAGGAGCATTGCGCCACCAAAAGCGAAGGTACCTTTTCTGAAAATGATCGGGAGTGTAGTACTTCCGCAGATCGGCCTCTGTCAACATGATCGTGTTATAGTATGCAATCTTTCCCTGATGTACCCGCCCAATGTACTCCCAAATGGTCACCCGTCTCAGCAGTAATTCGTTCGGTGTATGCTGTAGCTGCTGCGTCGGTAGTTGCAGATTTGATATCGACTCTGCTATTGACGGTCTCCTAAGTGACTCTGCTATTGACGGTCTTCTAAGCGCAGCTATAGGACTCGAGGCTGGGTTATCGAACGGATGCACGCTATTATTGTGCGATGAGTGATCCTCCACTACGACCGTGAGCTCGCCCGTCAGAGGAGTGGAGGACGGTTTGCTGTCAGAAGGGTTGGATCCGCTTTCCGGCTCTTTGGGTACTTCCGTCTCCTTTGTCGCCTCTTCTATCTTGGGAGGTTCCGTTTCCTCTATTGTTTCTGGGATCTTTTTATCCATGCTGCTCTCGCTGTCGCCCTGGGTGCTGAAGCTGCCAGTGAATGATGAGAGAAATGTCGATTTTGTCGAGGAGCTGGATGACTTGACAGACTTGTCAGATGAAGACGGGCCTGTCTTCTCCGACTTGCCTGACTTCCCCGACTTGCCTGACTTTTCCGACTTGCCCGACTTTGTCGATGCTGCAGACGATCCTGTTCTTTTCTTCTCCACGAACTTGAGCTGCCTGCTTTGATATGCCTTAGGATTTGCAGCCACTGCTGCTTGTGCGGTCGGGACCTGAAACCCGGGACTATAGAGATGTGTGCTGAACATAGGCATAAACCCAGGCCCGACGGCCTTGGAAGACATGCCCAGTGGATCCGTTGCAGCTTTCCAATTTGCTGACTTGGGGATAGACGATGTCGAGGATTTGGATTTGGTGGTAGATCTGGACTTGGTCGACTGGCTTCCGGATTTGGTAGACGAGGTTGAGGATGTTGTGGATTTGACAGACTTGATAGAGGGAGGTGCTTTGATGGAGCCACCATCCTCGGTCGGGTTACAGTAAAGACTGTCGGTCTCGGTGCGCTCGAGTGTGGGGGCCATCCTTGAAATTAAATCTCTACTGGATTTGTGCTTAAAGTTAAGAAACGTTTCAGGCACAGCGAGAGTTATTTATTTTATTAAATAGGATAAATAGGATGTGTGATGTTGATGCCGATGCCGATGGAGATGCAAATCCAAAGACGGAATGCAATTTGATCTTCTGCATCAGCATCTGAGCGCAACGGAATTCCTCTCAGGTCCCTGCACATACCTGCAGTTCCTGCTACGAGAATATGCAGGCCAGGTAGGAGGGAGTGTTATTAAAAAATTCTCCTTTTGCTGTTGCGAGTTGCGGAGGAGCGCGAAGTAGGGTAGTACAAAGATGATGATCGTAGTCAACTGGACAATGCCTGGGTTATGAGTAGAGAAAGAGGGATGGCAGCAGTATTGGCAATCTGGTTGGATGCGGTCGAAGGTCGCCAAGGGACAAGAGAGATGGTGGTAGAAGCGAAGAGAAGGAGGAGGATGAGGAAGGGAGAGGAGGAGATGTCAACGAAAGGTACTTTGATCCAGCTCAAAAACGGCCAATTGCTTGAAGAGTGGAAGAGTGTTGTTGTTAAAAAAATAAATTCAGGCATGCTACAATTTAACACACTTACCTACAAATATACAGCATTCACATCCTCATCCTCAGTTATTCCATAGCACACATGGATGGCTCACCCTCATCCTTGTTGCCCTTGCCTTTCTTACGTCCGGGTAAGTACAGTATTCTTCATTTTGTGTGTGCATTCCAATGCCGACAGCAACAGGTGAGCACGAGAAACCGACTGGGATTGAATATACAAGTACCTGCGCGTTTGTACTCAGGATCTGGACCTGGGATCTTCTGTGCCTTCCTCTCAGTCTGCAAAACTCATAAAAACATGGTGGCAAGAGTAATGCGCACCGGTACCCTTGACGGGGTACAACAGGGTGGGGTAAGGAAAGGAACCGACTTAAACTGTACCCTTTTCATTTTATAAGAGCGCATCCAAGCTATCTTTATTCTCTTTTGTTATGCTTAGATTAAGATGGACCTGCACTATGGCCCGCTTTTAATCCGCGGCTTCAGGTGCAGAACATCACTAGCCTCACTCTGAACGTGAATAATGCCTAGTGCTGTATGCTAAGGCTAAATAGATCGAATTCGCCCAACAGTGACTGGTCTTGACTTTTTTTTTTTTTTTTTTTTTTCTGCATGGTGTATTTCGCAGAGAATCATTCCTCCCTCCTTTTGATCAGCCGATGCTAACAGAGATGCTCACTCATAGCATGCCTTCAATGTTGTCGTCTGCATCACCCCCTCGATCACCGATTCCAACCTTGAATGATTTCTATGATTCTAGTCGATCCCCAGACGACAGCGACTCAACGGCCTCCACAAGGACTCGCTCACGGACCCCAGAAACACTGCCACTAGACCACAGCAACAGCAGCAGCAGGAGCTTATTAAAAAGGAAGCGCCACGGTATCTCCAGCCAGGGAAATACGGCTACAGAGTCCTCTGAAATCAAGCAAGCGACAAAGCGTCCCCAACGCACACGCTCAAACAGCATCTGTAACCCAAGTCTCACGGCAGATCAGGATTGTATGCCGGACCCAGGCTCGGAGTCAGTTTCGGACTCTTCGCAGGAAAGGAATACTAGGGCGACCAGCAAATCAAGATCCACCAGGAGCCGGTCATCAACAACTGCACCAAAGCCAACAAGGACGGTTCTCTCACATAAGAAGATGTACGCCTGTCTGTATCCTGGATGCGAGAAGTCTTACACAAAACCCTCACGACTCAAGCAACACGAACTTGTGCACACAGATGAGGTACAAATGGCCTTGCCAAACCTCAAAACTGGGATGTCTTTTCGTCGATCTTTCGCCTAGATGCTCACATTCCTTTCTTGTCCTGGAATCCTCTAACAGCGTCCGTACCGATGTTACGAGCTAGGATGCACCAGTTCATTCCGGAGAGAAGACCATCTTGCAATTCATATCAAGGGCCATGGTTCCTCACGAGAGTTCCGGTGCTTTCAGCCCGGATGTACAAAAGCCTTTTACACTCAGGACAAACTCACACGCCATCTCAAAAGTCATGATAGTTTTGTCGTTCCTCCTGAAACGACAGCGACAGTGATGGCATCATCGGCTCAAACAGTAACTGGCACCATGGATAATGATATCAAATCGGAAGATGGCAATTCAGGACAAAGGCGTATATCATTGAGTTCAGACGCTATCCAACGGTTGGCGGATCAAATTGAGAAGGAGAAGCCATACGTCTGTACATGGGAAGGGTGCTTTAAGCGATTCAAGAAGCATCGAAAGCTGAAGACACATGTTTGCATGGTTCACGAGGGATGTAAGCCATACCCGTGCACATATGAGGGCTGCGAAATGAGTTTTCAGACCCCCAGCAAACTTCAGAAGCATCAACTTGGGCACAGTGGTATGTCATCTTCAGAATCAACATCATCTTCGAGTGTACGGACTTTTTTGTTCCTTATACTCGTCACTTTATTCTGCTTGATGATATTTAGATGTGCTGAGATATGCATGTGGATATCCGGGATGTGGCAGCTACTTTACCAAATGGTCTTTGCTCCAAAAACATACAAAACTATGTCACAAATCCATCCCTTGCTCCGTGTGTGGGAAGATGGTTCCGAAAAGCAATATGAAAGCACATGTCAAGACCCACGATGCCTCTCGGCCTGTCGTTCCATGCACCTACGAAGGATGTACCAAAGTCTACTCAACGGTATGTATCTCAGCAGCGATATCTTTCCTTGACATTCATATGAAAAGGGACACGGGACTGACGATGATACCTTTTATAATGACTAGGAATATACACTAGCGACTCACATCAAATCCATGCACAACAAGGACCCAGATGCACCCAAGTTCAAATGCGAGTATGACGGCTGCAATGTGGGGTATGAATACAAACATGTCCTAGAGAGGCATATTCAACGCGTTCATTTGGGCCCGAAAATACCTCGAAAGAAGAGAAGCGACGCGATCATATCCTCGGGTCCTCTGGACGACCTACTGGGGTTCACGCAGACTGATGTCGTAGACAAGCTGCCCTATGCCTGCAACATTCTCGGTTGTGAACGGCGATATACCACAGAGAGACTGCTGAGGAGACATTTGAGGAGTCAAGAACATCGGACAGGCGACACGACGGGGGCCGAGGCGATCCAGTCAATGGAGGAGGCGGAGAACCAGGCTATTCGGGATATTATCGACATGAGCCTCGAAGGCGGCGTTTGATTTTGCAATCCTGTACTTTGGATCATTTTGTAATTCTAGGAACCATGCGCATTGGCATTATATCTTGTACAAATATAAATGAGACTTTATTTTTTTACTTTTTACTTTGCCTTTACAAAAGGTCGCGGACGATGCTTCTTCATCTCCCAGTCTGCATCGGGTCCAATATGACTCTCTCGGAAACACTCTTCGCAGTAGTTATCATTATCGCACCCAGGACATGTCCATGTCGCATCCTCATTACATATGCCTATCGAGTGAACAGAGTACGAGAAGGATCAGTTCAGTTACCGTTCATATCGATCCTCACCACAGCAAATTGCAACCCCACTTGATGATACTTACAGCACCAGTTATCCGGATTCTCATCACAATTAACGCCTCCTCCTCTATCCGCCCGGAGCTCATCCAGTCCAACAGCAGCCGGAGGCGGCCCCAGCCCACCATCTACTACTACATCCTTGCTGCTGTTCTGACGCGAGGCTTTGGATTGGACAGACGACAACCCTTGGATTCCCTTCTTGAGCTCTTCATGTCGGTCCTGGAGTTCCTTCATACGAGACTCGTCTAGGTTTCCGTACTTGGCTTCCAATTGCGCGGCCTCTCTGGCCTGAGTGATCAATCTAGAGGCCTCATCGTCGTCTCCGAATCCATCGTCGCTCAGCGAAAAGCCTGCGACCCGATCCAGTTGTGCGCCAAACGCTCGCTCCTGCTCCGACTCCTTTGCATCATAAGCATCGTCGTCCAGCATGACGCTCGAGCCAGACATGTGGTGCTGATGGTGCCCTTGGTGTTGAGGGAAGGCTGTGGGCGGGGGTTGATGGGTCTTTAAGAATTTCAAAAGTGTCCGTTCCAGATCCTTCGTCACTGCATCAAGTTCCTGCTCACCCTGTTTCCTGTGTTCGTTTGACACATTCGACTTTAGGTGTCGGCTCTGGTCCGGACTAAGGATGTCGTCCAAGAACTCGAGGTCGTCTCCGTCGTCTCCACCAATCAACAGCTCCTGAGAATCTGCAAGGATCTTGTCGATCTGTCATTGTTGTTAGCAGTTCAGAGAGAAAGGGAAAGAGAGAGAGTGTGTGTATGTGTGTTGCACGGGGCTTTTTGTTAGTTGGGGTTGGGCGTTAGTGGACGCGTGCCTGGTAAAACACGTCCATACCCGTCTTCAAAGAAAAACTTGAAGAGGGCACGTACATACCTCGTCTTGATCAACGTCAGAACTATGGGGTATGGAATACGAAGATGCGGACCATGGAGGGGCTACAGATTCGAGAGTTGGGCGTATCGCCGCCGCATTCATACCACCGCCACCGTCACTGCTGCTGCCGCCGAGATGAGCGCTCTGCTGGTAATACGGATGGTCGAGCGGTGGATTGAGATGTGTTGCTGCAGGCGAATGGCCAAAGACTTTTGAAAAGTGAAGAGCCAGGTCTTGGTCGCTATGTACATACACAGAGCAGCCAAATCAAGCGTGAGAAGAAACCCGGTTCAATATATGTGCATATCCGCACGCAGCGCTTCTTTTTTTTTTTTTTTCCTCCAGGTGAAAAGGCAGTGCCAGTACTGGTGGCAAACGCGAAGAGGTTCAAGGTAAGGGTCCTATGAATTGGATAGTCGTTTGGTTACCTAGAAGAGGCCGCAGTTGCTCCAGTTTCTTTCAACTTGGCTAGTCGCAATTCCAGCTCCTGGTCCGAGACAGGGCCTTCTGGAGGAGTCCTGTTGTTGCTGCCAGCATTATTATTGTTCATGTAGACCGATGGCGAATGAGGGCAGTGATGGATGAGGTTAAACTGAAAGTGACGTACTTTATTTGTATTTGCATGGAATGATGATGAGTATGAATCGCGCGCATCCCGCAGCAATTGAATTAAGTACCCCACACATAAATTTTCAAATATCTCCACGATAAAAATTTAAAAAGCACTTTTTTTCAAGGCAGAATATGCATTTTGAAAGGATATTATTATATTTTTTTTGTTCAAAATGCGCACACAATAAGGGCGTCTTTCTACCACTACCACAAGGCGGGGGTGCTGCTTAGTCCTCAGCAAGTTCGGCGAAGACAGAGGTCGAGCCACCGAGAGTAGTAGTAGCACCAGGGGCAGTGGTGTTGGTCGAAGTGCCAGTAACGCCGACATCCCAGCAAGAAGTGTAAAACTCGCCCTTGTTGAGCTATAGACAATAGAAGGATCGGGACATAGTATTCAGGTGTTAGAAAGGTATTCTTTGCGCCGGGATAGCTCTTTTACTTTTCCACTTTCAAAAGGGCACTCAGTCCTTACCTCCCAGCGCCATTGGACCACATAGGTTCCGGTTGCGAGCTCTGGAGGGACCGTGAAGCATCCGCCGCAGGGACGGATATCCTCGTTTGCGGCAGATTCGCAGTTCTTGTAGGGGATCTTGGCAATGTTCGCCTTGGTGAAGCCATTCTGGTCTGGATCCTTGTCTAGAACGACCTTTGGCATGTTGATAAAGACAAAGTTCTCTTTTTCACTCTTCACAGCGTGGTTCTTGGCTGGCCAGCGGATGCACATTGTTTGACCAGCGGTGGCAGTTGCCATCACGCCAAAGTCTTTTCCTCCGTAGGCTTTAGAAATGGGGTTCTGGCGGGTTTCGATGGATCCTGACTCTGCACCATTATGGCCATTAGAGCAAGGATTCGCGTTCTGCTTTGAGTCGTGGTACTGCTGGAAGTGTCTGATGGGCGAGACACTGTCGCGTCCAGCAAAGGGAACTTTCCTGTTGACGTAGTACTGGCGACCCCAGCCGAAGCATTTTCCATCACTTTCCTTGTAGCCTAGGATAATGTTGTTTTTGATAAAGGGAAGTTAGCTAGAAATTCCATTATTTGTGAGCGAAAAAGAAGAAGACATGGGGCATCAAAGACGAAGCTTGAGCTTGAAATAAGGTGAAACCTCTTGATCATATCAGATTGAAGTCAATTCAGGCACAGGTGCTATCCCACTGCGCCCAAAGGAGACAAGGAAATAGGGCGTAGAACGAGGATATCTGGAACAGCCGCACGAAAATAAATCCCAGGACGCTGTCATAATGAGGGGGAGGTGGATGGAAATAAACATCGTGCTGGACAGAATAATGGTTTAAAGTAAAAAGACAAATCATATGCTTTTGCTTGCGTTTTCCTTCTTATGAAATGGAAGAGGGAAATAGAGAGAGAGAGAGAGAGAGAAAAAGAAGAGCAAGAGGCTTGAATGGGCGGCGGTGGCTGTACCTGGCTTGTCGGGGTTGTTGAAGCGCCAGTCGACACAGTCGGCCCAGGAATGGGCCTCTGCCATGGAGGCGAGGAGGGCGAGGGCCGCAGAGGCGATGACGGTGGTGCGGAAGAGCATTGTGAACAAGTTGGAGAGAAGGAGAGAAGGAGAGCAGGAGGGAGGAGAGAGGGAAGAGAGGGCGGGCAGAAGGAGGTTAGGGAGTGGAGGGAGGGAGGTCGGATCGAAGATGGAGGGGAGGGAGCGAGGGAGGGGTTGTCAAAGAGGGATGGGTAGGATGGGGGTTTGCGAAGAGGGACAACGAACAAAGAGAGGAAAGAAGTAGGGAGGGGAATGAGCCGCTGTCTTTATATTACCACATTCCGGGGAATTACAGCCTAACCAAGGCTGCTTTTTTAGTCTCCCTCGGTCTATTTCTTTCGGAGGCCTTGCTAGACCAGTCGGGGCTAGGGCCACCTTGAGAGAATAGGCAGTGGGAAGAAAGATTGGACCAATGTCATCTCGAGGGCTCTCTTTCTTTATCTCATTCACTACGCTAATAAAATAAACAATAGGGATGACTTGATGGAGAAACAAAATGGGCAGTGAATTTGTCCGAGGGCACTCGGCCTTTGTTTCCTTAGCAATAGTCAATGCACTTCGCCCTCCTTTACCAGGGGGTCGTCAGTAGCCCATGGGGACATGGGCGTGGAAACAGAGGTGCACAACCAGGGTTATGCACATCTGCAGTATGTGGTATTACGACCGACAGGTGTTCTTTGCCACCATATGAACGCCCGCGCCCCGCTGTTCTTGTACCGAGAATTACAGAGCAACAGAGCAACAGGGAACGGCGGAACAATAGCCTGACAACAGCAATTGGCAAAAGCAACCGACAACAAAAAGATGAGAGCACACATAGACAGGAGCAGACGACCATGGAAATCCTGGAAAGCCTCCGCCCACAACAATGCGCGTATTCACCCGTTCGTGTTTAATTAAACCTTTGCTGCTCTTCCATCTTTTATCTTCTTTGTCATCCGAACTGGAGCACCGCCCTGACATAGATGTCAAATGTCCAGACAAATTGTCGCGCATGGCTCAGAGGTAGACATGTACAGTACAATATGTAGCGAAAAAAAAGAAGAGAAAAGCTTCCGGGGTTGATGGGGAAAGACGAGCAGGCACCTCAGCTTAGAGTCGAACCACAGCTGGACATCTGGACTCGTTCGGGATGGCTTTCCTTTTCATCCCATGCATAGTTCTTCCGAACGGTTGGGACTAGCGAATTAATATTGCAGAGCCTGAAGCATTCTTTCATCTCTTTTTAGGCATGGATATTCTAGTCGTCAAAAGAGAGCTCTGTCTCTGTTTCATGGGGGCAGCAATCCCAACCTCTTCGTATCAGTCATATAACGTGGAGCATCATCATGCCACCGGCCCCTGGCCCCTGTAGATGTAGCATACTAATCCACTGCGTCTTGTCCCCATTACAGCTCGCCATGGAAGCAAAAAGAGCGTCTTGTTAGGTGTCTGAAAGATCCAGGTAAAGAGTATATTCATGCGTCTGCCCAAACAAAAGTAAGAGAGGATAGGATGGATGCACCCTTGGATGCATTGAGCGCATCATTTTTGACGCCAAGGGACGCATGACAAAGCAGCTCGACCCCTGCCACGCTGTCTTGAGCACCAGACGACCTTTGGGCGTTCAGCTAAAGTAAGCGACGGGGGCAAAATGTCCATATAAGGTTCGTGACGAGGCAAAGGGCGAATGAAAAAGGAAAAGGGCAAGCACGGCCACAATCACTCGATCAGACCCTCGGCAAACCGGAACAACCGCACAAGCAAGGGCGATCACCACTGTTCACACTGAACCAGCGCACCGTGCCTGTGTATACTTGACGAATCCGCTCTAAATCGCCGGAATCATGTCCTTCGTCTTTGAATGGGAGAAGCTCGATGACGAGGTGGCTCTCCAGATCGAGGGCATGATCCATGCTCACTTTCAGCGAATACCCAAACCATCCTTCATGGGCAATATTGCTGTCTCAAAGTTCCGCTTCGGGTCTACGCCGCCGTCTATTACAGTCCTGGACGTGACCGATCCCCTCGAAGAGTGGTACGTGCACATGGACCAAGAGGAGGCACGGTTAGCACAGGAGGCAGCAGAAGCAGGAGGAGGCGAGAGCATGGACGAGGACGAACTTGCCAGTGGCGATGACTACGAAGATGACTACTCCTATTCAGCGGACGGTAGCATTGTCATAGTTGGTGAGGGAGATGATATCGAATATATGGAACCGGGGCCCTTTGCGGAAGGGGAGCAGCTGGAGACCGAGGCCTGGTTGCAACAGCAGCAAGGCGTGCGGAAGAATGATGCGAGTAGTGGCAGTGACTCTTACAAGGAAGAGCTACAGTCGAATCCTCGCTCTAGGGATCCGTCCAGTCGTAATGACGGACCAGCACCTGAACAGAACGCACTCGCGCCAACAGAGGAGCGCAGCAATCGGAATCTGGGGCTCGATACCGACACCAGGAATCTAGCTTCCGCATCAAGAGGCACTTTTTCATCGTCTCTCGACCTGGACGATGTGCCTTCGGCCCAGGGATCCGGCACGACTCACAGTTTGAGCTCTCACGCATCGGATGACGAGATCGAGAGTGAGGCGTTTTATACCCAAGGAGAGTCGACGATCTACCAACGCATGAAGAACCTAGTTATCGATCCTTCCACCCCAGCTCCTCACAGACCAACATCCTCAGACGGAGAATCAGCAATAAACCACACCCATCATCCACATATCAGTCCCACACATTTTCCGCCGACCCCAGGAGGACCTAATGGGAACGTGAGTGGTGGGCTCGGACTCGGCCTTGGTGCCGGTATCGGATCGAGTCCTGGATCAGTCCTTTCATCCGTCATGCAAAATCGATCCACGACACGGCCACTTTCAGCTGCCTCATTTTACAGCTCGCCACCGTCGGCCACGACGGCAGTATCTTCTACAAATGCCGGTTCTGGTCATCCACCCCCGCTACACTTCCCAGATCTATCAGGAATGTTTGTCTCTGGAAACTCTCTTCTGGGACTGAGAGCTGGAACGCCCTCCAGGACCATCCCCGGTACTCCGAGAGGATTTGAGTCGCCTACATTGGCATTTTCGCGGCGGCAAAGCTTTTCAGAAACAGGTGGCGATGATTCCGGCAAGTTTTTAGCCGATGACAGACCAGGAGCACTGCTTAGTGAGTTGCAGAGCAGGGAACAGGACCAGCATAATCCTTCTGTTTACATGTCGCCGGTCGAGGCACTCAGCTTCGATGAGTTTCCGCAGCAGCCCAAGATCATGGAGCACTTAAAGGATGCTGAAAGTGCGGCAGTCAGAGGCGGTAGTAGTCGCAACGGGTCCCAGTCAGGTCGATCACTACATGGCGATCAGAGGAGTCGAAGCAGCAGTTTCCGCCATCATGACTATCACTCCGCTCATTCAGAGCGACGCAACAGATATCCAGATAGGAGACGAAGGAAGCGCGAGGAAGGGCGAGGTGGATATAGTCAGGGTGAACCAAGGACACCGGCATCGTATTTCCCATCGCCCATGCCATCTAAACGACATGAGAATGATATTCAGCTACTGCTGTCGGTGCAATATCAGGGTCAGATGGGGTTCACTATCGAAACGGAACTACTTCTCAACTACCCGACATTTGCGTTCTTGGCATTGCCAGTGAAACTTGTCATCACTGGATTCTCGTTTAAAGGTAAAAGATATGCTGAGGTTTTTGTATTTGATGACTTCGATAGAATGCCTTGTCGTTAACCTCATGTTGTTACAATCTTTTCGTGCTCTGATAGCCAAAGTACTGATGGGATACTTACGCGACCATGTCAATGTATGCTTCCTTGAACCGGAAGATTCCAATGAAAGGTATGGCAACGATGGCTAACTTTTATTCATAGGGTTTAAGCAGAACCTAATTTTGTTTTTGTTTTTGTTTTTGTTTTTGTTTTTGTTTTTTATTGTTGCCATGCTAGTATATTATCAAACGTCAGGATCGAATCCCAAGTTGGTGATGAGCAGAAGCAAGGTACTAGTCGTGCTAAAAATGTCGTATTTGTTCATATACTATCTAGGCACAGTTCGTGTATATTAAGCGCAGTTGGTTTCTTCTGTATTTTTAGCCGTGCTAAAGAACGTTGGCAAAATTGAACGGTTCGTTGTCGAACAGCTCCGAAAGTTCATCACAGAAGATTTTGTCTACCCAAGTTACCACTCCATCGAGCTCGTACGTACATCTCCGCCAGAGATTCCGGCTCCATCAACACAACCAGGAGTGGATGTACATGCAGCAGGGACCTCCTCTTTGCGTTCGCGTCTGCGTTCGCGTTCCTCAGCAACAGCATCCACAACCACTCATCATGCGAGTCATACAGCAACGATGCGCAGTAGTCCTGCTGGCTCGACGACGACTAGTACCAGTCGCTCTACACACAGTGGAGTAGGTGGAGATGGATCGCTGCGAGCCCGAGCCCAAACAATGCCCTATTCTTCTTCACCAACAACGTTGAATTATAGACGTCATTAGAGAACTACAACGAAGGCGAATAACAAAAGCAGCCGTTGTCAGGTCTGTAATAGATGTTTGAGAGCGTCAACATTGGTTATGACCAGCACTTTACTGTAATGGACGGGTTGTGGAACGCAATGACAAATCATGGCACACAGCCTTTCATTCTGGACTACCCCAGGGTCCAAGACCAACGAAATGACGTCGAGAACTATGGACGTGAAAAGCAAACAGAGGCGTCTTTAGTCTGCTAGCTTTTATTTAAGCGACAATGATGCCTGCGTGATGTATTTTGAGCTCCTGTGCCAACAACAAAGGCACGCACCAACTACTTCGCCTAATTTACAAAAATAAAATAAAGCAATACCTAAACGCCTTTAAGCTTTATTTTCCTCAGACAAAGGCCTAGGGTACAGTCGTGCTCCTGGAATGACATAGCGGCAATTGAGGCCCACCATCCTTATATAAGAACAGCAACCTTTGCCTTTCTCGCTCATCACACACTCCACCTAATCCTTTTTTTCATAGTCCCATTATAACTACAAGCCAGAGATGACTACCTCTACAGCGTCCCTCCGGGCGTCCAGCTCACTACCGCGCCGATACCGCCCCCGCACAGGCCTGCTCCGATGCGCCCCTGCATACCTTCTAATGCTCATCTCCGCCATCATCTCCCTCTTCGCAACCTTTACCGCCGCGGCCCCACTCCCGAACTCAGACAAGGATGGTGATCTTGGAGACAACATCCTGGGCGGTGCACGCGAAGGTCCCTACAACATCTCCATCCAAGCCGGTATCGCAGGTGCGATCCTGATCGTTCTCGGAATTATCCTCTGTTTCTTCGGCTACCGTATCTACCATGTGACCCTCTTCATCGTCGGATTCTACTTCCTCGGAAACCTCACCTACATCGGCATGGCCAACGGCGGAGTCACCTCACGGACCCTCTTGCTCGTTGTCTCGATCGTCGTTGGAGTCATTGGCGGAATCTTGCTCATTTTCTGTTCTCGCCTGGGTGTCGCCATCCTAGGTGCGTTGGCTTTCTACGCATTGGGTCTCTGGATCCTGGGCTGGCGTTCCGGTGGAGTCATCAGTAGCTCTTCAGGTCGCATCGCCCTCCTGGTCTGTCTCGCGATCCTGGGATTCATCCTCGGCTTGTTCAACGAGAAGGAGATGGTCATCGTGGGTTCCGCCATCATTGGGGCCTACTCCTTTGTGATTGGCGTCGATATGTACGTGGACACGGGATTCTCCAGTCAGGCGGACTCGTTCATCAACTCGAAAAACTCGGTTGAGTCGCATTTTGAGAACCAGACTGTGGGTGTTTATGCCTTGCTGGGAACCTTCTTGGTCTTGGCAGCGCTTGGAATGATTGTTCAGTTCTATAGTTGGGGTAACAGGGCCACCTGGCGACCTGTTCCTGGCTCGGCTATTGCTCCAGGTACGGTTGTTGCTCCAGGTGCGGTTGCTGCTCCAGGTACGGTTGCTGCTCCAGCGACAGATGTGGTCTACACAGAGAAGCCGCCAGCTCGCTTCGGAGGATTCTTCAGACGCCGCTACTAAACACAAAACCTTCCCCACTTTCCTTAATACTCTCATTCAACCATCTAATGTATAATATCAATCTATAAACCATACCCCTTTAATAATGACTTCATAATAAATTGTCAGTGTAATATTCGTAAATCATTCCTTGTGAACATCCCTCCCTTTGATTTTATTTAATCGAAAAAAAAAAAACGCGTTATCTGCCTGTTTCCATCATCTAATACGGGCGATGGAACACTTTATCCCACATGGCCGCGTCCTTGAACCATCCGCGCCGGTCGACAAAGAATGCCATGCGTTCCTTTTTGCTTCCCAGCATAATGTGTGAACTGCTACCCTCCTTCACAGGTGACGTTCCTTGTGGTCCGACATTAGTGAGCAGCTGCTGACGACATTGCATGTCCTGAATCGGGTAAACGCGATGGTATCCCCGTGGGAATTTGCGTCCAGTCTCGATCCTGACCTGTGTTCCTCCCCTCAACAGCGTCAACTTGGTCACATATCTAAGAATTTTATGCACAGAAATTGAAAAGGTCAATCAAGCCATCCCCGAAAGCGTCCAAAAAAAAAAAAAAGACATTATTCTTCAATGCCCTGATGAGCTGCGGAGCAGAGAAAAAAAATCTAACAGGCGACTCACCTCCACGGGATCGCGCAGATACCGAATGCGATTACAAGTCCTGTGCCGATCAATCCTGCAGAGATAATGATCCGTTTCCTCAACGGCGCCAATGGCACCTCTGTGGACTCGATGCCTTCTGTTCCGGGGAGTGGCAGAGGTGGGGGTGGGGGCTGCGTGGCTGAAAAGATAGGGTTGTCAGTGTAGTGCGTAAAGGCGTATTGAGCGACGTTGCCCCAAAAGATCAGCTGTAGGCCTGCGGTGGCATAGGCCAGGAGGAAGGTCCTGTGGAGCGTTGCTGGCGGCTCATAAAATTGTACATCCCTAATAAAAATAAAAAAAAAAAGGTGCGGCAGATCGGGCAATGGGAATATAGCAAATTATGTCAGCGTTACGCCTCGGTTTGTCTTGCGCCATGTATAAAATGTCGAGATCAAGAGACCACGTACTGTTTGGCGCACATTTCCGCGAGCGTCCTTGAGAAATTCCCAGGTCCAGCAGCAGCTTTCCTGGCCTTCGATCCCGATTCCCTGGCTACCACAGTCGGAGCCGTGGCAGAGCTAGTGAGGGAGGTAGGCGAAGGGGTGGCATTCCTGCTCTTTGAGTCTGGATGGGAGTACTTGAAGGGTGACTTCTTAGAGCCTCCAGTGGCTCCTGGGGTGGCATAGAAGCGTAAAGACGACGAAAACGAGTTACCCTGAGCCATCGATAGTCCTGTTGAGGCATTGGGTAGCCTCCTGAAACAAAGCGCCGTTGGCAAGGCGCGCTGGATCCTGTTCATGGCTGATCGAGTTTTGTGAATGAGAAATGAGGAATGCAAGTCGAGGGTCCGGGTTCCGTCATTCGGGTTACCTGATCAGCAAGAAGGTTGCAAATAAATGGGTTGTATCTGAGACCGTTCAAACCCATTGACCCGCGCAATTCGAAATAAAATTTTGGTCGGCTGCTGTGCGCGCCCCATTCAGTCTTGTAATCCTGTCAATTACTGTATCTTGGATGACTTTTATTATTATTATTCCAATAATGGTTGCCATGAATGCTCGTTGGAAATCGCGGCCTGTGCGAGAACTTGAAATGCTCTCTTGCTTGCTTCGATTGCTTCCTCATTCGATACTCTGACGGCGCGTTCTCGAGCGTATGTTATGAATTTCAACTGTCCACATCTACGTAGGATCTTTTTGGCATGTTGTTGAATTTTGAGGGGAACACTGTCTGCGACGGATAAAACCTCTAAGCCTCGCCTGAATTCCTTATAACCGCCTTCCTTGGTGTCCAGGGTTGAATTGCAGTGCTTAACGAAGCTCCAGTGGTCCCAGTGACAATACGATTTGGTTGAGAAGAAAGGTGATATGTCAAGTTCTGCGGACGCCCTCCATTGGCGAGGATCGTCAATTCCGGCATCGCTAGAGGTGGCCACGCCGCCATCATTGTTGTAAAGGCCGATGAGATTGCCGATGCTGCTGTCCTCGCTGCCGTTCGTGTTGTTATCTCTGCGACTGCCCTTGCTGGATCTGTTGGCTTCATTGCGAACGTTGTTACGTGGAGCAGTCCTCACAGCATGTTTACGAGCGTACGCCAAAAAGACCAAGCGACGCAATCGGCTAAGAATTTTGCTGGCATGCTTTTGAACCTTACGGGGAACACCCTCAGCGGTAACGATAACCTGCAGGCCACGTTTGAACTGCTCATAATCATCATGCATGGAGGTGAGAGTCGAATCACTGTGTTTGACGAAGACCCGATGGTCCCAGTGCCAATACATCTTGGTTGAAAGAATGTCGAAATGCCAAACTCTGTGGGTGCCTTCCATTGGCGAGGGTCGCCAATTTCGGCATTGCTGAAGGTGACCACGCCGCCATCACTGCCGCTGAAGTTGTTAAGGTTATCCGCGCTGTCATTCTTGCTGCCGCGAGTATTATGATTGCAGGCATTCCTCTTTTTAGAGGGGTTAATGGTGTGGATATGCTCCAAAGCGCGGCTGCGGCCGAGGAAGCCTTTCACGACTTTGGGCATGATGTACCTCGCGGTCGCAATCGCTATGAACGACGGCGCCTAGTTTTCTGTGAACGAAATAAACGAGGTGTCGGTACTAAATTGAGCAATTAACAATTATCTAGAGATGCGAGGAGCGATATATGGCAGAAATACCTCAGCCGGATTCTTGCACGCAAACGTACCAAGGACATAAACAACTCTATTTTGAGGCTTTACTTATCGCTCGACACATACCCCAAGCAACCGCTAGGTACAGACAAGATCAGAAGACAACGTGGGTTAGTTAAAAGTCTAGCATACAATATCACATCACCACCAGCTGAACAACAAACATAGCGAATGCAATGGATGCGCGACCAGGCTTCTTCCGCAGCTTCAATTCCAAACCACAAAGGATACCAAGCATAACTCGTACTGAGGTGCAAGGCTTGAAGCAGCTTTAGCGTTCCATCTGGAGTACAACTCGCAGGACACAGCAGGTGAAGGGCCATGGTACCGACATCGGACAAAACTACAGCTGGAAGCTGCTGATACAAGCGCGCAGACTGTACCTTGAAGAATGAAAAACCAACCCCTGTTGCTATTGGGATGCGCATAATGGAATAACGTGTCATGGAAGCGTGAATCTCTGACACTTACCATGCATTCGGGATGCACAACCGGATTGATGGTAGACGGTAGAAAGAGTGCCATGTGAATACCTTGGCAAAAAAAAAAAGATTATGACGTCATAATAATGTTTTGTGTGGAGAGAAGCCGCTTCGGGCCCTTGGGCTCTCAATCCAACTTACCCATTATGTCGCTAACCTGGAGCCCAAAGGGAGCCCAAGTGGACAGGTACTTCTTGGAAATATCCTGGAGACAATGGAGCGTGGAGTCATTTCTGCTTGAGAACAATGCCACTGAAGACAACATAAGTGAGCTCTACACCATATTCAGAGCAAGCATGCGAGTGCTCCTCAACCTGGACAGGGCGCCTTCAAAAGTGAGGACGCTGGTGTCAACCATGTCCAGCAGCATGTCGAAGACTGAGTTCACAAAGATTTTTTGCCAGATGTGGGTGGAGCAGAGCACGGAAGATGCTGTTGTGAGCTCGCAGGCCGCGCAGCGCGGAGTCCAGGTAAGGTTATGAGTATAGCCTTGTCAAGTACTGTAGCCTATATACACATAGAAGATACGCATGTTCTCACGCGAATTGCCTTATTTCTTCAGCACAATTATCCAGCAAGGACGGGCAGTCTGGAAAGGCCAACAGGAACCAAGATAAAGCACATCGACAGCTAGCAGTAAGCACTTTCCTTGAACTGTTCTGCACTCTAATTGCACTTTTTCACATTAACTTAGACCGGCTCTACATGTCCTGGGAACTTTGATAGGCATCTGCTGAGCTCAAGGAGATCGAGGTCGTCCCAGAGTACGATGTCGTCGAGTTCGAGAGCAAGGTCGGAGCGCTGGATTGAGCCCTCTTCTGGAGGCTCAAGTGTAGTGGACGATGTGTGGAGGATGTCCTGATCAAGGCAGCACGAAAGATGACGCGGATACAGTAGGTTCTTATCACTTTGATGCTACGGTGCCTCTATGGCTAGATACACTAACCACTTTGTATCTACTCTGCACCGTAGCCATGTACACTCTCTAATCATCTACACGGCGGACGAGCTCACAAAACGTCTGTTCAGTTCCGAGGAATGGAAAGAGATTTGCAGAACCTATCCTGTACACCTGGAAGAGCTCTCCACCGAGACGCGGGAGTATCTTCAGACATTCCACACGTTTGACATCCAAGGCATACACAGGGCAGCTAATGCTCCTATCCCAGTCATCGGTCAATATAAGCACGAAAAGCACTGGGAACTACACTGGATAAGGAATTCCGTCGTCCAATGGTAAGGAACTCCATCCGCTAATATTCTCTTCACGATAGTCAGGAAAAGGAAGGAGGGTTCACATTCGAATGGCCCTTCTCAATCTTTATTTCTGCCCTTGTAGGCTCGGCCTATATTCTGAGACGCCTTCGCCCATGGCGGAGAAGGACAACAGCGAGTCATTCTGGAGAAATGACGTGTATGGGGTTATCAACTCGCTCATGAGGGACGTTCCATACATGCGCATGGTGCATGGAGAGCTAACGGTCAAGGAGTCTGCCCAGCGGAGAAACATGCAAAAGACAGGCGATTCAGGCCGCACTGATCTCGGATACAAGTGCGACGGGCTCTTCCAGGTTTCAGGACATCCCAACGCGAATGTGGGTGTTGTCGAAGCTGGCAAGTCGTTCAACAACAACGTCGATAAGAAGTACCGTGAGGACTGTGTCAAAATGACGCGCGAGCTCCATGATATGTTGCGCGTTCGCATTGCCAACCTTCGTGTTTACAGCCGAGCCAGGGAGCTTACAGTTTTAGGCTATGTTATCTCTGGTGAGTACACCTGAAAGTCATCGCATATGGACCACTCAGAGCAGAATCCACGGATACCAATGCTGCTTTCTTTTTTTTAAAAAAAAAAAAAAAAAAAGCCCTGTTATCCAGACAATGTTTGCATCCGCATCCGGCGGCTATATCGTTCGCATCGCACAGCACTAGAACATCCATAGTGTAGCGACAGACACCTCCGACTTTCCGGCCAACGTACGGGTTCTGGAACATCTTCTTTCCACGAAGAAACTGCTTATCAAGACTAAATTAATATTGAAAGAGTGGCCTCGGCTCCCAAACCCCAAGGAACAGATGAAGGCAAAGCAGGTGCAGAGCGAAGATGAGCAGGAGGAAGAAAAGAACGAAGAGGTCGAGGAGGAAAGGTATGATGAAGAAGACAAGGAGAAAGAGGAGGAGGAGGAAGAGGAGGAAGAAACAGAGTAGGAGGAGTAGGAGGAGCAAGAGGAGCAAAAGGAAGCGGAGAAAGGAGCTGTTCCTTTGCCTTCCACACCGCGCCTTGCCCTGAAGCGGCAGCTCAGCGAACTCACCATCCCTTTGCTCCAGAGCACTCCAGAGAGAGCCATGAAGAAGAGGACCTTCAATATTTAAGTCGTAACAGTCCTTGGAAGGAACATGTCTTCCAATGCTCTCGAGCCATAACAAGGCGGATGCCAGAGGGGAAGTATGCCTTGGAATAAAAGAAGGCCCATCGAAGTCCCGTACAAGCCGCATTCAGCTTTCTTTAACATCGTCGCATGCTGCTGTTGGTTCGTCCCTTGTCAAGGTTTAATAGACACAGCAAATAACAGCAAAAACGCGTCATGCGCTTGCTGTAGTGTCATAGTCGTGGCTACACTGAGCCGACGATTAGGTTCCAGCTCTCACTACGCACATGGGATAGGCCCTCTTCTATAAGCATGGCTCCTTAAACGCCATGCAATTACAAAGCTATTGACTAGCCTATTTCATGGAGCCAACAAACTACTCATTTCAAAATGAAACATAGAGTCGAGAATGCCGTGAGAAAGATTGCTGTCGCGCCATTTCAAGTAATGAAAGGCACTCGGAGAGGATTAGACTATCATGGATTTCTAGACCTTTATTCATCCTTTCTCTCTTTCTGCTTCTACCCCTCCTACCTGCTGGTTTTAGCATGATGTGCCATAACAACAGCTACCATCATCAGTATCCATTATTTACCCCATGCCATATCATCCATCGGACACATTAGCGGCTACTATACAGGGGGTAGCCTTGAATGTCTTAGTGGGAGGCTAGATGGATTTGAATGGCCATGACTCGGTCATGGTTTCTTCCACTAGGTCATATCGGTTCACATTTCGCCATTTCCCATCCCCTCCTTCCTTCGTTCTTCTCTCGCAGTACAGGATGCAGCAACACAGATGCAGAGGGGTTGGATCCAGCGGGTAAACAGCAATGTGAAGCCGTGGTGTATTCATTTGTTGATGCTGTGGAGAAATTTAAAAATACGCTCTGTTCCCAGGGATGAACGCCCAAAAATGTGGAGGGAAAATAACCGGTGTCTTGGCCTGAGCTTGTCCCCCGACCCAGCCAGTCGGGCCCGAGGTTGCATCATCTTGTTGCCCTCTTTTCTTCCTCTGGCACTTCTCTTCCTTATTCCAACTTTGCCATCACTTTCTCATCCTCATTCACTACAGTCTTCATTCCCTCAATTGCCACCTCTGCATCCCACGAACATAACACCACCCTTCTATTAATATATCCTCGCCAAATCAAGGCGTTGCTTCACACCTACCCTCCACGCCTTCTCCTTCCACATCCGGATAATGACCGCCTCTCACCACCGCCAAAACGACCAAGAGACTATCCTCGTCACCGGAGGGGCCGGATTCATTGGTTCCCATACCGTTGTTCAGCTCCTCAGCCTCAGCAAGCGTCTTGTCATCGTCGATAATCTCTGCAACTCTTCAGAAGAAGCCTTGCATCGGGCGCAAGCCCTTGCTCACAACCCAAAGGGGTCTCTGATTTTCCACAAGGTCGATCTGCTCGACGGAGACGCACTGCAGAAGGTCTTTGATCTCTACACATTCTCGGCCTGCATCCATTTCGCAGGACTCAAGGCAGTAGGCGAATCCTCCAAGATTCCTCTCGGATATTACCAGACCAACATCACAGGAACCCTCAATCTGGTGCAGCTACTGCAGCAGCATCAGTGCCGAAATTTAATCTTTTCGTCCTCGGCCACCGTCTATGGATTGACATCATCGCCCGAACCCATCAAGGAGGATGCGCCGATCAAGGCAACGAACCCCTACGGACGCACCAAGCAGTACATCGAAGAGATTCTCAGGGACACCGCTGCCAGCGAACCAGACAAATGGAACATCATTCTTCTGCGGTACTTCAACCCTGTCGGTGCACATGAGTCTGGAAGGATTGGCGAGGATTCCAACGGACCACCCAACAACCTGATGCCCTATGTGGCCCAGGTCGCCATCGGACGACGCTCCATCGTTAATGTCTTTGGAGACGACTACGACACAAAGGACGGCACCGGTGTTCGGGATTATATTCACATCGAGGACTTGGCGCGGGGACATGTGGCAGCACTGGGAAAGATCGAGACCGTCAGGCGATCCAGCAAGACGCTGGGCTGTGTTCCTTACAATCTGGGAACCGGGATCGGACACTCTGTCATGGAGATGATCAACAGCATGTCTGAAGTGGTGGGCCGTAAGCTGCCTTACAAGATCGTTGAAAGGAGACCCGGCGATGTGGCGACGGTCATTGCAGACCCCTCACTGGCGGCCAAAGAGATGGACTGGAAGGCAGAAAAGACGCTGAAGGACATGTGCACAGACCTATGGAGGTGGCAGATACAGAACCCAGAGGGATACGCTGGGTCTCAGACGACACATGGGCCCAGTTTGGCATCTCCACTGACACCCTCACCGGTGCTACATTCTCATATTGCTCTGCCAACCATGGCAATGGGAGCCAAGGCGATGTCAGCATCGATTTCACCAGGAAAGAAGGCAGCGCTCGATAGGAGGTCGACGCCATCGCCTCCTCCATTTACGATGGCGAACTCGCCAGTCAATTCGCCTCAGCCTGCTAGGACTGCAAAGAAGGCACACCAGAACGCCTTCTAAGGAGGACCAACATTATCCTCACTATCGTTGTCATCATCATTCGTCGTTTTGTTTGTTAGTCTATTCGTTAGTCTTGTCTTTCATGTATTATGCTCATCATTAAAACAACCGTACCTAAATTAGTAGGAAAAGGAAAAAAATGATACACAACGCGTTTATGGCAGCTCAATCTCAGCGACAAAGTCTCCCATGGCAGAATGTTGCTTCGCCCAATGATGCGTGCGATGTAGAGCGGAGCCCGAGGACTCAGGAAGGCATGCTTGTTTATTATGCGCTTGATTAGAACCCTCCCTTATGGATGCCCTCCTCCTGCTGCTGCTCCACACAGTTGAAACTGCTCCGATCGCCTCTTGACCGATTCCTTGTTGCTGCGCACGCTCGCTGCAAACGATGGGATCAGTAGAAGCGAATCTAGGATGAATAGAAGGCTTGTCCCCCGTATACTACTGGAGCCAATTTCAATAGTGTGCTGAGATGCTGTAGGGAATAGGCATTGTTTCCTAGTCAAGCGGTGTGTAGATCACATAAGGTGCAGTAGCCAACCATGCCACATATACCCGTCATTTCTAGCTGCTTGTAGTATCTACTACTCTCCACACCTTTGAAAGAAAGATGCCGCTGTGACTTACCTTTCGGATTCATTGAATTTAATGCCTCCTATCCGCTTCTAGTTTGAAGTGGACTTGGCTCATTAACAAGGAACCGGCTAGGCGATATTGCTGCAGGTTCATATCCGTAACCAGGGGGGAGGGTGGGGGGAAGTTTCTGTACTATGGAGTACCTTTCTTAAAGGCATAAAATCACGCGTTTTATAAACTATTTCGAACAAGACAGCACGAGTTTTAGGACCTGAGGGTTAAAGGAAAGAACCTGACGGAGGTCAGAATGGTTAGAACGAAGGAGGAGCGGAAAAAAAAAAGGAAACCGCAAAGAGAGCTTGAGAAATGAACTTTGTCGCCACCAATTTTTTATTGCATTGTTATTGGCCAGTTGTCCTGCTGTGCTTACCAAGTTGAACACACCACACGGCTCAGCATCGTTTGCCTGATTAGACAGAGTGGGCACTTCCCACTCCAGGGCGCCGGCCCACCACGCTTCCCTGTGGCTGAAACATACTAGATTCTTCGTACTAAACCCATGTAAACATCCAATGCACCCCGGATTAGCAGAGTGCTCGCAGATCGCGACAAACAAGTTGTACGCGTCAGGAGCAGGCTGCGCAGCGCGGAGTGTAGGCAAAGTTACGATGAACATGGTCTAATCAAGATACTGTAGTCTATATACATGTGGAAGATGCGCCTGCTTTCACTTCAATTGCCTTATTTCTTCTTCAGCACAATCGTCTAGTAAGAGCAGGCAGTCTGGGAATGGTCAACAAGAGGCCAAAACAAGGCATAAGGGCAGCCAGTAGTATTAATAGCGTCAAAGAATGTAAATGTAGAATCATTTATTGTTGTTGACATTTATGAACGACCCATCATCGCCAAGCTGCTTGTTTTTGTCGTTTTTATTTGAGAAAAATAAAAAGAGTACATTCAAAATGTACTTTATGAGTTTGTAAAGAACTGGCTAACCATGTCCTTGACCATCGATACATCGTACCGAACATACTTTTGAACATTCTTTGTAAACTCCATCGTCGTACCGCTACCATTTGAAGATGCGTATTTGGTCAAGAACTTGTCGTACATGGGGATCAGCACCTGGTGCACATCCTTGAGCACCATCGTTCTCAGATCCACATCCGGAATTGAATACTGCTTCTGTGTCTTCCATAGTTCGTCAAAGTCGTGGTTGAAGTTCTTGAATTTATCCTTGACCATTTGACGCTGGTTCGAGTTCAACACATGCTGCACACCGCCGTCCTGGAGGTATGTCACATCCATCAGGTGCTCCACACAGGTCTTCCAATTGTCCTGATACAAGTCCACGCTCTGCTTCAATGGTCGTTCATAAACGGCCGAAGTCAGACTATTCGGTGCCAGATGGGCGGTATCCGGTCCGTTGAGGGTCTCCAACAGTCCTGGCGTGGTGCGGACAGATTTCGAGATGTAAAAGTAGTTGTTGAGCAAAAACAGCTGGGCCAGGGACTGGCCCTTTTTGTAGAACTTGGACTTTACGTCAATGTTCTGCACTAACGCCTCCAACACGTCCGCTACAAGTACCAAAAAAAAAAAAAAAAAAAAAAAAAAACCGCTTAGTACTTCTGGCACTACTCAAATATCCACGATAAAAATTGTTTTGCATGGATTTGTGCTAGTCTCCATAACTGCAAACACAGCAACACAGGAAATTTATCAATTTAGTTGAATTGAGTTATGCCAGCAGCATTTTGGAATTTGAGACAGTTCCTTCAACATACCAAAATAATGCTGCATAGCAGAGCTTCGTCCAGATCGTCCAGCAGCCTGAGGGCGGCGGTTCTGTGAAGCGCCAGCCTCGGGGCTGTTCCAGTTTCCATCTCCAATGAGATTGAGAATCGACTCCACCATCGGTTGATAGTTCATTAGGCGCTTCATGTAATTGAGGGTCTAGAAAAGACATTATACAGTGGAAGAAGCAGTATCAAGATAAGTCGAATGCGGTATAACTTGTTTGCAATGGGTAAACAAGTAGCGGTTCCTTACATCTGAGGTCATTTGATGCACGGTTCCGTCCAGCGGCATAGCTTGGTATTTGGGGTTATTTTGGTTCTACACATCGAACGAATAATAAAAATACAAGACGTTAATATAGGAATACGTTCTAAAACGGTGTCAGGCTGTTAAAAAGTACGCCCATGCGAAGAAGCTTACTCTAACGTCGGCGAGAAAGTCAATGAAGGTTCTCATGGCGGTTGCCTTGAAGGTCTTGAGCAGCTCTAGTGCGTCGTTCTCCTTTTGACGTCTTGCAAGCTAGTGTATCCATGACAGCAAACACACCATATCAGTCGTCTGTTCCTAAAACTGTCCTTCTTTCAAATGCGTAGAATGCACAGAAGCAATGCACTTACCCCGAAAACACTTTCAAAGGTGTTCATGTTAGACTCAAGGGCCTCAATGACATCAAAAAGGACGCCGACCTCAGACGTATACGTCTTCCTGATCCGCCTCGTGATGATCCTTCCTGTCTCTACCCATTGCTCGATCGGGGGCATGATCGACCCCATGAATGCGAGACTTAATAACTTGGGATCTAGAAGAGTGTCGGCCAGATCAGCTTCGTTCTAAAACAAAGGAAAGGTCGTCTTGTTCGGTCAGAGATGAGTTTACGGACAAGTATCACATTCGCAAAGGTCATAGATGAGACTCATACCCTGCAAAGCTTGAGTAGAGAGGTCGTGTAGGGAATGAATGGGCTCGTGTCCTTTTCGTAGACGCCCTTCAATTCGACATTAGAGGATTGGTAAAGTGGTGCCAGTGACTTGATCATTGTGTTGGCACGGATCTCACAGTACGACTTCAGATATCCAGTTGGTGTTGCATTAGGATCCAGATCGATTTCGGCCAGACTCTTGGAGATTGTGATAAAAGCCTGGGCGGTGTTCGCAGGGAATGGTGGAATATCCTTGCGGTCGGATGAGGTGACAACCTTGAGGTCCAATGGCGGGCTGTTTTGTGTCAAAAGCTTCCTGAACAACTCGTTCAACTGCCCTGCTGCGACATTGAGACTTCGTTTCTATCATTGTAACAACGATTTTCAAAAGAACCATGATCAATAACGATCGATTCTTTGACTTGATTAGAAATTCATACCGACGCATGCTTCGCTTACCAGCTGTTGCACTACTCGCTCACCAGCCTTGAGTTTGACTAAGCTCATGGTCCGCAGATACTCCCGTATCCGTCCGATTGATTGGAGATAGGAATGCAGGTCATGTTCTGTCAATGGTCGTACCACAATCGCCTCCTCCTGAGCTGCCAAATCAAAGTATGAGAGAATTGCCTCTAGTGCTGCGACAGTCTGATCCATATCTATTGAAGCCGAACAATATACCAAGTGGTTAGTGTCTCCTAACGCTTTCAACTGCGAATGCGACTGGATAGTTACAGCCTCAGTGTACATACTTCCTGCGAGGCGCGTAAGGGACTGGGTGGATTTGTGGATCGGCAGGACAGAGGTCTCGAGGCTGGCGAGACGTGTGTCGAACGAGTTCAAGATGTCAACCTAGTGTGCATACAGCTCGAGTGTCAGGCACGGATTGGTCTTTCTGTCTTCTCAGTTTCTTTCCATGGGTGCGAGGTCGTGGTATTACCATCTTTGTCGAGACAGTGTTAGTCTTGTTTAGGTTGGTCTCCAGGCCGCTGAGTTCCGCAACCTCCTCGTCGAGAAAGGTCTTGTTCTCCCTAATGCTATTTTTCAGTTGAAGACATGAGTACTTGTAAGATTTGATGATGGATGGTTGATGGGTTGATGGAACGGATGAGAACACATTCAAAATGTGTGCTGAACGAACCCTTCTGTGGTGATGGCCATGTCGGTTTTGGTGTGTATTGGGCTGTGGTGTGCTCAAACTATGTGCATGTAAAACTCAGCTTCGAAGGCCCTGGTTGATGCCTCTCTGTCTCTCCCTCTCTCTATCTCTGTCTAGGTGGAGGTGTGGTGTCGGTAGATTGGTCTGCTGCTCCCGAATGAGTCCTGGATGGTGTTCTTGATGTCTGAAGCGAGGAAAGAAAGAAGTGATGCAAAAAGCTAATATGGGTTTTCATGTGGAGGCCGAAGAGGTCGTTGCAATATTGCATGGGAATCGAATGGTCTTAAAATTGTCACGCGTCAAAAAGCAGAAAACGAACGTATCAAACCCGCCTCCGTGGCCAAAACAAGAGGGATGCACAGATCGATTGCACTTCAGGCAGTATCGTCCACTCCTTATGAACATGTTCGACATGTCCAAACCGCTGCAAGGTTTATCGAAACCCTTCGAGAAGCTCTGCAGGTGACGATGAGAGGACACCACTTGTTTGCGATTTCAGTGAGTATGGCATAGTGGATTTCCTTGGTGAACAGACAGAGGTGGCCTACTATGCCTGTTCCTGAGCAATGTTGCTCGCGTTTGAAGTGCGATGGACGGTTTTGCACATTCAAATTCAGACGTTTTCCAGCCTTTTCAGTTTCATCTCCATAAATTGACGGATCAAATAGACGACGCAGTGAGCAGGGCCGGCTGATCCCAGTAAACAGGACCCTTTCCCTGAAATCCTTTAAGGTGGACATCGAGATACCACAGGTTCCCAGTCCGCACCTTTATAGTTACCCTTTCTTCCCTTCTTTCTTGCTGCATGCATGTAGTCGCTACTGCTTTGTCCCCCCTCTTCGTGTGCTGAATGATGCTATGTCGGCGTTTATCGAGTGTTTTTCTGCAGTACTGCTCCGGTATGTTGTGTCCTCCCCCCCCCCTCCTCCCCTGTCTTTTTTGTTAACCCGTTTGGTCGTCCTTCCTGTGGTCTCATTCCGTTTGTCCATCTCTCCCTTTCTCACAGCAAAGGGCTCCCTCGTCTCCTCGGCCTCCGAAACCCAGCACCCACTCATCACCCAGCACCCATCGCTCATCGTCAACTAAAGCAAGGGGACTTCTCTCCCTACTGCCCACAGACCGCCTCACTTTTCTCTTCTCTTCTTCCATCGCCCCCGGTGCACGCCCCCATTCCTCGTCTGCTTCCCTCGCTTCTTCACAACGAACAATTCCACAATGAGTGCCACCTACATCCCCCAGGCCCAAATTCTCCGCGACAACTGCGAGTTCCTGAAGCCCAACCCCAGAGTCCACAGCCAGCGCCTAACAATCCAGCACTGGCAGCTCAGAGATCTGATCACTTGTCCAAAGACCAGCGAGGAATTTATCTATGTTAATCAGAACACCGTCAATTGCTACAATACCCGCACAAAGACCACCACACCTCTCATGAAGGACCTCACATTCCAGCCCACTTCTCTGACAGCAGCGTAAGACCTTTTTATTTCAGATCGCGTTATCAACCGACCATGGGAAGGCGAAGTGGGAGAAGGGCTCACGGGGGAGGGGGACTGCTGAACTCTACCGCAACTAACCATAGAAGCTTGTTTGCCACCAAATCTACATAGATGCGGATACCTTGCAGCGGGCGGACAGCGAAATCAGTTGATGGTCAGGCAGATGAACAGCAATTGGTACGAGGTCGCCATAAAGATGATTCATAAACACTGTGGAACATATAGGCATAGGTTCGTAGATACTCACCGACTTGATTCTCCTCTAGGTTCGCGCATACGTCCGTAGGCGGATCAATTAACAACGCGCTATGTATTTCAGAGCATCTGGGAGGAACGCGATTATTGATCAGCAACAATGACGAGACAATCAAGGTCTATTCTTTGCCCGGCCTCCAGCGTCTGACGAGCATCCAATTCCCCACAGCTGTCAACTATGGTAAGCGACGGGCACTTTAATGGCGTGCTTACGATTGGCGATAATGCACATTCCAGGCATGACTTGCCCCGTGCGCTCAAACTGACATTTTTTTCCCCCGTCGAATCCTTAGCTTCTGTCAGTCCAGATGGACGCAAAATGGTTGCTGTGGGTGATTCGAACCAGGTCTTTTTGTACGACATCTCGGTCGCGGCAGGGTATCAAAAGATTGGCACTTACACAGGTAAAGCCATCCGAACCGTCTCTCTGTTCGGCCTCTGTCAAAGAATGTGCAGTCACGGCTGGTTCTCTGACCACCACCTTTCTTTCTTTCTTAGCAACGACTGAGGCCAGCTTTTCGTGTGCCTGGAATCAATCGTCCGAGAAGTTTGCCGTGGCCAGCCAAGATGGATATGTGAGCGTGTGGGACATTCGTTCGAGTGAAAAGATGTGCAAGCTCGGATCGAAGCAGGTATGAAGATGAAGAACCCTTTCGTACTGTGGCTCAAAGAAGGCGTGGTCTTCGCGATCAACTTATCTGACGATGATTGGTTTCGCGCATGTATTGATAGCAACCACAATCAAAGGGCGCTACACGCTGTGTCAAGTTCTCGTCTTCTGGCTCAATTGATTTGCTTATGTACAGTGAGCACGTCTCATATGTGAACCTGGTCGATGCCAGGACCTTCAATGACCGGCAGGTTGTCCGGGTTGCACCACCAAATAACGATGAACACGTTTCTGGCATTGCATTGAGTCCTGACAGCAAAGTCTGCTTTGTCGGTACGTGTAGAAAAAAAAAATCGATTTATTTGTACGAACTCATAGAGCTATGTGTAATTGTTTATTGAGATGGTCATTTTGCATGCTTTGTGTTCTAGGGCTGGAACATTCAGTACTCGAGTACGATGTGGACACGGTTACCCGAAGGAGTTTTCCTGCCGGCAGTCTAATTTAGAAAGTACAATCTAAGCGAAAGGAACAAACGCCAGAAATATTCGTACTGCTGGTCGGGATATCGCCCATCTATACCCGAGCTTCACTACGAATAAACATGATGGCACAAACCCAACTTTACACCATGATAATGAAGAGCAAACCTACTTCGCGCGATCAACCAATGAAATACTCAGCCACCCCTTGAGCACCATATACTGCACCTGGAGTGGTGCACCCATGTCAAAGCACACCCACATCACTCTGCCCAATACCAAAGATCCGAGCGAGGAGGACCGGTCGACTGTCAGGAAGAGACCAACGTATACCAAACTGCCGCTCAAAGCAGGACAAAAAGAGCGCCAATGGAATCCAATTATATCCGTTTCACAGCGCTGTCAGGCGCAAAGTCGGAATCAGCTCTTTGCTACCTTCTCGAGATTGATGAGGCAAAGATCTTGTTGGACTGCGGCTGGAACGATGCATTCGACGTCGAGGATCTCAAACAGCTCAGACGGTATATACGATTTTAGACACTTGCAGTATCGTTTGGACACTTGCAGTACCGTTTGGATTAATAAGGTCGCAATTGTTGTGGTTCTTGAAAACTAACTGCCTCAGACGCGACACTTCTCTTTCTCTTCTTCTTTCTTTCTTTCTTTTTTATCCGTATGGCTATATGGTATCGATCCGTGGACCGCGGGACACCACCCACAACGACGCTGAATACTTTACAGGATAGCGAAGGATGTTGATGCCTGTCTACTCTCACACTCGACGCTCCACCATCTCGGTGCACTAGCGTATGCGAAATCGAATCTGGGACTTCGAGCACAGACATACGCGACCTTTCCAGTCATGGACATGGGTCGTCTATCGTTATATGACATTTGGCAATCCAAACGGGCAACCGAGGACTTTACGACATTCAATCTCGAGGATATTGACCAGGCATTTGAGGCGATTACCTGTTTGAGATACCAGCAACCCACGGAACTCTCGGGAAAGTGCAAGGGAATCACAATCACGGCCTCTTCAGCAGGACATACCGTCGGAGGAACTGTCTGGAAGATCTCGAAGGATACAGAATCGATTCTGTATGCTGTCGATTATAATCACCGAAAGGATAAGTAAGGACATACTGGATAAACGATGTGGTTTGCAGAGAATCTGGGTGGGGGGAAGAGGAGTTTGTCGATTTGGGTCGTTATTGGTTGATTGACTGGCTGATTTTATTGAACGATAGACATTTGGATGCGACAGTGCTGTTGCAAGCGGACGGAAACGCACCACAAGAGTTCCAGCGGCCATCGCTTATGATCACGGACGCGTTCAATGCGGAACAATACCTGCAGCCATCTCGTCTTTCTCGCGATAGAGCACTCTTGGGTACTTTATCAATACACGCTCTTTTTTTTTTTTTTTTTTTCCATCTCCCGCCTGAGACCATTTTTTTTATTAACAAGCATTATTGAAACAAAAATCTATCAAAATTACTTTTATAGAATCAACAATAGCAACACTCAACGATGGCGGCTCGGTCTTACTGCCGACGGACTCTTCGACACGCGTCCTAGAACTAGCCTACATGCTCGACTCTTACTGGATGGCGAACCGAGTCCGGTATCCATTGATTCTCCTCACCAACTTTTCTTACCGGACAGCTCACTTTGCGACCTCGATGATGGAGTGGATGGGAGACACCGTTCGATCCCAACTCACGGATACACGCGAGAACCCTTTCCAGTTCAAGTACCTGAGACTATGTCAGCGACTGAGTGATCTTGAAAAGTATCCTGGACCGAAAGTCGTCCTGGCTTCGAACCTTTCTATGGAAACCGGATTCGCAAGGGAGGTCTTTTTGAGAACGGAATGGTCCCAGAACACGAAGAACACATTGATCCTCACGGAGCGTGCCTTTCCAGGAGAGTTGGCCCGGTACCTGTATGAGGAATGGAAGGAAGGCGTCGGGGAGCTGGCGAGCAAGGAGGTTGGGAATGAAGTTCAGTTGGATAACGTGCTACGGCTAAAGGTGGACCGGAAGGTCTTGCTCGAGGGCCAGGAATTAGTGGACTTCTTGGCGGCTCAGGAGGCGAAGTTGGAGCGCGAGCGTGCGGATGCGGCGTTGTTGGAGCGAAATCGCAGGACGCTACTGGAGGAGGAAGACGACAGTGACGAGGATGAGGATTCGATAAATGGGGATCTCGGCCATCTGGTAGACATGGAGTGGCAGCTCTCAAAATCGGGAGGGCATGATATTTATATGAAGGACGCGACCAAGTCTGGGGGGTTCTTTAAGCAGACACAGAGTTATCGGATGTTCCCTTTTGTGGAGCGGAGGAAGAAGATTGACGATTATGGTGAGAGTATTGTGGTAGAACACTTCTTGAGTGCCTCCTCAGGTGCGCCCCAGGACGGACGTGAGGGTCGTAGTAGTGGACCTAATGGAGAGATGGATGCGAATGGTGATGTTAGGATGCGAAGCGACGATGACGACGAGATGGCAGTCGTAGGGGGGAGAGAGGAAGGCGCCGATGGGAAGGACAGGTGGATGGATCCGGATATGATTCATCCGGAGGACAGTTTGCCGTCAAAGTACGCGACCTCGGAGGAAGAGGTGGTTATAAGGTGCAAGGTACGATATGTGGATCTCGAGGGTCGTGCGGACGAGAGTGCTATGAAGGTCATCCTACAAGCGATCGCACCGAGAAAGCTGGTAAGTGTTTTTCCCAGTCGTCATATGGTTTTGAGCTATACGTTTTTTTTTCTATCCATGGCTATAGCAGTGACTAATTTGGTCCGCATGAATTAGATTCTTATCCATGGAGCAGAAAATAAGACAGAATCCCTGCGTAACACATACTTGGAGTTGCCAGATCTGACACGCGAGATCTATGCGCCCTCGGTCGGTGAGATTCTCAACGTGTCGGAGGTGACGAACATGTACAAGATCAATCTCACGGACGCCCTTCTGAGCTCGCTCTCGTTCTCGACCTTGGGAGAATATGATCTTGCCTACTTGGTTGGTCAAGTTCAGATCCCTCCTGGATCCGTAGCCCCAGTGTTGGGCATGCCCACGGTCGAGACCGAAGGAGGTGCTAAGAAGCTGACGGCAGGAGGAGAGGTCGATGGTGACGTGGCGGACCCACAGAAGGCTCAGCAGCAACAACAGCAGGACCAGAACGGAGCGCTCGTTCCGTCCTCTGCAGCGCAGCTTCAATTTCAACCTCAGCAGAAGCAGCAACAGCAACTGGAGCTGCTTGCACGCGAGCACAGACCTGTGTTTGTGGGGGATATCAAGTTGACAGAGTTCAAGAACCGGGTGTTGAAACAGGCAGGGATTGAGGCCGAGTTCATGGGCGAGGGAGTGCTCGTCTGCAATGGTGTGGTCGCGATCCGTAAGGTTGACCAGACGGGACAGATTCTGTTGGAGGGCTCGCCAATGACGAATGATTATTATCAAGTACGGCAATTGCTGTATAAGCAATTTGCTATTTTGTAAAAGAATGTCGTTTCGTTTTACCTCTCTCTCCTCATGCGGACAGTTTTTCTTTTTGGCTTCCGCCTGTAATAAAATAACAGTGCTTTCGTGGTACTTTCCTCTGTGCGCCTGCCTCTTTGGATGTGCCGCTTGACTATGCTCTATCGGGGGTGCCTTGTAATAGATGGACGCGCTTTTTTTTTATTTTATTTTTTTTTTGGCGCCTGTAGAATTTTCTCTTCACATGCGATGCTTATACATCTTTTTCTCTTCAACGAAAGCTCATAATGTTTATCATCAGCAAAAAAAAAAAAAAAAAAAAAAAAAAAGAATAATAGCAATTTACAATGACAATATAACAATAACAGCAAACAAGGATAACAGAGTACAATATTTATTGAGTTCTCCTTGAGAACATGCGTCGTGTCGTGTCATTTTGAACAGGGGAAAGGATTGGAGAGTTGAATTGTCCGAAGTGTTTTCGTGAAATTGGTATAATTGGACATGATAAGCAAATAGAAGGAAAAGAAAATGGGCGAGCAATGGTACACATGAAAAAGAAAGAAAATAACATATAAGCAAAAACAACAACAAGAACGAAGCAATGAATACAGCAACAACAACAGCAACAACAACAACAACAACAACAACAACAACAATAAAAAAAAAAAAATGCGGTTGAAATAAAAAAAACGAGTAGAGAAAACAAAGGACAACAACTACTGTGGAGCGTGAAAGTCGATAGAGGAGTAGTAATAGTAATAATAACAATAACAATAACAATAATATATATAAAAAGATAACAAAAAACAAACCATTAAACAACGGGGGGCTAGATGCTATCCCATCCATCTACCGATGCAGGCTTGACCACGAAGGCGAGAGCGACTCAGCCTTCTGATCTGAGAACGGGTCCATGTCCAGTAGACCCTCGTTCGAATCAAACGTCTTGAACGGATCGTTACTCGACGTCAACGACGGGATCGAATTCGTCCTGCTGATCGTCGATCGCGAAGGATAACTGGCGCCCGAAGGCAGATGATCCTGATAATACCGATCGTACTCCTGTTGCTGCAGCTCATACTGTCGCAGCCTTTCCTGGAACTCCTCCTCCGTGATCATCAAACTATCCGGGATACTCGATAGCGAGCCCGTTGTCTCTGTCATACTCTGCTGAAGCCCAAGAGACGAATTGCCCAAAGAGTTGAGCGTGCTCCTCCTGTACCGATACCGTGATGATGCGGCCCCGATGGTGTCGGCCATACTGGCGCCACTGCCCGCGGTTCTCAAACTAAGGATATCGGCCATACGGGATTCAGAGTCTCGGCCGCTGCTGCTGTTGATCGATCCTGCGTCGAATCCCTCTTCCAGATTCCGTGCTGCTGCTGATGATGATGACAGTGGCGGATACTCCTGTAACAGACGCTCTGCGCGCGCCTGCATCGCCGCAGCCCAGTACTTGCGGACCACAGAGGATGTCTCGAAATTAGAACGCGTCGATGTCATGGAATTGGTGCCACCGTACGAATCCGTGAATGGTGATGAGGCCATCCGCGTTTGAGGCGGCAATATTGGGGTCTCAAAATGTGCATGTGGTGGTACAGCGATCTGTGCAACATCCATGTCCGCGGCTGCTCTCGCGTTGTTGCTCCATTTCGATGTTAAACCTCCTCGGGATTCCCGCGCAGTCTCTAGATCTGTATAGCTTTCAGTGCCCGTGGAAATGCCCGCGGGGAGGATGCCCAAAGCTTTTTCGTCCAACCGTGTCGTTGTCGTTGTCGTTGTTGTCTCGACGTCGTCATCATCATCCCCATCATCTTCCATCTGATAAAAATAGCCCTCCTTTGGTTTACGCCCAAGTCGGAGTCTTCTCTTGGTCTCTTTCATAATACCCTCCGACGATCTCGATCGGGGAAACGCCTTTTTGGAACGGGTCGCCCCCGCAAACCCACAGATCCTGCGACGGCGCCGACTAATCACAAGCGAGGCCACCACGGCTGCCAGGCAAATCAGGATCAAGGCGCTGCAGATCGTGGCCCAGAGGGTTCTGACCCTCCGCCGTACTGTCCCATCCTCTGAGCCGCTTAAGGAAGAATCGCCGTTGGGTTGGGGTAGTGGCATCGAGGTCGTCACGGGGCTGGTGTCTCCATGGAATACTGAAGACGACTGGGATGATCCTCCGGAACCGTCTCCAGATCCGGGCGCAGAAGTCGATGTTGTAGTGGAGGGAGAAAGAGTGGTACTGTCGGGATTTGGGGAATATATGGCGCTGCTGACGGCTGTGGTGGTAGGGCTGCCGATGGTTACGGCCTCTGTGCTTGTGTCTGTGCTAGATATGGATGGCTGTGTAGGGACTAATGGGGCGATGGGCTGGATAGTGGTGGTTGGCGTGTGCGTAGTGGTGGTCGTTGGTGTCCCAATCCTGGGTATCCTCGCCACACCCGAACTTTTGGTCGAAGGTGTAGGCGAGGGCGGGGACTCTGAGGAAGATGGAGAAGGGTCAATAGGGGGCATGAAGGGCTGAGGCGGAAGAAGCTGTGGTTCGAGCATAGGGGCCTTGATTGCAAAGTCGCACTTGTCCTGTTCAAAGTCGTATCCGAGGAAGCTTGATCCCTGGGCGAGGAGTTGGATGGAGCCGGTGGTGGCCTCGGGGCCGCAATCTGGTAGCCTGAAGGCATACTGTCCTGCGGGTGGTTGGATCTGCATGCCTGTGAAGAGAGTCTGGACCGATCGCCAGACGCCGGTGTCGGGGCCGTCAGCGTCCATGCAGTAGAGGTCTGCGGAGAGGGTGTCGAAGATGAGCTTGTCGAGGTCGGAGACACGCCAGACGAGGATGAGGTTCTCGCCTGGCTGTACGGCGGTGGAGGTGTCGGTCGGGGATACACAAGAGATGGCAGCGGCGAGGGGGGAGAGCAGAAGGAAGGGGAGGATGCAGAGGAGGAGGAGATGGGGCCGTAGAGAGGGGTGAGGAGGAGGACGGGAAGATGGAGCGGATGGTGTGGAGGAGAAGGAGGAGGGAGCTGCTGCGGGCGGGAGTGGAAGTGGAATATCCGGTGGCATGTGTGAGTATGTGTGGGTATGTGAGTGGGTGTACAAGTCGAGTGTGTGGGGGCGAAGAGCGGGGTGTGTTGTGGTGCGGATGTATGAAGAGTAGCGGGGACAGGCGCAGAAGAGAGGCGGGAGAGCAATTAGGAAGCACACAGAGGGGGGGGGGGAAGAGGGGGGAGAGAGAGGGGGAAAGAGAGATAGGAAGTAAAAATAAAACAGAGGGAGAGAGAGACAAAGAGAGCAGCCAAGGAGGGGGGATAGAGGGAATGAGATTCGACCGAGGAAGCAAAGAAGACGACAAAGACGGAGGCAAAGGAGCGAATGAACAAAGTGGATGAATGAGTGGATGAATGAGAGTGAATGAATGAGGGTGAATGAATGTGAGTGAGTGAATGAGCGAGTGAATGGAGTGGGTGTGAAAAGTGATCAGCCCAGCAGTCGAAGGAGAGGAGGAAAAAAGAAGGAAGTGAGACGAGCAATAACGTTATTTGAGGGGGGAAACACGGTAATGGTAATGAAAATGGAATATGGAAATGGAAATGGAAATGGAAATGGAAATGGAAATGGAAATAGAGAGGGGGTGGAACCAGCCCTCTGGGACAACAGACAAGAAGAACATGCAGACAACGTGCGCACTTCCATTTCATTCGATTCATTCGGCTCCTTCGATGGGATGGCCCTTTTGCTGCTTTTCCTTATTTATTTACTACTCCACTGCTGCGGTAGTCCATGGTGCCATGCATCCCCATTCCATGTTGCCTACCTAGTCTATCAGCCTAACTGCACCATCTACCTGTCTCCATCCGTGGCCTTGACTCTCTGCCCCATCCTTCTCTCCCATCAGGACGCTTTTGTTGTTGTGTGCGTGTGTTTGTTTTGTTTGTGTGCTTTTGTGTTCGTGTGTTCGTGCTTTGTCTGTTGATTGCAGCTTTTGTCCATGGGCGTCTCTTTATTTCAGACTATTTATTTAATTGCTCCGTGTGTATCGCAATCTGCCTCATTTTGCGTCCTGTGCCGAAAACTCGTACATACAGGCACGAAACAATAGAAGCGGGACTTGGGCCCTATTGGCGGCTGAACGAAGTAAGAGGAGGAATAGGAAGAGGAGGGGGAATTGAGAGCCAACATTCTTCTTTTTTAAGAAAGAATCTACAGTTAGACTGCCTGAATAAAATATAACAGTGTAGCGTGAGAGTACTGGGCTCACGTCGTTTTATTCCTCCCTCTCTTTTTTCTCTCGATACACGGCCTCTATCCATGGGTAGATTTAGATGAATCATTAGTTTTTTGTGCTAGCCTACTTTTTTTATATGTCCACCCAATCGTTTATTAGCAAACAAAAAAATGTAAGGTCAAAGGAGGAAAGAGTGAGAGAGACACAGGAGGGGGGGGGGGGCCTGTTCGCGCGTCCAAGTAAAGTGAAAGAAGTTGTTTCAAGATTGGCCATCTCTCGATAATTTCTCATTGTAGAAAGACCGCCAAACCTACACTCCCAACAAATACTAGCGCTCCGCACAAGTTCCCTCCCCATTCGATACATACTTTTGTGCCCGCATCCGAGATCAACCTCTGTCTCTCTGTCTGCCTGCCTGCCTGCCTGTGAAAGTCCGTTGCAACGTGAATGGCTGGGAATAGAAAGAAGCGGACATGTGTTTCCCAAACATTTACTCTGCAGCGCAGACGAGCGAAGTTGGGGGGAAACAAATAAGAGCAAGCGTACGTTGGTATGTGCCTCGTCCGTCCTTATGTCCTTTGGTATGACCATACTTTGATGTGCTACAAAGCATCAGAAGGAAAACGACATGCAAGCAAGCAAGATGTCCCAGTGATAATGCACGACATATAACGCTCCGAGAACCACTTGTGATTCTTGTCCTTGTGTACCTCCTCCATTCCTCCTTATTGGTGGAGCAAAACGCGTGTGCCTGTTGACATGGTGCATGGTCCACAAAATAACCCATTGGGGGCTTCTTCTCCCTCTTTTCTTACTCTCACTTTCTTTCTCTCGGATCCGACTCAACTCGACTCGGTTCGACTGATAGGCCGGTATCTCCTACAATCTCTGGGCGCCACCTATCTGTCGGAAAGCCAAAAAGAATCGGCCTCTGCAAAGACGCCGTCTAGTACGTTCTTTTCTTTTACTGTCGCCATTTCTCTATTTCATTCTCTCACGCTCTTGGACAATGTGATTTGCTCACGCCAAAACAAACAAACACTCCAAAGAAAAATAAAAATGCATGCATCAGAACCATGGCGAAGGAGAATAAAGTCAGAGAGCGAATCGTCGGAGAGGCGAACCTTCCGTAAACGTGCCTCCCATCTGAGCACGATAACCTTTTATCCTGTTTTCGTGCGGGGAGCAGCCTTTTTTTTTTGAACATACCATAGAATTGTAGGCGATCTGGATCACGTATCGGAACTAGCGAGCCATCGGGAAGAAAGAAAAAAAAAAAAAAAAAAAGGCGCATATTTTAAACAGCATGCTGATGATCGATCAGTCACCATTGGGTCTATTGATAGTCTAGTCGAGAATACTCATTTTAGCGTCGGGGCTAGTCTGGTTGTGGAGCCGCGCTGTAAACAACAGGGGGGTATGCAAAGAGACGCGTACACATCTACACTCGGGAATGAAATAGAGAAGTATGAATAGTGCATGATTAGAAATCAGGGGATGATGGTTCCAGAGGTACAATAGACTGTTACTATACATTCTGGGTATCTGGGTAGATACATAGACTACCTCTTGCTATATAAAATGCCGGAGTCTTGAGCGGGGTTTCGCGCACATGTTTGTGGGACGTTTTATTATGAAGAGCACTTTCACTTTGCGCGGTGTGAGATCTCTCGTGGCCACTTTTGAAATTACTCCGAAGGCAAAAAAGAAATGGAGATGGAGTCTAGTTCGCCGCGAACATGGTATCAAATTCACGCGATATCTGTGACTCTTCCCTCTGAGCAACTACAGCGTCCATCGACAGGGGAGTGAATATGTTTATGAATGCTGCTAAACACGTTGAGGGGGGGTTTTTTTTTATTTTCACACGAAGGTGATGCAGCGTCCATGTTGTTGTTTTTCATAATTTTGCCCGTTTTGTTCTGGTTGTTATTGTGGTTGCGCAGGCGTGTTTGCAGGTATATCTTATTCACGCGTGAGTGAGCTGATGACCCTTCAACGCGCGAGGGTATATATACTTTTGCAAGAGTGTAAAATGAACTCCTTAGATTTTGGGAGTTTTGCCTGGGCTTTACAGCTTGCTAGCTGCCTTTTGAGGGGTTTCAATTGGGGTGTGCAAACGGACTGCAGTTGCTGCGATCTATCGGCCTAATGCAGCGACACGAGGTTATTCCGGGGTTGTGCATGAAGTAGGGATGAATGCGCCCTTGTTTTTCTCCGCCCAACAAGGCTTGGACTCCTGCACGAGAAAGAAATACGAAAAGGCGGGGTTTCCTTGAGGCTGTCGTGTGCGAGAGAGATCATCAGTCATCCAGGGGCCTGCAGATACTAAAAAAAAAGAAAAGAAAAGAAAGTCCCCTCGTGTCTAAAAGCAGGGGGTGCAGGGCTGTAAGTTGAGTCGTTGGCTTGCAGCTGTGTGCATTTCATTTCAAAAATATGAAGACACCAGACAGTGCGCGCGTGTGTGGTACTCTTCGAAGCCATAAAAGCATTCCCCCCCCCTTTCTTGCGTGTTTCTCAAGAAACAGTTGGCCTGGTAGATGCCCCAACAGTGAATCCTGCGTTAGGACGCTGTGAAGGAAGACGAGACTGAGAGCAAACAACCTGCGCCTTACATCCTTTTCTCCCCCAGCCTCATAGTCTACATGGGGTAGTTCATAATCTTTGTTGTGAATGCATGTACACACACATATCTTGTGTCCCCGTTCGCTACATCAATCGGATGTAAATCCGAACGAGGATTAGGAGAACACGAGAACAACGCCGTCGAACCTTGTCCGTGATGAGAACATCATGATAAATAGAGACGTATAGGGCGGGAGAGAGACATACCGAGGCGGAACGAATGTATAGCACACATTATTCGACTGAGATGGTAGAAGAAGGTCGCCGTGTCGGCCGTATTCATGGAGTCATACGCGGAACTAACGCCATGACGGCATATACGCAGGCGTGAAGCTAGGGTGGGAAGAATCCTAAAAGGATGGTTCTATCGCGTAGTCTCTCACCTGTTTGTTGATTGTGCGCATGAACTCTGCATCATCGCTGAGAAAATAAATAAATAACAAAGCCAGACAATGGCACAAAAAGAACCCAGACGAACAGAGCGTTGCTGCATGCGGCGTGGTCTAATGTAGACGTGCAACAAGAGAAGAGAACGCAAACAAACACAATGAGATGATGGTGGGCCCAGAGCCAGCTTGATGACGACTTTAGACTAGTTTTCGTTGAGAGCTGGATAAGATGATGTGTAAGCAGTCGAAAGACTAAGTACAAGGTAGATTCGTGCATATTCAGCAAGAGCGATAGTCGACAATAACCATGCATTTGTGTTCTGGGTGGTTCTTTGCAGGGGGGCTGGCTGTGAAAGGATGATTTTTTTTTTTTTTTTTTGGAGGGAACAAGCCAAACTCGGCTGTAGCCCTTGCGCAAGCAAAACGCAACAGCTTTACTTAGACAGAACCCCATCGGACCAAAAGTCGACAGCATCCAGGATGGGCGAGGGGGAGCCACGTTGCTTTGCAGCATTGGCTATTGCTGCAAATGGGGCCCAAAACAAGACACGTCTTTCAAATAAAAAAGAAGATTCTATGGCAGGATGACCATGGAGATAGCGACGCAGCCCCATGCTTATGGTCAAGCGACAGGGCGTAGGCGTAGAAAAACTGACCGTGGCCTCTTTGTTTTCCCACACGGAACAGGAGACATGTTTAGTAGAAAAGTCGCCCACGCCCTACTCCTGTGAGTATTGCCCGTGAGGCTGATTGGGTGGGTTGCAGAGGGTCCAATGTACGATAGGGTCATCGTCGCCGGGCGTCTGCCTCCGTCTCTTCTTCCTGTCTCCCTGTCCCCCTGTCTCCTTGTCTTCTTGTCTTCTTGGCGCTCTGATTTCTTTCTCCACTTGGTTCAATTCCTCATTTGCTACTCACCCTGCTCACTTCCTCGTCAGCTCTTCTTATTCCCAAAGTAATTATCGATCGCATTGAAAGAGCATTCAAAAACAGAGCCTTGGCCACCTCTTCGGCAGAAACACACTCTCTCTTTTGTTTTCTCACTTCCTCCCAACTCCCTCACACCCACTCCCTTCCCACACCACCAACGGCCTTCCTGCCTTATCCCTTCCCTTCCCTACAGCGTCTTCGCCTGTGCCTCCCTCAATTGCATCCACATTCCTTTTTTGCATCTGTTTCCCCCCGGCTATCGGCTGTCCCTGCATAGGTAATTGTCCCCGGACTGAGTGATAATTCAGCCTCTGCCGCTGCATTCTGGTTTCGGCCCATTGGCCATTTGTTCACATGAACTCTTCCTTTTCGCTTGCCGTCTGCGCTGATGTCCATCCTTCCTTGCCTTGTTATATAACATTTCATCCTCCTACGTCCCTCTGCAACGACCGCACGCACTTACTCATCATCTACCCTCTCCCTTCCTATCCCTCATGAAAACTCCTCTTCTTTTCCACACTCAATTCTTAGACTATCTATCAATGACCTCCAGGTCTTCAACCCACTTCATGACGACACAGGACACCATGACTCCAATGATCCCAGTACCCGCAGCAAAGAAGGTCATCCCTTTCCCAAACATATCGACCAGTCCTCCTGGCTCCGCTGCTATGGACAATGCAACCATGGGCCATCCAACAGCGTCGCCCAGCTCCAGTTCATCCTCGGTCACCTTTTCATCCTCGGCTGCTTCTTCGCCCTCCTCCTCTACACTTTCGCTCCCTCCCCCGGCCGTCTCCTCGGACAAGGGCAAGGGCAAAGGCAAGGGTAAGGCGACAGCCTCTGCGTACGAGGAGGATGATTGTTGTTACGAAGAGAGCAGTGGCAATAATGGCTCGAGAGGCAGAGCCTTGTTTTGCACAGGATTACAAACCAATCAGAACGCAGACAATGTTTGTGCAACCCAGTCATCGGATGCGCTTCTTCCCATGAACAACAACAGTAACAACAGTATTACACATCAACAATCCCAACCACAACCACAACAGCAGAAGGGCGGCGAACACCTCCAATATCCTCATAAACCACATACAGAGGACCATGATCACCCCCCTTCCGCCGGTATCTCCAGACCAACGACCGTCTCGGCTCTGACAGGCAAGGGCAAGGCATCGCGTGCCATGACCAGCTATCCCGGAACCATGGTTTATGACCCCAGCGAAGGATCAGGCTCCGGATCTTCGCGCTCTCGATTCGCTTCTGCCGCTGCACAGTCCTCATACCTAACCGATCTGGACAACGGCGATGCTGGCGGTTCCAGCTCCGGTTCAGGATCTGGGTCAGGATCAAGTTCAAAGCCAGTCCTCAGCCGCGCCATGACAGGTCCAGCCTCAATGCAGCGTCCGTTTTTGACATCGGCAACCTCATCGTCAGCCATCCCACCTTTGCCCAGCTATTCGAGCTCGACACCCGAGGAGAAGAAACTGAGCGACCAAGACCTGGCGCTCCTCAGCTACGACGCCATTCCAGCCGACTTTGATTTCGGCGATCTGCCATTCTATGACACGGACCCAAGGACCGGCCACATCTATGGTGATCCTCATGCCATCACACGCCCACATCTCATTCCCGAGAAGCACTTTGACCTCTACCGATTCAACTATGATGAGTCCGATCCTCGGAGGACCAATATCTTCAACAAGCACAACGCATTATTGTACTACCATCCTGGACGACACATTGGGCAGGAACAGGATTCATTGCGGGCGAACACAAATAATCAGCCTCTCTGGAACATGGTAGGGCGGACATCGACCTGGGGTACATTGACAGCGACTGAGATGTTGACCAAGCGACAGATCAAGATCGTGATGGAGAATAACAAAAAGAAGGCTACAGCCGAGTCGTCGAGCGAGCCGATCTCCCGGTTCGTCTTCCGATGGAAAGCGGATGATTTTGTGGTCGAGTACAGGAAGCACAAGGATCAGTACCGTATTACTTGCTTCCAGATGTGTGGGGGCGAGTCCAAGTGGAAGCCACCCCAGCCCAAGCCGACGCAGACGATGTTCCATGGCATGGGCATGGATACCCCCGGAAATGTTCACATCCCCATCACAGTGGGTTCACCCTCACCTTTCGATCCCACGCGGTATCTGCAGCTGATTTCAGAGTACCGATTGAATTCTGGTCCGGTTCAGAAGCGCGGAGTGTTTGAGCTGTACAACCCAGACACGTTCCCGGCCGAGTTTAGGAGCTTCCTGATGCTGGTCTCGCTCGTCATCCTGGATGTGGTGCGGCCGTTCGATGACAAGCAGTTCTACAGAGAGTTCCCAGATGCAGCGCTCAAGAAGTTGGCGGTTTCTGGTACGGGTGGGCTCCATACTGCGGGGGGTCCGGTACTGAACGGTCGTCCGGCTCTGATGGCGGTCGTGGGCCAGCTGGGCTCAATGTCTGGGTCTTCGCTGGCAATGGACCAGAGCAATGTGAGCTCGGCGAGCATGAAGGCCAATGCTGTCGCTATGGTGGATGTGGGTCCGACGACGATACCGACTGTCAAATCTACGACACGGTCAAGGAGCATGACTCTTCCTGCCATTGTCGCTGCGCCTACTAGAACTCAGACCGCTCCTGCGGTTCCTTCTGTTATGGCCAGCAAGGAGAAGAACACCAAGATGTCGCGATGGGGAAGCTTTTTCAAGAAATAAGCACTTTTTCTTGAAATAGTGTGTTCTGTCTGCTCCATTCTTTGTCATGTTTTATACCCATCCTTCGTTTGCTACCATTACTATTACTAACTTCCACTGCTACTATTACAATTACTGCCACTATGGCTGTTACCACAATCTTCTGTACATCAACATCAATATCTTTAGTAAAGTCTCTCAGCATCTAATGCTTTCTACAATGGTCTTTTGCTTTTTCTTGTCTCTGCTTTGTTCATTGAAAGAAAAAAAAAAATCAAATCGGGTATGCGGTTGTAGCGAATGTCATGCTGTTTAGTTGTCGTTTGGACCCTTGGTCCTGGCTTCCCATTCGATCCACGATCCAGGGTAATGACGCACACGAGTGTAGCCTAGTTCCTTTGCCTGTCCGAACGCCAACCTGGAACGACGACCGGATCTGCAATAGAAAATCACTTCGTCGTCCTTGTCGAATCGTTTAAACCCTAGATTCATACGAAATTTTTTTAGTCGGGCATGTGCAGTTTTTTTTTTTCCTATCTTTCCCATTGGAATTAATGACTTTTACCGTATTCGTTCTCGAATTCCAGATCTGATAAGGAAACCAAGGCTTTGTTGAGAGATCCTAGTGGGATGAGTTTTGCAGTAGGGATGATTCCGAGGGCGGTCTCGTTTGGGTCGCGGACATCGATCAATGGTACCTGAAGACGAATAGTCGAGTACAAAAAAAACATGCGCACACACGAGGCCGTTAGATATGGCGCATTGCTTTGCGAGTTGAATCTGACTCACTCTCACACACTCTCATACTCTCTCCCACTCTCTCTTTTTGTGTCTCTCTGCCGTGGTCGCAGATCGTTTAAACAAGGTATATCGTATCAGGAATCCAAACCGTACTTTGCTCCCATGCTGCTGTGAGAGTTCCAAGACCTCTTCGAATGTTGCCTCTTCCTGCTTTGCACCTTGTCCTGTAGTTGCGTGGTATGGGGCGGCCATGGTATATATCTTTTGTCTTGTGGAGTGGAAGTAGGTGGTGAGAGGATCGAGAGAGAGAGAGAGAAAGAGAAAGAGAAAAAGAAAAAGAGAAAAAAGGGAAAAGTCTTGTGCATGCCAATTTTATCACAGGCGTCTCGGCACAAAGTTCTACGAATCGAAGATCGAGAAACACAAGTGAAAAAAAAGGACGTTGACGACAAGGGCCTTGATATTGCGCCATCGTTGAGAACCCCCAGCAAGGGACCGTTCGACGCGCTGTTTCCTTACTCCACACTTACTCCACACGAAAAAAAAAGAAAAAAAGGATTCTAAATTGGTGGCGCATTCTTTTTATTTATTCATCGTCCCATCACCCCCCACATTCTCCTCTAGCTGTTCACAAGCTGTTCGCTAAACGACGAATAAACAATCGCCGAGAACGCCTGCAGCTCCTTGACCATCGCCAAACTCTCGACATACTCGTTCGGGACCCCATTGATGATCAAATGCACCTGCCGCGCGATCAACGGCAACAGCGTGGCCAGCGGTACCGCCCGATCGACATCCTCCTCGTCCTCAATCTCCTCGATCCCACTCGTCATCCTTGGTGGAGATAGCAGGAAAGGGTTGAACGTCGGCTGGAGTGCCAGATTGAACCGTGCAAACGTCGTGGACGCGGTCGAGGCGAGGACGGTTGCAAAGTCGGCGCTGTCGATGAAATCCCGTGTCTCGTCCAGCAGATTACGAAGTACCGGGTCCACAACCAGGTCGAATTCATCCACACCACCTGCCCTGAGCACCTCACGTTCCTCTGTGGGGTCGTCAGGCAGCATGTATTCACGCATGCTGTGTGATGCAGGTATATTCAATGAGGAAAATTGTTAAGTAGGGACAAACAAATCCCCTTTCAGTTTTTAGTCTCGAGGATCAAAAAGTCCAAAGGGGTGTGAACTCACCTAACAGGGACACGCTTGCCATCTTCCTCGGTGTACTCGAGTCGGGCGCGGATTTCGCCCAATAGATCTGAAAACTCCTTGGCATTGAACGTCCTCTTCAGCGAAATGCTATTTTCCCCAAGATCAAATCCAATTAGGATCACATTCCGCATAAAAAAAAAACAAGCTCCTTTCAAATGATCGACAGCGGCTTACCTTCCAACGACATCCTCAATAACCATTCGGACCTTCTCGCTCCATCGGCGCCATCCCTCGTGCAGGAGCCAGTAACTGAACGTCAGATACTTCTTCTCAGTTTGAAAGTCCAACAATCCGTTTGTCGAGGTCAGCGATCCCTTGGTCGAGGGCGATTCCATGCGGTAGGATGCGTCCGTAGTATTGGAGAGCGCCACCACCGAAGACACATATGTGAATCGGCCCAACAGGTTGAGTTGAACCTGAGTGAGCAGTGTCAAGAATGTGAGCGAGTAGAGCGCGGTGACGGTGCGAGTGAACGACATGATCTTGAGCTCGTTCCAGAGTTCCAGCTTGGTGCGGCGATCCATGGCTGCCTGGACCTCGTCCTTGATCAATACTGGCGCTGGTGCTGGTGCTGCTGATGGAAGGTCCGTTGAGGTTTCTTCGGCTGTGGCTGCTGTTGGGGCGGAATCCTTCTCCTCGGGTTGTGTTTGGATCTCGGGTGCTGATCCGTTGGCAGTTATTCCCTCATCAGAAGCCTTCTTTGCGACGGTCTCGGAGACGGTGTTGTCAGCCTCTGTTGTACCGCCGTTGACCTTGGACTGCTCTTCCGATTCATGCTGTGAATCAGGATTTTCTTTTCCTGACTCTTGTTCGTTCTTCTTTTCCGTAGCCTCTTCCGTCTGCCTCAGCTCCTCTGCGGCCTCGGTCTTTGGTGTCTCGCTGTTCTCATCGCCATTGGCGATTGCTTCAGCTGTTGTCGTAGTCGCGGTAGTTGTCGCTGTCGCTACTGCTTCACCTTCTGCAGGTTTGGGTGGCAAGATCATGGAGCTGTCTGGTGTGGGCATGGGGGTCGAACGCTGGGACCTGGTCTGTTGCAATTTGACGGTGATCAGTTCAACATTGAGCTCATGAAGCAGCTGATCGCCAAGTGTAGGGAGGAGCGAGAGCACTGTGAAGACGCAATCCTGCTGGTTCTGCTCGAACCGACGCTTCATGCTAGTGATACAAGTTTTAAGCCGATCACATATTCGGAGGGGAAGCGGCAAAACGGTGCGAAATTTAATTGATCCAGACAAAGAATATTGTATTAGCCAAAGGAGCTGTGAAAGGGTAGCAAAAGTGTGGAGGAAACAGACGACATTTGAGCGTGGAAGACAACACGAATAACCAGTTGCGCGTTACGACTTACTTTTCCTTGGCGGTCCGGTCGGCGGCACCCTTCTCCTGGAACTCGATCAGTTTGTTCTTGGCGTACTTGCCCATCAAGTAGATGCCGCCTGTCACTCCGGCGGTTACAGCCAGACCGCGGCGGTGCCTACTGACGAATCCCTGGACTGCAGATATCATTGAATTGTGTACGTCTCTGTTCTGTGACCGGGAAGAATGAAGGAAGCTGGCGAGGGAGGTGAAGTACGATTGCGAGGAGGACCAAGGGGACGTAGGAACAGAGGAATGAGAGAAAGAGAGCGGGGGGCGAGAGAGAGAAAGTGTGTGTGTCCTTCGGTTCTGGTCGTTCCTTGGCTCGGTTGGCTAAACTTTTTTTCTCTCGCTCTCTGTGTTGGTCGATGGAATGGAAGGAGATTGCACGTGAGAATGGATGTGAATTTAATTGAATATCCTCACGCAATTAGAGAGGGATGTGACGCTGTAACTTTCCTTTATCGCGCTGAGCGTTCTCGACTTTGCTCTCTCCACACCACTTTCATTACCTTCCCACCGCCACTCTCATTCTTGCTCCCATCCAACATACTCCCATTCATTCATTTATAGCCACCCATGGTACGTCTCAACACACTCTGCAGCATGTATAAAGGAAGTCTCGCCGATAACTAGGACAAAAGTGACCTAAAACCGAACTCTTTATCGTCTGTAGGAAGGAAGACACGGACAAAAAAAAGAAAAGGCCGAGTCGCCAGAGCTGCTCAAGGCCAGACAAGAGCGCGAGGCTGTTCTCGTGAAAGAGTACCGTGGCCTCAAAGATTCGCTCAAGGAGATCGTAAGTCAAAGTCGAACCCACGTTGTTTGCTCTGCATTTAACGCGTTGCTTTCGATAAAAACGCGATGGGCTCATTTTACAGGTAATTCTGATCATCTTTTGGATCTATAACTGTGCTTTCTTGTAGGTTGACTCCAAGAAGAGAGATAACGATGCTCTTCGAACCACGACGGCGTTGCTCCGGAAGAGTCCTGACTATTATACTATCTGGAACGTGCGGCGAATCATTCTTCAAGAGGGGTTCCTCAACAGCGCGTAAGTCGGTCTTTCGTTCAAAGCAGTGTGGATTAGCATGGCGAGTATAACAGGCATTTCTGAGGACAGCCAACAAACAACGATGGCATTTTTGTCTTTGATCCGAAATAGGAATGAAGAGACCGCCGATAAGATCTACACCAATGAGCTCGAGTTCGTGCAAGAGAATTTGAAGCTGAATCCAAAGTCGTACTTTATGTGGAACCATCGCCGATGGTGTCTCGAGCACATGAACAAACCTCGTTGGGACAGAGAGTTGGCCATGGTTAACAAATTTCTCGAGCTGGATGCACGTAATTGTAAGTCTTCATTGACCCTTCAGTGTCTCTGGGCTGACCGATAAGACAGGCTTGAGTGATGATGTCATTCTGATAGCGCCTATGTCTCCCGCTAGCGCTACTGTTCGTTTCCGTTGGCCATATTTGTACTCTGCGACTAACATATTTCACCCGTCGTCTTTTCTGCAATGCATTAGTCCATGGATGGGATTACAGGAGATATATTATCAGACAGTTGGATCTGCAGGATAAGGGCTCATGTGACAAGATCCTCGAGCGCGCACAGGCAGAATTTGACTTCACAACCACAAAGATCAGTCAAAACTTTTCCAACTACTCTGCATGGCACAACAGGAGCACTCTCCTTGGCAAGCTGGCCGAGGACATGACGGAGGACGAAAAGATGGCTGCTGTTGACAATGAATTTGATCTTGTCAAGAATGCCATCTACACGGATCCTGAAGACCAGAGCGCATGGCTGTATGATCTATGGCTCATTGGACGAGGTACATCCCCTTCTCATCCTGGACGTGGAGCTCAACACAGTCAGGCTTTCTCAAGCCATCGGCGCTTATCGTTAATATTGGCTTCTTCTTTTTTTTTTTTTTTTTTTTTGTCTGTGAAATAGAGGAGAGAAACGTCTCGATTCTGGGCGCCACCGTCATTTCATTCCACCCTCTAGAGGTCGTGGTTGCGTTTGATGAGACGGTCAAGCTGCATACCCCACCTTCAGTCTCTACAATGCTCGACGAGACTCCGGTTCGACTTCAGGGAGAATGGAAGGCCACAGGAACAGACTCTACGGTCGGCGCCTTATGGATCTTTCAGCAGACATCTGGCACTGCATATGGACCAACAGTTGAGTTTATCATCTTCGAAGACGACGTTATTCCTACAAGGACAGGAGGACGACTCGCGTCAGCCGTATGCTTTGAACTGGAGACATTGCAACAGAACTTGAGCGAAATCTCTGGTCGGCTGTCACGATTGGCTATTGGGCAGAACCTAATGTACGACGTTAGCAAGCGCATTGGATCTGTTCCACTTCCGGACGGCACGCTGACTCCTCAGAAAACGGGCCGCAAATACCGGGTGACCTCGTTGACGACCTCAGATTCGCTTCAGGACAGAGTGCAATTGCTAGAGCGCGAGATTGCAGTGGTCAGAGAGCTTGTCGAACTGGAGCCAGATTGCAAATGTAAGAAGGGCGCCAAGGTGTTTGTTATTTAATTCAAGGATACAAACGACTACTTTATTCTGACAGATACAATCTTCTGTCATATTGTAGGGGCGATCCAGATCCTTTCAACGCTACTGTCTGATCTGCGCCAGACCGTCAGCATCCAGTCGGCACAAGCCAAGCAGATTGATGATGAGTGCATTGAACTGCAGGAAAAGCTGATCTCCATCGACCCTCTGCGCCAGGAGCGATATGAAGACCGCTGTAGGTTTTCTCAATCCCAAGCGCTATCTCTTTGATTTATAATTCCAGTCCTAACAAAGGCCTTTTATTGTTGCCATTACTATTGCTCTACTGCAGGTACACAGCTGGTCTTTGACCGCGAGACATTGCATATCATCAAGGACTCGAAACGCTTCCCCGAAATTGAGTTTGCGGACGAACAGTCGCGAGATCTAGATTTGTCGATGCGTGGATTAACACATATCCCGATCTCATCCTATTTGATGCACCTACATACGCTGAACCTGGACTCGAATGCGATTACGTCGACTCGTTTCCTCCGCAACTTAATTAATGTGCGCCAAGTGATCCTGTCCAACAACCTGATCAAGCAATTGGAAGGTGTCCAGCACTTGCCATGTATTGAATTCTTGTCGTTGGAGAACAATCAGATCGCCAAGTGGGAGGATGTGGTGGCAGGATTTGTGTTCTGGAGAGAGGGTAAGGTGGGACGCACTGGCGGACATGTCAAGGTTCTGTTGGGACACAATCCTGTGGTCGAGAACGAGGGTGGCGAGTATGTGCTGGAGAAACGGTGGGAAGGTGTGGGTGAGGTCGGGGTTGAGATCCAGTGGCAGGGCGAAGATGTCCGATTGGCGGAGGAGGCGCTTATCATGGCCGAGGGTGTGGAAGCGATTGGACCAACAGTCCTGGAGGGTACCCGACGCGTCAGTACTACGGTTGTGGAGTTTGATGCGGGCACAGCACTGTGATATATGCCCTGGTTGTAAAATGGAAAACGAAAGTAGAGCTAGGTTGACCTGGGCCCTAAACTCGTGGGCCCTCAGACATGTGTTCAATAGCGCAGCATTCGTTGTTCGTGTACACTGATCAAGCCGATTAATAATAATCAAAGACGACCAAAAAAAAAAAAATACATTGGCATGCAACGACATGCAGCGCTGTAGGCTCAAAGGAGAAATAGTCTGGACCAATGCAAGGGAATTGGGTGAGGGAGACGCGCTAAAAAAAAAAATGAATGAATGCGAGTGCTTGATGCGTGCAGGAATTTTTTTATAAACTGTATTTTTGGGTCTCAGTTCTCGGGAAGAAACCTCGGTCAATTGGCTTGAGTGGAGAAGAAGACGAGGAATGAGAAGGGTTCTTATCGGGGACATATTCACCTTGTGGCATGGCATGTTGTCTTTGTACTCGCACATTTATTTTCTCCGAAAAAAATGTGTCCCTTGCAGCGGTTGCACAATCGGATAAATCGGTGAGGGGTTGTGTCGGCTGTGTTCGATCGTGTCGGTTGTGTTCGGTCGTGTCGGTTGTGTTCGATCGTGTCGGTTGCTCAGTCAGGAGAGGGGAAGGAGCAGACATCTAGCGTTGGATAGAGATAAGAACAAGGCAACTACACTTAGGGGTGATGGCGATTGTCTTCCTCCCTGGGATGTTTAGTTATTTATTTAATTGTTTTCCCGTTAATGCAGATGCAGACTTACAGGACAGAGACGTGCAGCGAAGGAAGGAAAGGGATAGACTAGGGAGCATGCAGTGTCGACGAGGGCAAGTAGATGCCAGGGGAAACCCCAGGTGTACTGTGAAGTGAAAGAGAGGACAATGATAAAAGCGTCAACGACGTGCTCTGCTGCTTGATGAGCGCGAGATACAAACGAGAGATGTATGTGGGAGATGAATGAAATGAATGGAAATAGCAAGGGAGATGGGAAGCAAATGTATGCATGCAGGAAAGGTAAAAAGGGAAAAGGGTACCTGCTACAAGATGATCCAATGGTGTCTCTTACACACGCGCGCAGCGCGTATATACCAGCATGGACACTACGTTAGTAACCTCGACTGTTGTTTTCGATGAACAAGCAGATGATAAAAGATGCCTTTCATATAGGCTGAGATAAACGATACAATTTACAAAGTACGATGTACGATGGTGGCCGATGTGTATCGTTGTGTGTCGATGTTTGTGAATCCAGCCCCTCCCCCTCTCCCTGACTTTTTTTGTTCACGCACACCAACAACCAACATCCAATAACCAATCCAGGCCCTGGTTGTTGTATATGAACGTGTGTGTGTGTGTGTGTTTGTTTTTGTTTTGTCCTATCACGTCCTCAAATGAATGTCGTGGTCGCACATGTACCATCTATCCCATCCCATCCCATGTCCCCATGTCCCCCTCATATCCCACTCATGGAAACAAACGACTGGATGAGGGTGTGTATGTGCGTTTGTGTCCCGCCACCTATCCTGCTGTAACCACATTCGAGCAGGAAACGGATCATCTCTGTACCCGTACCTGGAGCTGCAACTGGAGGCTGTGAATCTGTCAACCCAGTCTGGCCTGTTCTCCAACCCTGTTCAGCCCCATTCAGTGCGTCCCCCCACTCCTTCCTCTATCTCTCCCTCTCTCTTTTCTTTTCTTTCATCCATTCTATCCCTCCCAACTCCTCTTCCTCCTTTTCTCCTTCTCTCCTTCTCCCTCTCCCTTTCCCTCTCCTTCCCCTTCTCCTTCTCTCTCTCCTCTCCCTTCTCCTCCCCCCCTCCTCTCCTTCGTCTTTCTTCCATGTGTTCTGTGCAGTGAAAAGAGATATGTTCACCCCCCCCATTTCAACAAAGGTAAACTCTACTTTCCCTTTCTTCCTGCTTGCATCTCTCCTTTCTTTTCACTATCCCCTCTCACTCTCACTCTCTCACACACTCCCACACTCTCTTAATCTCTCGCTCACTATCTCACTCATTTTCTTTCATATCTCGCCTTCAATTGCTCTTTTCATTCTCCCGCTCTTTCATTTTTCTGTCAGTTAACGTTCATTCCTCCGCAAAGAATGTGCGCTCTGCGCTACCGCTGATACCCCGCTGCCCGTCTTGCTCACCTTCCCTCCCCGTGCATTCTACTGTCTCCTCTCTCTCTCTCTCTCTCTCTCTCTCTCTCTCTCTCTCTCTCTCTCTCTCCTTAGCACACAGATCTCCTATACCGTATACCCATTCACTCGCTGTCCCCAACTGATATAGGCCACCACAATGTCTCCCTCGTATCCCTCGACCTCATCCCCGTCCTGCACACGCTTCACGCCCTCCATGCCCCCAGAATGTCTGGAACGCATCGTCTTCCACGCAGCACAGGATCACCGTGTTCTCTCAACGCTGATGCAAGTCAACTCCACCCTCTTCCGCATCGCAACACCCTATCTCTACCGTGAAGCATTCATATTTAAGTTTGGAGACGAGTTCCTCCTCGACTGGGACACCGAGGCATGGACTCAGCATCTTCGAGAGGTCCGGCATGCAAAACTGCTGTTGCTTTACCTCGCCTGCACCGATACTGTCCAGACCTTGCTGACCTCTGGCTCAGGAGGAGAAGGAGAAGGGGGAAGAGGGGGAGGAAGTTGGAGAAACAAAGGCAAGGGTGCAGCTGCAGATTTAAAGATGGTACACAAATACAAGTACCTCTGCACCACCACCACTAATAGCACCAGTAGCCACAGCAAACTTCAGCGAGACCCTACGGGTTCACATGCGTCGGCTCTGTCCTCTGCATCTTTTCCAGAACGGGAGAGCGATGGGTCCCGCAGGCACTCACTACCACCGCCACCACCTGTGGAGAGGATACCGCGGATGCTGGAGGATGTTCTTAGGTCTTATATGAAGCAAGGATCGACCACCAGCACTACAGCGTCGCCTACAACAGGGAGACGACGATCTGTGATCATGTTTAGTTGCAAAAAGGACGACGAGCCTCGGCCCTGGGCCCCAAAACCACATACGGTCAATTATCTGGATTATGTGGAGCATCTCGAGCTCGATTCCTTTCTCTCGACATCCATCCAGGTTCTCTTCTCAACCTCTGCAGCGAGTTTTACGGGATCTAAACCCTTGTCAAAGATATCTCCACAGCCCCATTTACCAATGAGGGAGAACTCCTACACAGAAGAGAGGGCTTTTACAGAGCGTGTCCTGTTGCAGTCCACGGCCCAGCATATCACGACACTTTCGCTCTCGGTTGCGACATTTGCACGTTTGCAACGTGAACTCATGGACTATGTCCTCGACACGCCTTCGGCCTTCACATCCTCACATGACAACAAATGTTCATCGTCATCACCATCCTCATCATGTTCACCAGCATCCAAGAACAGCGCGGGCATCAGGACGGGAGCGCCGTTATCGCAGCTATCTCGGATAAGCATCTCAGGGCTACATGCGGAGCTTAAGCCGAAAGTCCTGAGAGCCATCCGATGGTTCGTTCGTCGCCATGTGCTCACCTACCCCGGAGTACTCACTTCCATCGTCTTTGACGGTCCAGGCGATACGATCGTCAATCGGAGGCGGCAACGGAATCGAAACGTCGTCGGCGTAGAACCTATCTTGCCTGGAGTTGTTCATTTTAATAACCAATATACCAACAACGATGATACGGATGAAGTGGAAGAGTATGATGGTGCACCGACGAGTAACTCTCCCTCGGGCGTCTTGTTTGTTGACGCAACGGGACATATCAACAACATCTTTAATGGAAACCACAACGTCGCAACGGAAGCCTTCCCAGCTGATTTTCATTCCCAGTACTATCTCTTGAGTCGTAACCCGGATGAGTCGTGCGAACTGGATTTTATGGGCATTATTCAGGAACTGAAGGGACAGCTTGAGGTGCTGGATCTTTCACAGTGGTCGTGGAGTGCGCTCACTCAGCAGGCCCTCGATATGATTCCGACAGAACAACTTTTGATACTGCGATTCCATTCACGGACCCGGATTCAGTCTCCGCATGGGTCTACATTCCTGAAGAACTGTCCCCTGTTGGAGACACTGGAGATCCACGCATTCGACTCGGAAATGCTCGATTTGGACGACAACAGCGCCAGTTTGGCACACTTGCAAATCGACCCAACGTCAGGTTGCTCATCATCATCATCATCATCACCTCGGGCTCTTCCTCACGCATCTCTCAACACCCTGTCGCTCACGGGCAGCGTACCCAACGTTCTTCCAGCAGTCAGCGATGCTATCCGCACCATGGGAGACTCTCTTATTACCATTGATCTGTCTGCACATCTGGACGGCTTCCTCTCGACCAAAGAAACTCTGCGGCTCATGGACTGGAGCACCTCGCTCTCGATCTCGAGCATCCCTCTTCTGACGACTCTGCATCTCCATGGGCATCTGGCCATGACATTTGACGCCCCGCTCTTGCTGGAGTTATGTCCTACCCTCAGATACTTTGGGCTCGCCATCAAATCCTACACGAGCTCAAGTTTTGTCCGACCGGAGCTGGCGCGTGTGCTGCCTCGGTTCATGGTACCCATGGACAGGGAGAGTTCCGCACCAACAGATAGCGCGTTGTCGATCAGATCCACAGAAATACAAAAGTTCTCACTCAAGGCCTTGGAGCTCGAGGGACCCTGGATCCTGACAGATGATGACATGGAGCAGATGGGTGAACAAATCCGTGGACTGATTGTCCTGAACCTCGTCGGATGCCGGTTTTACCCCGCCCGTCGAACGACCAAGGCCAATGTCCGATCCGAACCCGAGGACGAGGAAATATCGTCGGTGGCGCGTCTTGTAGAGCGCGTTCAGGACACGCTGCGCACGCTCTGTATCCATCGGCGCGGCCTAGAAGGCAAGCCCCGGCGCGACTCGACCGATTACTCCACCCTCTTCTCCGCTCCTCCCTCCCCAACTTCCTCGCGCTCCACCCCTCACCTGCCACCAACCGTGCCCTCGGAACCCGTGCTTGCGTTCAAGAAGCGGTTTCCGAACGTGAAGCTTCTAATCCGCGAGAAGCAACACGCACACAGCTTCGTGCTGGCGCCCTCGTTTGAGACTCTCCGACGGATCCACCATCCACTGCCCCCGCCGACCGCTCGAAATTCCTCATCATTTTCAGACATGCTCGGTCAACCCTCGACTCCGTATATGGCCCACGAGTTCTCGGGCCAGAACTCTGGCTGGCGTCGTGCACGGAATGCGATGCTCTTTCTGAAGAGACGCAAGGTCTATTCTCCAAATGGATTCGAGAACGGGCAAATCCGGTCTTGGGGCAGAAGTGGGGATGTAGGAGGAAGTTGGCGGAGGGGGTTTGGGTTGTCGAGGACCTCGACAAGTTTGTCGCTCTCCGGTATTGCGCCCAGATTCTTTCGCGGGTAGATCCTCCCCCATCTTCCAAAAAAAAAAGCTTGTATAATAAAATAATAGAGACCAAGCATAGACACACACAATAACTGAAGCTGCTTGCTTGCTTGCTTGCATGCATGGGTCCTGGTTGTTCATCATAAGAAACTAGTAACGTTTATTAGAGTCTATCATACAGTTCCCTCCCATCACTTCTCGTTCCACTAGATATCCGATTACTCTATTACTATGGGAGAGGGATTCGTTTTCATATATCGCCCATCACCTCCTACGATTACTTGCGCTCCTTGAGTCGGAAGCTGACGATTGCCCAGAATGCAACGATGAACAACACGTTGTACCCGATCAATACAATCATGTTCTTCCAGTATCCTCCCAGATCGAATCCAAACAGCTTCTGCAAAATCAACGATCCAGGCACATTAAACGCAACGCCCTGAATCGTATCAATCAACTTGGACGTCGCCACCTCGTTCACCGCCAAGGCCTCGAACCCATACTTGAACATCGACAGGTACTGGATCCAGGTCAAGGCCGCAGGGATGTTACCAGAGTTGATCATGAACCCCCCGAACAACATCATGAACAGCATCACGATCGAGCATGCTAACGATGCCACACCCGTCGTACGGACCGCGGCCGCGATAACCAGACAGAACATCGCCGTTGCGACATTGAACAACACGAGGATCAACAGGAACTTGAAGAACGTCTCCAGCACGGGCGAGAGACCGATCATAAAGTAGGAAATGCAGCCCATGAAGATCGATGGCAGGATACGCAGAGGGATCAGATCGAACAGCAATGTCGAGATGATAAACGGCATCGGTGGGTAATACCCGTTCGAGCGCTCCTTGATGTATAGCGTACGTGTGTCCGTGAAGGCGCCCAGGGCGGAGATACTGCTGAAGCCGAGAAGAGCGAGCATGAAAAACAATGAGCCGGCGCGGTTCTGGAATCCGGCCAAGTTCATAGGCACCCGGAAGTACAGGCCACCGATGAAGACTCCCAAAATGATCGACACCGCCAGGTGGAGAACCAGGAGGGATTTGTCACGAATCAGGGTCTGGACGTTGCGCTTCATAATCACACGGAGCTGTGTCAGGAAACTCGATGGGTAGACCGTCTTTTGCTTCTTCAACGGACTGTTGTCGGAAAGTGAGGCAGTTGATGAACTAGAGGATCCCAATTCTTCCATCCTGACCGAGGTTTCATACGAGTTACGCGTGGTTTCGCTGGTGTTGGTGTTGCTGTGGGCGTTGTTAGCAGAGCGACGGGACAGGACGTTTCCAGAGACATGTGCCTGAGCTCCAGAAGTAAGTCCCGCCTTCTCGCCCTCGACATCATCAAAGCTCTTGGCTTTGGCAACTAGCTCCTGATTCATCGCAATATCCAGCAAATAGTCCGCAATGTTGTAGTTGGGAGGGCAAACTAGTCCACGACGTTGGAAGTAATCGGCAGCAGTATCCGTAGGTCCAAAGTACAACGCGGATCCCTTGCTGACAACCAGAGTCTGGTCAAACATATAAAAGATATCCGAGCGAGGCTGGTGAATCGTTAAAATGACCGTCGTAGTCTTGCTAGCCGCCAATTTACAGAGTTGCTCAACCACCATATGGGCACTGTATGAATCCAGACCAGAGGTTGGCTCGTCCAGGATCAGGATCGGAGGGCGCGTGATCAGTTCTAGCGCAATCGACACTCGACGCTTCTCACCTCCAGAGATACCACGCGATGTCACATTGCCGATCCTTCGGTTGGCGCAGTGTGTCAAGCCCAACATCTCAATGACCTCCGCAACACGCTCATGGACTCGGTAGACCGGCATCGCCTCCGGAAGACGTAGCATAGCCGAGAACAGCACGGCCTCATACACAGTCTGGGTTGGAGGCAACGTATCCTCCTGATCGACAAATCCAACTGCCCGACGAATATCGCTTTCATGAACCTGCTTGCCGTTCAACAGAATCTGACCCGTCACCTTTCCGTCCTTGCGTTTGCCCGCCAGAATATCCACCAGTGTCGATTTACCCGCCCCAGAGGGACCCATCACTGCCAAGACCACACCTGCAGGGGCTGCTCCAGAGATACCATTCAGGATCTGTAGTCCATCCTTGTTGAGCGTGTACCCGACATTGCGGAACTCGAGCGATGCGGCCTCGGTGTTAAGCGTGTAAGGTGTGCGGCTGAGAATCAACTGGTTTCTGCGAGCGACCGCGCAAATGACGATCAACAAAAGGATCAAAGCACCCAGAATCGCCAGGCAAGCAATCACACCCGGCGCCATCGTCGCCTTGACGGTCGTGACCGACGACTGCATCTCGGACGGGAACACACACTCGCCCATATCACAGTCGACCATTTTCAAACCCGTCGGGAAGAATCCTGCTAGATCCGCAATAAAGAAGTCGCAATCCTTACTGCCATGTGGACACGTCAGCGAGAACGGTCCATGGAGAGAATCAATCGTATCGCCCAATGTAATGACTGGCCCAGGGACCCCTCCACACATCAACGTGGGTGTGATACAATTGCACTTGAGCACTGGACAATTCCATTTGGTCTGCACGACTCCATTCTGTTCAGTGGTTGCAAGGGTGCAATTGGGGGCGCTACAGAAGAACTGTTCCGCCTGTCCCAACCACAACTGGGCGTTCACACTCTTATTGACGGGATTGAGATCGAGCGTGAGGCTGTAGTTTCCGGGGAAGAAGCCCGTAAGCTCGGGGGCGCGGACTGCGCAGGACATGAAGGAGTCGTAATAGACCTCGGGATCCTTATTGCAGACCATGTTCTCGTTGCCGAGGAAAGATGTGCGAGAGGGTGTTTTTGACTGGCACCCAGCATCTGTCTGACAGACTATGTGAACAAGGAAGTAAAAGAAGGAAAAAAAGAAAAAAACGCGGTAAGCTTCAGTGGTCTGTGTCACCTCCATGTATTCATACCATAAAGAATGTAGACGATTCAGGCATGCATTACCATTGCAGTTAAAGCCACCAAATCCGTCGTCGCACTTAGAACAACCCGTGTTGGAAGGAACTGTGGGTCGTTGTGAAGAATCGATCAAGGGCGACCCACAGGCCAGGAGACTGCAGTCGTTTCCACCAAACCCTGGCATACAGGTACACATTTTGTTTGAGCAGTCACCATTATTTAAGCAGCCCTAATATAAATCCAGTAAATTCAAATAAGCGGGGAATATCTGTCGTTGTTGTTTTGGTCTGTAAAAAGAGCCCTGACGCTGGTGATGAGAAGATGTGCATGTTTACCTTGGGTGAGGTAGAACAGTCGTACTGGGGCTGGCAGACTGCTGGTGAGGGGGTCGCAGTAGAGGTGACAGTGGCAGTAACGGTTGAGGTGGCAACAACGGTTGTAATTGTAGGACGAACGGAGCTGGAGGACTGTGCTGAGATCGAGCCCATAAGGGCCGAGATCATGACGATACCTGCCAATGCGGGCAGCTTTGAGTAACTATACCGCATTGGAGGGAGAGTATAGTAGGAGTGGATGAAAAGGTCGCGTCAAGAGGTGTGAAGGGAATATTTTGCCCTGGATTGTGGAGTAATAAAGGACAGCGCGCTCAAAGCAGTCGGAGAATGCGATAAAAAGGGCGGAGTTGAATATGATGGAGAGAGGGGAGGAGAAGGGGATGTGGGAGGAGGAGGGGAAGTAGGAGGAGGGGAAGTGGGAGGAGGAAGGAAAGTGGAAGGAGGAGGAGGAGATGAATGAGGAGCTGACAGAAGAGAATCGAGATGAGTTCTGAAGAAAGAGTGAAAGTGCGGAGCGCAGAGATACAAGGAGCACATGTAGAGGACTGAGATGCTGTTGCTTACCATTGTTACTTCATCCACTTGGTCGCAGCAGCAACAGCATGTTGCAGCAAAGGTTGTTTGAGAGCATCCAGCAGACAGACACAAGCATGGGCTAAAGCAAACATATGAAGAAAGGGCACTTCTGCACTCCTATGGGAGGAAAGAGTGCCTTATTTCAATGGCAAATAGCCTAATAGAATAGAACATAAGCATCGGGCCGGTTGACATGGGAAAAAAGCGCAACCATAACCCATTCAGCTGAACACAGTTAAGCCGGCTGCAAGGATGTACTGTAAGCCATTAGACATGTGGGATGCTCTCTCTGGCTCCCTTCTCCACATGCTGACAATGCGGAGATAATTCTGCTTTGTCTGAACTGCCCCTCCAGTGCACTACACAGTCCCTCCTTGGATAGCACGGCGACTGTCAGGCGCTCAAGCAGACAAGGTCCCGGTTCAAAGCCCGTCATCACATTATGTGTTCGCATTAGATACCAGGATGGATTCAGTATACTTTATGCTACATCCCCGGACGTTCAGATCCAGCTCACTGCTCTCTACAGGAAACGAATCGCACACTGCTGTAGTCTACTTAAACGATCAACATTGCAGTTGTCCTTGTGCTGAGAGCCATTAAATCAGGAAGTGCATCTCTCAGGAGGCCTAATGCCTTGGAACAGCGCATGTCGCGGATTACGGCAACATAGAAGAGATAAATGTTCAGGCACGGTCTATTTGTCCGAGGTGTATATGTAATTTTTGGCATGGAACGTTAATAATAATTCTCTTGGTGATCTCCAGCCTACGCGTTATTTTGTGGTGTTTACATCTAAAGGGTGTCGTGGTGCGTGGTAACACACGATCGCTGCCACACATCCTGAAGACCCCATTGGCTGGCGAAAAAGTGGGATGACTCTCATCTCCTCCTCTCATCTCGTTTCTGCCCTGAGATTTACGGTTCTCCTATGGCATGCGTGTGAAAGCCCTGGGAACCATCCTGGATAGAATACGTTCGGGCCCACAGAAGCACGCATACTTGCACCCAAGTATCTTTGGAAAAATTTACTCTCATATGAAGACGGAGACTTGTTTGAATTCCTGGGTAAACTATGTTCAATTCGAAATTCAGCAATTGTATAGACGACGATGATCGCAGTTAAGGCATAACGTGTGCTACTGGACCAATCTTTGTTTTTGCCTTCACAACCTCTATCCGCCTCAAAACGACATTGACTACGCCCAAGTTTTCCTGACATCTCTCAACAGTCACCATCCAACCGTTCAGCAGCCTCTGTTCTTTGTTTACACGAATCACATCTCGACACCATGTGGCCGTGAGTGAGCAGGGCAATTGATGATTGACGCTCACTCCCGTGTCTTCCAAGTAGCACTTGTAGGCAGTTATTCGCTCGCATAGCATACCGCGCTGTGCCACTCACACGTTTAGACCTTCGATTGAAGTTCAACAGTCTACCTTGACAGCCCCGCGCTATTGTTCACCTCCACTGGAGTCACAGGTAAGGGCGGAGTGTATATACTATCCATTATTGACAGCTGTGTAGAATTGGCGGGAGATGTCTGCGAATTATCTATCAAATGATTAAGCTGCAGAGCGCACTATAATAAGTAACAGAAGAGTATACATCGCAAGTTATAGAGGATGAGATGCACCACATACGTACAACAATAGAGAAGAGAAACGTGGCGCGTGGCGTATATGCTTTTAACGCTTGTACGTGTTGCGCGGGAATGACCCAAGTTGCGCAATGCGAGGAGATTTTTTTGGTTCCTGAAATTGACCCTGACCGCGTTCCTGGACAAATTCTGAGCTTGCTGAAGGGATCTTCAAGTCCATAGCGACGCGTTGCAATGTTCTGTAGCTCGTTATCATCCTAATAAACGGAAGTCGTCCATGGAGGGGTACTCGGTGGTGTCTGCTTTCTCACGATATATAGTTCTCTGCTTGCATCTCATCTCGCGTGTTTTTATACTGACATATCGGTCTGTTTGTCGGAAAACTCTCTTTTTTAATAATCTGCGCTCTCTAATATTCAATTAGACACTCCCCTACTACTACTGCTACTGCACTACTACTCTACTACTAGACTACCTACTCTACCACTGCTACTAGAGTCTACCCGCAACAGCGAAAACAAAAAAAGAGGGAAAAAGGAAAGGAAAAGGGGGGCTTTGGTTGGTCCATTGGGTGGGTCCTTGTGAACCCAGTCGGGTTTTCAGCCTTGGGCGTGTGTGGTTGCCCTTGTTGAAGCGTACTTTTTTTAGTGGTGTTCCCCTCCCGCCATCATCTCATCTCCACCCTCTCTCTCTCCCCGTCTCTCTCTCTCTCTCTCGCTCTCTCCCGCAGTTCATCCTTCCATCATCTTCCTCATCTTCATCCCGCCTCCCTCTCCTCATTCCCCATCATCATCATCCTCGTCATCCTGCACTGTATCGTGTCTGAGTGTTGTTGTGTGTGTGCTGGACACGAGAAATACCACTACTACCAACCAACCCTTCTCTTTATTACTATCCATTACATTCTTTTTTTTGTCCTTTTTTTTTGCATCCTCATCCTCATCCTCATCCTCATCATTCGTAGCATCTCTATCCATTAATATCTAATCGCCTCTATCCATCTCCGCCTTGTCTTCTTTCTTTTGATATCTGCAGCATTTTCAGCTCTTGTTTCTTGTCCTCGCGTGGCAGCAGTTTGAATTCATATACCTTTTATTGCTTATCTTTACCCTCGATAATCCACAAAAAAATGGCCTTCTACGACCCGCTCGCTGTTCAGCAGCAACAGCAGCAGCAACAGCAGCAGCACCAGCACCAACATCAGCAGCACCAGCATCAACAGCACCAGCATCAGCACCAGCATCAGCAACATCCACAGCACCAGCACCAGCAGTTTCAGCAGCACCAGCAACCTGCCTACAACAATGCGGATATGCGAACATCGCTTTGGTAAGCAGCTTAGGGCATCTCACATCAACATATCCGCATCTTAGGCGCAACCTCGAGTACCCTTAGTAGAGAGTAGAACTGGGCAAACCACCGTATTCTAAACAGAAAACTTGCTTTTCCTTATCATCCGTTCGTATACTTCCTAGGATGGGGGAACTGGAGCCGTGGATGGACGAGAACTGGATTCGTGGCGCATGGTACAGCGCTGGCGAGCAGGTCTCGGTCAAGATGATTCGCGACAAGTACACTGGGTAAGGTCCCTCATGAGCACAGCAAGACTCCTGTCCTCATTGCTACTGTGCTACTGCTGCGGCAGACATAACTAAAGTGCTCTGCTGACCTGGTGTGTCTTCCCTTTGCTGTGTCGTAGTGCTAGTGCCGGTTACTGCTTTGTCGAGCTCTCAAGCCCAGCGGCTGCCGCCAAGGCCATCGGTACTCTGAATGGTGTTGTGATTCCTGGCACCAACAAAGTCTTCAAGTTGAACTGGGCCACCGGAGGTGGCATAGCCTCATCCTCGTGAGTGTTGACACGCTATGCGCGTGCAAGGACTACATTCTGCATTATTGTACATGTCCTACAGATAGCCTGGATCAAGGGCTAATCACCTCTGTGTCCTTTTCCTTGATTCTTTCGTGTCCTTGCTAGCGGTCCTGGTGCCGGTCAGGAGTACTCTGTCTTCGTCGGCGATTTATCCCCCGAGGTTACGGAGTTTACGTTGGTGGTATGTTCTTCCAACCCTGAAGCAATGGACCCATGGAGCGTGGGAAAACACCGTCATTAGTCCTGTCTATCAGCCAATGCATATGCTAACATATACCTCATGCACATTTGTGCCTCACAGTCGAAGTTCCAGGAGCGATACATGTCCTGCAGATCAGCCAAGATCATGACAGATGCCACAACTGGAATCTCGCGAGGTAGGGCCATTCAGGAATTATAGGACCAGTTGTAAAACTATATCCCGAGCACAGCACTAAGTTCGTTTATGACTGATGCTTCCAATCTCGTTTAGGATATGGCTTTGTAAGATTTGGTGATGAGAGCGAGCAACTGCGCGCACTTCACGAGATGCAAGGCGTTTATGTCGGTAGCCGTCCAATCAGGATCTCTATGGCGACACCCAAGAACAAGATGTCATCGGGCGGCATGGGTGGTGTTGGCGTCGGAAACATGGGTGGTGTTGGTGGAATAGGTGGTGTTAGTGGCATGGGACCCATGGGCGTCAGCATGAGCATGTCCCCTACTGGCTACGGGTATAATTCGCCCATACAAGCAGGCAGCCCTCAGCACTCCACGACCCAGTTCAATGATCCCAGCAACACTACCGTCTTCGTCGGGGGTCTCTCTGGAGTGAGCCACGAGGATGAACTCAGGAGTTGCTTTGCTATGTTTGGCGAGATCACTTACGTCAAAATCCCCCCCGGCAAAGGCTGCGGTTTCGTGCAATTCGTTCACAGACAGAGTGCAGAGATGGCTATCAACCAGATGAACGGCTATCAGATCGGTATGACATTGTGTGCGCAATCTGAGCATGAAGCTTTATGGATCCGTTTCTTTTAATCAATCCATATTAACGTCTTGCGCTCATGCTCCCTCGATTTCTTTGTCTAGGCAACTCGCGTGTCCGCCTTTCCTGGGGACGTGCACAAAACGAGAACAAGCAGCCTATGTCGCCTCATGCCTCTTCCATGATTGGCAACCCAGGCTTCCGGTACGCTGAAGACCGTGCTGCTGTTCGGGGTTCCTATCTCTGAATAATTATACGTCTTTCTAATGTCTGCCACACGTCCTTTGCCTATCACTGAATGTAGTTCACCTTTGCAAAATCAGTTCCCTGGCCTGCCGCTCAACAACCGCGCGTCGGCTTCATATGGCTCATTTCCGGGTATGATGGCTGGCACGCCTCCCATGCTCGGTGTGATGCAGACGCCACCACCCCGTGACACCATTGACAGAACTCCTGCCGAGCACCAGAATCGCGGCTATAACGAGAGGAAGGAGCCCATCATGGACCGCATGGATGATGGCGTCAGCTGGAGAGGCTCTGGCGCTATCTATGCCTAAAGTACCTACCTTGGGAAGGCGCCATGGCGAAGTAGTGCCTCCCGTAACGGGACAGCTTCCTGGCTTATTTGCGGAAGCAATGCTAATGCTAATTTACCCTTCGTCTTGCTCAGCTATACTCAATCTTTATCGCTGTTCTTTCTCTTTGTTCCGTCTGTTCGTTTTACGCAATCTCATGTTCATTTTATTTTCTAGTCCACAAAAGCTATCTTTCCTTTACGCACCACTTTCAGCTCCTGTTTTCTTTTTCTTACCCATCGCGCGTCGTTTTCTACCCAATGTTATTTTTTCTTGTCCATTTTGTTCCTCAATCCCCAATGCTAATTCACTTTGAGTTTTGTCTTTGTCCTCTTTGTCCTCTTTTTTTTTTTTTGGTCTTATATACATTCCATGGTTGCTCCACCTGAACTGTCCCGTATTTTGTTCACTCGACGTTTTTATACCATTACAGTTGTTATCTGTCTCCTCTCTCTCTCCCTCTCTCTTCTCGCTCGCTCTCGCCTTCATACTCTTCGTTTTTGTATTTATCGCACCCATCACTGCTTCATATCACAGCTCTTTATCTTTTCGCTTTTATCCGCTTTACGTCTAGCCAATAAATACAATAAATATATCTCAATTCAATACAGACATGCCTTTATATACTTGATGTGCTCTGGTCTAAGCAATGGTTGGCGTATGTACAAGATTGGACCACCGTTTGAAAGACAATAGCGCTCAGTGCGGTAAATATTTACAGATGAAGCCTAAACTGCGAATGCACAGGCCGGGGAAGATTCCTTTTCCCGAGCCGCAACTGAGATAGCAACGGTAGCAGTCTTGTTGATTCTGGCGTTGACCTTGATTCTGGCCGACGCTGGTTTCGATTTCGCAAAAGAGGCAACAGCAACACGCTCACGAGAAAATGCAAGGGCTGCCGCGACACTCTTTTGTTTCGATCTATCTCTCCGAGAAGTTGGTACGTCCGGATGACCCTGGTGGGCTTTTCGATAATGCCTCCAAATGGCGTCGTTTCGGATAAAGACCAAGGAACATATCGTACAACTGTATGGCTTCTCTTTGGAATGGATCCGCTGGTGCCTTGAGAGATCGTACGGCCTCAGGAACGACTTTTCGCACTGGTCACAGCGGTAGATGCGGTTGAGAGAATGTGTCTTGAGATGGGCATTGAGATTGTACTGGCGAAGGAACTTCTTTTGACATTGGGCACATTGAAAGAGACGTTCCTCTTCCTCCTCCTTTTCCTCCTCCTCTTCCTCGCCCTCCTGCTCCTCCTCGAAAGAGCCTTGAGGCTCTTCACTTGAGGCTGGTTCATGCTTGACTCTAGGGCTGGCATTTTCGCCTTGTTCGACATCTCCGAAATAACTATAGGAGCTGAAACTGATGGGGGATCCCAGGCCAAAATTTGAGTTGGGCCCGGAGGTGGTCATGGCGGCCATGGACTGGATAAGACCGTGGTAGGGTGTGCCTGGCTGGGATCCGATATGTGGACTCAGTGGACTGAGTGGCGGCGTGGAGCTTGGGTAGGGCACTCTGCTGAGCTGTAGTCGTGCCTCATGGTCGTCTTCGTCCGAGCCTCCTAGGCTCTCACTATCGTCGCCAGTTACAGCGTGATCGTTGCCAATGGGACACGAGGTAAGGGTGTAGATCTGTGCTGGACTCACTCCCATGGACATCAGGTTTAGGTCCCCGTGGGTCAACGGCATACTCTTAGAACTGGAACCAGCGGCGGTCCACACGAGGTCCGCAGATACTGGAGTCTGAGCTTCGGAATGAACTAGGTATCGCGAAGAGGCCTGGTGCGGCTGGTTTAGCGACGGCTGCTGCTCCCAGTAGTGCGAGAGTTGTTGCTGCGCAGAGTCCTGGTGGCCGTAAGATCGAGGAGGTTGGAGGCCATGTTGCTCAAACGAAACTTGTGCTTGATGTGCTTGTTGTGTGTATTGCGGTGAATATTGGTGAATAGACTGTGGCGGAGTATTATGTTGGTGGTATACTTGAGGATCCTGAGAAATCCGAAGAACCTGAGAGGACATGCGTGGGATAGATGAGTGTTGATGGTCATTCCGCGGGTGATACTGAGGCTGGTGGAGCTCTGACTGCAACAGATACGCAATCTCCTGGGGCTGCTGAGCACCGTGATAAAAGGGAGCGCTCGTAGAGATTTGTTGCTGGTGCTGCTGTTGCTGGTGCTGCTGGTGCTGGTGCTGGTGCTGCTGGTGCTGCTGGTGCTGCTGGTGCTGTGGGTGCCAAGAGACACTTTGTTGATGGGAATGTATTGGTTCTTGAGCCGAAGGCTGTGTGAAGGGAATCGTGTACATTTCGTTTGGTCCTGCTCGTGCTCTTTGCGTTTAATGGTAGTAGGAAAATTAGGCAGATGGGCTGTAGTGAGATAAATTGAAGGAGTTCTTATCTGGTGTGCAGCACTGCAATGAAAAAGGGCAGAAGATGGCTTCTCTATAGGAATAACTTGCAAGAAATGAGATGGGGAAGTCGATGTGATAAAAAAGAAAAGAAATCGAGCACGAACAGAACGTTTATATAGGACAATGAGGGATGGCTCCGAGGAGTGCAGGTTCTTTTAGTGTTTTTTCGATTTTCTTTGAGTACACAGCTCGACCACTCAATTGACCAATGATCGACATTTTTTAATGACAAAGGTATGTAAGTAGACACACGCTCTCAGGCACATTGAACGAGAGTACGTTGAATATCAATTATAGTTTGAACGCTAAATCATCCTGGGGATCCGGGGCTGCTATGACAAGAATACATGTTCGACATCCGTCACTTAGGGCTATCAGAACCCATCGTCGTAAAGGTGCATGCTTCTCGCGTTCCCATATTATTCGAGCTTTCAAATGCAAGGCTTCAGTCCTAAACTATGCTTTAATTCTCATTACTCCTCATTGAAATCAGATCCCGGTAACGTCTACTATGCTAGCGCACTCGGCCATTATATAAAGTATGCGTGCAGCTATTTATTATGCTATACTGACTCGTTTTACCACTACTCATCCGCATTGGGCAAAGATATGGGGATCTTACTGATCTGTCTGCACTCTGTTTTGAGTACTAATCCTCTCATAAAAACAATTTACGATTTAAGGATAGGAGTCATAATAGACGGCAGTGGGCAACGAAAAGAAGTCCCGCCCAGCCAGTTGTTTCTTATAAACTCTCAGAGGCTCCTGTGATGCTTTTCACGATGCGGATAAAATGCAGGCGCCCCCTCTGTGCATGGATTCGGCGCTTAAAACATGGCCAACCCACTTTCTGTTAAGATTCGGGACCCTTCCAGTTCCCTGTGCTAAAACGGCTATGCAAGTCGCATCAAGATGCTCGGATGAGATATAAACAAATGTATAAAACTCAATTCATTTTCATGCGTACTTACCTCGCTCGAGCAAAAAATGGCGAAGTTCCATATTTTCTGTTGACCTGAACTATCAGAATAATACGAGATCTTCATGAGAACGAAATCTGAAGGCTGTGTTTTGCGCTTTAGCGGTCATGAGGTTGGCCACGAACAACAGAGGGGAATGGCATGTCTGTACAAGAGTCGACCGCATTTTTTTTTTGTGCTCAAACCCGGTGCTAAGATTTTGTAATTGAACGCGCGTATGATGACTACAGACAAAAAACATCCATCGTTTGTTAACCTGAAGGCTCTCCTTCTTTCCCATTCTTTCTTTCTTATTTTCCGCGTGTTCGAACTCTGAGTACAATCTATAATCTATTCGTAGGTATCCATGCTGTGTTTTTTTTCTCTTTTTCTCTTTTCTTTTTTTCTGTACAACATTGAGAAAGGTACTGTATTTGGGCGTTTTTAGAGCTCAATCCGGCGCTCATTACCACCATGGTGGCATTCTTCCCACACGTCTGTGATAACGCGATGGCTTCGCCCTTTAAATAGAAGTTATATCGTTTTGCACCAGATAGCACTAGGGGACCGCAGTTCCCCAGAACACGGTCGCGCCTAAACAATGATCGACGATTGGCCTCTGTCTGTTTGTGAATATGTGAATATTGCTTTGTATGCAGTACCTCCGATGAGCAAGATTTCACTCGGAAAGTCTCACTTTCTCACATACTTGAGTAAGTGAGAGGGGGCAAAGCTGCCTCACTCAGTTGCAATTCCTTATAGCTGCTCTTAATTAGCGAGGCCATCTCAATCACCTTACTCAGTGTGACCTGAGTTGCTCTTTCCTCTGCCGCATTGACATAGAATGAATATGTTTTTGCTGTGCCCTATTTGGATAAAACGGTGGCAAAACAAGTGCTCTGTTGTCTAATTGCGGCCATATTGTGCCCTGCTGCATGACAGATAAACAAAGACGCTGTACAACCTTGGCTGTAGTCGTATTTGCAGGACTAAACAGTGGATCCCCTGTTCCATCCCCTTCTGTCTACTTTGGCGCTCAGATCATAGTCACACTCGGGACCACAGGATGACTGCCCCTGCAGGTTGACTACCATCTGGAGGGTGGGGCAGTGCAGACCGTGCCGTCGTCTGCATCCAAAGTCCTAATCATTTTCGAATTAAACTGAGTGTCCCCTTTTAGGACTAGCCTTGAACGTAAAAGATACACGTACACGGACATTCTAAAAAATATATGGTAACCAACAAGCTCTCCTTAAAAATATATGGCGATATGGCAGGACTTATTGAGAAGGACTCTACCACTGATTCGGGCCAGAGATGTTGAGTTCTCCTTGTTTGTAGGGATGGTATCCATATGATAGCGCACAGGGAGGGGAGTTCGCAGGGAGGGCGCATTGTGGTGGCAACTTTATAGCGTAGATTCGACCACATACTTTGGATGGGGCAAAGCTACAGGGCGCAAACAGCCCGTTTTATCCTGCAGGCTGCAAAACAAGGGGCAGAAAAAATAGCGATCATAATAGTCTAATTAAGGGTGAGAAATCACTGTTTACATTTGTGAGGCCAAGTGGCTCAGAAAAAAAAAAAGCAGAAGCAGAAGCAGAAACAGTGGAAGGCCACGGGCAAGAGAAGCAAGGACACTTTCTCCCCACCCATTCACTACCGCCATCCCTCAGAAACTGTATTCAGCTTTTTGACAATAAAAAGTTTCGACACAGTCAGCTAAGGGCAGAGAATCAAGGAAGAAACGAAACACGAAGCAGTAGCGAAAGGAACATACACAGGAACCATGTCTACCAAGTCTAAGAATATTGAGGAAACCCAGCGGAAGGGCGACTTTACCATCAAGCCTTCAGATGCAACCCCCACCTTGAACACTGCCGACTGGCCCTTGTTGTTGAAGGTGCGACCCAACATATTAGCAGCACTGGAAGCGACGCTTGCAACAGGACCATACAGCGACTAACGCCAGCTCCATTTTTACCATCCTTTGATCCACGCCCACCGACACCTTCGATTGCCTCTATTACTCCGAATAGAACTACGATAAGCTGAACGTCCGCACCGCTCACTACACCCCTATCCCTAGTGGTTGCTCTCCCTTGAGACGTGAGCTCGCTGAATACGTCAGGTATGGCAGGATATTTTCTCAGGTCGTATTGTTACAACATACATTCGCATGCAGGTCAATTGACTTATCATGCCTCGGCTGTCTGTCGGTATAGATATGGTGTCATCAACTTGGACAAGCCCGCCAACCCTTCCTCTCACGAGGTCGTCGCCTGGGTCCGTCGCATTCTTCGTGTTGAGAAGACTGGTCACAGTGGTACTCTCGACCCTAAGGTCACTGGATGCTTGATTGTGTGCATTGACCGTGCTACCCGTCTGGTCAAGTCCCAGCAGGGTGCCGGTAAGGAGTACGTGTGTATCCTCCGTCTCCACGACGCCATCGAGTCCGAGAAGAAGTTGGCACAGGTATGGGATCGAAATCTTTTATACCATAGACATTGTGATATGGGATATCTATGCTTAGGGTTGACGGACTACCTTGACTGATTCTGTTGCCTACACAATTGACAAAATTGTGATTGCCTCAATAGACCCTCGAAACCTTGACTGGCGCCTTGTTCCAGCGCCCTCCTCTGATCTCTGCCGTCAAGCGTCAGCTCCGTATCCGTACGATCCACGAGTCCAAGCTGCTCGAGTTCGACAATGACCGCCACTTGGCTGTCTTCTGGGTCGCATGCGAGGCTGGAACGTACATGCGTACGATGTGCGTGCACATGGGTCTGTTGCTCGGCGTTGGAGGACACATGCAGGAGCTTCGTCGTGTGCGCTCAGGACATATGGGCGAGGAGGATGATATTGTGACGATGCACGATGTTCTGGACGCTCAGTGGATGTACGACAACACCAAGGACGAGTCGTACCTGCGCAAGGTCGTTCGCCCTCTCGAGACGCTCTTGACCACCTACAAGCGTATTGTTGTCAAGGACAGCGCCGTCAATGCCATCTGCTACGGAGCCAAGCTCATGATCCCCGGTCTTCTCCGCTACGAGTCTGGAATTGAGGTCAATGAGGAGGTTGTGCTTATGACCACCAAGGGAGAGGCCATTGCTCTTGGTATTGCTCAGATGACGACGGCTGTCATGGCTACGTGCGACCACGGAGTTGTCTCCAAGATCAAGCGTGTGATCATGGAACGCGATACCTACCCCCGTCGCTGGGGTTTGGGACCCAAGGCTCAGGAGAAGAAGAAGCTGATCAAGGATGGCAAGCTGGACAAGTATGGTCGCCAGACTGATGAGACACCTGAGGGCTGGAAGAAGGGCTATGTCGACTACAACCGCGATGACCCTATCGCACCTGTTGTTGCTGCTGTTGCAGTTAAGAAGGAGGAGGACGATGAGGAAAAGAAGCGCAAGGCTGCCGATTCGAGCGACTCTGAGTCTGACAAGAAGAAGGAGAAGAAGAAGGCCAAGAAGGTCAAGACCGAAGAGAAGGAGGAGAAGAAGGACAAGAAGGAGAAGAAGGAGAAGAAGGACAAGAAGGAGAAGAAGGAGAAGAAGGTCAAGAAGGAGGACTCTGACTCTGACTAAACCGTTTATGGCCGCATCATTTTTTACATTAATTTTTATTCATTCTGTTGTCTAGCTCTATTTCATTTTGCATTGCAATAAATCGCAAACGAAAGATTGCCACTCTTTTGCAACTATGATACGACGTCGTAAACGAATGCTACTAGTCTGTAGCGAATAAAAAACGCGACAATACTGCAGATCACTTGCACAAGCATCACTGAAATGGTCAGGCTCCGCTCTGACATCGGTCCAGCCTTGAGCAGGATCAAGTTCAAGATAGTGAGGTTGGTCATCTCCAGCGGTCGCTGACCCGTCCTGGCATCGTATCGCACATGGGTCAGCCCCAAGAGTTCGAGCAGCTTGATGCAATACCATCCTGGTCGGCTAATACGCGAGGCTGGCAAGGGAGTATTTTGTGATTTGGTTGAAGATAACGACTTTGGCGAAGAGAGCAATAGGGGTGATGAAATCTTTGCAGTTGTGGAGTGACCGCTAGCATCATTAGCGGAAGTGGATAAGGACACTGGCGATTGACGTTGCTGCAACTGCTTCTGTTCGCCCGAGTGATGAAGGCTGTGCACTCCATTCAGTGTCGACTCTGCATCCAGTGCTTCCTGATCTAAAACGACACGGCTCGCCTCCATAAGATTCGTGCCACGGTTATAACGCGGCACACGATGGCGCGGACACGGCACCAGCCTGAACAGCTGTGGCGCGGACAGCAAAAAATTAAAGATTTGTGGAATAAAGAAGAGAAGCAGTGTTTTGCTGTAGTGCGCCAGGATGCCAACGACCGCAAAGGTCATGCCTGCAAAATAGCAATATGTGTCGCCGATAAAGACCTTGGACGGATACCAATTGTGAAGCAGGAGTCCGATGCTGACGCCAATAAAGGGCATGATGAAATAAAGCGAGAACAAGTGGGTTTCAATCGCCGGTGCGCCGCTTGTGCTGGATTGAAGAAACAGCATATCGTTGATGGCGATCGAGCAGGCAATGACGAGCGACTGGCCGACTTCCACACCGTTGATTCCAGCCATAATATTGATCGAATGCGTACAAAAGATCGCGACCATGCCCATATATACGTAGTAGAGCACGCCTAGATCAACAAATATACGAGTGGGTCATCAGAACCTTGTATGCATCATCATAATTTGGTCCGTCAAACAACCGAACGAATATAGTCTTTACCGAGATCAACCAATTGACCGAGAATGGGACGTAATGGAATCGGAACAACGATGTAAGTGACTCCACTGTTGACCCAGTATACCATCAAAAGAGGGATAGAGGCGATTGCTGGCAAGGGCATCTTGAATCGCCAGCGGATATCCAGTACGTCGTCCGCGAAGCCCAAAAACACCATTGACTGGATCGACAGTAGTGCAGACAGCAGTTCTGCAAGCTATACAGGAATGAGAATTGTACGGAATCTTAACTGCTGATCTTGTACGGAAATGGCCAACATCAACAGTCAGTCGCATATTCGCTTACCTTCAAGTTCGGGAACGTTAATAGCGTAAGCTCTTGTGGATTCCCATCGCGTGAGGCCGTGAACCATTTCATGAATGGGAATGGAATGAATAGGAACATGATAACCAGATAGATCAACCCAGCTACCATGCCCATGCTTTCTGGCCTATAGCATGCACGTTTTCGCCAAAGAAACGAACATGTTAGTTCCATCAGCTCAGTCTCACGCACGATATTGCTTGAAGGATCAGAGGTTTCCTATTCTGTTGCTTACAAGATGTGCTTCGTCTTCTTACTGAGATCTATGCCCTTTAATCCAGCCTTGATGAAAATCTCTGAGAGTGCCGGGATTGCTGACCAGGTAGTGATACCGGCGAGGATTGAGAAGCCCACGTTGACAGTTAGAGGGTCGTGGGCAGTCGTAAGGATGATAAAGACGGCTCCGACCTCCGCAGCGAGGATGAGCCATGCCGTCAACGCCGAGATTTGACCCATGGTGAGTAACGAGATGATGCGTCCTCAGGAAAGTGAATGCTGGATGAGTAGGGAAGTTGTCTCCTAATAATAAATTTTAGTTTATCACCATCTTTGCCATTTGGATAGTCTATGGCACAGCTATTTTGTCTGCCTTTCTCAGAGGCAGTCTCTGTCAAATTCATGTGGCCTTATCTATCCTGACGTTTCTCGCGCGTCTTTTGTCGATTACTCCCTGTCTATGTTGCGCCGCAGTATAGATAAAACGCGGGATTCTCACCAATGCAGTTCATGCGAAGAATCCATTCAATCAGGTACACCAGCAGCCTGTATCCATTACAACAATAAGGCATTGACAAAGGGAGGCAGGACTGATAGCGAAAAGAGTCATAAAACGACCAGTGCTCAAAAGACGCCACATCAGTGGCCGATTAAAGCTGGCAAAAAGCACAGAGAACGGACCGAGGACGATTAGAGCAGGGTGGTGTGGTCGGACGTACCAAAGAGGATAACGACGCGCTCAGTGCAAAGAACAGTAAAGTTTGACGATGGGAGTGTCATGGTATGGTCCTGTATGTTATATTGTTATATCGCCGTGATTGATGCGACTATGAAATCTCAACTGTACATCCAGATCTGCAGATGCCCGCTGAAGATAGGGGGCTTAATGAGGAGGAGACTATTTTCAGTAATGACAATGATCCCAAGCATGCGGCCAAGGTCAAAAGAGCCCATCTGGAGTCGATCGACATGATAGAAGTCATGAAAAGGCTTCTCTATTGGCCAGCACAGTCCCATAGTCTCAACTCAATCGAACACATGTAGGCATACCTCAAAATCCAGCTCGGAAAGTATCCTACACCTCCAAAAAGCTGCATGGAGTGTAGGAGATCTCGACAGAGTGGTCAGTTCATAGAGCCAAGGAAAAGTATACAACATATTAAAATTGAAGGATAGGCAGTTTTAATTTAGCGACTCGTGCTGGCGTGCTGTCAGCAGTCTGATTTTAAGCTAGTACAAGTTCAGCACAACCAGCTCAAGTTCAGCATAGCCAGCACAACCAGCACCATTTCACCTGCATAGTACGGATCAAGGAGCCAATATCAAGAAGGCTATGGATCTTCTCAGCGAAACGAAGAGTTGTGGATGGTTTCCTTGCTCTGCCCACAACATACAGTTATGCGTGAACACGGCTATCTCGGGGACAGCAGGTGTGGGGCTTTTGCTTGATAAATGCCAAGGACTCTCCTCCTTTTTCAAGAACAACGATGTTGCTAGCCGCCTTTTGAAGTCTGCCCAGAAATCAGTGGATCCTTCAGCCAATACACTTAGACCGATGAGCCATTGTCCGACACGCTGGAACTCGAGATATCTGATGGCGACGCGCGCGGTGCAGCTTCTTCCTGCTATTAACTCTTCAGTACTCAACATGATGAATCCTGATGTGTCAAGAGAAGCCAAAAATTCACTGAGGAAAACGCAGAATATCATAATCGGTTAAGACGAAGCTTCCGCCCAACAGGAAATCCTTGTCCTTCTTGGATCAGCCAACGACTTTAATAGGCAAGTCAGTATTGACCGCGCGCCGATCGTTTCCATTGTTTACCCAACCATCCGCGACCTGATCAATAAGGCAAGAATGTCTGCAGCCAATCCTACAATGGAGGAATTTCGAAACAAGTTCGTGAGCGAGCTAGAACGACTATTTTTAGTGATATGGTACAACGCAAAGACGAAAGTGTAAACCTCAGAGGTTACGCGAAAAGCCAAATCCTCAAGGTGTCACGCTCCATGGTCAAGAATGGCTTCCGCTTCGACGCCGCGATGGCAATGAGTGCGCGTGGAGATGATATAGATACTCAGTATTGGACAAGGAGGTTCAATGACAGAATTAAGCGCTAAGATATCGATGTGAAGGAAGTTCCTTGTGACATGTATTGGACTGAGTCGCACGTTTAGTGGAAGGACAGAGTGAATGCGTTCCTATATTTGTCAAGCATTGCCCGCGTGTACCTCTCCGTTCAAGCGCCATCGATATCTAAGGAGCGTCTGTTCAGCAGCGCTGGAGGCATTCTTACACCTGAGTGAACTAACTTTATGGATTGCCTGTTTTGCCGTACGTTACTAGTTAGAAGTTTGGGTCCCTTCATCATCTGGCAGGATAAATAACTAGAGTAGACATGTTCACACACACAAAAAAATACGATTCGGGATAATAGCATTGCATGCGTGAATGCATGGGGAATCCCGTGCAGGGTTATACAGCGGTATTGACATCGTATTGTACTATGCAGGTGAATTTGAGCTGGTTGTGCTGGTTATGCTGAACTTGAGCTGGTTGTGCTGAACTTGTGCTAGCTTAAAATCAGACTGCAGCCTTTAATGGGCCGCACCGCACTATTATATGAATTTGCGCATAGCTTCAATGGCACCTCACACGCCAAGAAACTAAGAAAAACGGGCTGCAACGCTGCAAGTTTATTGTCAGCATCCCAGATTATTAGTATGCGAGGTATGATGGAGGGTGGCGGATGTATATCGAGCAATTCAAAAAAAAAAAGATGACCCTGTCTTTCGAGAGGCACTGTATACATATACAACATGGGAGCCCCTTGCTGATTCGGTCTGCTTGAAGCTGCGTAATGCTAGATCGATAACCTCGATAGTGTAACTGCTCCGGATAACTCTCATCAATTGGTACCGTCGAATCCTTGCCATCAACATTTGTAAACTGTACACGAGGTCGCCTTCAGTGCAAAACGCGCACCACATTGCACCACATTGCACAACTTTTATGGTGTTCCTTGATAGGGCAACGTCGCCAAATTGACCCAGGTTTTCTTTGTCGATGTTACTACAGTACCTTGTCTGTTAGACCGCCTATTATAACCTCTTTCTACGCGGACTATGAGCACGTTATTAGGTTAGGGTGGTCAATAAACAATCGACCAAACAGCGCCCTGTGAATAAGTGTCCTGCCATATCTTTAATCAAGGAACGCGCGTCTTGGGCGCGTCTACTCTACTCCTTATCTTCAGGACCTTATCGGCGACTGGGCCGGCAAATAAATGCTCGACGCGAGATGAGTGAAAGTGCTCTTTGATATATTTTTATTGAGATGCTGTCTTTTTTTTATAACTGTGAGAACTCTGCTTTTATGCGCTCTTCTTCAAAGTTACTCAAAGCACAAACTAATCCAGCACATGGCGCTGATACGACGTCTCCGACGAGACCAGGGTCTTGAACTTGTCGATAGAGAGCTTCGCAGTGATCTTTAAAGACCACTTGTGTCCAAGGACATTCCATAATGAGCGTAAGAGTGGATAGTCAAAGCTCAAGGCTTTCCTTCGCCATAGCAATATGAGATGCATGGTAATATGAAATGTATGGAGCAGAGCATTTGCGTCATGCTCTGAACATTGGCATTAACCGTGTCCCAGACTTATTCAGGACAATCAGTACGCTGTCCATGAGCAAGACAAGATAAGAATGCATGCAATACAAACATGCGGATAACAAGTCCCTGGTTAGGTAGTACAAGCGTCTTTAGTAGCGACTACCGAAAGAAACATCCCATTTTCCTTGAGACTAGATGGATTTGAAACAAGCTGATCTATTGGCCGATCTGCTATCACCAACTCTAACAGTTCGACAGGAACTACTTCAGCACCCAACTCTGTCCTCTGGGCACCAGCTCCTCCATACGCCTCAGCAATGTTGTCAGGAACTGTCGCTCCGTGGCCCCGATCTGCGAGTCCAGTGCGAGTCGCAAAAGTCGGCTGGCTGTCTGGTTCTCACCGGATGATAAAGACCCCTTGTCTCGGGCACACATCACAATATCCGGCAAGGCCAATGACAGGCGACCTTCAACTGCGCGCTGATGCTCGCTCAGCCTCTCTTTTCCAACAGTGTTGATAGAAATGCTCTGTAAGAACTCCTGATGCCATGACTCAAACTCATCGTCTTCAAGAATGTTGTAGTCGACCGAGGTTGTGCCGCTACCGCTGCTGATATTGTCGTCGCCTTGGAAGCCATTGCCATGCTCCAAGTTATGATCCTCTACCATGGTCAAAAGATTCACCTCAGCATCGTCCTGTGCAGGACCAGAGCGAGTCGATGCGCTGTCTTGGTAACTGCTCCCATGCTGTCTCCGCAGCATGACGACGTCCTGCTCATCCCACCACATCAGAACAGCGCCCCCGAGCAGCAACACCAATCCAGTGGCAAACACTTCTGACTGGCTGGACATCAGAACCAACAAGTCCAAAATCCTCTGCAGCCACATCAGGCGGTGGGCGTCTCTCCTCTTGCGCTGCGAGACTGTCGTTGCGGACATTCTCTTGCCAACACCCACGTCCATAGCGTATAGCAGCACCGATATCGCTGACTCGGCCAGCTGTCGATCGCTTGATCCGGAGGACTCAGCTGACGAGTGACCGCTTACAATTAACAGTGCGGATTGGGCAACCATGGTCAATCTTCCTTCTTGCTGAGACGTCAAGTATCCTGCACGGTAGAGCGATGCCATGCCTATGGCTTCCTTGAGCACCTGAGCGCCGGCATCCGTTTGCTCTCCTGAAACATCGGAGACATCCAACCGAGCAGCATGCAGATGTGATAAAGACATTAGCGAAAGATCAGCTAGTCGCCGTAGAACGCGTTGCGCGGGCAAGAACTCGTGGAAGGAGAGCTGATAAAAGATTCTCAATATCACAGATCTCAATTCTCCCAGCAGCTCCTTCGCATCGTCTGAAAGCACTGGCGACTGGTTTGATTTGGTGCGGGCGCTATGGGATGCGGACGAGGCACGTCCCTGGTAGTAGTATCTCATATGATTGCTCAGCGTGTCCAGAAACACGAGCTGCAGGACCTGGACTCCCACATGCTCCTCGTCTGTCTTCTCTGATCCATCGGGATTAAAGAAAAGGACCCTGACCAACTTCTCCACTAAGTCAACCACTCGAGAGATCGGTAATGTCACCTTCTTTGCAAGCGTGTCCAACCCTCGGACCTTGTCCAGTTCTGCCAGGGCCTGGTCCCCTCCCACAGCGATCAGTGGTAATCCTCCTAATGTCAAGATCCTACCGAGTCCCTCTTCACCAACAAACAATTCTTCTGCAGAGAGGCCGTCATCCCCAGAATCAAAAGGAGTGTCAGCACCTCTGATCTTGAAGTTTGAAAGACTCATGATCAGGAACTCCATCAACGAAGTCGAGGTACTGGCATGCCTAGAAGCCACCTGGATAGCTGCTACAATCAACCGCGGCTCCAGCACCACCAGCTGCGTCAGTAATGGGAACCAGTTTACTGCAGGTAATGGTGTCGGTAGACTGAGGATGGTGTACAACAGCAGTTCAAGTGCGGCTGCGTACGACTTTTGAGCCCTCTGAACAGTGCCCATCTGAAGTGGTTCCCAAAGGCCATCCCAGAGTGCGCGCAACCATGATGTTGAAAATGGTAATCGAGAATAGTCTTTCGGTTCACTGCTGGTTCCAATGGCCATTCCTGTGTCAGCCTGTCCCAAACGATGCATATGGCAGGCGATGTGTCCAAGAACCATGGCCGCCAAACGTCCTGCCTTCAGGTCCTGTGCCATGAGCGTTGATTTTACGGACGACATCTTAGATCCGGGAACGACAACTGCAGCTGACGACGCAGTTTCTCTAGAGGCAGAGTCTCCAGCAGTAGGCGTGGTAGTCGTGATGGAAATGGAAAGACCACTCATATCCATCAAAGTCGATAGAGCAGAGTTCGTAACGGTCGACATGGCTGCAGGGTTGACCGATGAAGTGAGATACGAAAACAAACCATGGCTACCCACAGTGGTGACCGTAGGGCCTTGAGACCAGTCGATACCGAATAGTGATGCGAGCGCAACTACAGCAGTATGTCGTGCTGCAGACGTTGGAGTGATCCGAATGAGGTTGACGAGCGAGTGGATGCGTCCTGTAAAGAGCGAGATCTCGCTAGACGTTGGGTTACGAGTATCAAGGTTCGTGTGAATCATGTGGCAGAACGGCACCGTAAAGTGGACCAACTGTGGCTGTAGGTCTCTCTGTAGTGTATGTGTTAATAAACCAGATTGCATTAATGATTAAGTAGTTTAGAAATCTTTGCTATCTTGTAATAAAACGCTGGGAATTAAGATATGCTTACCCTGGAGGTTGCAGCCAAGAGAGCGCGATCCAAAAGTTCCGTATCCGATTTGCGCTCGTCAGCGGAGCGCTCTGTCCTGTCCGAGAATGCAACCACCCAAGGCGCACCCAACAATCTGGCCAAAGTCTGTGCAGTATACGGTTGTTGCTGGTTGTCCAAGAACGCTTCCAAGTCACTGCGCGCCATGGCCTTAATCTTATGGATAGCCTCTACGTCTTCGCTTACAGACCCGCTTTTACGCATTTGGGATGAAGAGGAAACGATAGCGACTGACAGGCGCGGAAATGCGATGAGGGTACCCAGGATGAGGGCGAACGAGGCCGCGTTCGATTCAAAGACCATCAAGAGTTGCTGGAGTGTTTGGCGACAAATCTGATTTAGCTCGGCAGTCTTAGTGGGCGAGTCGACCAGTCCAGCTAGCAAATTGCAGAACGCCCATCCCGTAGCAAACGTAGCCCAGCTCGATAATTCGCTTATGTGCCAGATAAAAAACATGGAGAATAAATAAAAGCGATTAGCCTTTATAGCCGACTCATGAAGTTATCATGGCTTGCTGATGCACATTTCTTCTTACTTTGAAGTGTTTGCATTCGCTGCATCGTCTTGCAGGCGGTCAGTAAACACCCCGAGAACGGATGTAACAAGTTTTTCGTCGACAGCAGCGAGAGGCGTGATAAAACTGAAGGATACCAAAACAGCAAACTGAACTTCATCGCTACCGCCTACATCTGACAAGGCCTCAGTGCGGACGAAATTCTGGAGTAAGTGCTTGGCTAAAATTGAACTCTGTACAGTCGATACAGGATGCGAATGACGATGAAGAGACAGAATGATGCCTTTCAGGAGAGATAGTGAACAGAGTTTGAGTATCGAAAGTTGCCTTCGCCCAGCATCATCTACTGTCACCATTAGACTTCCATGAATGTACCTGTGATGGCGAATAGTGCATTTGCACAATGTGCTGGTACATATCCATCCGTGATCTTCTTGTAGAGGTCCCCAACCAGCGTCTCTGCGATCGCTAGCGTTTGGGCATCATCGTTTGGAACCCACACGTTATCGAACAGGGCTGTCCATCCTTCCAGGGCCGATATGCGCTCCACCAGGTGGTCTGTAAGCGTAACGTCCGTCAAGGCCGTCATCACATTCCTGTAACTCTGTTTGGCTCTAATTGCCTGCACAGAATCGTCACCCTCCGCCGGACCATTGCTGCTAGCGCTGCCGCTGAGATTTGCTGCTGGCAATTTCTCGGTTACTGAAGAGCATAGCAGGCTGGAGAGCGCATAGCCGATTCGTAGACCCGGGTTCACATCACCAGACTGCCATTTCTGTAAAATATTTCCTGAAACGACAGAGAGAACCCCCTGCAGTCTGTCTAACTCCTGTTTCCCTGAGAGCGCATCCAGAGTGGTTTTTTTGAAAGCGGCATCCTTGAAGAGACCACGTCTCATATGCTGCAGTTCATGGCGGACCAATTTGTCGAGAATATAGGAATACTCGTCCACCACCATCGAATCCGGGGCCTCCATGATCCGCTTGCGAATGTACAATGAAGGCGACTCTGTTGGCAGAATAGGCATGATCTCGGGCGCTGTGAAGCAAGAGAGCGCCTTCAGAGCTGCGGACAAAATCTTTGGGTCCTCAGAGTCCAGGAGTGGTTGGATATAGTTCACAAGAGTGGCCTCACGCAAATCCAAGTAAACTTGCGTGTCTGGATGTGTAAAACATGAAGGGAAATATGAGCGGTTCGAATTCTATGTCTTTCAGCTGTGATATTGTCCCATGAAGTGCCCTGTTACCTTCGCTTCTTGAACCAACGATACCGTAGAAAACGCACATCTCCCGAAGCATTCCTGGGTGACCGGTCTTCATCGCGTGCTCTGCCACATGGCAAAGCAGTACATTCCATGCTAGGATCCAATAGATCGCATTAAACAAATATTCGCGGGGTACAATGGACATGACGCATTTGAAAAAGAGAACAAAGCAAAATGTAAATCTATACCTGCTCTTGGTTCCACGACATTGGCGTCGACAATAAGGTTCATGGTCTCGATAATAGTGCAGATGGAGGAGGCGTACAACTCAGCCGATCCAAGTAAGTTTGCCAGGAAAGGAATAAGCACCTCTGCATATCCAGCAGCATCGAATGCACAGATATCCCTGCGCAATGTAATCGAGGTGCAATAGCATTAGAAAGCTGAAGAACAGTTTAAGCCAACGGATTTGCAGTTTGATCAGGCAAGGCAACTCACCTTATCGTGGTAAGGACGGCCACCTCCATCTCGTATTCAGGCTGGCCCTTGACCGGCGTCTTCAAAAGCCGCGGACGATTTTCCACCCATCCATGGATCACATGGCGCAGAGTCTTCCACACTCGAGGCTGCCTCTTCCAGATGAGGAACAGGACCCTGACTCCTACCGCTCCCATGTGCGAGTTGACAAACTTGGATCCTGAGGGCGCATTGGGGACACCGTTTATAAGTGTCAAAATAGTTCGGAGCACCTTTGCAGCAACTATCTCGTCTTTAGATGTCACCAATGAAGGAATGGCGTCCTGCAACAGATGCAGCTTGACAAGTGGAGAAGGGTCGACTCTCAGCTTGTAGATGAAGATTACTAACGCTACCAACCGGCCATCGTCCACCTGTGCCAGGCGTGTCGCAGCATGAATCCGCCTGTTCTCATCGGGATGGAACATAAACGTCGTGTAGATAAGGCTGGAAAGAACGCTGTCGTCGCCAATGGTGAAGAACAAATCATTCTGCTCTTCGTCCGTATCGCTCCAGACTAGACGCAAATGGGAAATCTCTGCCTGAATCATGGCAGCTACGCCCGAGGTCGATAGGGGTTGTGGATTTGAACGTGTATGGGTATCCGATGCACTGGAAATGCCTTCCAATGTGCTCAAAATCTCCGAGCACTTCTTTGTGAGGGCTTCTGATTGCGACTCGCCCAGTACCTGGAAGATTGGAAGGAATGCCACGTTCGCGATCATGGGCTCCACGGTTTCTGTTGTCGCAGCGATGGTTGTATGCATCCAATCAACGACAATCCGCTGCTCATCCAGAGTTGGTGAGTTCATCAGTAGAAAGGATAAAAGCGGCCAGAGGGTCTCGAAGGGCAATGTAGGCACGGTGTATGCTTTGCGTTTCCTGAAGAGCGCTGGGATGGACTGCACTAATTGTAGGGTTGGAAGTCCGAATCGCCTCATATCTGCCGTCCAGGAAAGCAAAGTTAGCAAGAGTCGACCGCCAAGAACCTCCTTGTACGGTGCCGAAAGAGACAGCTGGGTAGAAGGGAGGCAATAGAAGTCTACCAATGTGCTGATTGTTGCCTGCAATGCTGTACTGAGCTGAGAACGCTCGAGAGGGAAGCGATCGGGAACAGAGCACAGGTAGTTGAAGAGGTGTATAACGAAGGGATCCAGTTCCGAGTCGAGAAGGCAGCTGTTGAGGGTCTTGGATATCCAAAGCAAAGCTGTGCTCGAGACAGCGGCCGTCCGTGCTTCACGGTCCAACAGGCAAAAGTCCAGAAACGGTACTAAGATATCGAAAGTCGCAGTTCTGTATTCAGCTGAGTCCGATCCATGGTTTAAGATCCTGTCCATCTCTGCAAACAGGATTGTTTCCACATGTGCCTTGGTCGAGATCAGGCCAATATACGGATGTCGATTATTCTTCATAGCAAAAGCATTCTTGTTGATTCGGGTGTTCGTCTTTGATTTGCCGCACGAAGCCTCCGCTGCGGCGATGATGAGGTTGCTGAGCGAGTGTATGATGTTGGCCAATGCCTGTCCCTGAGCGGTGGACAGCGCGTTCTCGAATCCATCAAAGGCGTCGCCCCAGTCGAGTGTGTGCGCTGAGACGAGATCGACAATGGCTGCAGCTGCGACAGATGAGTTGTACGAGACTGAAGATGCACATTGGGCCCAGAGCTGTGCGAGAGCAAGGTTCCGGCCGCTGTTGCTGCCACCACCCTGGGCGTCGTTGACTTGCGCGTTCAGGTTCGTGATCTTTTGGACATTTACAGAGCGATGCAGCGAGGCGTTGTAGGTATTTATAGCAGACATCGTTGATCCCGAGCCTAGCCCTGATAGAGTGCCTGGGCTGTTCCTTTGCAGTCCTGTGTCCTGCCGCCTTGGAGCCGCCATGGGTGTGAGGTGCGAAGCAAGAAACGAGTTTTCATTTCAGTCAAAGCGGTGAAGTCACGGAAATAGGCACCTCCCACCCTTAACAGTGCCCGGCCCTGGCACGTTGCGCGACTCCGGGTCTATGTCAACGCTGCAATAGCTTCGGGTGTTTTTGGATCAGCCCTTCTTTCCTTTCCTGTTACTGTTCATGAATGGGAAAGCGATCGACCGTTACATGTTCAGCCTAGACACAATGTCTTTTTTGACCCGAGCAAAGAAAGTACGCGGTATCACCAAAGAAAAGCCGAAGCCAGCTCGGTTCTGAAAATAGGTATTTCTTTAAAGAATCACCATATCGGGACAGAACACGATGATAACACCCTGATCCCTGCATATAAAAAACGTATATTTTTCTGGAACAAATCTCTTGTTTCCTCATTCACTTCAACACCAACCACCAAAAACAATCCGAATCACACCATGTCAACACCAGCATCATCGACGCCAGACGCACCTATCGTCTCAAAGATCACACAGGAGATCAAGCACGAGGTCAAGCAGGAGGTCCGCGAACTGGAGGAAGGCCAGGTCGACACAGTTGAGACCAATGCCCGTTATCTCGCTTACCTCGCTCGTTACAAGAATCTGTTCGTCGCTTCGTCTCGTTATCTCGCTTACTCTTCTGATGTTGGTGAAGCTTTCCGTCCTGTTACCACGCCTCTCTTCGTCAATGCCATGTATGGAGGTAAGATAATCGCGACCGCCCGTCGTCGATCCTCTTTCCTCTCTTTATCAGGATAACCAATTAATTACACTTTCTCGCTCCTTCTGCCTCAATGCTAACTTGATTGTCTCCGTTCTATGCGGATCTGTATAGTTTCCTTTGCATATGTTGGTTTCGATGTTGCATATGAGGGATACAAGGCCAAGATGGCAGGAGCACCCAATGACGCTGTTGGAATGACGGTAAGCAATCGTCATAGATATCTTTTTTGAGTAAGCTCTATAGCAACAGTGCTGATAACGCTTTTACTCACCCATACTTTATCTCGTTGATGAAATTCGGTCAATTCAGGTCTTGAAAAGAGGAATCTTCCAGGGTCTCGCCAGTTTACTCATGGTATGTTTTGCAATTAGCGATCGACATTGCTGTTTGCACGTTCAAAATGGGGGATATTGCACTCCACAAACCTAATGTTATCTATAATCGATTCTATAGCCTGCCATTACTATTCACACTGTCGTCCATCAATCAGCGAAAATCTTCAAGAACAGCGCCAATGTCACTCTGAAGAGATGGGGTCCCACAGCCATCGGTATCTGTGTCGTCCCTGCACTGCCAATCATGTTTGATCACCCCATCGAGACCGCAGTCGACAAGGTCTTTGAGATGCTCGAAGGTGGCGGAGGAAAGACATTGCCCATGAACCCTGCAGACAAGCAAAAGGTCTTGGATGCCACCCTCAACAAGGAGAAGGTCGAATAGATAGAGCCTCTCCGTTTCTTCCACAAAAAACCATACGCTTAGAAAGATGTTGCAGTACCCTCTGCTAATGATCCATGAACACATCGATGTAATATAGATAAAAGGCGAGAACAATAGAATTGCATTGACTGACTGACTACTGATCGCAAAGAAATGGCTAAGAGGGCCTTATTAAATTGTATGTATATGTTTGTTTTATTCGTCTAAATCCGCGACCGGCGCACTGATATAAGGGTTCCTCAAGGCAAGCACTTGCCTGAATGTGCTGAGGAAATACAATTGAAGTTAGCAGGTCGAATTGCCCCACTTGGCCTTGACGTAAATGGGCCACATCTCGTTGGTGGTGATACCGACGCGGTAAGGCTGGGCAGTGTAGTTGTTGGCAGGATCCAAGGTCTTGAGGATGGGCAACATCAAGTTGGTGAAGAAGGACAACCAGGCCACATCGACCAGGTCGTTGTCACCGAGATTCGCGGGCAGAGGCGAGGAAACATAGTTGGGGGTACGGACGGAGGGAATGGGACTGTGGGGCCAATCGTCTCCGCCATATCCATAGTCGTCCTTGGTAACATAGCCAGGAGTCAAAGTAACGTTGTCAGGAGCTGGGGGAGGTCCATCATCACGCTTCTGGAAGGGGGCCTTGTTGAGGGCGTTGAGGATATTCTTCGCAGCCTTATAGGGGACAGTGGCGTAGACAAAGTCATCATGGAAAGGCGAGACGACATACGTGTCATCGACAGTGAAGGCACCCTTAGCAACATCGAAGCGCTGGCAGCCAGAGTTTATGTAGACCACGGCAGGGTATGGGCGGGTCTTGTCAATGATCGAGAAGGGTAAGATCTCTTTGGTAACGAGGTCCAAGAGCGAGCGGCTGTCGGTGTAAGGATATCTGTCCAGATAATAATCCTGAGGAGCACATCCGAGAACGGTAGAGAGACCGAGAGCCTTGCGCTGCTTGGTGATCTCCTGGGTAATCTTGCGGCCTCTCCAGGTGTCGAAGCGCTGCAAGGGGTGGGCAAGTGAGTGAGTCTTGTAGGTATGGACGTTGGTATCGAGGTAACGACGTGAGACGGTCAAATTCTTGCCGATGCAGTTGGTCTCGACGCGACAGGCACGGTCATGGATGCCGGAGACTGACATCCAGCCGAGGGTTTCCATGAAACGACCAGCAGAGAGACCGTAGGCGCGACCGTCATAGGCAGTGAAATCACGGACGTGCAAGTGTCCACCAAAGAGGAGGATGGGCTTGGTTGGATGAACAGCACGGATGGCCTTGATCACGTTCAAGGCCTCGGCCCAACGGACGGGAACGTGTCCGACGACCAAGTAGACATCGACATCCTCCTTCAGCGACTTTTGGAACCATGGCAGGGTGACAGTGACGTTGGAGGGCTCGATGACGGTGTTGTTGGCGGCACCGACAAAGTTGTAGAGGAAGCCATAGCTCATAACGCGGGTACCGAATTTCATGCGAAACTTGCTGTAGAGTCTGCCGATAGGAACAGTCTTGTTGGAGTGAGCATCCTTGATGAAGGTGTTCGAGGTCAGGTACTTCCTGCCCCATTTGGGAGCAAAGTTCTTGTAGGTATCCTCAGCAATTTCGTTGAGGTACAGCTCGTGGTTTCCGATGGCCAAGGCATCGTAGTTGACCTTCTGGAAGATAGGGTTGGAGGCCTCACCATCTAACGGAGTGGCATCAGAAAGACCGTTACCATCGTGCAGATCGCCAGAGTCAACGACCAACAGATCCTTCTTGCGGTGTTGGGCCTGCTCGCGCATGTGGGAGAGGAAAGAGGCAAAATCACCGAAATCGGCAGAGTAGGATTCCTCCTTGACGTGTCTGCACAGCGATGAATAAACTGCGTTAGGGATGATGCACTATGATAATCTGACACATGTATTAGAGCTGAACGGTGGAGTAGAAGAAGTTACCCAGCCAACCATCCATGGGTGTCAGTAGTACTGATGACATTCAGGTCACCCCACTCCAGAGGACGCAGATCAATGGGATCAGGCTGAGGGGCACCGGGCTGGGATCTACGCTCGATGGGAACGACGTGGGCAGAAGCTACAGCCAGCAAGGGCAATAGGGCCAAAAGACGCATTGTTGGTATAGGAGGAAGAGGGGTGGAGATAGGGGGCGAGAAGGAAGGGGACCAACAGAGCAGACAGGGAGTCAAGTAAAGGATGCGAGAGGATTGCAGTATTTATATGTTTTTTTTTCCTTGTTCATACACTCCGGTGCTAATAGTTCTTTAGGGCCCTGGCTGCTCCCCGGGAAGAAGTTGTACTGTATTAGTCTGTGGCGCCAGGCATAGTTCGCAATGCAAGGGTACATGTACCCCATCCATTTGCAAGCACAAAGCGAAGAGGGAGACGATATATTAGCCGTTGGGTGTGAGTTGCTCTGTCAAGGTATATCCATCAAGGGCGCCCGTTTTCTTGTGCACGTTTATGCAGCTGTTTGCTGTCGTTTTCTACGGGCTCGCTTACTAGACCCTCTCTCTGCCCAATGGGATGTAGACGAATGAGCCCTCATGCGAGAAAATTGCGGGTTGGAATTGTGCTTTCGCCTAAGCATGTTGTGGACCCTACTGTGACCCGCTCTTTTCTTCTGGGAGAAAGGGTCCTCAAGGATGCTCGCCGCGCTTTGCTGCAACAAAAGTCGGACTACTAGCACAAGAAGAGCAATTGCTGGAATGTTTTTTTCCTTTTCTTTCGTCTCTTTGTCCGGCTTATAAAAAAATTAAAGGACATGGTCTAGAGCCTCACCCGTGGCCGCCAAAGCCCTCTCTGAAATCCATACATTGCCGCAGATACTTCTCGTTGTCCTGGTGCTTCAGAGCAGCGGTCATTGCTTCATCTCATGTCATCGGTCGCCTTCTTATCCTTCTGCGCGTCGTAATATGAATTTTATTTTGCAAGTTATCCAAAAATGCTCACATTTCCCATGCAGCTTACTCGCGGTAGCTCCTCTTTGGCTGATGGGAATAGCGCAAGCCAATCAAATATTCTCACTAAGACGCGTGAAAAATCGTTGAAAATCCAAAAGGCCTCAAATTCACGTCTCCATGGGGTAGAATAATAATCGGGCCGAGGAAACAAACAGCTCCCTTCGCTCAGCGGCTTTTTTCTATATCTTGATATTGATCAGCGCACCATGGCCATTCAGCACTTACACGTTTCGCGGGATCGGTTTACGCGCGAGAGCTATTGGCCCCTGATGATCCTCCCTTTCAAATCTACGCTCTTGTTTATCACGAGAAGAAAACAGAAAAAAACAGGGTCCATGTAGGATATGGGGTAAATACTGGAACCATGATTGTCCTGCCTTCCTAGATAGGTGAACAAATGATTCGCTGTGGACGAACTGTCGAAAGAAAAGAATGGCCTGGTTGGCTAGAACCTAACAAGGCTGCTGGGTCTTGTTGTTCGGAATCTAATAGCGTTATGTATATGTCTATTAATCGACCGTGGGAGAGATAAAACGTGGGCATTGATGTCGCTCGAGTGCTCGTGATTTATGAAAAGCATCGAGGCTCTGGGACTCCGCCATGTGGCAGTGGGGCATGAATATCAGAGGAAATAATGAAAAGTGTTCGGACTCTGTGTGGAAATATCGATCCATGGGGTATAGCCAACAAAGGCAATTTTGCCCCGTAGGACACACCCTCATCAACTTCTACCCTTCATTCATCTTGCTCGCCATCATTCATCGATCAAACTCCGAGCACTCATTCCTCAAGTTCCACTCGCGAGATCCATTCGTCTGAACGTTGTTTCATCGTACTTTCAATCTATTTCTTCCTCAACAATGTGCCACCGAGTTATCTGCCACGACTGTGGCAAATATACATGGGAAGGTCTGTTCTATCTCTCCGAGATGCGAATGGTCATTTAAGATCTCTAGCGCACATTGCCCTTCTTGTACGCATAATCTTCATCTAACCTTTCCTTTATTTTAACCTCAATTGAAACTTGCGATAGGATGCGGACTTCATATTGCGCAGGCACTCGCAGGTTTGTCGCTCGAACAAATCTGTTCCTGCGACGATGACCATGACAGTGAGCACTCCTGGGCCACAATCACCTCTCCAACATCCAAGCGATTTATTCCACGTTATCCACTTCCTTATCAGACATCCAGCGATCAGGCGGGTGCATCATCTTCTGCGACAGGGGCAACAACGTCAACATCATGTGATACTGTCCACAGCCCATCAGAACCCTGCCCCAACCCTTCACCAGTTGAGTATAAGCTGTCCAAAATCTCCACAACATCGGCAGCAGAGGCAGCAATGCGAAAAGCGCAGCAGGCGGCCGCATTAGAGGAACTCAGGAGGAGAAAAGAGCAGAAGGAAAAAGAAATCAAGACCACGAATCAGGACGCGCTCGAACGACTACTGCAGGGCTTATCACAGGTTACAGAGAACACTGCCGACGAGGTCAATCCTGAAAGCTGATGAACGGGAGAGAAGGCCGTACTTTTTTTTCTTTTCCCTTTATATTTATTCACTCCCTCGAGAAAGACCCCATACCATAATACATTAGTTAAGAATAAAGATAGCAAGTGATATACAATAGAGGTGAATTTAGCATGCCTAAGGCATTTAGTTGCGAAGAAGGCGATTGACGGCGCGCTTGAATTTGAAAATCCCACCCTTTTTCTTTGGCGGTGATTCATTTCCGTTGCCATAACCATCGTTCTCGTCCTCGTCCTCCTCATCGTCGCCCTCATTCTCAGGACTCAAACCTCTAGGAGGTACGTATTCGTAATCATCGTACTCTGGGTCGTAGTCATCCTCGATATAGAACCTCGAGTTGGCCCTCTCCTCATCGTAGTTGGGATTTCCGATCCAAGGCGCCTGCGTCACCACGACCTCGGCCGGCTCTGGGGTATAGGGGGCATTATAATAGTCAGAGTCATATTCTGGGTCAGGATGTGGCCCGGCCTTAGACGAGCCCTTCTTGGACTTTTTCTTCTTGCCCTTCTTGTTGACAGGGGGCGGTGGCGGTGTCTCTGTCCGTTCAACCGTGACGACCGTGATCATGTCGCCAAAGATCACCGTACGTCCGAGAGTCTCACTGGATCTTGTATGCGCTATCGGAGTCTTAACGAGGGCGGATTTCATTCCTCCAGTAGCGGCGTATTTCGAAGGGGCCGGAGTCGGGACCTGATCGATGGTCCTAGCGCGATCGTCAAATCGCCGAGAGAGCATCTCTGAGGGTGTCAGTGCGGCAGAGGTATGTGGCGAATGTGGTGGCGACTGTTGCTGACTCAATCGCTGCTGCTGGTAGTCATAGTGCTGTTGTTGTTGTTGTTGTTGTTGTTGGTAGTACAATCGCTCCTCATTGACCTGGGAGCGAGGGATGGAAGAAATGGTGCCATTTTGTCCTGGGAAATATAAAAGTTGCTGCTTTTGCTGTTGTGGATGCTGCTGGTTGGAGTATCGATCTCTTGATTTGGGTGTCAGGTAGCTGAGTTGCGACTGGCTAGAGTTGCTCCTGCCACGGATGATGGCGTTCTCGGCGTAGGGGCTGATGTCGCCAGATGACGAAGCAAAGCTGGAGAGGGACACGGCCCTGTCCCGCCTCATGGCCTCCTCAACTACTGCGGGAAATGTGTTGGACCGTTGAGGCACTTGTGGATTGCTGCTATTACGATGCTGGGCATGCAACAGCTGTCTGGCGCTGTCCTTGGGTGGCGGCTCTGGTCCGGAAACCTGTAAGTCGGACGCTGAGCGACTACGACCTTGCGACGATACCATTGAGGCCACCGAAGTCCTAGGCGAGGCAGCAGCATTCGCAGCTGACAAAGAATCGGGTATGGGGACAGGTCGCTTTGTGTATGCTCGTAGAATGGGCGATGGCGAAGGCGAGCTGGAAGCAGTTCCAGTGAGCGGTAAAGAATCGCGGCTGGCCCTGTTGGATGTGGAGTTTAGGTACGCGCTGAATCTGGCAGAGGCTGCGAGCATGGGGCTGCTCTCGACACTCGAGCGATCGCTCTGGGGCACGATTGAATTCCTGAGCGGCGTTGCTCGTTGTGGTGGTACAATCGACTGGTTCTGATGTCGCTGGTGTCTGCTCAAGGTCACAGGGGGCGTTGGGGGCATTGGCGCCCTGAAGTCGGGTGCTGTTGAGAAGGGCGAGGTGGGCGAAGCAGTGGAGGGCGATATTGGGTCCTCATCCGAGTGGCAGTACTTGTCGAGTATATCGCCAAAGTAGCCATCGTCGCCGCCGTCCTTGGTTTCTGTCTTTGTTGCGGGCTGTGAATGTGCGTGTTTGATTTCATGTTGCTTGCTGAAGGGGATCTGCAAGAGGGGGAGCGCTGGTTTTGATTCGTGATAGTCGCGCGGGCTCTTGTGCTGCCGAGGATCGGATGAAGGAGAGGCCATCATCGCGGGTGTCGTGCTGGAAGCAGAAGTGGTCGTTGAATATTGGTCGTCGTTATTGTACAGGGGTTGATGTGGTCGCTGCTGGCCTTGAATCGAAACCTTTGAAAAGGAAGTCCGCAGGGAGGCCAGGGTTGAGGCAGAGCGGCTACTCCGTTGAGGAGGCTGGTAGCTGCGGTCCTGGCACTGCAATCCAGTGTTGGCGATGGTATCCACGGAGGCAGCCATTGCGGGTTACAGTGATATGGTTATATTGTTGTGTTATGATACTCGTGGTTAAACTATGCTTCAGTTTTACTTTATAAGTGCAGAGGCGAAGAGGAGGGAAATAAAAGAAGGAAGTGTGAGGAGAGAGGTAGAAGGAAGATAGCTGGAGCTGAAGCTGAGAAAGCGAGAAAGCGAGAAAGTGGGAAAGGTGAGGAGACGAGGAGGTCAGAGGAGGTGAGGAAAGAGAGATGAAGAAACGAAGACGAGGAGGTCCACCTGGATATAAACACCAACAGCGACTGGTTGCCTGGCTCATCAAGCAGTACTAAACTAGCAGTGCGGCTAGGGGCGCTTTTTCTTCTTAAGGTTTGGTAATTCGCCTGCTACGGGTGGTGTGAGAGTGAGTCCGAGTGGAGAAAAAGGAACCTTATTCGTCGCACGGAGAAGGGGAGGGCGGTTTCTCGCAGGTGGTTGGCGAGCACTCTATTTGTCTCAGTCATCGCTGACACTTTGAATGAACTGACCTGGCCTGACTCCTTCTCAGTGATCCACACAAGCACGCACACGCACATTTTCCATGTACACAAACATGCAAGGCGAGGCAAGCAAACAAATGCAAACAAATGCAGATTCATTAAGAGAACATGTGTGCTGTCAGGCTATATATCATCAATGCGATCATGCCATCCCTTTCCCTCTCCCCGCCGATTGTCATCGGTGTCATAGAAACCCCTTCTCCCTCCTGCTCAAGGTCTCTTACAAAGATAGTTACAAAAGAAGAAACAAGATAGAATGGAATGGTTTTTTCAATGGCGAATACTCTGGTCTGTATTACAGTAAACTGGTGTTGTCATCGTCGATATCATCACGGACTTGTTCGCTTGGTCTGTTTGTCATCCGAATTCATCGCTGCTCACCGAAAAATACAGAACGATATCTTAGTGTATCTGCATAGACAGCCAAGCGTACGAGAGAGCACAGTGTGAACACAGACATAAGAGCGCTCATTCCCCCCTCAAAAGACTAATGCATGCACATGCCGATGCTTCGTTTTATAAAAACGATTAGACTGTCGACCATACTCAAGCACACAGAGTCTTATACTCGCCAACTCACTTGTCCGCTTGACCGTCGGCACTAGGTCTGTAACGTATAAGTTTCTTTAGTCTTGTTCCATGCAGCATTGAGGTTCTTAAGATCGATGGGTTCGGGACCCGCCAACTATATCTGTTCAGGGACCTGTGGGAACCCCTCGTGGATGAACTGCATATTCTTCGGCGCATTAAGCATCTGCATAAATGGGAAGTATTTGTCTAACAACCTAATAACATTAAGCGCTCAAAGTCTCTTTCTTCGATAAAGGGACGCGGACGTACGGATGTATAGTCCTTCCCAAATTAAATGCTCCCGCAGTCGATCTGCCAAGGATTAATGCAAGGCCACGAAAACCCCTTTCCTCTCTCTGACAATGGTCGCGTAAACATCAGAGCGTGAGGACTGTATTCGACCGCACCCTGCAACCTTGTTGATGAACGCCAATAGAAGCCAAAGAGGCGTCCAGTATACCGGCGAGAGTATAGTCTACACTGCGCTCGGTACACTCGGTACACTCGGTTGTTCATATTGGCCTAGAACACCACCCTACGCTTTGTTATTTAACCACCACTTGCGCTGTTTGCCCGTAAGAAGTGCAGTGGACACAGAACCGGGCGAAGCCCCTGAGTCATGACGTGCTTTGGTGTTTATTTCGCTAGATCTTTCTTTTTCTTCCATCGTTCGAATCGATCAGCATTTGCACCATGGACTTGAGCAACAGCGAGGAGATCACCTTGAACATCAACAAGGAATATGCCGAGAAATACGAAGCAACCAAACGGAACCAAGAACTGTCAGCCAGTACGTCTCTTTATTATTTTTCTCTCGTTTTTCTTTTATTACTCTTGCATTCCAGCACTAAACAGGAATAATGTACTTTTCCTGCAGTTCGCGACAAGTATGGCGACCTAGAAGAAAAAAACCTGGAATTGATTGCAGAACGCCAACACAAATATGGCTACACTAAGAACGCCGACTACGACTATGATTCGTGCGACTCTGAGGAAGACGAAGAGGAGGACGAGGACGGCGAGTTGATCACGGCAGCATTGGACGGTCAAATCATGAAAACTATTGGCCTTATTCGGGCTCAAGACCCTAAAATCTATGAGGCAACGAACCATTTCTTCATTCCGTCCGAGATGGAAGAGGCCAGGAAGAGGTGGAAAGAAAAGCAGAAGGAGGAAAAGAAAAACAAGCCTATGAACCTCAAAGATTACCATCGTAAAGTTTTGATCGAGAACAACGGTATAGTGAACGAGGATGCGGAGGATAAGAAGGTCTGGGATGAGTCCAAGGTGACACACGTCGAGCAGCAGGAGCGCCTGAAAAAGGAAATGAAGGTAGCAGTGCTTCCAAAGAACGACTGCTCTTTGAATAGCTTTACGCTGTATCTGGTTGCTCATACATTTTTTGGCCCGCTTTTTTCACAATAGAGTGCGTTCCTTGGCGGTGGTGATGATGACGATGGCGATGATTCGTTCTTTACGCAGAAGGCAAAGACAAAGGAAGAAGAAGAGGCCGAGGAAGAGGACTACAAGCGATTTTTGATGGAAAGCATGGGCAGCAGCAAAGCAGGCACCAATGCCTTTCAGGACTGGCGCGAATACAAGAATGCCCCCGATATGGACAAGGATGAAGCTTTTTTGATGGAGTAAGTCTTATCCTCACTTCTTCGACACACTGTTGATGCCGCTCAATGTTGTCAACGTGGGTTTTAACCAACTTATTCTATGTTTAGCTACATTCTCAATCGCGGCTGGATCGACAAGTCCCAGAAAAAGACGCTGCATTACAAGGAGATCATACGTGAAGATGAGCTAGATGATCTTGAAAATTCTGAGGACGAGCTTGATGCAGCAGAAGAATACGAATCAAAGTATAACTTCCGTTTCGAAGACGCGTAAGTGTCAAACCAGTGTCCGCATAAGACTGGGTAGTTTTATCCGAGTGGCCCTCGTACGTTGGAGCCTGTCATCATTAACATCTTTCTTTCATCTGCGCCCTTTACCCATAGTCAAGGTGATTCTCTCGTCAGCTATGCTCGAACGGTCGATGACTCTGTGCGAAACAGGGACGACAGACGCAAGAAGCGCCGCCAGGCTGCCAAAGAGCGTAAGAAGGAGGAGAAGATCAAGCAGCTGGAAGAGTTGAAGCGTGCCAAGAATCTGAAGAAGCAGGAGATTTTCAACAAGCTGAAGCAGATTCAAGAAATCACCGGCAACAAAAGTATGATTCTACCTTGTTGCATTCATTGTTTATCGTTCTGTGCAGGTTCCGCACTATGGTCTTTAACATGCTCGTACCTTCGTTTCGCTAGCTGTCGGCTTTGATGAGATCGATCTAGAGACAGAGTTCGACCCCGTAGACTATGATCAAAGGATGGAGAACGTCTTCAGCGACAAGTACTATGAGGGAGATGAAAATGCTAAGCCCGTATTTGAGGATGACATCGACACCGCAGATTACGAGCAGAGTAACAATGAGGACTCTGAAGGCGAAGAGTACAATGACGACGGCGAAGAAAATGGGAAAGAGAACGAGGAAGAGTATCCCGAAGACGAAAGCTATTATGGCTATGACGATGAAGGGTATTGTGGCGGTAACGACGAATATTACAACGAGGATTATGGAGAGGATGAATGTCGCTATGGCGACGAGGACGACGACATCATGATGGACGCTGATTATCTTCCTGGAGGGGAGAAGTGTGGAGAGACACAAGGGAAGAAGAAGACCAAGGAGGAGCAAAGGAAAGGTCGCGCGGATGGCACTAAGACAGCAGTTGCTGCGATTGAGGCTGCCAGGAGCACACTTGATATCGAGAAGGAGAAGAAGGACTTCAACGCCTATCTGAACGAGTACTATCAGCTGGATTATGAGGATATGGTAAATGTTTTATGGCACACATGGGTTTCTATATATATATATATATATTTTTTGTGTCAGATCGGCTCACGGGTCTTGCGCTGTATTTTCTTGACTCTCCATTTCCTTCATTTTCGCTATGAGGACAAAAAAATAGGTTGGGGATATACCTACACGCTTCAAGTACCACAAAGTCAAGCCGGCGACGTTTGGCCTGACGCCCGTCGAGATTCTGCTTGCAGATGACAAAGACCTGAATGAATTTATCTCGCTCAAAAAGTTTGCGCCCTATCGTCGTCCTGATTTGCAGGATGAGGATGCCCGAAAATTCTCGAAAAAGAAACGAGTTCAAATGTTCAGGCATAAGCTCAAGACTCAAATCCAGCAGCAGCGTCTCGAGCTGGATAAAAATTGGGATCCAGCTCAGAGGCGAAAGAAGGAAAACGAGAGACGGATGCGGGAGGAGGAGGAAGAAGCATCCGCCAAGAAGAACCAAGAAAGGCAGATGGATAAAGACAAGCAAGAGGAGGGCAAGGACACTGGCAAGGGTAAGGGGAAGAAAAAGAAGAAGAACAAGAAACGCAAGGCTGTAGAGGAGCATAACAGCGAGGCCGAGGCTCCCGTCAGGCAGGAGCAAAGTCATTATCAGAACGGCAGCAAAAAGATCAAGAAAAACGAGCAGGATGAGGACGTCAAAGTCAAGGCTAAGATCAAGGAAGAGAAGATGCAAGGAAAGAAAGAAAGGAAGGACGGCAAGAAGGATAAGAAGGTCAAGGAGGGCAAGAGAGAAAAGGTGGACTAGGCCTTTTACATAGTAATAAACTTGGCAATTTCACTTGTGATTATGTTATTTTTTTTATAAGTACAGGGTAGCCTCGATTACTTTAGGACGGTGCTGGTTCGTTATTTGGGCGCGGCTCTGATATCGCCGGTACCTCGTCATGAAGTGGGTCGAGGACCGCAGTAATGGGTTCATGGCTCTGAGCTATCGTATTTTCGGGCGAGGGTACGATCTCAGGGGTTCCGCGTGAGATATTTCGGCTCTGGACACCAACATCCACGGCTCCATGCTTGATCATCGAGGCGGTAAGATCACGCAATGATGCGCGGGAAGGCTGTCGGCTCAGAGCTCCTGGCAGGAGCAGCGAGGTCGTTGATGCTGAAAACGGCATCACGGACGGGGAGTGCAACGGCGTCTGGGCAAGAGGTCGACTAAGAGATCCGCTCTTGGATGGACGTAATATCATTGAGGACGTCGATGCTGAAGTTGATTTCGTGGGTCCAGAGAAAGTTCTCATCAGCGTTCCTGGGCGCATCTTTCCGGAGGTTGATGTTGCTCTCCTGGCGCCAGGCCTACTGACCTCATCGTCTTGCTGTGCGTTGGCGTCTGGGTCATGGTGTTCAAGGACCGGTTCCAGGGTATCTGGACGGTAGAGCGACTGGGCGTCAAATTCTTCTTGCTCGCGCTTTTGATGCAGTGCCAGGATAGTAGCTGAGACCCTCCCCGAAAATGTAGAGCAGGATTCTTCACCTTCGCTGATCTCGTCCGAGTTGCCGTCGTCCTGGTCCGAGAACATGCGGTCCAAAATCTCGTGCATCCTTCCGGCACTCGCAGCGACATTGCTGCTATGATGGCTCTCTGTTGGACTCTCCGGTCGACTGCCCGCACGACTTTTGATCGAAGGTGCAGCCGTGTTGTTGCTGTTACTGACGGTATCGATCTGGGTGCTGTCGAAAAAAGGACTACGTGTTGCAGATCGAAGCAGGAGCGGTGGTGTGGCGACCGGGAGTGGAACGTGCTGTTTCCGTTCAGGGTTAGGTTCTGCAGATGATCCAACATAGTGGCCCGACTCCTTTCGCCAGTACTGCACAGCCTTCTCAGGTCCCTTTGAGACCTTCAGGATGGCACCACCTTGGAGCTTTAGTGGTGTCTCGGACCGAAGTGCCTCAGCAATATTACTCTCGACAGAGTTGCGTGGGTATGTCTGTTGTGCACTAAGGACTGAAGTCCTTCTGCTCTCGGGGACGCCATGCTCTGAGGTCGAAGATCCGATGCCGGTTAAGCCTGAGTTCAAGTCTGCACTCACGTTTTGGGCCAGTGTGGGTCTATAGCTCATCGTGCGTATCGACGTCGTCGCAGAGAGCGTTCTGCTTAGATGAGGTGGGTGATGCGGTATCCCTGAGAAGGACGATCTCAGGCTAGTCGCTTGCGAAGCCATTGCCTCCGGGTTCGCGACAAATAGACTGCGCTTCTGGTCGTTGTTGCGGCCTGATTCCTGGAAGAAGCGACTGATCCCGAGTGAGTTGAGCTCCCTGAGATTATCGTCGCCCGCAAGAGACATGTCGTCGGGGGTGTCCATCACTGGTGGAGATCGTGGAGGTCGAATGACTTCAAACGCCTTTGGTTTGGAGCCATCTTCAGACTTTGTCGCTGTTCGTTTGCCAAAGTTAAGAAGACCTCCCAGGGAGTCCTTCACGGACTTCCATGTATTTTGTTTCCCTTCAGACGGCATTGATGTCGACCCTGCAGTCCCATTAGGACCGTAAAGGTAACCGCCGTCCCTGAAAATCTCTGACATTCTCCTGCTACGGAAATCTGGCAGTGCCTGTTGATGCGTCATTCTTTGAAATTTGGCATAGGATCCTGCTTGCGTGCCGGACCGTGCCGATGAGAGTTGGGTGGGTTGGAGAGGGATGACTGGGCCTTCGATTGAGTCAACAGGAGAGTGTGGAGGTGGCGAGATGGACCTTGCAGATATGGGCCCTGGAGAGCTCGATAAGGGGACAATGGCATCCGGACTTATACCCAGAGCCATGTCGCGATTCACATCGGATGGGAACATGGATCGGCGATATTCTGGAAGTTGGAGTGTGTGGCGATAGGTGGATTGATGATTTATGAGTCTGTCTTCAGGAGCGGATCGAAGATCCGTGATAGAAGAGTATGGCTCAACCGTGTAGCGCCTCGATTTCATTGGATTCATCGTTGCTGAGTCCGGACGACGACTCAGAGGTCTTCCTGTGAGCACCCAGTCATGTTCTGCCTCGACGGCATCTTCGAAACTGTAAGTCTTGGTCGGTCCCTTCCATGAAGCCCTGTGCGCCGACTGCCAGAACAGGATCACCTGGATCGTGTTCCAAAGTATGAGAGCAAACATGACAATAAACACTCCAAGGTGCAGAGCCATCTGTATATATCCAAAGAGCTGTCGCACCTCCGGTGAAGTGTTCAGATCATGTACATAGGCGATCGAGCAGCCGATGACCACGATCCGAACAAACCCTAATAGCAGATGGAACTTGTTGTCCCCTGAGTCTGAGAATGGCCACTTGAGACCGATGACCAGCATGTAGCCGAACTCTACCGCCACCAACACAGCGACCTGCGCAATGCCATACGCAGACAGCATTGCAACTGACAGACCCCATAGGAATCGAACCAAAAGGTTGACGAGAAAGAAGAGAGTACCTTCTTCAGCTAATGTGTTGTACAAAGGGCCATACTTAAGAAGAATACCGAGGTCCTCGAAAAGTAAAAGCTGAGTTGAGGCACGAAGGATTTTCCGGGTCAGCAGGATGATAGAGCCGACGGAAAAGATGAGGAGAGAGATGGAGGCAATCGAGGTCATCAACGTGCCGCCCGAGATGGTCAGCTGGTACATGGCCGAGAGAGCCAGAGGGGTATAGAACAGCGACCAGATCCGGATTAAATTGCCTATGATACAACGGATGCATTTATATTATCAGCGCTTCCTTCTCATTGAGCCTGCTAAGTGCTTTAGATTCAAGGTAAAATATATGTAGCTAGTTACCTGTAACGAAATTGAAGGCATGCTGAAGCGTCTTGCCCTTTTGGCGACTCTCCTTAGCCACAAACCAGGCAACCACAAGAAGGAATGCAGCGATAAAAAATGCAGCACCGCCAGCAATAACGACATTAATAAGAGTACAAAGAAAGATATGTGAAGGCGAGGCGCCGATGGCTGCTGCATATGCCTCCATGCCAAAGTCAGACACGTTATGTTGCCTGGAATTCCAGTTCCGGTTGTTGAATGGGTCGGTAATGGTAGGTATGATCAACGCAAGCGTAGTTGTAGTCGTGGGCACAGACGTCGAGGTGGGTGCGTCTGTACTTGTCGCGGAGGACGTTGGCCTGATTTTTGTAGTTGTGCTACTACTGGTAGTCGTCGGACTACTTGAGGGCGGGTCCGTGGTGCTCGTAGTTGTAGTTCCGGTGGTCGTCGTCGTAGCTGACGAGGGTTGGGGTGAGGTCGTCGGAGGTTCAGCTGTCGTAGTGGTTCCGAAAATTGGTAAAAGATCCCGTTTTCTATCAAATGAAACGGTGATGAGAGTGTAAATGCCATATCTACAAACCCGACAAGGTGCATTTGGTTTGGATACACCGGATACTTACAGGGGTCGACTACCGGTGATAGTGTGCATTGGAATGGGCGTCACTTTGATTTGATTTGTCGTTGTTGGCTGCCAGGCGGTGGTTGTGGCGAATTCATCATCCCAGAAAATAGGGAGCAGGCGCTTCCCCAGGCTGCTATCACTGGCTGCGTTTTGGGACCCCTTCTTTAGGTTAGCGGATCCTGCGCCTCCATATGCTAGAACATAGGTGGAGTTCTCGGGACCGTTTCCTGCAAAGGAGTTCCGGAACTCGAGGAATGACCAATGGAATAAAGAGGTGAAGGTCACATAGAACGATGGATAGTTGACCGAAAGCTGGCCAGTCATCACCATGAACTGCGTATAAAACATGATGTCGAACAGTCCTGGCGTATGCACGCTGATCAGCTCCGAGGTAGCTGCAAGCCCATACGTCGCCATTGCATTCAAAAATCCATTGCCGACCGCGGCCCTGAGAATGATGGATACGAAACTGATCGCTCCTGAATAGAGAGCTAATGCGAGAGGTAGATAGCTGATAGCTGTATTAACTCCAGCCATTTTCTGCTCGATCAAAACGGCGACGCAGACGATCGTCTGGTTACTCCCACTAATGATCTGAAAGCTGACCATGAGCTCTGCGAAGGGAGCAGTTTGGGCAATGGTAAGGTTCTGTTTAACGATGACAAGGGAAATTTTGAGCATGCTTTGAGTGTTGCTCAATGGAGGCAATAGGTCTACTTCAGTCTTCAAGAGTCATGTACGTACTGTAGACATAGAACCGGCTCCTGGGACGGTTGGACAACCCCCAGCAATCATGTTGCATGCGGGTCCCTCGCTCCTATGCAGCTGATTGCCCATGATAGTCGTCACGATGGACGTTCGCCCTAAGAATATAGATAGCTCGATGTTAAGATGGTTCATAGCAGGTCCGTAGATGTGCAGATGGTTGAAGTCGTGTCTCAGCAGTGCTGCAACTTGGCACATGTCTTTTTGCTGCCCCTTGGATCTTCAGCCGCACCCATTTTTCTTCTCATTAACCTTCTTTAGCGGGGCTGTAAATATAGCACGCTTGAAATTCCGCCTTTTAGTGCCACTGACAGCGCCTTCTTACGTTCCTCATAGTACCAAAGAAATGCTCTCGCCAGTGGTCATGAAGAAAAACATGACTTACATTGGCTGGTTTCTGCTGCTGGGTACTGGTAGAGGTTGGAGAAATTGCCTTGAAGCGCCAAATCAATGACTTTGCCCGATGGTTCAAAGTGGGCGGTGACCGTGGTGAGGCCAAAGATGGGATTGGGACCCGAGCAGTCGACGTAGGGCCATGCTGTCGTTGTGGATGGGAGTAAAGTGCAACCCAGAACGAACACCAGTGGCAGTGAACGTAGCCCCTGGCGCCACCAATGAGTCCATCCTGGGAAATGCATAGCAATGTGATAGGCTGATGGATTGTGAAAAAGGAAAAAGGAGGCGATGCCTCGAGAGGACGGAGATTCTTTGGTGGTATGGATGGACTATATATGAGGAAAATGGAAACAATTGGGCAACAGGGGAGGGGAAGAAAACGTATGGAAGAAAACGTGCTGTTACAAGACCAAGGTCATCAGGCCTATTCACATTCACGGAGGTGATGGATGGGGTGAAGGGGGAGAAGGAAGAGGGAGGAGGATCGCGTTGTTCCTGAGAGCGGTGATGGCGCGTTGTTGGCTGTTGCGAGGAAGGGGGACAATTGACTTTAGACTAAGGGAATGACGGAGCACAGGCCTGAGGACGACATGGCCAATACTGCTGCTGAATGAGAGAAGGGAGGGAATGGAAGAGGGAATGGAGGAGGAGGACGTCAAGGCGACAGTGGACGCTGGAAGGGAAAAGTGAGCCATCTGAGCCATCATATGCGAATGAAATTTCCCCCCTCCCCCCCTCCGCAATGGAGACATCTGGCAACAAACAATGGCTTAAAACCTTAAACTGAAAGTGTGGATTCATGATACGATAGTCTATCATCGGTAGGGTATGCAGAGTGCGCAGGCGCAACTGAACATGTACCTTAGAATACATTGAGTTGCCAATTGAGGCTGTCAGTTGAGCCAATTGGATGCGGGACCTCACTTGTGGATACTTCTCCAGGAGAACCGGATTGCAATTACCCCCTCCCCCCATCTCAAATGTATTCTGAATGCGTCCATAGATTATTCGACCACGCGGAGTCAATTAATGTTGAGTGGAAAGTTGAGCTGCAATTTCGAGTGCATCAGCACCAGCACCAGCATCAGCACCAGCACCAGCACCAGCATCAGCACCGGTGTTTCCCATTAGGAAGGAAAGGGAAAGAAGCTGGAACGGACATGGTATATTACATGGTATATGTTGAGCATTGAGCATTGGGCATTGGGCACTATGACATTGGCCCCGACACTGTGCGGTTTCTCACTTTATTTCTTTTAGATTCGGTTCTGTCCCTTTTTTTCTTTCTTTTCTTCCACTTCGTTTCGTTTCTTCATCCCGCTCTTTGTTGCATCCTCCATCCCTCTCCTTCCGCCATCCACCCTTCCATCCCCTCTTTCTTCTTCCTTCCCTATCCTTCCACTCCATTCCTTTTGTCTCCCACCTCAACCATTCTCCTTCCCCTTCATGACCCATCGAATGAGCCACTTGAACGCGTAAAGGCGCCCTGGAACATACACCATAATAATAAAAAAAACTAAAATGACCGACAGCAGTCCTAATGGCTCAACGACCGCTTCGGCAACCTCCAGCGAGTTCTTGACCTCAGCACCTCCATCCTCCACATCGCTAAAGGCTCTTCCTCGCCCCATCTCCATCCGCCACAGCCAGAGTTATGAGCCCTCCCCTCCGAGTCCCACAAGCCCACCTCTGAACGAGCTCAGGGGCGCGCGTTCCTCTGCGTCCCTGAATCTGCTCGCCTCAACCACGCCACTTCACCAATACAGAACTCCTCACTCAGGGCAGCGCTCCCAGCGTCAGCCATCAAAGTCTTCGTCCTTCTCAAACCCATTTAAAAAGCTACAAAACACTTTCGGAGGCAGTGGCAAACGAAGTCTGGATCTGGGTTCGACCAATAACACTAACATTGATGTTAACGATGTGAGGATCAAGCCCGAGCGGGTCGTGTCTTCGTCGTTGTCGGCCAGTTCCCTGACTTCATGGCGATCCAAGGGAGCCGAGATGCTATCAAAGTCTTTGGGACGTAACAGAAAGAGTAAGATGGTGTGCTCTGCGTTTCGTTCTGATAACAATGGTCGCGACGGGCTGTGCGGCTATGGCACACATACTGAGGTGAGTTACAGGGAGACTGATTCCTATTTACGACCCCACGCTTGCTAGATTCAGAGCCGCTGCTAAAGAGCACAGCATCGGCATCTGTGACAGGGAGCGTAATATTTGGGGCACATCTCGAGGACGCTATCCAGGCCTCACATATTCCTGATACACCAATGGTGCCTGCTGTTTTGTACAGATGTGCAGAATTTTTGGAGGTCAAAGGCGTCGATGAGGTTGGATTGTACCGGTAAGGACCCGGTTGTTTCTTTTTCTCTTTGTTCTGATATCTTTAGCTTGGTTTTGTCAATTACTCTACTGTCTTGTTTGTGTGGATCATGCACAGAAGTCAACGTCTTTGGGTGTGTATGTTTTCCTGTATATGACGATCGCATAAATCGTACCGCGCATGGCATGTCCCCACCCCCTACGTACTTGTATACAAAAAGGAAAGAAACAGGACTAAGTGGCAAAAAACAAAACAGACGGCATCCCATTTCTCCTTTTTTCAGCTCTTTTAAAAGAATACCGGCAGAAATGCAATTTATGTTCGTGTGACAAAAGAAGATAATATCGGTGTTAGATGTAAGCCTGTGGAAGATGGACGCGAAGGGCTGCATGCATGAACTGAGCGCGTATGGGGCTATGGTCAGAGGGTATACAGTATAAAGTGGGCATTTGCGTATATATTTTTATTGTTTATCGATGCATCTCTTGTTCTTTGAGGAATGGTCGCTTGTCTGACTAGTAGAATTCTACATCATCAATAGTGTGCCTGGTAGTCATGCAAATGTACAAAAGCTCAAGCGTATGTTTGACACTGGCAAGGACTACAACTTGCTGACGATGGATGGGATTGACCCGAACGATATTGCGACGCTGCTGAAGCTGTACTTGAGAGAGTGTGAGTGATGCTACCTGCGCATTTAATTATTATTGCATGTTTGACTATTCCTGGCTAGGATACCGAATTAATAATGTACACCACTAGTACCGAGTCCTCTTTTACCTGCAGCCTTACTGCAGCAATTCCAGTCGCTGCTTACGACTGATCGCCATATCTGTCAGACACTGCGTGGAATCCTTGTCCGCCTTCCACGTTCCAGCTATATTGCCTTGTCGTTCCTTTGTCACCACCTCTCCAAAATCGCCGCACATGACGATAAGACAAAAATGACCGTCTCAAACCTAGGCGTGGTGTTTGCGCCGACGCTCGCCATTGGAAGCGTGCTCTTCAAAGCATTGCTAGGCGGCTTCTATGATGGTGTCGACACACCCGAGAACAGAGAAAAGGGTCTCAAGATCGTCTGGGGCGGGTTACTGCAGGACGGAAACAATATTCAGGAATGGCCTGAGGCTGAAGAAGAAACAGGGTTGTCACAGTTTGTAACAGCAGAAACCTCAGAGGGCGACAAGATAGAATACGATGAGGCTAAGCAAGAGCAGGATCAAGGCCAAAACGATCTGGAACAACTCCAGCACTATATCTTCCACCATCAGTCTTTGCCAGCGTTATCGCCTTTCAGCGATGAGCAGGCGAGCACCACGGCTACTTCCTATTTTGGGCCCGTATCCCATCACGGCATCGGACCATTGGACTTGGACGATCGACCTGTTTACGGACAGATCATCACTGATCCATCCTCCCTGAGGAACTCTATCAGCAGCGAGAGCTTGGACGATAGCACGGCAAACGACGAGTCGACGCTTATGAAGGCTATGCTGCAACGGGAGGAGCTGGCCACAAAGCCACCTCCATCACCCTCATCGTCTGGATCAGACTCTGCAAAGATCCACTCTGCACAAGAGTCGCCGTCAGCAGCCACGCCTGCAAACTCTGCGATCCCGCCATCCCACTTGACCTTGACTGCAGCCATCACCAGCAATCAGACAACAACCTCCACTGACAGCAGCCCTAGTACCAGGGTCAACAAAATCGCCGATCCAGCCCTGTCACCGCCATTCGTGGCTATACTCCCATCACCAACCCAGAGTGCAGCCGTTCTGCACATCACCATCGATGCCGGCGCTGTACCCCCAGTTTCGATCTCAGCCTCAACCTCCGCTGCATCAAATTCAAAGGAATCCTCGCCAACAACGGCTACTGTACCCGGCATAGATACGCGCACGGAATATACTCCTGATTCTGGCAAGACATCACCATCAAAGAGCGAAACAGGCACGGTCCAGATACAACTATCTGATCCAATGCCGATACCCATCTGAGTGTACCATTCCTAGCTCCCCTTACACTAGCACCTATCACTACTTGTCGAGCATTTTGAGTACGGTACATAAAAATCATTTGTAATCATACGCGATGAATATCCTCAAATGGTTGTAAGTGGATGTCCAAGTGAACTAAGGTGGAGCGGTTAAATCCAAATATTTTCTTACCTTCCTTTGTTTCCTTTTCTGTTTCCTTTTTTTCTTTTCTTGTTTCCTTTTTTTCTTTTCTTTCTTTTCCATTCTCTATTTTTTTACAATCCTTTATTAGCAACAGATCCGCCACCATGACCGTCTCCCCACAGAGCCCTGGTTCATCATCACTTCCTAGCGACCCGCAACGTCCGTCCTCAATCAAGGCGCTGAACCAACGACCATCACCTCGTGAACTCTTTCGTCGTGGCTTCATAGGATCGAGAGGCGGGAAGCAGTATCCCCCCTGCAGCAGCATCAGTAGAGTTCAGATCGAAAAGCACAACAAAAGCGGGAGCGAAGGTGAATATACCGAGGATAATGGGACTCTGGGTAAGTCGTGCTCTGGTTCCCGGGCGCCATGCAGTCTGCTTCGTGGCCAACCTGCCTGGTTACCGACTATTCAACGGACTCTTTCCACGTTTCCCGTGGCTGCAAATCGGTCTACTTCCAAGACTTACACCGTCTTGGATGTCAGCGGGACCATGGGTATCGAAAGCGGTCGACCAAATCTGCAAACACCTGAAGCGCCACCATCTTTACTGCCGACTACAACTGACCCATGCACTTCCGCCACACCAAAAATATCCTCGCTGACCTCAACAACGACCGTCAGGCCGCCACTCGTCTGTCCTGTATCGATCTCCATGCCTCGAAAGCTGCGACTTCCTCTTCAATCTACAGAGTACTTGAAGACGGATCAACAAGGTCCGGATTCATTCCATTGCAGTACTCCCTCGCTGTTCGCGAGTAGAACCCTTAGCACGGTTCTGAAACATGATCATCTTGATGAGGATCCGCAGACTGTGGAAAATCAAATGGAGGTTAGAGGCTGTGCTTCGTATGACGAACCTTTACATTTAGGTTTACGCTCCTTTCTAATTTATATGTGAACACATCCTGCTTTCAGCAAATGCTAGGCCCCAGCCAAACACTCAATACTTCGTTGCTGTCACCTCTACATCCTTCGCCTCCGTCTAAAGTGGATGAGGTCTCTCAGAGGGTCAAATCTGCGCATGACAATAAAGGATCTATGGGTGAGATCCTGAGACAAAAATGTAAACCTGATCTTCCACTTGGACTCACAGCGCCCAACAGCACGTTCGATCGCAATAGTCGTTTCGACAGTCATGACCAGCAAGACTACGGACGGGCGCATACAAATGACAAGCACGTTCAAGCAGAAGTGCGGACACCAATCGGCAACACTACTGTGAATGTTCATGACTTTGGGATCTCGAATGAGCCGGAGACCGCGCGTGGGATGCCTGACACAACATTTCAGCATCAGATGCCACAGAATGACCCATATCTATTGCGCGATGGATTTGACGCCGCTCAAATTGTGTCATCGACCCTGAGGATGAAAGATATACAGCTTGTCAAAATGGTGAGACGGGCAATTTTTCGAGATGCTGCGCCCAATATTGAGCTGTCTTAATGAAAACTAAAAGGTTGAAATAATCATTAGAATTGCAAGCTACATGAATTACAGACTGACTTGAGACAAGCCTATGAGAAAAACGCTACTTTGTCGACAAAGTTGCATGAGATCGATACCATGCGCGAGACATTGCAAGAGGAAAACAGCGACCTGCGATTTGCGAAGAGCAATATTGAACAGGAGAAGCGTGCACTGGACCAAGAGTATGGAGGATGTAGGACTCACCTTCAAGACCTGGAGAAAGGTAACAATGTCGCTTCGCATTTGGTTGCTTTCATTTCAATAGTATTCTTTCTCAGCTGAATATGTCTTCCTAATCCTTCGTAGATCATCGAGGGCTCCTTTCAAGTCATGAAGGACTAAAAAGCCGGATAACAGAAAGAGTGGAATCGATCGTGGAGCGTCATCTAGACGCAAAGCATACGCTCGAGACGACTACGACAAAGCTTGACAAGTGTGGAGCCGAGGTTCAGACGCTAAAGGATGCTCTGAAGACCCTCAAGGAAGAGCGAGGTTGGTTATTGCTGATACCGTATCCACCATGTTGCGCATTGTCTTGCCCACGTGCAATGTTATAACCATAAGCACGGTCGTTGTGATACAGCATACCTTGCAGAACGATGCAATGGCATGGCGCGATTACTTTCCAGCATTCAAGACGCCAAAGCAGCAGAAAAAGACGGGTTCATCGCTCGACTCAATGAGCTCCAATCGCTCTGTATTAAAGAACAAGGTCGCTGTAAACAGGAGGTTGCCGAGTATATGCAGAGGCATGTTCAAAGGATTTTAATATTGTCATGCGGGGTGCCTTTCTTAATAGACATGCTCATTTAATTTACTTTATTATGTATAGGTGCGATGAATACCTTGGGCATGTAAAGGAGCTGAACGAAAAGGTCGTTATCCAGAATGACAAGATAGCTGCTCTTGTCACTGATATTGAAAAGAAGGAGACATTAATCCGGGACCTGGAAACAGCCTGTGAATCGTCCGAGAACGAGCTCAGCATGCTATCGCTTGCAAAGGACTTTGAGTGCGAGACTCTGCAGTCGCAGGTGGAGAATTGTGGGTATATGTAAGTATCAATGTGCCTATGGAGGAAGGGAAGGGACAGAAATAAGCCCACCAACACTTTCTTCATAGGTTGCAGAAAACTGAAAAGGAGCTATTCGATGCGAGACGACTGGCCTCTGAGTAAGTAGACGTACTGATGTGGCAACTGTGCACTACTATTATGTTCAGAGTATCGACTGATGACGCCGTCAATTTATTCCCAGGCACATGGAGCGTGCGAATCTCACGAAGTCGAATATGAAGTCGATTAGTGTAGGAACTAGCGACGACTCTGCCACCGATTCGTTTACACAGGTGAAGGCTGCAAGCGTTTCAATGTTGTGTAATCAATGAATGGGGGACATGCAACTAACACTTGCACTCAAATGGTATCTCATGAAAGCTCAAGGAACAGATTGATTTAGCGAGAAAACAACTGAGTCAATATCAGGAGCAGATCAAGAACCTGCAGTCCCAGCTTCGCGCAGTCGGATTTGAACGTGATAATCTTCAGCATAGAATGGAAAGCACCCAGAAAAAAATTGCAACTGTAGAGAATGAGAATGGACGGCTTTGCACCTCGTTGCTGGAATCTCAATCGGAGGTATGTTACGTACTCTAACCTTGAAGAGCTTGTTATGGGCATAGACATTGATTTCACCCTCTGGTGTTCTGCATAATATGCTACTAAGATCAACTCGGTTGTTCGCGACTGCACAATGCGATTCGAGGAGGCGCGAAAACGGGACTCTGTCGAGAATGAGAACCAGGCTCAGGTGAGAAAGTGCCCATGCCCACTTCATGATACCAAACTGGAACTACACTATTCTAAGTCGTCTATTGGCTGTAGAAAAAACTGCATCAGATCCACGCCCTCGAAATCCAGCTGGAGGAAAAAAACAAGGCGATGGACGGGCTTACAAGGGCAAAAAACGACGATGTAGGATACGCAAGGTGTTGTAGCATATGTGCTTAGCCAGATATAACAATAGCCATCTTATATCGCTCTCTTTTTACTAGATCGCGAAAATGTCGGATATGCAAGAGCGACTCAGCAATGCTGTATGCTTTCGACTTGCGATCACTAGCAGGTGCATAAGATACATGGCCTTGCTTGGTAAAGCTGCTCTAACAATTTGTTTGCTTGAATATAGCTGATTGGGTCAGCTTCGCTCAAAACGGTGATGCAATTACTAGAAGCTGAGTTTGGGGCACTGCGACAAGAGGCTTCGACTGAGAAGGAAAAGCATGAAGCGATTTCGAAGGAGCAGGAAAAGAGGCATCAAGCTGTGTCGAATGAATTGGAGAAGAGACTGAGAGAGATCCAAACATTGAAGGAGCACGTACAGCAGCTGGAAAGGACGAAAGCATATTCATTGCAACAGGTACACATCCCGTTGTTTAAAACAATATAGTGTGGATGATATGGCTGCGCTACAAAGTGCCTACTCTTATTTTCTGTCTCGCAATAGGCAGGCGAAGGCGAACACTCTATCCATGAGTCACCGATGCTGTTGTCGGAAATTATTCACGAGCAGAGTAGAAACGGCTCTCTGAACCATTTAAAGAACTGGTCTTTAGTTCTTTCGGCGCCTTCGGTATGTTCGTGCCAAATAGATACATCTTTGTTGGGAATGAAATGTATTAGCTATTGTGAGGCCCTCCTGATTGAACCATGCAACCTCAGGGCGAATCTTCACAAATCACAGATTTTGAGCAATCCTCGTCTCAAGCCACGGTGGTTGAGCGGGGAAAGAAGCGAAAGGTACAAAGATCTGCTTTCAAGTGGAGTTTTGCAGTTAGTATCTTCTTTGCCCTTTGGCACTATATTTGGTAACAACGGCAAGACTCGCCGTTCTCGGATTCGATAGAACTCAGCGGTGGTACAGGAACAGGCTACGGATGGGTATGATGGGCAACAGGGGAATACGAAGCGAGCTGCAAGGTCACCAAGCAAGATGTACTCGTCTAAAGCGCAGGCTATCGAGACCCAGACAACCCAACCGGCGCTTGAGTCTAGAGAACCAATGGTGGCGGCCTCTTCTGCCAATCTCACACTCAATGAGGCGATCGGGTCCAGTGAAAGTATGGATAAGAAGGAAGACGAGGACGACATTAATGACTTCGAGAGCTCTACACCCCAACGTATGTTACGGCCACAAAGATCTTATGGTTCAACCAAACGCAGAACCCTGGTTACAATACCTATTGGTAACAGCGGTGTCGGTGAAGCAAGTGACAGAGGCAAAGGAAGAGGAAGCGGAAGAAGAACATCTCGGTCAAAAATATAAGGAAGAAAGGCGGCTGGAGACGATTCGCATAGGCTATTCATTGCGAGCTATTCCACAGGACCCAATCCACATCGGTCTCATTCACACATTTGCTGCTTCACAAAAATAAAGTTATGGCATGCACAGTACATTTACAAATAAGTAAGTGCATGAGCACAGCACAGTGCAGAACGGGTACTAATGCTGACGCGTACATACTGCTGAATGTCATAGCCATCGGCCGAATGACCAGCCATACATCTCAAAACACGCCTTGTATATCTAGTTGAAACCGTACATCAATGCCAAGCGCGACTGATGATCAGTTAGACAATGATGTACTATCGGAACTCCCATGTACGCATTATTCCCATGCCCGGTGCAAATGTTCGGACCGCATCTACCCTTGACGGCTCGCGATATGACACGCCATTCATGCCCAGGCATAGGCTCCATCCATACCCCTCTACTATTTCTCTCACCTTTGACCTCTCACCCATTTATTCTCTCACACCTTTTACATTCTCCACTCCACTTCGATTCACTTTACTTCTCTTCAAGCTCAGCACATAGCGGCGTTCTATTTTCCTATCTTTCAGTCAAAGCCTTGGCCACTCGTTTTCGTACTGCGATCATTTAGACATTTCATTGTAGCCATCCTCATTTTGTTCTCTTCTCCACTCTACACACGTCCTCCTCTCAAGTCGCCTTTCCCTTCGCTGTAGCCGGTAGAGCTCTCTCCAACAATCATTACAGCTCATATTATCCTTCCGTATCCCCCTATAGCTTTGTAGAGCTATCAGAAAAGAAAAGGTCCAGCACACACGTTCTTTTTCCCTGAGTATGAATTACCAAGAGAGCACATTTCATTTTGCACACATCCTTCGACCATCCACCCAACAGGGGATTCTTAGCAAGGCTCATTTCAAATCTCGCGACCCGATTAATATAGCCAGCAGAAGGTTGAGCCAAACTTCGCCCACTTTTGGCGAGATTGGTCTGCGCGAAACTGAAATGGACTTTGGGGCTGCAGTCGTTTTCAGTGTCAACCCACCCTCTCCACTTGAATCCGATCTCGGTGTCGACGAGCGAGAGTCTATTTTGCAGAACTGGCATACCAGCGAATCATTAATGGAGACGAATCCAAGCGACATCGATGCCGAAACATTCGGAAAGTTTGAGCCAGTGAATATGGATCATGGCATTGGCATGACATTCTTAGGTGCGAGCCCATGCTCGACAAGCACAAACAACTATCCTGCCGCGCAAGAAACGGACCTAACTGGGCCTAGCAGTGCATCAAGAGCTGGGTCCTACTCTGGCAAGCCAGAGACCTCCGCAAAGAGAGGATCGAGCGGTCGACGATTGGCATCCGGCGAAGCACACCGTAAGTCTGAGCTGTATAAGACCGAACTCTGCATTTCTGTGCACACCGGACTGTCTTGCAAGTAAGTAAGCCTGTTATACGAATATTCTGTTTTTTTATACTTTGAACCGTACTCTATGCCTGAGCGGCGTCAGAAATGCCTTGAAGAAAAAGGACATCGACACCTAACATTACCTTCATCATTATGATCTGGATAGGTATGGAGACAACTGCCAATTCGCTCACAGCGCACAGGAACTAAACCATGTTGCCCGCCACCCCCGATACAAGACCCAACTGTGCATCAGTTTTCAACGCAACGGCTATTGCAAGTACCACGACCGCTGTACCTTCATCCACCATCCCGAGGAGGCTCGAGTTTCGCCGCCTTCTGGACGCCGGGGAAGTGTGCATGAAAAGACGACCTGGTCACCCACAGTTACGGCTTCGGCCTCAAGTTCCAATGTTACTATGCCAGCATTTGTGACGAATTCAAAGATCGAGCGGCTTCGAGCCATGTCAGATCCAGGTCTTGCGTACAATAAAATCCTGTCGCATCCCGAGAAGGCCGACGAAGCTGTTCCTACCAGCATGGCTCTCCCGTTGGTTGCCTTGCGCACCCAGCAGCTACCCCCACCTAAAGGTCTTCCTGACATGCCCATTGGTATTATCGAAGCAGGTGAGCCACTTGGGCATGTCGATAGAACTGCCCTCACACTTGTACCATCCATTATAAGGCGTCGTATGTTGGACATCACCCCACCATCAGAGCCGATCAGTACTGCTGTTCCGGAGGCGCTTCGATATCATCAAAACGCTTCTGGTTTCTCATCGCCGTCGTTGATGGACTACATCACAACCACAAACTTGCCTGGATTGGGTGCTCCGGGTTACGGACTGAACACGGTTCCTACCACTGCCTCCGGGTTTGCTTCGACGAACACGAATCTGGAATGGCAATTCCCTATCCGATCCGATTCCCGCAACCTTTGGCGCGAGAACGCCAAGATGGACGACGACGAGGAATGGGCATCTAAGTTGGCGCTTTACATCTCGACCCCACAAAACGATTTCGAGATCTGAAAGGTGTCGGTTGTCCTCTTACACCGATGGCCTTTTTTTTCGCTCCTGCCTTGAGCGCATACTTTGGATCTTTTGCTGGCAATGTGTGTTAATAGTTTTCTTTTTATTACGTGTATGTATTGAGGCAGTGTACCAGTGCAGGGTTGACCTCGGGTTATCTATTCTTTATTATAGTAAGTGGGCGGTTCTGCGTAACGCCTCTTTTTGAATAAATGTAATTATTTTTCGCATCCAAGCGGGTATCTCTAAATAAGACCTGCACAGCCTGAAGACCTTTAATTTAGCTTCAGCTTGACACGACAGCCAATGAGGACTTTGATTTAAATTCGCAGGTCACTTTTTTGCCACCATTTTTTTCAACCTTTACGATCGCGTTCGTTTTGCCACCGAATCTGCATCTCTTTCTTTCTGCTTCGAAATCCACCTACCCCGACAGAACTACACATCCTGCCAAAACACAATGTCATCGTCAAGCTGGAAGAGCAAATACGAGGACTATGACGATGACGATGCAGACGAGAACATTCTAACCGATGCCCAGGAAGTGAGCTGCCCGAATCAAAACGCGTCCAAACTTGACCCGGAAGAAGGGCTTTCCTGCACAAATTGCTAATATCGTTTTTTTTTGTGTGCTTCTTCACGTTAGACACAATGGAGTAGTCGCGATAGTATTCTGTTCGTAATCGATTGCTCTCCCGCTATGCTTAAGGCCTCCGAGGACGGCGAAATTCCTTTCTACACGGCAATCAAGTGCGCCATGACCGTACTCCTCAACAAGATCATCAGCAGTGAGTCGGATTTGGTCGGCATCGTTTTGTACGGTACAGTAAGTGGCATTCCTACTTTTCTGACCCATTGAATGGATTTAAGCGCCATTAAGCACTGTTACTGACATTCATATTCACAGCAAAAATCAAAAAATGCGAACAATTCTGAACACATTTACGTGCTCCAGAACCTGGAGATACCGGACGTGAACAAGATCCAGCAGTTAGAAGGCATTGATGACAGTAAATATAGCTCTGGCGTAGTTCTCACAAATGATTGCCCTATATTGTCGCAACAAAACTAACATTAGTGATGTCTTTTCTAACATAGGATCCATCAACTTTGACGAAGAGTTTGGAACCAGCAATGGGCAGTACACGCTAGGCGAGGTTTTCTGGACCGCGAGCAACCTTTTCGGAAGCAGGTATGAATTCGCATCGTTTATTTTCCATTGGTCGTATTATCAGCAAGGATGGGAGGCATGACCGACAGCTAATAAAGTCATGCTTGAGTTGTCAACACTAATAGCGCTCAGAGAGTCGGATCCAAACGCCTGTTCCTTTTCACAAATGAAGATGATCCCCATTTAAATGACATCAGCCTGCGAAGCGCTTCTAAAGTTCGTGCCAAGGATCTACAAGATTTTGGCATCAAGCTTGAGCTTTTTGATATGGACAAGCCGGATGAAAAATTCAATCGAAAGAACTTTTACAAGGTATAATGTCTTTCCTGTCACCTATGGTTCGACCTTGCCTTTGGCCTTCGCTCACGCTTTTCCACGTTGATTTGTGTAGGATATTCTAATTGATGGAATTGACGACGATGATGAAGAGGGCGCACCTTCAGATGGTACATCAGCGAAACTGGGCGAACTTCTACAAAGAGTCCAGCGAAAGGAAGTAAAGAAGCGCGCTATGTTTAATATTCCTCTCAAGCTGGCGCCGGGTCTGGAAATCGGCGTCAAGGGCTACAACCTCGTTATGCAACAGACAAAAGGCCCGCACAGGAACGTCTACACCTTGGGAGAGGCCATTCGGGAAGTTCAAACCGTCACCTCATGGATCTGCGCAGACACAGCCCAATACATCATGCCAGCTGACATGAAATACTACTGGGAGTTTGGAGGCGTCAAGGTCGTTTTCACAAAGGAGGAAAAGGCCGCCATGAAGACGTTTGGGCCTCCAGGACTCGCTCTGATCGGATTCAAGCCTAGGAGTGCGATCCAGATGAACCACAACGTCAGCCACGCCATGTTCCTATATCCAGACGAGAGATCATACGAGGGCAGTACACGTGCGTTTTCGTCCCTGCTGAAATCGATGGCCGAAATGGACAAGGTCGCTATTTGCTCGTTCACTCAGCGCGCTAATTTTGGCACACGCCTCGTGGCCCTGTTCCCACAGGTATGCTACTCTTGAAACGAAAACTCGACTTGTACTTCACGATATACGGAATTAACTCAAGTTAGTTTTTATTTTTTGATATCTAGTTGGAAGTCGTAGGCTCAAACGGTCAAGAGCAGCCTCCCGGTCTTCAGTTGATTCCCCTGCCATGGGCGGATGACATTCGGCCGCTTCCTATTCAAACGGATTTCACGCGTATGTCATTGTCTTCAGCTTTCTGGGTAATTTTATCGAAACTGTACAACTAACCATGAAGTGGGCGATAAATAGCCCCCACGGACCTCATTGACGCTGCGAAGGCCTTCATCTCGAAGCTGAACATGAAAAAGGGCTTTAACCCTGACAACTATGAGAACCCATGTAAGTGTGCATCCACGAACAATTTTTATCGCTTGAGACGCATAAAACTTTCTTCCAGCTGTTCTAAAGTGTCTTGAATTTTTTGTATGGTATCATAGCGCTGCAGAAGCACTATAAGGTCTTGCAGGCCACAGCACTCAACCAACCTGACATGGACATCGATGATAAGACGCTCCCAAAGACCGAGCAGATGCACACAGTATGTCGCCTCTCGTCTCTGTTACTTGCTCATATATCGTGGCGCTCGCTTCCCTTGGGGAATGCCGACTGGTTTGTTGTATTGTGTTCTAATTTATATTTGTGATATATGAACGTAGCGTGCTGGAGTATATATACAAAACTTCAAGGATGTCGCAAGTACTGTCGAGTCGCCTGAACCAACATTCGACCCTTCGCTTTCGTCTTCCAAGAGATCTTCGGTAAGACCTCTCTAATGTCGATAGCCCTTCTTTGTTGTGCAGCAGCTTCATGAAAATGACGAATGTCATTTATTCTTGATTCTTAGCAATCGCTGTCGCAAGGGTCGACCTCTGCCAAGAGAGCAAAGAACAGTCAGCCAGATGGCAGCGCGGGGTTGATAGAGGATATGAAGTCCAAGTACGATAGCGGCCAACTCAACAAGGTAAATGCATCGATCTACAAACAACGGAAAATTATCCTGGGTGGTTTTGTGAAGCAAGATTCAATGAAGTTGACATGGGTTTTGTTATACCAACTACAGGCAACTGTTGCAACTCTAAAGGAGTTCCTTAACTCTGTAAATGGGAAGCCCAGTGGGTCCAAGAAGGCGGATCTGATCAGCCAGGTGGAGGCGTATTTTGGCAATTGACGTGGGTGATAGTTGGCCTTATTCAACAAACAAAATAAAGACATGGAGGATACAATGGCAGGTGTTGTGGATCCTACAATAGCTTAAGATAATGGAATAATGGAAGCTGGCAAGGCAGACAAGGCAGCAAAAAAGTGGGACACGGAGGCACGCCACTTGAAATAGGGTTTGAAGAAGGTGTGATTCCAAATCGATCTACCTTTGCCGTCTTCATTCCCTCCTCACTTCATCGCTTGGTTCATCCACCATCACTATACCCTGCAACACACAACCATGTCTGTACCTGTCACCTCTGTCACGCTCGAGTCCCTCACGGAGGCATGCAACGCCCAACTTGGCGCCACGCACGTTGTAAGAACCTGTCTTGTGCCTCTACTGCTTCCTGCTGCTCGTTTCTGTGATGCTGTCTAGGTTTGAATGGTCTTAGTTTCCCCATCCCCATCTTACTACGTTCTTCCTTCTCCTGACTATTGCATTCGTCCATTGCATCCTATCCCGCAGGAAGGGAAGGATATCTCTGGTAAGTGTATCGCAACATCGCAAACTGCGACTATCTGATCTTGCTGCAGGCGTCTTATCAGATCGAAAAAAATTTCGCGTGCTTGTCTTTGTGCAAATTAGGTGGTTGCGGACAAAACTTTGAGATCATTATAGTGTCGCCCATGTTCGAGGGCAAGACAACGCTGCAGAAGCACCGCATGGTGAACGAGGCATTGAAAGATCAAATTGCTCTCGTGCATGCCTTTTCTCAGGTAAAGGGCCCTGTTTACGTTGCCTGTGTCGTCAAGACAAGCTGTTGTTGAAGAATACGCACTAACACATCGTTTTCAATCGTTTTATCACTACAGAAATCGTACACACCAGCTCAGTGGGAAGCTCTTCAGAAGTAATAAGCTGTCAATTCAGGCTCTGGAATCATACCTCACGAGGAACATCTGTACCAAGACGGCGTCTAATCGTGGCTATGGGGTCCGCGATAAGAAGCAGCAACCTCAATATACTTTCGCTCGATACAGTCGCCAATGCCATACAGGCCACATCTTACCAACCTAGCAGCAATAAAGATGCCATACAAACAGCTGCTGTAAATTACCAAAGGTCTTTTTTATTCGTCTGCCCGCAATGACAGCTACTTGCTTCCACATTTCATCTGCTCAGAGGCCATAATCATCGTCATCCGAGTCGTCGTAACGGCGACGGTTGTACTATTGTTATGAGAACAAGAATCCAATGAAGGATCGCCGTTGAGATCACAATGGACCAATGATCCTCGGTACAGCACGACACTACATGACAAGGAAACAGACATACCACAATCTTTGTCTCAGATTTCGTTTGCTGATTGACCTGTTCCAAGAGTTCGATGAGTTGCTTCTCTGTGATCTTGGAGCGGACCTGACCGCCCTGAGCCATACGAAGCAGAAGATCCTCAACAGCTCTAGCCTTGTCCGCCTTCACCATGGCGATACGGGACACTATTGTTCAGGGTCAAAACGAGAAGCATTGACGGCGAACAAAATTAACACGGCAAATTCCACGTTGATATCCTACGTTATACAAGCTGATCATCCATGAGCCTACAGCGTTCGCGAGCTTCTCCGTCCAAGATTTGAATCAACTAAGGTTATATACAAATATACAAAGTACTCGTTAGTTTTATTCTCCATGCATTTGAGATCTACTGTTCGCATCGTGTTTTGTTGACGTACCATAGTGCGGCGCATCTCTTCCATTTGGCTATATCGGCGAGGAGCGATGAAAAAATGTCACCATGTATTTAGTATTCCTAAGCGTGAAATATTGTGCTTAGTACGGCTGGTTGCCACCGGTCATCCAAATTGCGCGCTTACTCCTTCTTGGCCTTTTCCTCTTCGCCCTTCTTGCCACTACTCAGACCGGCCTATGTGGAAGAGCAATTGAGAGGCTATGTTGTTTAGAAATACACGAGTCATATCGTGAAATGAACCATTAAAGCACGCGACGAAAAAAGGATGTTCAGCCGCCGTATTGCGACAATATTGGTTGACAATGGAATCTTACAGGGAGGCCACCCATGCTGCTTCCTGCGCCTCCGGACTGAGCTCTGAGTTCTGCCATGCGGCTATTAAGCGTGCAGAAAGGATGTATGGCGAGGATGCGTGGTGTCAGTTACTGCTCCTTGGCACTTCGTGTTTTGAGTGAATCCCCTGTGCATGGAATTTAAACTGGCTGTTTTCTGGTCTCCTGAATAGCATACCGGGCGCGGATCTGTTCGAGTTCGTCGTCTTCCATGTTGTCGAGTAGATGGTAATGGGATTAATGAACTTCTGGATTGTACAGCGCACCTCCTTTTGCTCGTTCAGCCGCGGAGAAGTGGCTTGTCACACTTTTCTTTTTGTTCTTTGGGCGACCATTCACCGCTAGAATTGTGCTACATCACTCACCTCGCCATCACACCGTTGTTCACCTTGGCTTCTCAGGCATCAGTTTAGCGAAAGTCTCATCAATAAGTGATCCTCTTCCAATTTTACTATGTCTTCTGGGGTGAGCATTGGGTGTTCCATGCCTACTGGATGAGAAGGCACAAGGACGTGCCGAATTTTCAGCTGGGTACGCCCGCAAAACGATTGGGATCCTGCCAACTTGGACAAACCAGCCTACAACCTTGATGTCTGGGGGGTAGGTTTTTCGTTTGGGAGGTGGACCACTTATAAACGTTGACCGATACGCCCTAGCGCTTTCGGTCGACGGCTGTCCAAGCAGTGTCATCATCATGGTGATAATGGGGGGTCCGAGCCGACTGAATGAGACGACAGCTCTGTGGAGCTTTCAATGTCCATATACAAGCTGTCGTGCTTTTCAGTCTGGTATGCTCGCCAAGCGATGGGCGGTCTCAGTATGAGTACATATCAGTCTGACGCTCAGCATTCGTTTGCATTGTGAGGATAAGGGGTATTTCGTTTGGGAAGTGGATCGCTTTTATACGCTGAGCGATGGTACACAAGCTGTCGCTCAATGTCTGCCTGAGCAGTGTTCACTTCATTTTTCTATGGACTCGTAGTCATTGTCTTTTGCTTTGATTCTGAGCCTCGTTGCTTGTTTCTATAACGTTATGTCGCTACAATTGCATGGCATCTCTACGACCCACATCAACATGCCGACGCTCATTTTCGACTCGATTTGAGACATCGGAGAAAGGTCAGCGAACACATCAATGCATCAAAAATAATGGTCGTGCCGAAGCGCACGCTGCGCACGACCCACCAATCCGAGAGCAAGCACGTCCTTTCTGAGCCGCTCTGGAAAGCTGCCATAAAGAAGAACAAGCCCAGTGCGAGCTACTTCCTTTCCACCATGCCTTCAAAATTTGATCAACTAGAGTACCCGAAGGGCCGGAACGCGAAAATTCGGACTAGAGGAAGGCACTGGAGTTTGAATGGGCTAGCTGGCTGGACTCTTTCAGTACATCTGGGGTACAACCTCTTTGGGGCATCAGCGTCAAACTCTGAAGGTTTATTCTCGCTTCAGTACACGATGATGTCATCGGTGCTTCGCCCATTTTACATTCCAGAGTACTGTTGGCATCGACCCAGCCATTATATAAAACCTATCTACACGTAGACTAGATAGCAGGGTTTACATAAATAAAGTCCTCTTTCTTCACTAGATTGACACTCTCTGGATACCATCGTTTGCATCTTTTAAGAAGTAAAAGGTACTCGCCCAATTCTAGAAAGATCTTGCCCGATAAGAGACACTTCGGCGGCAGCATCAGCAGCTCATAGATAAACGGAAGATGGACATCCGGATGCAGAATGTCGAGCAGTTTCGAGCGGGAATTTGGGTGGTACGTAACATTCACTTGTCCTCATTTTTCACTTGGACGTACTATACATGCGCGTGTACAAACTTTAACACTAGAATGTGCAAGATAGCAGAAGCCACGTCAATGTCAGCATCAGTAAATGCGGATGCCCGATCGCCTACTAAAGGATCATCGTCGAACTCAGAGCTAGCGTCTACCACGAGCTAAGGCACTACCGCAGCGACACTTGGCGGCGATCAGACCACCCTTGGCAACGCGTGCGATCGTTACACAAAGATCTACAGTATATTATATAGCTCCGTATCTGTTTATTCCCCATCTAGTAACTTGAATACAACCCTACGCTTTCCTTGACTCTGTCTCTTAAAACTGTATCACCCTTCCTTGCTCTGCCTTGCTTAGAAAAGGTCATTCTGACTCTGAATAGGCGTAGGTTCACGACACCATCCATGTCTCCGGTACGCTCATCGATGGGATGTTGAGCGATCTTTCTGGTGTCCAGCCTCTTCAGGGTGAGAATATGTCGGTAAGCTCAAGCATAAGCAGAAGCCAAAGCCGAGACGTTACGTCTAAGAAGGCAGTTGGGCGCAAGGTAGATGAATATTCACAAGCAGGAACTCGAACAGAGAGTACGGTGCCATAGAGGTCGGTAGAAAAGACGAAGGAGCCGCTGGGACCAAGATACTCTCGGATAGACTCAATACAGCTAAAGTCTTGAAGGATATGTTCAACTAAACATTTTCTACATCTATGAACTAGGCCTTCGTAAAAAAAAATCCGGAGGTGGTCGGGATCTTGCAATCGGCCCTTCGGATTCAATTCGTGTCGCTCGATTTCGTGGCTGGCCGGTTCATCCGCCTGAATCAAGAGAAGACGTTGAGGTACCCAAGTTACTGTATGATGCAAGGTCGCTCATATTGTTGATCAAAGAAATCCTAGTCCTCGGTCGACGGCTTGAGAGAGCAGACGAAACTCCCAAGTAGGCAATCATCATGGACAAGAGCCGGTTTCTGGATGACTTGGTCGGTACCTTCAACACCTTATCAACGCCGCCTCGCGATTCAGCCCCCAATCCCGCCACACTACAAACACCAGATGTCAACTTTGTGTCATGGATGGTCCAGGTGGAACCATTAACCAAAGAAAAGTTACCAGAAAAAGGACTGCACTAAGTGTTTGGAATAAGTAGTATCTAATAGCTCAGACATGTACCGCAAATAGTACGAAGATCGAATTGTGCGCGTTGGATGGATCACTGTTTCACTGTAGTTATGTTAGTTATGTTGCTACTTGTTTCACTGACCGAGAAGTATTGCAATGGCAATTGCGCGAATGGGCAGGCAGGTAAGGTTGGTATCAAAATTTGAAGTTGGTGGCAGTGTTTTAAAATTTGACAGTGCAGCAGAGTAGGCAGCAGCGTGCACTGCATTTCTTTTTTATTCTCGGCTTGACGCGGTGCTGAATTTGGTCCGATGACTCAGAATGGCTCTCCTAGTGCTACTAAACCAGTGGAGAGCAAGGTATCCCTGCGCAGAGTCATATTTTGCGCTGGTGCAACAGGATTACCAAGCTGCACGGTTACGACATGCAGACCCAGGATGGAGGCCGGCACCATAACAACACCGTTACTACATTGTACAATAGGCTATGGACATGTATATGTAGGCCTCGCTTATGATCATTAAACAGCATTCATCTACACGCCTTCCTAGTTCCCCATTGTCCCTTTACCCCTTGACACTGCTGCCGTTGCAGCTGGCCAGTCTGGGGTCTGGCCAATTTCTGCGATGTTAATTTTTTTACAGCAGCCAGGCCTTGCTGATAGTCTCAGTTTTTTCTCCATCTATTCCTGAGTTAGAAAAACCATATGGGATAGTTAGCGCATGTCTGTGGGTCCAAACACTCTTCCAGATGATGGGTTCACCAGTTGCCATTATTAGGGGGTTTCAAACTGTGACATTCGCACAATCAAACGCTTACTCATTAGCCAAACATACTGCACACAAACGTGCCATATAATCCGCCCTTTCAAACCTCGTCATTATGGCGGATTTCATTTGCCTCTGTGGCGTGTTTGCCCACAACTAGTATCCGCGTGCTCACCTGATTTTTCAGCTTTACGATTGCATCCTCTGTTCCTTCATCGTCATCGATGAGAATCGTGAGAATGATGAGCTGCTCCAGGTCGGATAGTAGCTGTCGGCGTTCTGACTTGAATGGCATGGGGATCAGGCTGGTGGGTTGGCTTTTGTGCCCATCATTTTTTGAATTCTAAAAGTCACAGGCGTGTTTGATTGAACATTTTGGCGCGTGTTTTGCAGACGCGTTTTGCACAAGCGCGCCACGATATCTGCCCACAAATAATTTACGCAAAATGTCAAAGTTTGAAACCTTATTTTCGCCACTCTATTTACGCGTCTACTCCCACTCTGCTTGCTTGTCTACTCCCTCCATTTGATTATCTACTCCCATTCTATTTCCCACTCTATTTGCGCGTCTAACCCACTCCATTTGCTTGTCTACTCCCACTCTATTTACGCGTCTACTCCCACTGTTTCCTCTGTTTCATCGCCAATCCTTTCCATTCCCCATTTCTTCTCGATTCTCCTCGGAACTCATTCACTTCTTTTTCCTCCCCACAATCGAGGTCTGTTCATGGCTGTATATGTTCACTTGTTTGTCTTGTTCATGCCTGTGTTTATTCCGCTTATTGCCGTTCTCTAATACTCATTTCGTTTTCATTTATTCTTTCATCCTACTTTTAGTGTCTAGGAGAATGCTTAAGCGAAACTCTGACTTCTTGGCTGATCCTGTTGATGAGCGTCCGATTGTGGATGGAAAACGAGGTAGGTTGTCTGACGCCCTTTCTGACGACCGAGCGACTTCACCTGTGCAATCTGACGAAGAGCATAGCGAAGTCATGAACTCAGAAGGTCAGGATATGCCTGACAGCCCAAGCGCAACCAAATGCACATCTTGTGGAAAGTCGTATAAGTCGCTGAAGCAACTCCGCACCCATTTTCGTGATTGTCATGAGGAGACTGGGACGGTCCGCCTGAACGATGGATCTTCTGTGTTTGTGAAACGGGAAAAGGACAAAAAACTCCATTGCCATGCCTGCCGGGCGAATTTCGTCAGCAAGAGTGGAATCCGAAAACATTTCCTGGACAAAGTGCAGTGTTCGGAACTCGCCAAGATCAACGAGAACATCGTTTCTGGAAGCACCTTCAGCAAAGATTTGCTTCTTACTCTTCCTGAAAGACGGAGAACGTTAGAGGAAGGAATACTCCATGCGCAAGGAGTGGAGGACGGTCCAGAATCTATCAAGCTCAGGACATTGCTAGCAACATCTCAGCTCGGCATGTCTCCTGTTGGGATCTCGATTGGGGGTGTCGAGACCTCTTTCACCGTGAGCGCAGCCCTCTACGACATGTTGCCGGATAAACCATTCGTTGTTTCGGCACACAAATCCGTTCCCGATAATAACAAACGCGGCCTAATCATTGATCGCAACTGCACCAACTGCTCTTCACCACCAACAACCCCAGTCATGGACCTGATCAGGCAATCACCCTTTGCAAGGATCCTTGAAACAAGATCGTTCAAGGAGCTGAACAAGAAAGCCAGCACGTATCTAAACCTAGACTGGAGCAGATATCCTCAGGCTGGTTATATTACAGCCCATCTCTTATCTGGATCGGTGATTACTAACATTCAAAGCGGACAAACCATTCTTGTTAACGAAGTCGAATTTTACGGAAGAGACGCGATGCTTGACTGCCACAAAGAACCAACAGGAGAACAAAAGGGTGTTCCCGAGAAGACATCAATACCGAGTACCACGGGAGAAGAATATTATAAACGTGTTCGCCCAGTGACATTGCGGCGCAGGGACGGTGTTCGACTTGTTATTGGGACCAACACATGTGGAGTGTTAGTCACATCGTGTATCCGTGTCGACAGGATATTGGAAGGATCAATCTCAGTCGGAGGAGACACTCGGAATTTCGAGATCTCAGAGAGTGAGCTCAAAAACATTCGAGTGTTCGTTGACAATGAACGCCTGGGAAAAGGAAAGAAGATGAAGAAAAAAACCGTGAAGAAAATCACCAAAGACTTCGGGGCCGACAGATTGCGACAGGTCCGCTCGAAATTTCATCGACTCAACACGTTTCGATTAATACGCTGCTCTGGACCGCTTACCGACGCCCCGCAGTTCCGGCCATTCAGCGTATTCACGATCGGGAGGAACAGCGACCGTGACTCGGCATCCTCTGGCGCGGCCCACATATTCTACAAAATGGCGCTGGCAGTCATTCACTACCAAGAGAAGGCAACTTTTACATTGGAGGACATTCGGTTTGGGCAGCAATTATGTCAGTCTGCTAAGGACATCTCAATTCCGATGCAAAATATACATGAACTATTCGCAGAAGTTGATACGAAGATTCCTATCATCGGCAACAAACCACTCAACAAACAGCTGCACGCAATCGCCGAAGCTCAGTCCACTCGAATCGCGAAAGCAAACAAGAATGTCGCGACAGAACTCAAGGATCTATTTCTTGGATGAGAGAGCAAAGAATGGATACTCGAGCAACCTCAAATGGACGGCACATTCAGGTCCAATGGTATGTGTGGCCTTTTATTGATAACTAATGAAATATCATCAACACACACGCGACTGATGAGGAAGGCTTTTAGAACCTGAGGTTTTTCATTATTTGCTTACGATCAAAATTAAAAAAAAAAAAAAAAAAAAAGTATGCATGCATGCATGTATACATGGCAGTGAATGAGGACGCATACAGGTACAGATCTCCCATCATTGCTATGAGGCTCAATAAGGAATGCAATATGGAGTGAATGCAATGAGAGAAGTGCAACTGTGATAATCTCGGAGCTCCTCAAGTTCTAGCGACGTTCATGTGTAACGTGTGGAACAGAAGCGTTAACCATGCCTGCTGGCTCCCTCTACTTCCCTTGACTCCCTTGACTGAGCAAAAAAAAAAAAAAAAAAACCTAAGAGACCGCAGATACAAGGAGATGGAGCGTGAGCTGGTTCATGGAAATAGTACTCTTTTATTTTGTCCCCCATATGCTGTTAATTCTAAGGGGTCTCTTAAGCCCAGCGGAACCTTGCAGATCGTAGCAACAAGGCTACCCTACTGCTTACAATACCACATTGCTTAAAAGTCATCTGCAATGGATATATCTCTTCCAATGTTTGAAATTAACATTAGCAGGCGCCTCATGAAGCCTCCCCGCTCCACAAGACGACTCCACATAATATGATTCAAGACTCGAGGGTATATTCGTATGAGAGACTGAAGCAATCCTGCAGGGCGTTGATGAATGAGTTTGTTGCGTTGACAGCTCTCACACGTCTGTACATATAGTTGGGTGCCGCGAGCGATCTTAGGCCAGAGGGTGCGACGAAGAGTATCGTATGTCTTGTCAAATACGAGGTGGCCGGCAATAGCAGGTCATCAGCATCAAGAAGAAGAGTAAGGCAAACGTCGGGCTTCTGTGGGATGCAGACGAGGGTATCGCCGCGTCGAAGTTGCAAACGGTCGTTGGGTCGGAGTGGTCAAAGGGTTCTAAAGCTGAATTAGTTGTTTATTCGATGATGATGGCTATTTAAATTCAAAGGATATAGCTAGGCAGAGCAGCGCAGGAATGCTGTAGAAGCTTGTGACATCGTTCTCGAATGAACCATTGTATCTGTTGCACGTATGCAGAGGAAATGAACAAGCGAACGGCGAGGGAGTAGACAGGCAAATGAAGGAGGAGTAGACGCACAAATCGAATGGGAGTGGGAGTAGACCAGCAGGAAGAGGGGAGTAGACGCACAAATCGCGTGGGAGTAGACGAAAAAATCGAGTGGGAGTAGACCAGCAAATAAAGGGGAAATAGGATGGGAGTAGACGAGTGGAGTAGACGAAAATGGGCACCAACATAAGCACTAAGCAGTTCCCACCCTATTTGCTGGTCTACTCCCACTCGATTTTCTCGTCTACTCCCACCCTATTTCCCCTTCTATTTGCTGGTCTACTCCCTCTATTTGCCTGTCTACTCCCTCCATTCGCTCGTCTACTCCCATTTCTTCTGATTCTCATCAGAACTCTTCGCTTCTTTTTCCTCTCCACAATCGAGGTGCGTTCATGGCTGTAAACAGTGCTTTGAAAAACGATTGTCTTCGTGCCTTCACTCCATGATATACTTTCGAAAGGTCATCCTAGTGAAATACGAAGGCAACTATCGGGGCTATAGAACGAAGTACACGTGACTACCTTTTGCCTTCAATACAACTTGAACTCGGCTGTGCATTAACTCGAGAGCTTCCTGATGAAGTCGTCAGGAACCTTTTCACACTCCTCGTAGATACTGGTGGGTCGTCTTTCTCGCAGACCGATACGGGTTTTGCTGTACCTCCACACATACTCTATGGGGTCTAAATCAGTGGATGTTGCAGGCCATGGCAGCAGCGTGTATCTCTGCCCATCCAAAAAGCACCTTGTCGCAAGAGCAGCGTGTTTAGAGTCATTATCGTGCTGGAAAATAAAATCCTCAACTTGAAGCCTGTAATATTCGACCGTGTCCTTCAACGTTGCGAATATCCCAATGTAATCTTCCTTTTCCATGGTGCCGTCGTAGATTTGGCAGCCGTAGCCAAGCCCATTCCATGTCATACAGCCCCAAAACATCAAAGACCCTCCACCATGCTTGACTGTTGGCTCCATATAAAACGACTAGATCGGATCGCCTGGTCTTATCCAACAATACTGAATCCCATCAGAGTTCGTCTAAAAAGATAACGCGCTTCCAGTCCTCTACAGTCCATGCTTGGTGGGCTTTTGTCCAGTTATATCGCTCTTTGATGTGCCCCTTAGTCAAGTGTGGTTTCTTGACCTTACATCTCGGAAACTATTTGCTTTAGAAGACACCACACATCCGCTGCTGTCTTGCACTTGCCACAAAGGCAGCAGCAGCAAGAGGAAATGGCTCGACAGCTGGAAGAGTGTGAAAAGGAACTGAAAACTATGTGGATGGACTTGGGAAGGCTAGTTCATAACGACAAAACTCGAAAATGCACACTGACTTACTTTCAGTCCGCCGTCGCTTCTATGAAGAGAGATGAATAAACGAAGTCATTACTGGTTACCACTGCCAGTGAGCGGCCCTTATTTCCCGCATTCAGCAGCATTATATCCCATCCGGCTCCTTATTTCCTAAACTCCAGAAAATGATAAATACTTTACTTCCACTCCTCAAAAACACTATTATTTCGGCCAATCAGAAAGATAGCACCTCGCTTCCTTTCTCCTCCACTGCATGAATCCAATGTGCATGCTACCTTGATGAATGCGCCAAAGATCCTATGGGGGATGGATCCTCTACTGCATGTGCCCCTACAACTGATGATTTTCCAAGTCAAGACGCTGACATCTGTGCCTGAACACGATGGTACTGTACCCCAGCATCCCATTTCTAGCCAATTCAATTGAACACCGGTATGTATGACATATATGACCCGTCTTTAATCCTTTGTACTCTGTTGCATAATATAGGGATCTACTGCCACCACTCTCACCCCGTCAGGAATGTTGAAATCATGGGAGTCGTTCAAATGGTGCACCGAGCAAGCAAGCGTATCCTCTACAACTGTACGAAAAGATCTCCGCCTGCGTTTGCTGTCATTTTAGTTTTGACGCCACCAAATTTTCAACTTTCGAGAAGCCCAGGCTGAGCAATTGACCCTAACCCGACTGTGTCGCCTACTTTCTTTTGTCTAGTGGATGACGGGACCGGAGCAATACAATGCATAATGTGGATACCGGACCAATACCTCGCTATGCAGATTACAAGCGGGATCCCTGGTCACCAAGAACACAAGTTGGGCGAAGTCATTCGGCTGATTGGTCAGCCCACCGAGTTCAAAGGCTGTATCCAGATTACTTTTCAGCCCGGCGACACTGGTAGTGTATTCTTATTCATTGCAAAAACTGCGATTGCGTACATCATTCTGTCTGAGGCCATGCTATTGAACAAGATGTTCGCTTATCTCCATCAAATAAACAAATATAGCGACTTGCGAGGATCCAAATGAGGAAACTGTATTTCGACTGAGGGTGCTGAACCAGGAGCGTTTTGTTTATTCGAAACCCGTAGTCCTGCCAGACATTGTACTTCAGGAAGCTGCAAGTCGCTTTGCAATTTTGCTACCGCTTTGCTTCTCTCTCTTTGGCAGGCGACCGTTCAAACTCATACTCTGATATTCAATGGGATATAGGAAAAGAAAAGTAGACCACCGGTCTCTACGATCACGCTCTTAGACAGGATTCGTGCTTGGGTGAGCAGCCGGGATGAATTCGATTACCTCGAGCTCGAGGACGACAAGGTGAACAACGAGCTCGCACGAGAGATAGTGCGGGGAGCGGTATGTCTGTCTAGCGCAATCTTCAATTGTCTCGATCGGTGTCCTCATTGTACAAACGTCGAATTTAGGGTCGTGCAGCATCCCACTAAGACATCCCGTACCTCCTGCTCTGCTGTCCATGCTCTCTTGCCTTGCGGACCAAATTAGGCGCCGGGAATCCATCCTGCTCTTGAGACAGCACAAGCGGCAAAGCTGATAAGCAAGTGCGTGCAGCAGCTTATGTCCGAGAGAATAGTCGAGTTCAAGAGTATGTCGCAGATGATCCTTCGTGTCGTCAAGGCGCCCTCACTTTCAACTACGATCCCAATGCTGTTGGACTCTGCTCGAGACGAGTGGACTCCCAACTTGATAGTGCTTGATGACTCTGAGGAAGAAACTATTGAATCCTAAATAAAAAGGGACACATGCTGTAGTATAAAGTTTTCAATACTCTTTGTACTTCTTCTTGCCCTTACTCTTGTGATTGGAATCAGTACCTCTCTCTTCTCTTTTTTCCATTCAGACCCGCACGCCACCACCCCTATCATGTCTTGGCTTTGGAGCGCCTCACCAATCGACGAGCTCGTTGGTAAGGATGTCCTCCTCTCACTCTATGTTGCTCTCTCCATTGCTTGGCTCTCACAGGCAGCTTTTTTCAGGCAAAGAGTACATGCTGCTTCGCCAGGCATTCCTTCCAGCAAACCCGCTAATCACGCTTTTTGGGACTCATTTGTGCCTGGTGCCAAACATAGACAAAGCGACGTCTGAGAACCTGCCTGCGGGTTCGGAAGACCTGGCACTGAATCTGGAGATTTGCGATCAGATTCGGTCTAAGCAGGTCTCGCCAAAGGAGGCTGTCAAGGCTCTGAAGAGGCGTCTTGACCACAAGAACCCAAACGTGCAATTGCTTGCGCTTGGCGTACGTTGGCACCATACCAATTCTTGGGTGTTCATAGTGTCAAAAAAGTGATTCTCACACGCGTTTGTCTGTCGACTTCTCACGCTGCTGGATTAGCTGACCGATGTCTGCGCCAAGAACGGAGGACATCACTTTTTGGTCGAAATTGCGTCGCGCGAATTCATCGATAACTTGACGTCGATTCTGAAGGCACCTGTACGTCGAAGACTGCACTGCCTCTGCAAGATTGCCATGACCACGCTTTGCTGCTAACTGACAACTGTTTGCTTTCGCCTTGGTAATACATGATAGTCTGGATGTAACTTTGAGGTCAAGAACCGCATCCTGGGGTTGATTCAGACATGGGGAATACTTTTCAGAGGAAAGCAGGGCCTGGGATATGTCTGCGACACATATATGATCCTCCAGCATGAAGGCTTTCAGTTTCCTCCAAAGGACAATATCGGTGTAGCCCTTGTCGAGTCGGAAGCGGTAAGTAGGATTAACCCACTTGCAATATTGAAGAGGCAGGACCGTTATTTTGTGGACCACATCTTCCCTTGCTCACATTTCTCGTCGCGTTTGTGCTTCACTCATATAGCCACCGGACTGGACGGACTCGGATGTTTGCACACGCTGCCGCTCGGCTTTCACCTTCACCAATCGCAAGCATCATTGCCGTGCGTGCGGTTCGACATTCTGCGGGCAGTGCTCCAGCAAGACCATGGCACTGCCCAATCTCGGGGTGATGCAGGAGGTCCGTGTGTGTGACGGATGCTGGATGAAGAAAAAGCTTGGCAACAAGAGTGTTGTCGCCCTTGAGAGTCATGGATTGGGAGGCGGCCTGGAGTATGTACCGAATTCCAGCAAGACTTCCTCCACCGCGGCGGCTATCGCATCAAAGAGTTCGTCATCAACACCAATCCCCTCAACATCGACGGGCAGTGCATCGAATTCGGCTGCGCAGGCGGAGGATGCTGACTTACTGAGGGCCATCGAGTTGTCATTGAAGGAGGCCAACAATCAACCTGGATATTCTGCTCTCAAGCGTTCCAGCACTGAGCCTGCAAAAAAGGCACCCACTCTGACAGAAGAAGAGGAGGACGCGGACCTTTTGGCCGCCATCGAGGCTTCGTTGAGAGAAACCAGCATTCACTCATCATCGTCGCCTGCGGCACCTCGGTCTAACCAGCGACAGTCTTCATATTCATCATACACGTACACGAAGAAGCCGATCGTAAGTGTGCTTTATCCTTACTCGAAAGCAGGATACAAACATGAAAGGACGTATTTAACCTATTGCCCCGATTTTTCTCTCTCTCAACCTAGGCCACATTTGTTTCTCCTAATGAGCTGTCTGACACTGAGAAATCCAATATTGAAATGTTCTCTGTGCTGGTTGACAGAATTCATGTGATGCAGGGCGATGTTACGGGCAACTGCGAGGTTCAGGCGTTATATGAACAGATTTCAAAGCTACAGATGAAAATCGCTCTCAGCACCGAGGAGGCTGCCCGGAAGCAAAGTAAGTGTTGCATCAAATTTCTTATTGATACCGGATTATAAACATGGGTTTTACTAATATTATTGCTATGATTTTATAGGAGAATTTATCGCATTCAATGACAAGATTGACCATGCGGTCAGGATCTATGACCATTTATTGCAAGAACGCTTGAATTCGACGTATCAACGAAGGATGAACGCGAACAATCATGGACACCCAGGAATGCACTCAGGCGCAGGTCAAGGACTGTACAGTGGGGCGGCAACGCCCCAGATGCCTCAGGTCAACCATATATACCCTCCGGTTGGCGCACCAGAATCACGATATGCACAATATGCACCAGCAACAGGCCCATATGGCAGCGTTCCTCAGACCCCGCAGATTGCATTCCAGGTACCATACCAGCAACAACAACCACAGCAACAACCACTCCAGCAGCAACAGGCCCCATATCAATACCAGCCCATGCAATCCCAGCAACCATCTGCTACTGCACCCTACTCAGTCGCCTCGCCTAGGATTCCTGAGCAGCACCAGCCTTTTTCTGCGGCTCCAGGAGGACAGCCACCTGCATTACAGAGCTCATTCTCATATCAGAATGCTCTACAACAGCAACAGCCTCTGCCCCAGGCTCAACCTCATTCTCAGACTCAACCCCAGCAGAACTTTGCACTTCAGCAGCCGACATCGCAGCAGCAACAGCAGTATCATAATAATACTGCACCCTCTGTTACATCACCTATAAGTAGTCAACCGCCGATGCCCAATAACGCGTATCAGCTTACAGGTCCAACGACGCAGCTGCCTCCTCCCCAACAACAACAACAGCAGCAGCAGCAGCAACAGCCGATGCAGTCAATCATGGGACCTGGTACTCAGCAAGCGCAAGGACCCTATGTCCCCTATGACCAACAGAAGCAGCAACCACAGGTGCAGCAGCAACCGCAGGTGCAGCAACCGCAGGTGCAGCAACTGCAGCAGCAAAAGCAACAGCAGCAGCAACAACAGCAACAGCCGGCACCGGTTTCACAGCAGTTCTCGGTTGCTAATCAGAACGTTTCGTTGCAGTATGCGCCACAGCAACATCAGCAACAGCCTATGCAGCAACCGATGCAGCAACCACCTGTAATTCAGCAGCAGCAGCAACAGGGTTATGTCATGGTACCATCTCCACCGCAGCCTCAGGTAGAGGATGCACCGTTGATTGAACTGTAATAATGGCGTCCAAGTCTTTTATCAGTTTACGGATAAAAAAAAAAAAAGGATGCCATATGTACATTTTTTTTTTTTTTTTTTACAGAACAATAAGAATGCATTGAATGGATGCAATAAGATCGGCGGATCCCTTTCTAAATGAACATGCAAGAGCAATTGGCGAAGCACCGCACCCACGATGGGGGGTTTTTTTTCTTTGGGCTGAAGCACAATGTGTCACGGCAGACTTTTTTGTCGATCGCGCCAGAAATTCAGCGGAGATCGATCGACTGCGGGGTAGTGAAAAAAAAAAAAAAAAAAAAAAAAAAAAAAAAACTATCAAATCCGCATCCTCTTTTTGGACACCATGACTCTGATACGGAGGGGGGGGGTTTCTTCTTGTGATGAGAATGGTATTGTTTTCAATAAAGATAAGTTCTGCAATATGTCTATACAATGAATATGAAATGAGCGATGGGCGATGAGTAAAAGGAAAAAAGGGCGAAGAAAGAGAAGGGGAAAGGAAAAAATGGTATGATGTGGGGTGATTTAGTTTTTTTTAGGCCGCAAATGAGGATTTGCGTGTGCCGATCGAGGATGTCGGCACGATTTTCGAATCGTTTGTTTCATCACGCGCTAGAAAGAAAGAAAAAAAGATGAACGAAAAACGACCGGGATTAGTAAGATAGTAAGATAGCCATGAATATCATACCACCAAGCAACCCGATTCGACCGATGAGAGACAACAAAATAAAATAAAATAAAAACTATTTGCTTACATTGGCGCAAGAACGGGATCAGATCCGTGCCGCCTGTGCCACGGACGACACCTTCCTCCTGCTTCTTTGCAAGACCGTAGGGTGCTCCAAAGATAACCTTCTGTGGGTACAAGATGCTTGAACCCTTCTTTGCGGACGCGAGACTTGCGCTCGTTTCGTCAGCTCCATTGGCAACCGGGGCAGTCTTCTCTGCTGTGCCGTTTGCCTCTGCCTTCTTTGGTGCGTGCGCATGGGATGGTGAAACAAACCCGCCGTGCGAGATCGAGGGCCCACGGTTGGCTTGCATAACGATGTACAGAGTCACCATCTGAATATGGACATCCCGGAAGACCTTGATCTGATGGACACACTCGTCATAGACCGTAATCAATTCCTCGACTTCGGCAGGACGGCTGCCCTTCTCAAATGCTGCTGCTTGACTGAGAACATACGGACGAATATTCGCGACGTCGGTCAAGTGGGTCAAGAAGTTGCGGTGAGGTCCAGGCATGTAGAAGCGCATCTTTTGGATAAAGTTGGTCGATCCCGATCCAAGTGCTGGCGCCGGCGCAGTCGCGGCTGCCTCTGTGGTCGAAGGTGCCAGTCCCTGAGCCTTGGGTGCTGCGTCGTTGTATGAGTTCGATGTATGGCCGTTCACATGCGCAGCGTTGGTATGGGCGCCGTGGGACTTGTTGGGTCTGAATCCCGTTGGATGATGTTCTACGCCAAATGCAATGTCCAACACATGGATCAGTGAGCTCTGGGCAGCACTGCCGCCTGCCAATCGCTTGTACTGTCCGTTGTCGACGCCCTCGTATCGCACACCGTTGGGCAACCCAGCCTCGGTCATGTTCTCCCATCCAGCCAAATAAGGGCGGACCTTCCAATAAAAGACATAGGGGTCACATCTCTCAAACATTCTACGGAGAACTGCGACAAGATCCATGATGATCCCGCGAATGGCCTCCAGTTCTTGAATAAGTCCAGTTTGATCCGCGTCCCGGACGAGCTGCATCGCGCTCAAGATCTTGCTGAGCACGGGGGCACCGGTTGCTTCGATCGCTGTTGTCACGAGGTAGAACCATGATTCATCGCTCGAGCCCGACAGTGTCGCTAGGGTATCGAGATTACTAAGTATTGACAGCGATAGAATAGAAAGAAATGGTTAGGTTTTGTATTAATATACAAAAAAAAAAAAACGTAATACACATTGGCAATTCGTTCCGATCCAACGGATGACTGCTTCAGCCGGCTCAGGCTTAAAAAAAAAGTTTCCAATTTTGATCGGTGTGCCCGGATGCCTTTCTCCGTGAGGGAGAGGTTCTCACCTGAGATCCCTTGGACCGTCCTTGTACAACAATCTCCAGTTCCACAGAACAACGGCTGCATGGGTCAGCACGGGCTGCATCTCCAACATATCGGCCACTTTTTGCCAGGGAACAGCCAAGGAAGCAGGCAGGGACTAGATGAAAGATGGATAAAATAAAGATAAAACAGTAAAAGCACACACATACACATACACAAAAAAAAAAAAAAAAAAAACGTTGAGTATCGGGTAAGTTCGCATTATTTTGTGTTAGTGACATCAAAAAAAAAAAAAAAACAACATAGGAAGCCACGAGCATAGGTTACCTCGGCTGCGACCTCATGCTTGCCCCAGACGTAGGCATGCGAGAGCATGCATAGGATTAGGTAGCCTCTTCGTTGTTCAGCCTTGGTCTTGAGGCGGGAAGCGTCGAGCACAGGAAGCTATGGGTTATCAACAAGTGGAAGCGATCGAAAATCGAGCGCAAGAACAAAAAAAAAAAAAAAAAAAAGGTCAGGAACAGCGCAGACAATGCAGGGAGGATTCGTGAACTACGCCCTACGGTGTGACAGGGTTATAACAGAAGGAAGGAGAAAAAGAATTCGGGCTGTAGAGATCACAACAGAAAATTGGGGTGGGTCCACAGCACAGCAATGAGGCGAATGGGGAATTCGGGGGTGGGGATGGCGAGGGGTGCAGTACCTCTTGGACTCGCTGGCGGAGTCTGGAAGCGAGGAGGAGGCCGTTGAAGGAGTTGAAGGTGTCCTCCCAGGGCTGGAAGTAAGGGTCCGACAGCAGCTGGAGTGGCTCGTCCGTCGGCAGGAAGCCTGTGACGGGCGAGATATCGTAGTTGGTCAGGACAGGCAGTTCCTTGACAGCCATTGTCGAAATGAGGATGGGGGTGGGGGATGGGGGATGGGAGGTGGAGCTGAAGAAGCAGGGACAAAGAAAGAGAGAGAGAGAAAGAGAGAAAGAGAGAGAAGAAGGAGAAGGAGAAGAAGGAGAAGGAGAAGAAGGAGAAGGAGAAGAAGGAGAAGGAGAAGAAGGAGAAGGAGAAGGAAAAGTATTGGCTGAGTGCTGGGCAGAGGGTGGCACCTGTGAAATGAATGAGGAAGGAGGGTGTGGATCGGGGTTTGGATCAGAGACAGAGACAGAGACAACGAGGCAAACGAGGCCGCTTTTATATATTCCAGTCCCACCCATCCCCCATCCATCCCATCGTCCTTCCCTTCCCCTTCCTTCCTTCCTTCTGCTCCTCAACTCCATATTTCCCACCACCGGCCCTTTTACGCTCTTGTCCGGACAAAGGGAATTCGTCGTATCAACCCATTAAGTACTTAAGAGGTACCGGGGTAACTCCCTGCGCGGTCAGGGACACATTGCGTTGGTGAGCAGAAAGACAAAAGAACAACCTCATCCGCAGCCTGTTGTTTACTCCCCCTCCGGCTTTGTGCGCACCTGACTGTGGGAAGAGTCCAAATGGGGCATGCGCGGTAATGTATGAACTTTGAAGTTATGAACCCACCAACAAAGAAAGAATGAAAGAAAAAGGGCGCGCGCTCCCTTGCCTCCTCCTCCTCGTCCTCGTCCTCGCCCTTGGCCTCAGACTCAGACTCAGAGCGTCTGTCCTCTCCCTCTCTCTCTTTCTCTCTCTGAACCCTAGGATACTCATCTCCTCTGTTTTTGTGAGGATAGAGCAGAATAGGTTTCAATTCGCTATGGATCCATACAAAGTACTCTACAAGTCGTTGTGGGGTGTTGCATAGAAAAACAACAACAACAAGGATGACTGAATGACAGAATAGCGTTTAAGGCCATGTCACCCAAAAGTAAAAGTAAAAAACTCACTTTCTCACGGTGCACGTTCCCTGAAAGCCGGAATTTCATTTTCAAGCATCAAAACGAACCGCCATTCTTTTGATTACATGTACAGACATATACGTGAGAAAGACTGAATTCTCAATAGAAAAAGATTCTATAAGAGTGCCTGTCAAATGAGGGAACAGGTTAGGGTCTACTTTTTTTTTTTCCTTTTTTACTACGCACTGGATCTAGTCCAAGTACGGCGGATTCTCTGTCTTGGTCAGGAGATGGACGGGATCTGCAAAAAGGCTGGTGATAGTATGTGTGGATGCATGAAGAAAAAGTAGAGGTCAGCCATCCTGTTCTTTTTTTCCTTCTTGGTGGGAGTGATGATCCTTCAAAAGGCGTATGTGATGTGGATTGCAAGGTCGCTTAACCCGCTGGCCCTGGACCCTTAAATACATTGCCGAATCACGCTGCCCACGCGCTAAAGACGTGCAGCACAGCAAAAGATGCAGAAGCACGTACGAGCGTGTACGATGCCCCCACCCCCTCGGCTGTGTGTCCCTCTTGTCCGACAGCATGCTCGACATGCTCGACAGCACCCAAAGAAGACCGCGTCCAGCAGAATCGAGGCGAAGGAGAGCACTCTTCCGGACAGGCAGGAGCGACACATACACACCACACGGCACACATCGGCCCATATCCGCTTCCTATTTCCTATTTTTCATTTCATTGGCACACACTCCAGCCTGAACACCCATTCGCACACTCCTCCCCTCTCCCCTCTCCCCTCTCTCCCCCTCTCTCCCGCGCTACCGGTCGGCCCAAAGTCCAATCCACCCTCACCCTCACTCTCCTTCGGCCTCGTTACTCTTTTACCCACTAATTCCCGCCTCATTCCTTCTTCCATCCATCCATCCCTCAACACCCCTTCCTCCCCATTGACATCATTGACTTACTCAGTCGCCACCACCTGCACTCGTCCGTCGTCCTCGTCGTTGTTGTTGCTGTCGTTGTTTTCGCCCTGAATTAGCCATGGCACAGAATGGGGACCTTGACTTGACCGGAGACACCGCCCCTGCTGCCAATACTACCACCACTACTACTACTACCGCCACTACTGCTACTGTTGCTGCTGCGGCTGCTACCCCATTACCAGGCGTCACCAATGGAGGTGTTCAGCACAGTGTTCAGGAATCCGCTTCCGCCAAAGCGGGGCCCGGACCAGCAGCCGTAGGGACGGGCCATCGTCCTGCCCTCAACGACTGGAAGTTCCCATCCACACCTCGCGTCGCCACTCCTGCGCCATTCGAACACCCATCCAACCAGCTGGATGAACAGCACTTGGCGGGCGCCTCATCGCCCGCCATAGGGCAGCTGCACCAGTTTCAACACCAACAACCCGCAACCATGGACTATTTCAATCATCCAACATCTTCCTATGTCCAAACAACCCAACAACAGCAACAGCAACAGCAACCGCAACCGCCATATTCCTCCAGCAACAGTCAGTTCAGAGACGGGCCACAGACACCTCGGTCGCCATACTCCTTTGCAGGATCCTTGGACGGCATGTACGCGGAACAGCAGCAATCCGGTCCTTCGCAGGAGATTCATATCCAGCTGCAGAACGGCGGACAGGTACAAGGCATGCGGCGGAGCAGTCATAGCCACAGCCAAAGTCAGGAGAGTGTCGGAGCCCCGATCGACCATCCAGGGATGTTACACCACCTGCCATTGCATCGGCATCAACTGCAGCACGACGTTGCTCAACCAGGACATGCTCCCCTCCCCAATGCCTCTTTACTGCCGCAGCTACAACCACAGGGACTGGCACTCTCGCCGCACCAGATGCAGACCCCGTCCGAGTTTGCACTCAAGATGCTGTTCACTCAATTTGTCAAGATGGCTGAAGCAAAGCTAAACGCCATGGTTCACCTGCCATTGGTAAATCCTGTACCTGAATTTTTGGCGGTTTGGATGATTTGAGATATAGCCTATCTTTTGCTGATCATGTATTTTTTTATTTTATTTTTCCATCTCTCCTGTCGGCAACCCAATAGCAAGACACAGAACCCGATATCTTGTCGCCTCTCAAGCATGGAGTCGACCCAAAGTTTGACAAATTACTGGAATCACTTGGATCCGTTGCTCGGCATCGACCGAAACCCGTCATCGACTGCGTTATGCTCTGGCGCAAGGGAAAAATTGAATCGTCGGACGATCCGTCCATAAAGACAACATCGTAAGTGAACGTACACGCTACTAAAAATATCTTCTGGAAGGGACGGGAGGAATACACAACATGAGCAATTACAGGATGTCTAACCAAAAAGAAACGCGTGTTCATTTGATACTGTTGTAGAGGCGACTGGTCAGCCAACTTCAAGTTTCGGGACCCAAAGAGTGTAATCAAGGAGCGGAAATCGGCAAGTATTTTTTTTTCTCCTATTTGCATCTGGATACGAGCCTCCTATCAAATATCATTGAGGTAGATGGCTAACCAATTGTCTAATCTTACATATAGGTCGTCTCGTTATTCATCATGTCGCGGTCGCTCATTGAGATTGTACGACAGGTTCAAAAGGACAGCCTGCCGGATGAGCTGGGTTCTCGACTGGAGGAAACTGTCTTTAATCAATTGGAGAACGTGGATCCGTAAGGCGCAATCTCTTGCTTCCAAGAATTTTACAAGCATGTAATATAAGACTTGACAAATGCGTTTTACTAACAAAGACCTATCTGATCATTTCGTCTATAGCGAATTTATCCAGAGATCCTCGAATCGTACAGCGAATATGAACGTGTTGGTCGAGCTCATGGGGTCTCTTTCCAACGTCCGCTTTGCAACAGTCAGCGACCGCTTTATCGCCGAGCTGGAAAAGTACAAAACTGGAGCGCCTGTCAAGGACAAGGAAAGAGAGCAGCGCATGGAGATGCTCATTCGCGGAATGCGATACTTGAATCTGAAGGCAAGTCCATCGTGTTTCCAAGGTCTTTATCATCCTTACCGGGGTTGGAGCGAGCGATCATAAATCTAATGTTGCATTTCTGATGATTTTTTTTTATAGCTGTATCCCATGGACTGTCTTGAAGAGACAGCGGATTTTCTGCAGAGTTGTGCTGGATTTTTCAAGATGGCAAGGGGAATCAGGATAAAGCACGCGTATGCCGAGCTCTTTGTTCAGCTTTTGACCCCAGTCGCAAAGGTTCGTTCATACCACAACACACAACTATCTCTGGTGATCTAGCTCCAGAAGGCGATGGCTAATTTATAATACTACTCTCCTTGAAAACAGGTGGCGTTGGCGGAGGTCAACCATCCAAACTGGTCTAAAACCGTGGAACTTATATACCCAAAGGCTCGTAAGATGACCAACAAACCGAGGCACGTCCAAGTCGCCCTCCCACTTGTTACTATGCTACTGTGCGTCAGCAAGAAGGATTTTTTCCTCAAGCATTGGCTCTCAGTGTTCGACTCTTGCCGCGAAAAGTTCAAGGATAAGACTATACGTCCGATCGCTCTAAACTGCATCTCACAACTGCTCTGGGTATTCTTGTATCGTTGCTCGGATGGAACAGGCAGTACATTCCGAACTCTCGATACAATTGTCAAGGCTTTGTATCCATCCAACAGGAAATCGTCCGGCATGGTGGATGGAACACTGGGACATTTTATCCGCATCGTTCATTTTATCGGAGCACGACATGCCGATTACGCCACTCGCTCAATCATCTTTCAGCTGCTGAACCTGGAGAATCTTTCGAATGTCATCTTTACAAATTTGACTATGGATATGATTTCGCCAGAGCGCATGACAATCGCTGTGCGGTCGTTCATGTTGATTCTAGCAGATCTCGACAAAGGAAATAGTCGACCGCCGTTTCCGACCGCTGGAGATGCCGTCAATGTCATCTCGGACTCACCAACGTCATCCGATATTCTCGATCCAAGTGTAATCAACCGCGCAGGAATGAGGGACACCTATGATCAGATGACTGCTGTCCTCGGAAAGATCGCTATCGTTTGCGATCGTAATTACGGCCACACTTTGATCCTCGACGAGAAATATACAACAGCGAGGAGCATGTTTTCGGCGGCGGCTATTATGGCAACAGCTACAGGCGATGGTGGGGCATCAGTTGTTCACCAATATTCGACTTTTGCAGTGTCGTACTCAAAGGAGAAGCAGGTCTACTTTGACCTCATGACCGCATGGGTGTCATGTCTACCGCGTTGTATGCCATCTGGTATCCCATTGTTGAAGCTCGTCGAAATGCTGTCACGATATACTGCACACGTGGATCCAGAACTTCGCAAAGCATCTGCAGCAGCTCTCGTCCGTATTGCCACGCAATGCAATTCTCAAGTGGCAGTGGCAGGATATTCGGCCTTTGTTTGTACGGTAGAGGACCGTCTTTCGGAGCTACTGGCTGGCCTGAGTATACCTGGGTCGGGAATGCCAGCCGAAAATGGACTCTTGGCAATCTACATCCGCATTCTCGAGGCATGGATTGAAAACACGGACGGCAAGAAACAGCAGGAAGGGGAGGGCAGTAAAGACGAAGAGGGCCAGGCATCTTCAGGAGGTCTCACCAGTCCGGTTACATCTATAGAAGGAAGTCGGTCGTTCTCTTCGCCTTATGTCCCTGAGGTGAATTTGGTTACTCAGCTGCAGACGACAGAGGAAAATGGATTATTATTCCTTTGCAACCAATCGCCTGTTATCCGCCGATACGCCATTTCGATTCTGAAGCTTGCAACATCCTTCGACCGTCCTGAAATACAAATCACTGGACCTGGGGGCGAGATCAAGGAGGGCGTCATGCCAGCGAGCGTTTCAGTCAGGCCACGCCTGGAGGTCACCAGGATCTATCATCTACTGCAGAATGCTGTTCAGGAACTGCTTCAAGTCGACGAATACGGGAATGCGCATAAGGATTGTCCACTGGCGCTGCACGAGTTAATCCGACTGCAGATTCACCACCAGAAGGGCTCGAGCGAGGTCTTTTCACTGCTTGCTGCGAGCGAGCACGTCGTGGATGTCGGGATCTGGCGTTTCTGTTTTCCGTTGTTGATCACAAAGATATTCCAGCACTTCCCCGGACTCTGTGAACCTTGTTTGGATACCGTGAGCAGGCGTCTGATGCAGCTATACCCGGCCATTGTCACTACAACGGATCTAGCCCTCAACAGCACCCTGGCCTCCAAATTCTCTATCAAAAACACGCAGGTGGCGACGGATGAGATGGTGGAGCAATGGCGCACTTATCTCATCTATGTGTGTTCAACTATGACCCGACACGAGCACCAATCGCCCGCGACTCCAGGACATGGCCGCAAGAAATCAGCACCTTCGGAAAAGATCACCTGCGCCCGGGATTTGTTTCGCCTGGTCCTTCCACTTTTGTACAGCGATCGCCATTTGATTCGAGAGTCCGTCGTAGCCTCTCTAGGAAGGATCAATGTTCATCTTTACAAGGCTCTGTTGGAGGATATTCAGCCGCTGCTTTACTCTGTTCACGATGAATTCCGGTCAAAAAATGGCGGCAGCAGCATCAAACCACCCTATCAAGGGAAACGCAACAAGAAGGTCGATCGACTCCGAGCAGAGATTGCTCACATACTGGATCTAACAGCACCCCTACTGAGGAGTCCGGCGTTAGTGCACGATGAACACATCACCTCATGCTTGAAAGGCTATGTCCGGGAGACCCTGATTTTCCTCCTGGACTCTGAAGTGCAGCATGAATGGGAGTTTGTCAAGCTCCGGACGCATTTTTGCGGGTTCGTGTGTCATTTGTATAACGGGATCTCGCAGATCGGGAACACAGAGGCCATCATGCCATTTGATCTCCGGCTGGCACTCTTCAGGCTGTTTGAGGACTGGTGTGGACACGGACCGAACAGTTTTATCCGCGATGGTGACCACAAGTCGTTCTGGTTCGGCTTAGATCTCAACAACGAGGTTCAAATGGCCGAGAAATTTGATCTCGAGCTAGCCGCCCTGCGTGCAATGGCATCTCTTTGTGTAAGTGCCCTTGTAGGATACGATCACTTTTTTTTTTATTTTATTTTATTTATTTATTCAAGTTCGCCATTTGATATCATTACTCATCCATATAACATTTTGTTTTTGGTCATAATAGCAAGGGCCGATTAACAATCCAGCACCAAGCCAAAGGCCCGATAGATCGCGGACTTGTTTCAACATCGATGAGGTGTTTAGGTGGATCGAAAGCGTCTTCCAGAGTCCGGAAGAGCGACTTCACGCGATTGCACAGTAAGTCCTTTCTCATTTTTCCAGTCATAATCAGCATCTGAATATTCTCTGTTTTAGCCCTCGGTTCTTACTCTCTGTGTCCTCTGTTTCGCTTTAGGAATGCGCTGGAGGCATTGCTGATCCATAACCAGGACAGGGCAGAGCTCCTGGAAGATGCGCTTCACCAATGCTATGCTGGGGACATATCGCAAAAGTTTATTCAGGGCCATTTCACAGCGTTGGTAGACATCATCCTGAGGGTCGAGTCTTATCCTTGTCAAGTCAGCCAAATGCTTAGTCTGGCCTTATTCAAGTGCGGAGACTCCAATATCCAGATTAGGACCCGGGCCATCAAGCTACTAAAGGTTATCGAGGAACGCTATTTCCCCGAGACGTGTGCTGGTGAATACGAGATTGGTATCATCAACAAACTACCGACAATCTACCGCCAAGCACAGTACGTGCTGTCTGCTCGACTCGCACAGGATCGGCCTGAACAGACCTACTCGTTATTATCGGAGGCAATGATGAGGTTCGATTTGGTCCACCCGGGCTGGCGCGGGGAGATGCTGTACTACATCGCACCATGGTTAGAAAACGTTGAGCTGGTCGTGGACGGAGATGATGAGCTCAGTACGACTTCATTCGTTGTCCTGACGAACTTGTTCTACCTGACGGTCAAGTATGGCGACGACCATGTCAAGGAGATTGAGACACTCTGGGTGCAGCTCGTCGCCGGCGACAACTTTGCGAATATCCGGCCGGTCATTGTGTTCTTGCTGGACCTTGGGCTCGAGAAGAGGAATCCAGAGTTTGTGCACCCGGCTAAGAAGGTCATTGTCTTCCTTGGGCGCACATCGGCCTGCTCCCGAATGGTCGATATCTTGATCAATGAGATCTCCCCCAAGGCAATGGTCCCGAAATTGAAGCAGGAGCGCAACCACTTCGAGCCACCGTTCACGTCCGAATTCTACCTGGCTAATCTCGATAGCCTCATGAATGGAATGGAGAAGAGGCCTGCTTTCTCGCGAGGACAGCTGGCAACTGTTCTTCTTGTTGACCTTGCTGTCGAGGCAGGAGCGGAGCTGCGGCGGCACCTCCCTCTCCTGTTGCAGACACTCTTTGTGCAACTGGACCATTACACGGCTTTGATCTGTGATCAGACAAGGTCCCTTCTCGTGCATTTGATTCACTCTATTATCATTCGCGAGTCGAGAAGCCTCGAGATTATCGATCAGTCGACCGACCTGGTCAATTTTTTGAACACCAAGGAGGGCAAGCCATTGTGGGCGTACGACGACATTATCTCGCTCAACATGCGCGAGTCCCCCGAACTGGAAAACCTTGTCTATCGTTCTGTCCAGGTCTTCCAAGCGTCTGAAGTCGAGATCCGTCAGCAATGGGGTGAGACGGCGCTCCAGTGGGCTACCGCTTGTCCTGTGCGGCATATCGCCTGTCGGTCTTTCCAAATCTTTCGCGCTCTGGCACCGTGTTTCAACCAGCACATGCTTGCAGATATGCTCGCTCGGTTATCAAACACGATTGCGGACAAGAGCCAAGAGATCCAGGCATTTGCGATGGAGATCCTGATCTCTCTTCAGTCGATCATCGAGTCGTTTGATGCGCCAAGGATGATGCAGTTTCCGCAAATATTCTGGGGCTCGATTGCGTGTCTTTACACGGGCCACGACCAAGAGTACTTTGAAGGACTCAAGGTTCTGGAGATTGTGACAACTCGACTGGATTTGATGGATCCGCCTACGCTCGAGTTCCTCCTCTCTTACTTTCCTGATCAATGGGATAGTGCGTTTATGGGAATCCAGCCTTTGCTACTGAAGGGGCTCCGATCAACCTTGACGCAGCAGATCTCGCTGCGACTGTTAAGGCGCCTGCTGTTTGTCTCTGAGAACGCGCTCATTGATCCGTCGGAAAACCGAGTCGTATTCCTGTTCCTTGGCCTGTTACCGTTACTGGCTGAAGGTCTCGAGACAAAGGACATTAATGAGGAATGTCTGCAGTGGGCCCAGGATATCGGTACGATTGCTGAGCGTGATGGATACGCAAACATCGCGCACCTGCTGGCAGTCTATGCCAAGCAACGCTTCCGATCCAAGGAAGACTTTTGGCGGCAGGTAGCGGTCCTGATGCGCGAGATCTTTATTCCGGAGCTCCAGGCAGAGATAATTCTGTTCTTTATGAGGCTGCTTTATAACAGCAACTCTATATTCAAGCACAAGGCGCTTAAGTGTCTAAAGCTGCTTCTGCCCCTTGTGGACACGAGCCGTGTCGAGTTTCTGGAGATTGGACCAGAGTTGGTGATGCCGTTGCTTCGTCTTTTGCTCCATGCTGAGTATGCGACTGAGGCGCTCGAGGTCCTGGACACGGCAATGAATCTGTCGGAGCAGTCCGCTGAGGTCTTCAAGATCAGGGTACCTCTCGATGCCCAAAGCCCTGGTCCTGGCCTGAACTTTGAGGATATGACCAAGGGTATCCTCGGCGGTGGAACGGGTCTGGAGAGGCGATCCATGGTCGAAAACTGGTCGGAACCACGCCGGGAGCAGTTTTGGCAGATGACAAGGGCGAATGTGAATGCTGTTGTCTTTACTTGCACTGGAACAGGTTATTGGGGCGGCAATGTCGAGCTGTTGGCGGAGCACGACATGAACTATGGGTATGGGGCGGACCAACATATGGACTTTGTGGACCACGATGGCATGCATATTGGGCTGGACGCGAACCCATATGGAGCGGCCTATGACATGAACCCCAACGACAGTCTTAATCGCAGCCAGGTTCAGTATGGACACTTGGTCTCTGCTCTGGACGACCTAACAGAGCATTTTGCGGAAAGCGCACGGGTTGGCGATGCTAGGAAACGCGAGAGCATGGCATATGGGCCCCCCTCATACGGCGACTCAAGCCATCAAACCCACTGGAACTACCGGCACAGTCTCCTGGCATCCGATCCCGCCCTGAACTTGGAATCAGCCGGTCGTGATGGTGCACCGACGTTTCATTCGCTTAATGCAACTGGGGAGGGCCTGGGCCTGAGCTCAGGACCTGGATTCGCCCGTGGACACCAACGTCATTCTCGCCATGGTAGCAAAGGCAGTCGGGACGAGTTTGGGTCGTTTTACTCACCTCACCACGACCGCATTGTAGAGGACGAAGAAGAGGAATCGACACTGATGGCAGCAGAGATTTTGAACAAGAGCCTTTCTATTAATCGATCGTATTCCTCGATCCGATCCTCATTCATGATGGATCCCTCGTCGTTCATCAACATTGCAGATAACATTGCAAACAACAGTAATAGCACACAGGAAGAGGGTAGTGTTGGATCGAAGGGAGAGACTGGATCGAGTTCTGGGCTTGGATCTCCAGTATCCGGTCTGGCAGCCATATCTACAACTGTCGCAAGGGACCCTAGTGGTCGAATGAGACTGTATGCTCCTGGGCATGGCCATCACACTCACCGGTCCTCGTCTGGTTCTGGTTCTGGAGGAGCCAGTACTACGATCGGCAATCTTGGTGGAACAAGTCTTGCGCTGAGTATGAGTGGTCAGAGTCACCGCACAGGAAGCAGCAACGCAGGTAGCAATTCGAGCTCAATTGTCAATCCAGGAGGAGGCAGCGCGTGGGGTGGAGCGGGTCAGGTCAGCAACGGTAGCAGAATTAATGGGCATCGGACGCGTGCGAGTTGTGACGACCTATCATTGTCTTCGTCCGATGATGACGATGACGATGACGAGGACTCGACGGATAGTGGCGATGAGGATTGTAATGGACAACCGCAGTATTCGCAGTATTCGCAGCAGCACCAGCACCAGCACTCGTCTGGTCGATACAATGCCAGACGCCCCCGTACCCGAGAAAACAGTTTTGCAAGCAATCCCAGACCGAGTATGGACAGCACCTCCCTGAGTCCATCTGGCGGAGGAGGTGAAGGCATGGTTGTTGGTTCACCACAGCGGGCGGCAAGTGGACAGCAATCACAGCCTGATTCGTGGGCGGGGTCTCAGTCTGAGTCAAGAGCAGAGTCTCGAGTGGGATCAATTCCTGGGTCACCATCGCCGAAGCGAGCAATGGACCGAATGACGTCGCGACTGATAGGGGTGGGAAACCAGGGCGAAGCCGTCGGCGGTGTGTCTAACGTGTACCTGTCACAGAAGTAAGGTAGCATGGTGCCCATTGTAGTAAATAGTCTATCATAGTACAGTAGTATATATTTTTCCCTGTATTGTAAATGTTTAAACTGAAGACGAAAAAAATAAAATAAAATAAAAAAAAAGATGGCCCGCTAACGGTGCTGGCGCTGGTACCCGCGAGGGGGCTGGTGCCAATGGGGCGGTGGGTGGGGAGTGCGGGGAGAGAGAGTGGGTGGGCTGAGCTGAGCTGAGCTGTCATGGGACGCGGTCGTTTTTTTTTTCTTTTTCTCCACAGTTTTGAGGGATGGTCAGTGCGAGGGAAAGGGGGGTGGGGGGTGGGGGACCGGCTTTCTTCTTTCGGACAAGGACAAATAGACTCTCCATTCTTCTCTTTCCCCATTCTTCTTTCCATTCTTCCCATCACTTGACACTTCTCTTCCATCACCCTTCCAAAAGAAAAAAGCGAACCTTTGAACCAAAGACATTCGTTATTACTTCCTGTATCAAAGCACTCTCGTTATTCCATCACGATCTTTTTTTTCCCTTACTCTTCCTTCCAAACTTCCTACGAGTCTCTCTGATCTCTCTGACGTTCAAGAAGCAACACCTTTTGTCCTATACTTTCTCAAACTGTTATCAAAATGGAGACAATATACGGTATCCAGGTAAAATTCAGAAGCGAAAGAAATGATGAAAAAAACATAAGCTGTGGTTGCCGAGCATGCTTTCTTATCCTGCCTGCCATTTGGGTTGCTACGTTTTGCAAAAAAAAAAAAAAAAATGACATGGCGTTGGGGGTGAAGAGAACCATGGGCGGGGACCAACACGCTTATTCTTTGTCGAGAGAAAATATGACACTTCTCTCTCATCCCTCTCCCTAAGGATGACAACCCCTGTTTCCCCCCCCCCCCCCCCCCCCCCCTTACCCTTACTTCCCCCACCTTTCCCCCTCCCCTCTCCCCTTTTTCTCCCCTTTATCCATTGACATTACGTGAAACTCACTATGATGCCCTCGTTGTAACTGTAGGTCGACACTGATAGCCTGCGTGAGGCGCATGAGCGTCAGAAGCGCTTGCACCAGCAACCACAACAACAACAACAACAACAACAACAGCAACGACCCTCCCCTTCGGTCGTGGGAGATTTCACAAAGACCTATTCTGGCCCAGCAACGTTGAAGAGTCCACCGGAACCGACGGTAGTGGCTCGATCGACCTCGACGTCTGCGATCCCCTCATCCGGGGCGTTGGATAAGAAGGCTAGAGCTAGTGGAACAGAAATGGGGATACCGAAAAAATCGCCCGCGGCGACGGTTACGGGAGCGTTGGGGGTCTCGGGTTCGCATACACCGCCACCGCACCATTTTCATGCATCGAGTGGTGCTGCGACGTCGCCGTTCCTGGCCGCGGTTGGGTTGCATCACCATCAACAGCAGCATCAACAGCAGCAGCAGCAGCAACAGCAGCAGCAAGGAGGAGGAGGAGCGGGGGCAGGACAGATCCGATCAGCGACTCATTCGCCGTCGTTTATGACCCGATCCGCGAGTCATTCTCCGGGTTTTTTGACCTCGACATCCACGACCCATTCCCCGGCGTTCTTGCCAAAGTTTTATGATCTTGAGCATCATGGGCATACTGGGAGGTTGTCGAACGCGATCCCATGGTTGGCTTTACCGGGGACTGCGACGCCTACGGGATTGATGAGCAGCAATGGCAGTCGAGCTCAGAGTCCGAGTCTGTTTGGACGACGGAGGTCGGATGGAGGAGCGGCGCCGACTGAATTGGGGGCGGCGGCGGCGGCGGCGGGGACATTGGAATTGGGGCGTGAGAAGCAGCATCTGCAACAGAAGTATGGAGCATTTGAGTTGATGTTGGGACTGGAACAGCAGCAACAGCATCATCAGCATCCGCTGCAGCTGCAGCATCAGCAGCAGGAGCAGCAGGAGCATTCGTTGGTGCGTCCACAGCAACAGCAGAATCCGCAGTCGCATCCACCACATCCTTTGGCAGCTTAGGGTTTAGGGTTGAGGACCCAAACTAGGAGAACCGACACCCTGTTGATGACGACAAACGACGTTTAAGAAAAAAAAAAAAAAAAGAAGGAAAAGAAGAAAGAAGAAGAAGAAGAAGGAGGAAAAGAAGGAGAAGAATGCTTCTGTTTGTACATATTTTTTTTGAATTATTATTATTATTATTTTTGCATGTTCTACGCTTCCCTACTCTTCTACCCTTTTTGCTTCACGAAAATGACCCATGTTAGCAATTTGCTTCAGTCGCATACACACTGCCCTTTTTTTTTTTTACTACCATCATATTTTTATTATTATTATTATTATTATTTTGCTCTGCCTTCATGCGGACAACAAATAAGATAAATAAAGTAAACAATTTATGCTTATTTTGGCTAACAATAATGTCGACTTTTGGAATGAAGTGGGGTAATTGCCTCCCCCCGCTCCGCTCGGAGCACACACAAAGTAAACAAAAGGAAAAGCAAAGGCGGAGTAATATACCTGCGTCAGTCTTTTTCGGCTTGGGGGGTTTTGGATATCTTTACAACCCACGACAGAAATGGATCCAAGGAAGTTAGTGTGCTGAGGAGAGGGAGGGGAATGAGGAATGACATGACGGCGTCCTACGGCTGTTACGCCTAGGAAAACGGTCAATGTTGCCTGTGCGCATGCGCGCATTTCTTATCTGAGGTCTAAGGCCAGACCGGCCCAGCCCAGCCCAGCCCAGCCCAGGTCGAGTGAGGTCAGATCAGGTCAGGTCAGGTCAGGTCAGGGTGAGATGCATGAAATGGTGGCGCCCGGAAGTCTGCCTTTGGACAGCGCGGGAGGGGGGGTTTTTTCTTTGGTGGTAATAGTGAATAAAAATGAAAACGGGCCAACGAACGGGCGCGAGAAGGCGTAAAAATGTCTTGGATGCTTTTTGCTTTTTGCAGTTGAACGGTTTATTTTCTCAACTTTACGGTTAACTTTTTTTTTTCTTTTTTTTTTCTCTCACCCTTCGTACTTTTTTCTTTGTCCATAACGAACAACATCGATTGACCCCTTGAGCATTCGCCCAGTTTACAACCACCGCTTCCTTCTGCTCTCTTTTTCTCTCTTACTCTCTTTCTCTTACTCTCTCCTGCATACTTCTAAAAAACAAAAGAAGCAAGTAAAAAAATGGACGAGTTAATATTTCCACAGCCATCTCCAACGCCTATGATCCTCCCCCGAAGACTCTCAATCCACGGTGGCGGTGGTGGTGGCGGCGGTGGTGGCGGCAATAGTCTCTTCCAAAAGAACCGTCCATGGCAATACCCATCCCCAGCTCAAAAATCTCCGCTGTCCCTCCCACAATCTGCACCCTTACTCCCCACGGTCCCCGTATTTGGCCAACTCAGTCCCTTCTCTGCCCCGCTCTCAAGCCCGCGACGCCGCCGTGTGCGGCGACATTCCGTCGCGACAGGGTCCCCGTCCACGAGCACGAGCGCGGGCACGGGTACAAACATGAACATGAAGATGAGTACGAGTGCGAGTTCGAGTGCGATCCCACCACGGCACGCGTTGCATATGCCGATCATGAAGATTAGTCCCGAGATCTGGAGGAGTGAAAGTCATCAACGAGAGATCCATAGGTTACTGCATGCGGGCCGAGAGGAGGCCGTGATGAAACGGAGGGGGATCCGGAGTGGGATGGATATGAGTGACGATGAAGACGCTGAGGACCAGGAAGGAGAAGGAGAAGGAGGGATGAGGGGAGTGGAAGTCACGACGGATCTTGGGGGTTTCCGGGCTCTGGAGGAGCGTGAGAAGGTATTGAATATACGTTGGTATTGTTTGGTTCTGATCATTGACGAGCGGTGGCGTGAGAAGGGAGGAGGGGGGGGAATGGGGGAGAAGTGAGGTTAGATCGCTTAGGGCGCAGTTCGAGGATGAAAGAAAAAGAAAAAAAGTAAACTAACGCTTGTCGTTACTTTTGCTTTTGTTTTATGTCTTTGAGACAATAGGAGCGGATACGAGAGGAGGTTCGACAGGAATGGATGCAGACAATCCGTCGGTCTGAAGAAGCAGCAGTCGCGGCAGCAGCAGCAGAGGCCTCCCGACGAAAGAGCTGGCCGATTCTGTCGAGTGAACAGCAACAATCGCCACCACTGCAGCGCCTTCATTTTCAGGAGCAGTACCTAGAACTGCAGCAACAGCAACAAGCGCGGCTCTTGGCGATTCATCAGCAACAGCAACAACAGCAACAGCAACAGCAACAGCAACAGCAACAGCAACAGCAACAGCAACAGCAACAGCAACAGCAGCAGCTTTTGGCGAGTCCTCAACATCAATACCAGTTCTCTCACAGCAGTGGATCGATAGGGCCGTTGGAGAATCCAGGTGGATATCAAAAGGCTCCGGGAGAGGTTATACGACGGGAGTCGTTTACGACGTATCGTGGGTAGACGCTACAGACGTCCTTTCGTGTACGGAGAGAAAGACTTCGTGGTCTTGGTTTCCATAGGATGTCTCGTACGTGAAATGCATATAAAAACGGCCTATGATAAGGACATGATCTCATAATGCTGGGAACAGGTGGATCTTATGCAGAAAGGTGGCCCGGCCTGTATCTATTAGCTTGATGGGCCCTCGCTCGTATCTGTCCCAGAGGAGATTTTTCTCCAGAATAAGACGCGAGAATGATGAAAGAGAGCATAATTTGTCACAATCTACCGATTGGGTGGGTCTCCGATGGCTTGTCCCACGGCCATCCATGCCCGTTTGCTCTTCTTTCCCCCCATATTGAGCATATTGAGGGTAATGCCAGCCCGAGCGGGTGCTGAATTTGTGTGCCCGTTGGATAAGACAATTTGTCATCTCTCGAGTTCTCACACTCCCACAGTCAATGCAGACGTATGGGTGTCACATCCTCCTTGGAGCAGTAGCATCGCGCTTGTCGACGTCTCTCGTTTCGTGGGACAACCAAAGCGACTATAAAAGACTTTGTGCATAGCGCATCCTTCTCTCGCCTTCTCCTCTTCAACTCCAACTCTTCAACTCTCCAACTCTCTCTCTCTCTCTTCTCTCATTTCTCTCATTTCATTTCTTTTTTAAAAACTTGATTCAGCATGTCGTTCGGAAAGGTCGCAACACTCAACACCGGTGCCACCATCCCTCTGGTTGGGTAAGTCAACTACACAAATTATTATTCAGATCGATCAGCTATCGCATCCTTTAATCGCGAAAAAAAGGGGAATGCATAGCGCTTTGCCTTGCCTAAAAGGGCATGCAATTTGTTTGCTGTTTGTCCATTTACGTGATCCAACTGTCTGTACACCAGCATCATATCATCTCCAATTGCAAATCGATCACTGTCCTAACCCGTTCTCATTCGCCTTTCTCTTTTCATTTTTTTTTCTTGTTTTGCTTTGTGCATACAGCTTGGGAACATGGCAGGGTAAGAAGGATGAATTAAAGCAGGCGGTGAAGATTGCGCTCCAGACCGGATACCGCCACATCGATACCGCCTGGATCTACGGCAACGAGAAGGAAGTCGGCGAAGCCATTAAGGAGTCGAACGTCCCTCGTGAGCAGATCTTTGTCACTACCAAGCTCTGGAACAACTCGCACCGTCCCCAGGATGTCCAGCCTGCCCTTGAGACCTCGCTCAAGAACCTCGGCTTGGACTACGTTGACCTTTACTTGATGGTAATCATCATCGCGTCACATTTCCTAGTTTCATTCGTCCATTTGTCTATGCATACTTCAAGCATCGGTGAAATCTGACGTTATTACATACATTGCGCACTGTTCTTGTGTATGAATAGCATTGGCCTGTGGCATTCAAAGCCGGCTCTGAGGCCATTCCCAAGGATTCGGAGGGCAATATCCTCCAGGAGGACGTTGACTTTACAGAAACCTACAAGGCCATGGAGGACCTTCTTAAGACTGGCAAGACCAAGGCGATCGGAGTCTCGAACTTCACGATCAAGAACCTCACAAAGTTGTTGAAGAGCGCCAAGGTCGTCCCCGCCGTCAACCAGGTCGAGCTCCACCCCGAGCTCCCTCAGTGGGACCTTCTGGAGTTCTGCGAGTCCAAGGGAATCCACTTGACCGCTTACTCTCCCCTCGGATCCACTGATTCGGCCCTTATCAAGCGCGGTGAGGTACGAAACTTGATATGCTAATACTCTCTCTGAGATTTCGTGTGGGTCCATGTAGTCGAATACGTCCTTGTAACACCATTTTCTTTTGTGTGAACGTTGTGGATGTAGATCGCCGAGATTGCAAAGAAGCACAAGAGCACGCCCGCGAACGTCCTGATTTCCTGGGCTCGCCAGCGCGGTACCAGTGTGATCCCCAAGTCCGTGACGGAGTCACGTATCATCTCGAACTTTAAGGACATTGAGCTCGACTCTGAGGACTTGAAGACCCTCAAGGCTCTTACTGAGAACGATCCTCCTCACCGCTACACCAACCCTGAGTCCTCCTGGGGCATCAGCATCTTTGGATAAAAAGAAAAAAAAAATCTGTCCAGCAATCGACCTTGTAAATAGAAAGCAGCAGTAACTTTGAAATACTGTTATATCAAAGTATAAAAAAAATAAAAAAAATTACATGCCTGGAATGGGAACACAATCGAACCATTTTTTTTTGGACTCAAGGAATGGAAGGGGGGGGGGGGTCAAAAAAAAGCATGTCCGTGCTATTTACCATTCGCAACACAGCTTTGGGACTGGTGAGATCCTATTGGCATGGCCAATACTACAGGACGACCAGCAATGTGGGCATGCCTTTAATAAGCGTTCATTGATTTGGTAATCTCCGGGTATGGAAAAGGCTGGACGGGACATCTTCTCTTAGGGCTTTAGACAAAGGATGGCTAATGGCTAATAAAAAATAAATGAGCCTTTTTCGTCTTTAGAGTAAAAGACGACCCATGCTTTGTTTGTTGGTTTGGTAAACGATACAGAGAGCATGCAAGGGAGCCCATTAAGATTGGGTGAGCTTGCTTTCATGGCATCGAAGACAGACCTCAAGAAGATGATAAAACCAGATGTTAGGGATACAGAGATATGTGTGGAGAGAGCAAGGGAAAGAGAGACAGAGAGAGAGAGAGGCAGGCATGTAAAGTGCAGATAGATAGTGTAGTGTGCCTTGGTCCGGCTTAGCCCCGCTATCTCCGGCGGCTAATTTGCCTCATTTTACATAACATAGGCCATGCACTACTACTGCTTACCATCTTTCTATCTCTCATCGCTGCCTAACTGAGTCCTGCACCGGGCTGAGACATGTAAATATGTATGCAGGCCAACATTCTTGCTTCCTGGTCGTACTTGTTGTTGTTAATGTTGTTGTTGCTGCTGCTGCTGTTGCTGCTGCTCTCCAGTGGTAAGAAAGATACGGATGATTGTACTCAGGAAGAGAGGCGGGCGAGGGGCAACAGAGTGGGCCGAGGGCATACGGCTAAAAAAAAAACAAAAAAAACAAGTAAGGCTACTGAGGATGGAGGCACAAGGGCCTTCTCCTTCCTCCTTTTCCTCATGGAAATTAATATTTGATTGTTACACTGGGGTCGGTAAGCATGTTTAGGACGCTATGTTTGAGTTTGGGTTTCGAAATAATATGCTATCAAACACACTAACCAATTGAAGAACGCGCCCTTTTTTATTCAGGAACGAGAAACAAACAACTCCACCTTCATCATCACCAAAGGTGTGCGATTCCAACCAGCCCAGCCCATCACCTCTTTCCCTCTCTTTCTCTCTCTCTCTCTCTCTTTTCCTTTTCTTCTCTCTCTTTCTTCTTCTCTTCTTCCACCCACTCCCTCTCTTCGTTCCCTTTTCTTCCCTTCCTTCCTCCCCTTCCCCTTTCGCCACGTCCCTTTCCTAATACATACCCCCCCCCCCCCCCTCCCGCCTCGACGCAAGGCCACACCGTGCTCCTGACATATACCCTCCACACGGCAGTATCGTCACTCACCTTCTCCTCCATCTCGAACCCCTCTTCTTCTTCCTCCTCTTCTTGACGACATATCTTTTCGTTCCTTCCTTTCCTCTTTATACATTTATTGCACATATATCACACTCATCGACCCCTCACTTCCTTATACCAGTATCATCCCTGTCACTTACACATACGACTACAGCTGGCTCCAAAGGACGATCCCTGTGGAAGAAGGCTACTATTACTCTTTCTTCTCCCTCAATTCCACACCTCCTTCTTATTCTGCGACAGTTATCTAAGTATACTGTTCCTGCTACGCCCAACCCGAACTCCTTCCCTTCACACTCGTCCCCTTCATTTTTTTTTCTTTTTTTTTTTAGTCAATGACATCCTCCTTCACAAAACGCAGCCAAGGGCTCGCACGGACACTCGGTGCTTTAGCACTCTTCGCTGCTGGTGTCCAGTCAGCCTGTATTTCCCTGGCGGGGTCGACAGCCTGTCCAAGCTACGCAAAGTACCAGGTGGACACCAGTGCGGCCCAGAACGTCGTTGATTGGGGCATGGGTATCAACATGGCTCAATTCACGGACGTCAAGACCTTTGACGCGGCCGTGTTGAACGCTACCGGATTCTTGACCTCGGCCTCGACCTGCACGGGGTATAATTCGACGCAACGTATCCGGTACCAGGACACGCTGCTGTGTGTGATCCTCGCACAGGATTCGGCGTCTATGGCCTGCACGGCGGACGCACCAAACATGTGTGGGACTTCGTGTACGCTCTATGCGGATGCGATGTCGGCGATGATCACGAAGACGTGCCCGACGGACTCGACGTCGACCAAACAGTTGACGAGTCTGAAAAAGATCTGTTCCGGTGAGGACAATAGTCTTCCAGGATTGCATGATAACATGCCAAGCTGTGTGAATGCTACGACGAACGAGGCGACTTCGTGTGGTAAGTTGTTATTTTATTTTATTTTATTTTATTTTATTTTATTTTATTTTATTTTATCTTTTGACAACCACCCTGTTTCAAGTATTACGTGCATTGCATTTCATGGTAAAGAAAGGTCATGGGCAAGGGGAGGGGGGAAATGAATAACTGTGTCCAGAGGGGATGGAAAAAAATGAGAGAGGAACTTTGCCACGGAGGCTGTACGAACGCTAAGGAGGGATACATTTTTTTAAAAAAAGATGGACAATGAAAAAAGATTGTCTTCCTTATTATTATTTCTTTGGCATACACACGCAGACCTTGTCCCCATTCCTTCACTCTTCATCCATAATTTCTCGAATGGAGATCGGTAGTAGTAGTAGTAGTAGTAGTAGGATTTAGCAGTTAGGCCGTACTAGTGTCTTGGCCAGCTGGGTCGTGTACGTAGTCTAGTGCTGGTTACTAGTGAGAAAAAAAAAAAAAAGAGAAAAAAAAATAGCCGGCGGGTTTATTTTATTTGAGTTGGACCACCATAGACCAGTTATATTTGAGAGCAATTTCTTCGTTTAATTGCTTTCGCGTACATTTTTGTGTAGCCCATCTTGTGTTATTTTTGTCCGCCCTGTATTTTTTTTTGTACACTCTCGAATGGGAAAGAAACAAACAAACGCTAACGAGTCTTTCTCTATTCTGTCCTACTGGGTTCCCCCTCCCCTGTGCCGTGCCGTCCGCCTCTCGTTATCTCTGCACCAACCATCTATACAATTCAAACGCGCTCTCAAAAAAAAAAAAAAAAAAAAAAAACCTGATCCTCAACGATAACGAACACGCGCCCGTATATATATATGTATATGAATATATTTATGACGGAATACAGGATTCGGCTCACAAACGGCGATGTGCAGCTTCTGCGCGACCAACACTACAGACACCTGCTGTATCTCTGGCGCGGGTGCCGTCTGCAGCACCCCTACCTCCACCCTGATCACGCCCACGGGCGCAACCACGATCACAGGCATGGTCCCACCCTCGGCCACCCCTTCCTCGAACGACTCGACACAGAAATCCGGACTCTCGACCTCAACACTGGCGGCGATCATCGGCGGAGCCGTCGCGGCCCTGTTGATCTTCTTTGCGCTGATCGTCTGTTGCATCCGTCGTCGATCCCGTGCGACGAAACCCGCCAAGGGAGGCTCGAGGAATCTGGCCAGGAACGTGTCGACCTCGAGCGCGAGCAAGTATAATATCTCGGCACCAAAGATTCAAGAGGAAGGGTTCTCCTCGGCTCTGACGCCCTCGGCCCCGATCCCCATGACGGCCTTGCCTATGATCTCGACTACGGATACCTCGTTGGGAGCGGGAGCGACAGCAGCAGCAGCGGCGGCGGCGGTGAACAGGATCTCGAAGCAGAGCAGTGTTTCAGGAAATGGTAAGCAGTCGTACTGCCAGGTTCTCTATCCCTACCAGGCCTCGATGGCGGACGAACTCGACTTGACCCCCGGAGATCTCGTGAACGTGCACCGGGTCTTTGACGATGGATGGGCCGTCGGTGTGAACATGAACACCTCGAACGAGGGTGCCTTCCCGGTGGTCTGTGTCATGTTCGTGGACGAGTCCGCGCTGGATGATGATTTTGAGGATGTGAACATGCACTCGATGACGCCGATGGGACACCGAGAGGACGACATGCAGAGCAAGGGATCCCCACGATCGTCGGTCATGCCCTCAAGATCCTCGAGCCCTGTGCATCTCCCAAGGAGACATTCGTCCATGATCCGGGATAGTGCTGTCCTGCCGGGCCTGAACGGCCCGATGACGAGCTCTCCGCTGGCCGGAGGGAACAATGTGGCTCAGCAAGGAAGGTTGCAGCCCCCAGCAATGAGAGATACGATGATGAGTGACGCGAGCTCTATTAACCGATGGTGGGAGGGCGAAGGTTCTGCCAAATAGAAGACAGCAAAGCATCTCTTTGGACATTTTTTTTTTTTTTGGGCATTTTTGGTATCATATATTTTAGGTTTTAATGGTCCTGGATGGCCAAGGAGTAAAAACAAAAAAAAAAAAACAAACAAACTATGCCTTCGTCGTATTAAAACGAGCGGACGGACCAGGATGATAATGATTGTGCAACACCGCTACTCAGGGACCAAACAATGCCCTCCTGCTGATGTTGTTGTTGTTGTTGTTGTTGTTGTTGTTGCTGTTACTGCTGTTGCTGTTGCTGTTGCTGCTGTTGCTGTTGGCCAGCCTCCTGCTGCTTCTCCGCCTCCTGTCGTCTACGCAGACATCTCCTCAGACTCTCCATCATCGGATCCGAAAACATACCCACGCACCGGCACTCTCTCTGGATCCGCTCCAGTTCCCTCAAGAATTTCCCCCGTCGACTCATTTCCTCTTCATTTATATCATCCTGAGAGCTCGCACGCTGAAGAAGCAGCTTTTGCTGTGTTCGCGATATGGATTCTACAGGGTTCCATGGACTTTTAGGTGAGATCGCGTTGTCCTGAGCGGAGGTGCCGGAGGTGATACACATGGGTATCGTAGGTGTCGTGTCCGTGTCTTCAGCGTCCGTGTCCGTGCCTGTGCCTGTGAGATTGTCGAATGTTGTAGAGGTCATGCGCAGACTGACTGGTACGCGTCTTCGGTGGTACGGTTGCAATGTGTTCGATCCTTCTGCTCCTGTTCCCACCCCTAGTCCTGATCCTGATCCTGACCCTGATCCTGATGCAGATGCAGGCCTAAATGCCTCAGAGCTCGATAGCGGTGCAGACTTGGGTGCCGATGATGACGGAGAAGCGCTATAAAACGACAGTGAGGACGGTGTGACGTTCAAGAACTTTGAAACCAAGAACTGTCCCTCACCTCCTCCGCCCAAATCATTCGGGTGTCGTGACACTCCGGGTGGCAATACCCCAGAAGAGGTTCCTGCGCTCATGGTTCGACGGATGGGCGAATGCTGATGATGAATGAAGGCAGAGAGGGAGCGGGTCGAGCGGGTGGATGCGGGGGAGGATGAGACCAAAGGTTGGCGGGCATGATGTCTTCCCAGCGCGTAATGCTGGAGGTTGTTTTGTGAATTCGACCGTGCACTCGTCCCAGACGTCGTTCTGGTGACGGCGTAAGATGCCAAGACCTTGGAGACCAGTTCCTGGACCGGAGAGGTAGTCGTCTGGTGCGGGCGGTCGCCTTGTGTTGAAGATACACCCGGCGTGTACGCGTCCTCGACATGGTCACCATTGTCTCCATTACTGCGGCTGTTGGGGCTGTTGCCATCGTCGACACTGCCAGGGTCGGAGGAATGGCTTTGGGAGGGTCTGAGGACTGTCAGGACTGGGTGGGAGGTGGTTCTGGTGATAGAGGGGATGGGTGCGGTAGCAGGGGTTGGACTCAGGAGACGGCTGAGACGTTTAGAGGGCTGGTGGTGTGCTGATGCTGGTGAGGGTCCTGGCGGCGGTATTGGCGTGGGGCTGGTTGGGTCCGTGGGTGTTGAGGTAACTACGGCGAGAGACGGGACACTCTGTGTCGTTGTTGAATCCCCTGCCTTCTCCTGCTGGTGCTCGTCGTTTAGGCCCTGCGTTTGCGCCTGCTGGTTTTGCTGCAGCTCCTGGTGATACATGTTGCGGGGTTCCGATTCCGCGTCCTGCACGGTCCTGTGATCCGAAACCTGGACTAAGCGATGAGACCCTTCTGCGGTAATAGTGAAAGACGCACCCGTGGTCTTGGCCTTTGTCGCCCCCAGCGAAAGATCCTCCATGGATTGCCGCAAACTGCGAGTTGAATCTGTGTCCTCTTCTGGACCTGCTCGTCCTAGTGCTCCTGGTACTACTGTCGGAGGTTCGTCCGACATGGTCTGTGCACTGTCATTCTGCCTTGCTTGAACATTTGGGTCGATGCGCCGTGGATGGCTGAGTTGAGTGTTATTGGGTATGCTCTCCGATGTTGGACCCTGGTCCATGTCCTGGTTCCCGCCCTGATGCGTCCGCTTGTGTGGACTTCCTGCATCCCCTTCCAGTCGTTCCTGGTGATGCTGCTGATGAGCATCATGGGATGAATGCGGCTGCGTCTGCGGGTAGGGATCATGGACATGTCTCAAGCAAGCGTGCTGAAAAGGACGGTGTCCCTCATGAACGAGTGTTCGCCCAGGGCTCTCGTCCTTGTCGTCTAGATGGTGCTGTTCGTAATCTTCCTCCTGATCTTGATCTTGGTCTCCTCCCCCACAAACGAACTTTGCTCTCCGTCTCCGCTGTCGTGCAGGTTTTGGTCGGTGATCTGGGCGCCCTGCAGTTAAAGGGCTGCTGTTGCTATTGCTTGCGTTCGAATTGTTGTGATGGTTGTGGTGGTGAGTAGGAGGATTGGAGGCGGATCGCACCATGGGTCTGGTTTTCGGATGGCCTGCGATATGGCCGTGTCTTCTGCTGTTGTGGACATGGTGGCTGCTGTTGCTGCGGTGTTCCGCAAGAGTAGATGTAGCTGTCGTTGCTGTTGCTGTAGCTGCAGCTTTGCTTGTCTTTGCCTCTGCTTGTCTTTCCTGCTGTTGAGGTGCTTTGTGGATCGACTCTTGGTCTGTAAGGTTGAGAGCGTCTTCCATTTCGGTGAAAGGAGCTTAATGGAATTGCGAATGAGTGATGGAGTAGGAGAGAAGGAGTTCAGCGGTGAGAAGGAGAGGGGGTGTGTGCTTGGTGTCAGTGTTGAGCCTGTGCGGTGCTTTTGCTGGTGCATATTTCTCCACAGATGCTTCGCCCGCTTTGAGTGCACACTGTCTGCCCTCAGGCTACTCGTACTTTTTTCGATTGCATGCAGTGCCCGCCTGGAAGTGCATCCTAGATCGACCGACCCGGACCGACAGCAACTGCTCCTCCGTGCTCTAATTGGCAGCCTACATCGTCTCAGTGGCACCACAGTAATCCATGGATCCATTCTACCCCTACCGCTCTGTCACATCGATGGCATCGTTCGCGGTAGGCAAGCATAGGATCTCTCACCGATCCATTCAGCTCCCTTCCCTAATTCTTCTTGTCCCAACCACGCTCGTTGTTACGCAAACCAAAACTGGCACAACTCTGGCGGCCATCGAAAGCCCCTGCAGCGGCTTAGTGGGGGAAGCGTTACAAAAACCATAAATTGGGCTGCTGATCACATTTCATCCTCATTCAGCATCCATCCATGGTTGACATCGCACTTGACCCCACCATCGAGGCTGAGAACCTGAACGCTGTTGACTCTGTGTACGCTCTTTGATGCCCGCCCAAAAAATCTGACGATATTATGTACAATTGATGTGTCGTATATGATTATGTTCAATTGCTGTGCCTGATATGTATGCCATATCTCATTTCCTCAAATGAATAGCAAAGAGCCAATCTTGCCCCACCCTGCTCTGGACTATGTGATCCCTAATGCTGAAGAACATCAGACGCTACTGAAAGCCATGCGTAAAGCCTGTGGCTGGGACGTTGCCAATGTATGTCCTTTCGCAATTGACCAGTAGTGAATTTCCCCCCCCCCCCCTGCTGCGCAATTTTTCACACCGTGCAAGTTCATCACCCCTAAATCGTTTTTCATTCGCTATCGTAACGCATTCACTAGGTCCCGAAGTGGTTTGTCCAACAGGCTGAGGGCACGCGTGTGATGTGCATCTTCTACGTCCCTGGAACGAACACGGCTGTCGGGATGGGTGGTGTTGAAATGAAGGATTTCGATCGTCAGGATAAGGACGTTGCAGATCTCGAGACCAAGCGTGGATGTGTCGTGTCCTTGTTCCTGTACAAGAACTACCGTGGCAAGGGCTATCTCGGTCGCATGCTCGAGGTCCTAGAAGACATAGCCCGGCAGAAGGAACTTGAGACTTTGACGATCTATGGGCTGAGCAAGGCAGGAGGGTATGAGAAGTTCGGATACAAGACGTTCAAGATCGAGCCTAGGAACTATGGAGGCGAGAATAATTGGGAGACAAGGTTCTTGGCAAAGTCACTTTAAGTCCTGTAACCTTTGTGGAAATGAGATATCCTTTTTTATTTTGAATTGTTCCAACCGCCTTGGCTTGCAAGCAGGTGCTGAGTCATCTCCTGCCTGCGAGTTCAGCCCGACAAAATGTGCGTATATATGTAAATAGACTAGACTGCATCTGGACAAACGCTCAGCCCTAGAATACCTGTCTAAAGATGTCGCAATGGCTGTGCAGGCTGAGCTTTGCAATGCTTCCTCGATAAATCCTTCCGCAACGGGTCAATATCTTTTGCGCCCCGGCGATGAAAAAGCTGCTTCGTTGGATGCATTGCTCAGATACGGCAAACGGTGCATCTCCGTGGAGCAAACAGACAAAAAAGAAGCGACTTTTCGTCCTGCGAAGACGGATAACTGTTGGCCCCAGCCTAGAAAAGGGGCGCAGACGTGGTCGTCATGTGCCAGCATCTTTGTCTTTTGGCACAAAGGTCTTCTTATTTTTAGCCAATGACTGACCCCTTTTCCCTTTGGGCAGGACAAGGATTGAGGGGATCTCGGCCTTGTCTGTTTATCTATAGACGCGCTTAACTCTGTAAAGGAAGAGGCGTCCTCCCCAGATAAGAAAAAGTTTATGCCTGGCAGTGAGTGGTCTGCAGGGGTTTCTGTTAAAAAAGAGGGATTGGAAGAGAAACGCCCAGACCATGTCCACTATTACTCTTTTTGACGATCCCGCGTACAATGTCTGTGTCATTGCTGTTGTCGTTGTCAAGGTCCACTGTATGTTGTTTCATTCTGCAAAAGACTCCTCCTGGGCACATTGGATGGGGCTGATGCAGAGTAAGCGTGAGCATCTGTGGTAGACGACCACCAAAGTTGCCCCCAAGATGTCGAGGGCGTTAGATCACTGGACGCATTGGAGAGACAAAACGATCTTGATAAGGCAAGAGATGGGGGCGGGGGTGAACACAACAACACACGGCAACATTCACACGGCCATCTCCTCGACTTCTTCCTTTGTTTGTGTTTTCTTATATCTCTGTTTTCTGCTTCTTTGCATTTCATTGCTCACCTCGCCGTAGCAGAACCCTAAACATCCTCATCCTTATTGCCTGTTCACTCTCCCTTTCCTCCACCTCCTCTACACTTCCTCTACACTTCCTCTACACTTCCTCTACATCTCCTGTGCTTCTCTTCTCTTCCCTTTGACCTGCCTCCCCCCCCTTTCCAATCACACCCTCACGCCTGCGTCTTGCAGACCTCTATCCATCCTCACAACGTGGCCATCCTCACTTCTCTGCTCATACATCATCGCGTCTTCCTTGTAACACCTAATTTTCGCTGTTTGACCATCTGCCATCCTATAAGCATATTGGTCTTATTGGTACTCCTTCCGCCATACCATTAAGCTTCTCTGGCTCTGAAGGAAACCGTCGTCCGGTCTCTTTCTTTGTCACCCATTTCCCTGCTGTTTTTACACATATCTCTCTCCCGCGCTCCATACCTTACTCTTCCGGTTCATCCCCCCATATCATCCTACGCCATCTCCTCTCTTAATTGCTTAAACCTTGACTTTCCATATTGCTCACCGCTCGTTCATCCGCCTGGATGGGCCTTTGTTTTTTATTGTATTAATTAAATACGCGCCCGCATCCTCGTCCCTTTCATTCCTCTGACCTCTTCCTTCCTACTTCTCACATATCTCCGTCCTCCCTTTCGGCAGCGATTCTTGCTGCGCGTCCCACTTCTTTGCTCTACGACCCAGGAGAGAGTCCACACATCATGCTCCAACGTCTCTTTCTATCCATCATCCTCCTCACCTATCTCCTACTTTCCACTGACCGACACAGCCTTTTTGTACAGGGGCAGCCTCAGCCATGCGGCGGTATGGCCTTCGCACGAGTCGGCAACTCATTCTACATTCAGGGCGGTGCTACCGTGGGGGACAACTTGCTCGCACCATTCTGGGCCCTCAATCTCACGACATCGTGGGCCACCAGCAAACCAGACTGGACTTCCCTTCCTCTAGGCCCCACCAATGCCTACCACTCTGCCGGCTACTCTGCTGACAACAAGAGCTTCATAACCTTCGGTCGAGACACCGGTGCAGCTCCGCAGGTCGTTCCGCAATCCTGGGTCAACATTTACGACATCCCTTCAGGCTCTTGGTCGTTCAACACGAACCCTCCAAACATGGCCGACAATTCTCGGAGAGATTTCTTTGCTGTGACCAACCCTGGCGCCAACAAAATCTATATTCTCGGTGGCGATGCAGGCACATCGGGTGCAGTCTTCACCAACTCATTCGATACTTTTGACCCGACTACGAGGACACTGAGCGAAATCACGACACCGGCTCCTGGGCCGCAGTACATCACAACCTATGCTGCCGTGTGGGTAAAAAAACTGCAGGCGATGGTAGTGATTGGGGGCTCAATGCAGAACAGCTCAATTCAGGGCCTATATCTCTATAATCCTTCCACTGGCGCATGGACCACCCAGGTAGGAGATGTCACTCCAATTCTTAAACGCATTTGGCTATTACATTCAGTAATGAAGGCAGGAGATGAATTGGGTTATAAACTAAGATTACCAATATTATAAAAAAAAAAAAAAAAAAATAGGCTACTACGGGGTCTTTCGACTATAATCGACGTTCACATTGCGCCGCAAGCAGTAAGTCGTTGTCTTTGCATTGCTGTTCAGAGTGTCTGTAGAATTTGCGTTATGAATGGTACAGAAACGTTCATGCTCATATTGTTCATTATGCTCACTATGCACGCACTCTTAGACGATGATGGGTCACTGGTAGCAGTATTCGGAGGGTTCATCAGCCAGCAAAGCACTGGAGATCCCAATGTCTACATTTTGGACACGACAACATGGACATGGACGACAACACCGTACTCTGGACCTGGACGAGGCAGTACAGCCTGCGTTCTTGTCGACGATACATTTATGATCTGGGGTGGATTTTTCACTTCGCCCAATACTGTTAATAGCGTCCCTTCGGCTGCGGACGCCCTTTTGTTGTACTCGGTGTCCAACAAGGCATTCACAACTACATACACCCCCTCTCCTGCTCTCACTGGAGGCAATAACAACGGTACCAACAATCCAGGGTCGACTCCCCCTGGCGGAGGATCGAGTGGAGGGCTCTCCGCAGGAGCAATTGGTGGAATCGTAGCAGGTGTGATCGTTGTCTTAATTGCTTTGGTGGCGGCATTTACGGTGTTCCAGCATCGCAAGAAGAAGAGCCGCGCGGCCAAGAAATATGGCGGCAACGTTGATGAATCCAATCAGGAGTCTCTGGGTGGCGCAATGACAGAGTACGACCAATCCTTCGCGCCTTCCTGCCGCCCTGGACCAACACCCACTGGGATTTCACACTCGCTCAGTGCCACGTCTGATGACGCTCATGATCCACGACATAGCGCTGATGGACAATCCAGCAGTGCCGGTTACTCCAACCCAGCAACGCCGACATCGCTTCAGTTCCTTCATACGGGCGAAAGTGCCGTGGGATCGGAGACCCCGTACAGCTCTGCAGCATTGGCATCAGGCTACAATGGTCGGCAGTCCTATCAAAGTGACCAGACTACGACTGTCTACTATCCACCGCCGCCACCTGCGCTAATGTCCCAACAGCCAACGATACCAGAGGAGGGACCTTACATAAGCCCGTATATAGCAAGTAACGCGAGTATTAACCGTCGGTCGCAAGATCCCCAGACCCTGACAGATAGAGAGGGATACTACCCATTCAACAGCTTCCTGTCTCCATCCACGACTGCGGTTTCCCCATCGGGAGCGGACCAGTACCACGACAGTTATGGGATGGAGCATGCTTCTATGATGTCTTCGCAATCTGGATACACAGACGTCTCCTCGTCCCATCCGCACAGCAACTATGTCTTTGACCCACGACTGTCCCCCGGCATGGCTCCTGCGTCAAAGCGACCTGTGAATGGACCCCAGGGCGGGCCTGGGTTTGGAACGGAGATGGAACGGCCTTCACTAGGTGCTCCGCAGGCGATCCTGCAGGATCCACTTCCTGACGTTTGAGGGCTGACTCTACTCCTTCCCAGTTAATGAAGGTATATAGCATGAAATTGAACGGCATACAATAATGATACGCGTACATTTAATTAAAAAAAAAAAAAGAAAAAAAAAAGCGTTAGAGCGTATATACAAGTATACAAGACACATTGGTAGTCTATAATACGTGGTTTCGTGGGTGTTGTGCCTAAAAAAGTCTGAGTGTGTGGGTTGAGTATATATTTGTACCACGTTCGAGTGGTTCTTGAAGCTCATTTACTATGGTGGAGATACTTTCATGGAATCGAATCGAATCGAATCGAGCAACCAATATAATTTTTCAATACGCCCGTTCAATTCTTCCCTCACCACTGCGATTAATATTCAAGAAAAGCGAAACAAGCGAATTAGTCAAAAAGCGGGCAGCATTCTAAAGTCTCTAGAATATATTATGACTTTGTCTCGTATTGCAGCCTCGTGAGGCATGGCCCCCAGTAGTGGCAGCAGTCGATTCGACGAGTAAGGTTGGCCCTCCGCTCGAAACAGTTGTTTTAATAATTGGAATATTAAAAATTGCAGCTGCAGTGCAGGTTAGCAAAACAGACACAGAGTTCAGGTGGATAAAATTCGTCCGGGTAGAGCGCAATCGCACATCGATCATGATTCCATAGGGCGTTCATTATTATACCCTGCGGTCATAGTCAGCATTTAGACATCTATAGTCTACCATTCATACATTCTGTATATACAGTGCGCAAACAGGTAGACGGGGTACATAGACAGACCAGAAAAGGTATATTTTTCATATCTCTCTCCTTCTTACGGTTTACACTCTTTGTCTCCCATCCCTCCTCCACTCTGACCACCTTCCCTCCCGTCTTTCTTTTTTGCTACGAACAGAACTACCCCCCATCCTCATCCACCATCAATAAGCATCGTCTCCACCCTCCTTCCTTCCCCCCTCCCTTCCCATTTGATCATTCTTGATCCAGTCGTGCCTCTCACCTGTTCCTGAACCCACTTAATCCCTTCACACTCCACCTTATTCGACCCGACAAAAGCGGAAGCGGACGACACACACAACCATGAAGATCCTCAGTCGCCCCTCGATGGGCCTGGTTGTCTCCATGGCAGCCTTGCTCACTGCTTCGATACAGCGAGTTGCAGCATTTGGACGAAGTAGGTGGAATCCCCCTCCTTTTTGGCTAGTGCCAATATTGGATTATACAATCGTTTTTTTTCTTATTATTTTTTTCTCTTCCCCTGAGTCCATCGCCCAATTGATTGTGCGACAGTTGTTTTACCTGAAGGAATGTAGACTATCATTCAACCCATCCCATCATATGCTCCGCCCCGCGCCTTTACCCACACTTTTGGAATCTCATTCAGATGAGGTCCTTCAGGATGTGCACCATGGCAAACTGATTACGAAAAAATTTCCGAATCAGCAACTTGGACGTGTCAACAGCTCACCGACGTTTTTCTGACACGCATGCTTTTAGTGTACATGTTCATAAGAAGAAAGAAAAAAAGCTGTCAGTTTATTGGTTGCCTTACACCATTCCTGTATCCATTTTTTTTTTCTTCGCATACTTCCCTTGATTCCGTCTTTGATGGCTCTCTTTCTTTCCATGTAAATTGATCAGTTGCACAACAGTCTTGTTAGTCGCTTTATGGCTCACGGCGTTTGGGTCGGATTATACAAAACGCAATTTCAATGACAAAGACCGTGTCCAGCATGAATTTTTTTTTTTTGCTTCTTGGGCAGGGGAACATTGTCTGGCAGCATTGGGGACACAAGGATGGAGAGCAATTCTGCGAAGGGAACACCAAACAGACCACAAAAAGGGACTAGTGTTGAAATAAGGTTTAATAGCTGATGTTTATCTTCGAAAGTGCGCTCATATTTTTCTTTGCGGACATGGCTTTTCATATGGGATTCATTATCGGGGAATGGTCTGTTTATTATAGTCTCCAAAGAACATTGACCACGGTCCCGGCCCTTTGTGTTTTCTGGAGAGTGGAGCGCAAGGAACTGTAAATCGATAGGAGTGGTGTGTGTGTGTATGTGAGAGGTTAACGGTCAGGCACCACCTGACAAATCAAGTAGCTTTTCTCAAACCAGCCATACGATTAAACCCATATTTTGTCCTTTCTGGATTGTCACTCGCTTCCGCCTGGAGACATTCCCGTCTGTCTCCATTTGGATCGAAGTCAATCCACTTTGTTGTCTGTATGCACCCCAAATTTATCAACTCATCCGATCGCCAGTGCGGCCCTCATCCCCTCCGTCCTATTTGTATCCATTCGAGATGCAGCTGCGGGGGGGGGGGGGGGGGGGGGGGGGGGGGGGGGAGGCCAGTACGGGGTCATCAGCTAGAGGCTGTTTAATTTCCATCCACTCAACTGCTACTCTACTCTCCCTTGTGTTCACTCCCGGTTTTCTGTGCAACGCTGCACAGTTCTGCCAGGAGGAAGACCCGCACTTCGGAGAATGACCCTTCGTGTGTATGTGTGTTTCTTTACGCGAGCGGCATTGCTTGCTGCGACAGGGGCTCACACATTATCTTGAATGCACCTGTGGCTGCTGGTCTCCTGCCCAGGGTACCACTAATGTTTGCGCGATTGATGGTCTCTAGGATGGGAAGCTCTCTCATTTCCTGTCTTGGCGTGAGTGAGTGGGTGGGTGAGTGGGTGGATGAGTGAGTAGGCCAATCCGCGTTCGATTTTTTTACCCTACTTTCTCCATTTCTATTTTTATTATTATCCACCACGTTTCTACTCAAAATATTTTATTCCTCCAGTCGGCCCCCTCTTATTGGGCAAACACAGCCGTGGACATTCAATTACGAGATGAGTCCCGCTATTTCTCGCGCGCGCTGTGTCTGACTATGAACTCTTCCCTTCTTTCTCCGTTTGCGCCTTTTCTCTTAGTGGTGGACTATAACGGAACTGTTTGTAATGTAAGTAACAGATTCTTTGCTTTTTCAGCACACAATTGCAGGAGCAAATTGAACGCTTTGCTAACCTAACTTGCTCCACATCCAGGGTTATATCGACTACAAAGTCTGGCTGCCAGACGGCGCCACAATCGACCTAGTCGAGGCAGGTTTGATCCAGCAGGGTATCCAGCAGGTCGGCGGCCTGGTCGAGCCATGCAAGTCTACGTTTATGTCCTACACATGCTCTGTGGCCTATCCACGGCCGGTCATCACCGGACAGAGTAAGTGTCTGCGTCCGTTTGTTGTACTTCTCCCTGGGCTTTCATTTTTTACAAACTCAAGAGTACCTCGCGCAGCAGACGTGGCTCTCAAGGCTACTTCTCTCGAACTGCGACGACTTACATCATGCTGGACCTGGACCTCTAGTCTAGCCTTACTTTTCACGAGAATTTCTCACAATGAGAGCTACAAAGCCACAGAGCCCAGAACGTGGCGGATGTCTGGATTCATTTGTAGGATGGCCAACTAACCTGCGAACCGCCAATGTATCTTTACTCTTGTGCGATTTAATCCTATAGCCAACAGCTACAATGTCCTATTCGCATGTCAGTCGACCTGTCAGGCGGTCCAGCAGACCTGCAAGGCCGATCTCACTTTTTTAAACATGACCCAGATCCTCCCTGACTGCAAGACAGCCATCCCAGGCACAGAGCAGTATCCTAACGGACCCTTCCCCTATCAGCTCGATGGCTCTTGCAATACTATTCCATGTAAGTTTACAAAGCACCTGATTGCTCCAAGAGAGTGTTTTTTTTTTTTTTTTTTTTTTTGTTTTTTTTTGTTTACCGGTAATGGTTCCCAGATGTATTAAGACGAGATACCATTGAAATGGTTTGAAATTACCTTCCTAGTCCAGAGCTCAAACACAACATGCGCGAGCCCGATAACCGAGTGCCCATCGCCGTTCGTTCCAGACTTGGTCTTTCATTCGACGAACGGTCAGCAGAACACGGACGATGCCTTCTGCGGATGTGGATGCTGCCTTCCCTGCCCTCAAACGAACTCGTTCTACAAGCCGGGCATCATTGACCGGGGATTCTTTATCACCGATATCCTCAAGGGTGTCTCTGCAGGCCTGGCCCTGGTCCTCGCGCTTTCTTATGTGGTGCTTCCAGATAAGCTCCAGCATCCCTCGAACCTGATCCTCTTTGCTGCGATTGCGACGGTGCTCTTCTCGGCGGCAGTCGCACCCTCGTACGGAAACCCCAAGAGGATCCAGTGTGCGGCCAATGGGGTGACGACGGCGACGTCGTACAATAACACGCTGTGCACGATCCAGGGCGCGTGGCTGTTGTTTGGAGCGATCGCGACGACGGCGTGGTTGTCGATCGTGATCGTGAACCTGCATTTGCACACCGTGTGGAACTCGAACTGGTTGGCGAAGAGGGCCTGGTTGTCGCATGTGGTCGGATGGCTCATCCCTGCGGCCTTTGCAGCCATCGCCGTTGTCACAAAGTCGATCGGATGGAATAACTCGAATATGTAGGTTTGGCAGGAAGGATGATAGGATCCTACTCGTGGTGCGGACACTAGAGGTCTAGGATTCTGCTCGCATACTAATCGCATCCTCTTCTTTATTTTCCTTGTTTTCATTTTTCAACGCTACTATAGGTGCATGGCTACCCAGGATACCTCAAACGCGTTGTTGTTCATCCCTCTGGGAGTGATCATGGTCCCTGCGACGCTCTTGCACATCGCCACGTTCGCACACATCATCAAGGTCACTCTGCAGGCAGAGAACTCCGAGACCGTCTCACACTCGACCTTGTCCTCCGGTCGCGCCGCCCGTATCTCTCACCGTCGTCACGTCATGAACGCGATCCGGATCCAGTGGCGCGCTGCTGTCCTGGCCCTGATCGTCTCGAGCTCCGTTCTTCTCTACTGGGCATTCTACCTGGTCGAGGGCGCCAAAACAGACATGTCCTGGATGAGCACCTGGCAACTGTGCATCTTCACGGGAGGAACCCAGGAGGAATGTGGAAGCCGGTTCGCGACTGGATACGTCCCCGATTTCATCTTTATGATGGTTACAGAGGGATTGGTCAGCACGACGGGACTGTGGATCTTTTTGCTGTTCTTCAAGCAGTCGTTGATGATGGAGTGGAAGGAGTACGTGAGCGGATGGGTCTGCTGCGGAGGACGACGGAGTCGAAGGAAAGAGGAGGATCAGTTCTATGTGATCTAAAGGACCGCACGCGACTTTTCTCTCTCCTTCTTTCTCTGGTTGTAGGAACGCGTTTTTTTTTTTTTTTTTTTTTTTTTTTTTTGGTTTTATTTATTTTAATGGATTATCTGCCTACATTACGCACCACTCTCTTTGCTTTCGACGCTCGGGTTTCTTTTTTTTTTTTTTCGTTCTTTGTTATTGTTATTGCGCGAAAGTAGGAAGAGTATATATTTATACTATACATGACATGATATCCCCCACCATCCACCCCCCCATTCAAACATTTACCTAACTATATACACATACACATACACACACATATACACACACTATAATAAACGTTCGTTATTGGAGTTTGATCCTGTTGGGGCATTATATTTTGCATACGCGATCTGGATAGCATTTTGTATCCTAGACTGTCCAGTACAAGGAAAGTATTTTGGAATTGCATACAAAAAGGCTATGGAGGTACTCTGTTCTGGGTACCCTCCTCCCTCCCTCCCTCCCTCCCTCCCTCCCTCCCTCCCTCCTTCCCTCCCGCATGGCGCGCGAAATTGAAAATTGTTATCGTGCATATTCATCCAATCTTGCTGGCACATAAAAAAAAAAATTAATGAAGTGCCACAGAATATGGAGGAGCCAGGAGTTTAGAATGAAGAACGAGAGCCTCAACGGGAAGGGAGGGAGGCGAGATTGTGTCTCATATCATGCAATGATCTTCTCATTTTGCTGCTGCTGCCTTTAAAAAAGTGGCATATTAATATTATTCATTTTATTGCTGTTGCTGTTGCTGTTGCTGTTTGTTATTGTTGGTATATGTAAATGAATGATGGTGAAGAATATCTAAATCAAGATGGAGATGAAGATGGAGATGAAGATGGAGATGAAGATGGAAATGATAAGGATGTTGAAAACGGATGCTGAAAGTGAACGACGTCTACTTGGAGATATCTGCGCGACTGGTAATGGTACTACAGTCCCCAGTCTCCCTCTCGATTTGATCTGTGCCCGTCAACTGTGGTGGGACACCCACCAGATCAGCATTCAGGGCCAAGGACTCCACAACCGCGCGTCCTTCCTCCTCCTCCTCCTTCTCCTCCTTCTCCTTCTTGCCCTCTTTCTCCTTCTTCTCCTCCTTCTCTTCTTTTTTCTCCATCACCGATGCCTCCTCCAAATCCCTTAATTCCTCACCTTCAGGCTTTCCAGCCGCTGGTGACCGATGCCCAGGTCTGTCCCAGGGCAGGGTCGCCAGGCTCAAGAGGAACGCAAAGACACCAAAGGCCACGACTCCGAACAAGGAGTTCTTGAATCCCTTCATCAGTTGTGGGCCACCACGGACGGATGATCCGTCGGCCCCGCCGCCTTGTTGTCCGTTCGTCGAGATAGAGATGACGTTCAGGATCGCGATACCGAAGGGTGCGCCGAGCTGTAGACCGGTGTTATAGATCGCACCAACCAGACCCTGGTCCTGGTTGGGGGCGTCGCGCACGGCGATCAATTGGATAGGGAGGAGACTGAAGGCCATACCGATGATATGGACGATCAGAGCAGGGAAGGGCAGACGCCAGTACGAGACGTCCTCGGTGACGAAGGCGAACATTAGCGCGGCTGCGCAGCGCAGGATGAAGCCGACGAGAATCAGGGGCTTGAGCCGCAGACGCGGGATCGTCCTGCCAAGGATGGGGAAAACAACGATGGCGAGCAAGGCGTGGACGATGAACCCGACGGCGGTCTTGATGGCGGACCAGCCGTAGACTTCCTGGAAGATCATGTTCGCATAAAAGATAAATCCCTGGATCATCCCCATCTGGATAAAGGCCAGGACAACCGAGGTAGCAAAGAGACTTGATTCCCAGATTCGAAAGGGCATGATCGGATTAACGACCCTGGTCTCGACCCAGAGGAAGGCACCGATGAGCAACAGTCCGGCAATTAGCATCGGCAATGTCTTGGGACTCGCCCATCCATCCTCGTTGCCCATCGTGATATAGTACACGATCCCAGTGACTCCCAAGACCGACGTGATCGAGCCCAAGAAATCGACGTGGGCCTCCTTGCGGGGCACGACCGGGATGACCAAGAAGGCCATGAGCAGCAGCACAAACGCCGCGATGGACGAGACCCGGAAGATCCACTCCCATCCAATGCTCGCGATCAACCCTCCAGCCATCAGGACCCCAACCACGGCACCCAGGCCACCAAAGGCCGCAAAGACCGAGAACGCCTTGGCGCGTTCAGGACCGGCAGGATAGTTAGTCGCGATGAGTGCCATAGCCGTCGGGACAGTCGCGGCAGCACCAATGCCCTGGAGGGCACGGGCGATGACGAACATGATGGGGGAAGTAGCGAAGGAGACGACGAGGGCCCAGGTCGCGAACCAGAAGAGTCCGAAGAGGAACATGGGTCGGTGACCGTATAGATCTCCCATACGGCCAGAGAAGAGGAGGAGGCCTGCAAAGGCGATGGTGTAGGCGTTTAGGATCCAGGGCATGAGTGCTACTGAGAACTTGAGGTGATCTGCGATTGGGATAATCGCGATAGAAACAGAGGCGCCATTGACTATTAAGTAATGGACATTGCATGAAAGGATCGTTAGTGTTCCAAAATACATACCAACAAAAAAAAAAAATAATGTTCAGAAGATCGTGAGCGCCGATGGGACCTACCGACATCCAAGAACTGGGCCGTGGAGACGACGTAGAGCATAATTGGGCGCAGCCTCTTGCGCAGCGCATCAATGTCCCTCTCGTTCTTGGGCGCTGCAGTCAACTGGGAGTCCATGTCGGTCTCTACATTGGCAGCGGTATTCGAGTGGGGCGCCGAGGGATCCTTGGTTTCCTGGTCTGGTCGTGCCATGGCGGTGTTGATCTTCCTGAACTATACGTGTAATTAGAGATCGCTTGGACGCTGTGCTTTGTGTGATGTACGGTGATGTGTGTGTGAGAGAGAGATGCCGTGCTTGGGGACCGCTTAGGACAACGTGCGCCGAAGGGGGAGGGGTTATCTGACAGGGAATCAAATTCAACAACGAGAATGGTGGATGAAAGGGTAGGAGAATTCACAAAAAAAAAAAAAAAAAAAAAAAGCGAGAGAATGAGGAACCAAGTTCGCGATCTTTGATGTATGATGAAGAAGAAAAAAGGTGGGTTGATTCTCCTTTGGATGGGGCCTCCTTTATGTCTTTTTTTGTTGGTTCTTTCACAGGACCCAGGATACAGAACAAAAAAAAAAAAAAAACTACGCCCAGATGTCTTGTTCTGATGAACCACTTGTTGTCCCGCTGTGTTCAGACGGCGACATTTGCTTTGCAACTTTGCAGGATCAGATAACAAATAAATCATACTCAGCAAAAAAAAAAACTAAAATTAAAAAACCAGATCCTCACACAGAAGGCGAGAGAGATGACCGTTGGGCGTATGTGGTTGGTCTGGAGCAGCAAACGCATTCGAGTAACAACACGCTCCCAAAGGGTCTGGAAGAACTCCCCATTTCCAGGTTTGTTTGTACGCGATGACCACAGAGACAAATTGGGGAAGATGATTATAGTTCTCCATCTGGGTTTCCTTTTTTAATTGTCATGTCCATCACTCGGTATTAGTAACAGGGCACAACTCTATTCCTGTTAGACTAAGAACAAATAGCGTTGCGTGTAAAGCGGAATGCCCACTGCGCAGCATCGTGTACGCCCGGGCACAGAATTCAGCTTTTGCCAATAATTGCAGCCTCCCCTCCCTTCCTCGAGCCACCGTCGCATCCCCTTTACTCGGTTATACGATGACCCAGGGTAGCGCTGCGCATCCTCTGCTGTCTTTTTTTCTTTTATTGTTCTTATAGGACAAATAAAATAAACGGTGCGTCTAGAGAGAGGGGGTGAGGCCTCAATGTGCCGCTTAGTAAGGCGCCTCTCTCGTGAACCACCCCTCGTTGGCCAATTCTTGAAACGGCAAACAGGTTTCTGCGAAGCAAGGAAGCAGGAAGCAGGAAGCGCAGCTGGATGATGATATACCCTCCGCAACCCCATGAGTCTGCGCAAACATACGCGTGGCGTTCGAGGGGGAAAGGGTTTAGATTCTGGTTCAGATTCCTTGTAGAGCGGTATCCCGACCGACCCTTTCCATAACGTATAGTGAACCGTGGCTGCTGCGGGATAGAAAAAATAAATCCCTCCCTTCCTCAAAAGTTGTTATCCAGAATCATCGTCAAAGCATTACAACACAAATGCTCTAAGCTGTGCACGAATTTTTTTTTTGGGCGGAGCCGTTTGTCCTGTCAAGATCACACAGCCACGAGATTGTGTACCTTATCAGTTGATTGTTGGAGGGGTTAACTTTATGTCAGAGCAAATAGAACGAACGATAGAACGTGTGTGTGTGTGTGTGTGTAAGCGTGTGTGTAGATAAACCACTCTTTCCAGCAGCAAGTCAGATTGCATGGGTGTTCCAGACTGTCGCTGTTGAAGGTTCCTTGGCCGTCCTCATAAACAAGGGAAGCTAGTGGACATGGCAGTTTTTTTTTTTTTTTTTTTTTTTTTTTTTCGATCCAAGATCATCATGGTAGTATTGTGTTTTTTTTTTGTTATTGGTTCTCATTCATTTATTTGAGGGCACAAGCATCCTTGCACACGCAGTGGGGCTCCTACCTTCCTCCCACATCTTGCTGTGGATCATCTCTATCTCTTGTAGGACGATCAAGTAGATATGAATCCTCGCTAACAACTCATTCATGCCTCTGGACTTGGATCATTTCTTATTCATTTAATATTATTCTTTTTCCGATGCAAGTAATATACAGTTTTGTTCTGGATGTATGCAAGCGTATTCTATAGATAAAAACAGCAATAGCAACAATCACAATACCAGGATGATGCGGGTATTCAAAAAGAAAAGAGCCAAGACAGAGCAACGCCCATCCCACCTAGGCCTTGACCTCGTCCTCCTTCTCGCCCTGAATCGTGCCGGCGTCGGTCTCGACCTTGGTGTCCATCTCATCCACCACGGACTCCCCATCCATTGGACTACCAACCTCCAAATCCAGTTGCTCCTGCTCCTTTGTCACCTCCTTTTTGGCCGGAATCGCGGGCCTGTCCCAGGGCAGGATTACCATCGCCAACAGGAATCCAAAGAGCCCCATCGCAATGATCCCATAGAACGCATTCTTATAACCCCTCATCATCGCAGCACCCCCATGCACACCCTCGACATCGTTCCCGTTCGTCGCGATCGAGATCACGTTCAGGATCGACAGCCCAAAGGGTGCACCGAACTGCAGACCCGTGTTATAGATCGCGCCAACCAATCCCTGGTCCTTATTCTCCGCATCACGCACGGCCGTGATCTGGATCGGGAGCATCGAGAACCCGACCCCGAAGACATGGAGGATCAGGCCCGGGAAGGCCAGGCGCCAGTAGCTCGTGTGCTCCGTCACGAACGAGAGCAGCAGCGCGGCCACGCACCGGAGCAAGAATCCGGTGAGGATCAGGGGCTTGAGACGCAGGCGTGGCAGGATCCGTCCCATCGTCGTGAACGTCACGACGGCCAAGAGCGAGTGGGTCAAGAACCCGAGGGCGGTCTGGATCGCGGTCCATCCGTAGACCTCCTGGAAGATCATGTTCGTGAAATAGATCACGCCCTGGAACATCGCCATCTGCACAAACGCCAACACGACCGAGGCCGTGAACGTCCGGCTCTTCCAGATCCGGAAAGGCATCAGTGGTGCGCTGACCTTGGACTCTGTATAGATGAATGCGCCGAGGAGGACTAGGCCCGCGATAAAGACCGGGAGCGTCTTGGGACTCGCCCAACCGTCTTCGACACCCGTTGTGATGTAGTAGACCACCCCTGTGATCCCGAGAGTAGCCGTGGTCGCGCCAACGTAATCGACCTTGGGTTTCTCATCCTTGGGCGGCGCCACTGGGATGGAGAGGAACCCGAATATCAAGACGAGGTAGGCCGCAATGGCCGAGATCCTGAAGATCCAGACCCATCCGATAGTGGAGATGAGTCCTCCGGCCATGAGGATCCCGAACACGGCACCAAGGCCGCCAAAGGCTGCAAAGATCGAAAACGCCTTCGTGCGTTCAGGGCCGGCGGGATAGTTGGTCGCGATGAGTGCCATCGCCGTCGGGACAGTCGCGGCAGCACCGACGCCTTGGAGGGCACGGGCGATGACGAACATGATGGGGGAAGTAGCGAAGGAGACGACAAGGGCCCAGGTCGCAAACCAGAAGAGACCGAAGAGGAACATCCGGCGATGGCCAAAGAGATCTCCGAGACGGCCAGAGAGGAGGAGGAGGCCTGCAAAGGCGATGGTATAAGCATTGAGGATCCAGGGCATAACCGGGACAGAAAACTTGAGCTCATCAGCGATTGGGATAATCGCCACCGAGACTGAGGCACCATTGACTGATGGATGAAGGAATAGAAAGTATTCATAATGTTAGAACACGGTTTCTTTGTTCGAGCATGGACGAAAGCGAAGATGAATATATTTGTATGTCGAGGCGCTTACCGATATCAAGGAATTGAGCAGTCGAGACGACGTAGAGTAAAAGTGGTTGTAGCTTTTGGCGCACCTTCTCAAGGCTGGAGAGTTCTGGGATTGAAGGTGAAGCAATGGTGGTTTCGCGCGACATGTCGATGGCGCTCGTGTTAGTTGGGGCACTGAGGATTTGAGCGACTGTTGATGTTGATGTAGACGCGGACGGCGAGGTCACCGCCTGTGATTGAGCCATATTGAGTGATGCTGCTGCTGCTGGGGAAGTCTGTGGCTGCTGCTGAATGACTGGGGTGTGAGCTTATTATTGAGGAGAAGGAGAAGGAGGAGGAGAAGGAGAAGGAGAAGGAGAAGAAGAAGGAGATAGGGTATGGGGTATATGTTCGCGTACTTGTTATTATTTGGGGGGGTAGGAGTAGTTCTAGGACGAGTTTTTTTTTTTTCTTTCTTTTATGCTCGGTTCCAATGATCTTGGTGGTTTGTGCTGATAATCCAGAAAGCGGGTTCTCTGGCCTGCTTTTATATTTTTTTCTGTTTTTTCTTTCCATCCTTCCTTCTCTCTTGACGTAATGTGCAACGTTACGCGCTCACTAGATTTTTTTTTCCATGTGGGCAAAGTGTCCGCAGAAGCCTTGTTTTGTCAGCGCTTGAACTGTTTCCTCTTTTAGGAGGACACCCGCCGCATGTCTGACAAATTGTGTGTGTGTGTGGACCGCAGTAACACCAGCTGGATTTCAATTTTCTTAATAGGATTAAGCACGCTGCAAACCCGTTTTTTTTGGGGAGAGGGGGGAGAGGGAGGGTGTGCAGCCACAGCGCAGCGCAGCGCTCTTACTCTCTGTCAATTACGGTGAGCCTTTTTAGACAGCGGACTGTCTCGTATTTCGTGTTCCTGCGCAGTCATCTTCTGAAATGAACCCCCCCCCCCCGTTCTTAAAAAAAACGCGACTTGGTTCTTTATTATCCTGGACACATTTTCCCTTAGAAATTTGATGATAAATTGTCAGTGCATCATTTTGCGACAAAAGAAACTCCTCCTCCTCCTCCTCCTTCCAGAAAGAACAGACAGCCAGATGGTTCATAAAAAGAAGAAAAACAAACAACAATACAGGAAGAAAAAAAAAACCAGCTGCGATACTCGGAAGCATGCGCTATGGGAAGAGAGACGTGGGGGGGAGGGCAAAGGTGGTCGTAAAAGAGGATGGCTCCTCAGAAATGAAGACAAGACACATAAAAAAGAATCATACAACAGCTATTTACAATGATCCAAACAGACAGATAAACTATACATGACAGCAAAGAAAAGGAAAAAGAAAAAGAAGATATACAGAAAAAAAAAAAAGAAATGTACCGCGTCTGCCCCCTCTCAGCAGCGCTCAACCTCCTCAGAGCTCAGGCACAGGTGATCGATCGCCATTAGCTCACGCACAGACCCACGTCTCATCGTCAGATACGACGCGCTCGGGCCTGTCGCAGGACCCAACATTCTCCTGTTGTGAGCATATCCCTCGCTGCTCTGAGCGCCCCTGTCCTCGTCCATCCACATCCCCTCCTCCTCCTCCTCATTCTCATCACCATCATCATCATCATCATTATCATCCTGCTCTGCCGAAGTCGGGTCCGACAAAACCGAAAAGTCGACCGAATATCGCTTTTTAGCTCTGTACCCAGCCGACCCCAGATCTCGTCCGCCCCCACCAGTGCTGTGCTGCTGAAGGTAATCATGCGCACTATAGCTCTTACTATGACCCAGCACCAGAGTCGCGCTCTTCCTCGCATCAATATGATACGAATGATGATGCTGATGATGCTGATGATGATGATGACCTCGACCATCCTTCTCCGCACCCTCCCCATGCTCATGCTCATGCTCCTGCTCCTCCTCTTGGACATGTCCCAGTGTCGAGAACCGTCTTCCCATCACCACCGGGCCAGGGGACGTCGGCGACCGCTCGATCATGGTCTTGATCACCGCATCCTCAACATCCGCGAGCTCATGGCCAGAGCAGCTCGATCCAGACCGCGACAGGGACTCGCTCCCATCGCTACCCCGTCCGTAATACTGATTGCCCTCGACTTTGTCCTTGCTCGGTACAGCCGCCGTAATCGTCGTCGCCATGGTCGCCATGGTCGCTGTCGTCGAAGCGTTCGTCGCACGACCACCGCCAGGCATCTCGCGATGCTGCTCCGCCAAGTTGGCGAGCTCTGCCAATGCAGAGAATGGATCAATTTCCAACGACCGATGGTGCTCATGTCCACGCACAAACCGCCTGGACTGCATGTCCAGAGATCCATGCCGCGTCATATTCGGACGTGGAAGTGCGTAATTCAGCGCCTGGTGTTGCTGTGGCTGCGACGACTGCCATTCAGAGCCCTGACCCTGGCCGTAGGGCGATTGAGGCCGGTTCGTTGAGGGGACCACCAGAGCCGAGACCGAACGCGCCATTCTCATGGGCGGAGGTGCGGACGAACCCAGTGAACTAGTCGTTGAAGAGGGGGGCGACATCATAGTCGGTGCGGTATATGGGTAGTGAAAGCTGCTGCTGCCGCTAGTCATCATTGGTTGTTGAGGTTTGTGAAGCGACGAAACTCCTGGAAGGTTGGGACGAGCGGGTCCATTGTGTACTGGGTACTGAGGAGGTCCACCTCCCGGCATACCCATGTTCTGTCGGTCTGACGATCCCAAAGAGATGGACCTCGACATGCCGGACGCGAACTTGAACGACGTCTTTGTATCGGGCGTCTTTGGTGGGGTTGGGATCGTGCGAGGATAGGCCCCAGGGCCAGGACCGGGGCCGGGGCCGTTGGGCTGCATGTGATGAGGTTGGTGACCGCTCTCTGTTGTGTAGTCACGGGAGCCGTTGCGGCGATGATTGCCTTGGGCGGATGCTGCTTGCTGTGCTTTAGGCGAGAATTCCAGAGAAGGCATCGAGTGTCGTCGCTCTGTGGGGTTGAAAAAATAAAGAAAAATAAGGTTAGATGCTGACCAATAAAGTCGAGTGTTTGCTGGAATGCACGCTTTGAGTCGTTGAGCACGAACCATATGGATCGAATCTGTTGTGCCGCATGATCGAGGGCGACGTGACACCGGTTGGAGAAGCTAGGGGCGGGGATATTGCGCCGCTTGCCGAGCCCCGTTCATTCAGCTTCATTTGCAACTCTAAGGGGGGGAGGAGGGCGGAAGGTTATCGGAAATATCGGAGATCACAAAAATTGTGTCAATAAAGAGTGATAAGCCGTTGGAAATTAAAAGCATGGCTCAAGTGGCATCATATGCAAGACGTCGCCTGTACCAGCGGGGTCTTGGAGACTGAGTCGCCTCCGCTTGCGCTGCATGGATGTGTTGAAATGGTTCTTGATAGCATTGTCCGGTCGACCGGGCATCAGCTTGGACATCTCGGCCCATTTTGAACCCAGTTGTGCAAACAGCTTGAAAATGAGCTCGTCTTCCTTGGGTGTGAAGGGTGACTTGTCAACTAGATATATCGCAGCAGAGAAAAGGAAATACAGGAACAAGGAGAAAAAAAAAATAGGGAAATAGGGGATGGGCCATGTGAGCAATCATTGACGATAGGGGGGGGGGGGGGGGGGGGGGGGAGGGGGCGAGAGGCGTTGGGATGAGTGTTGTTGGGCATGTATCCATGCATGCATGGAGGCACAGGAAAATCTTTTTCGACCCAACGACTACTTGGCACTTTTTGCTTACTTGTAGGGTCAAGATGGTTGTGCCATCGTTCTCGGCATTGTTTGCCAGTCCGTGAGCCCAATCGACTTGCAATCAAAACCCACTTTTCGGCACCCAACTCATTCACCAAGGACCGGAGTTGACGATCCTCCTGTCAAAAAAAAAAGTTAGGAGCCATGTCAATTGAAAATGTTGTGAAGGAAGGGAGGGGACATCTCATGTCTTCCCATCAAATACCGTTACTCTGAAGGCATGAGAGCTAGAAGCAGAGAGGAATCATTACCTCAGGGGTCCATGGACCTTTGATAGAGCGTGGTTTGGAGATCATTCGCCAGCGCTGAAGACACTGATCCTTGTCTCGAGATCTGTCTGGGAAGCAATATTCCGCAATCCTCTTCCAGGTTTTGCCGTTAAACTTGGCGACAGCTTCGCGAAGTAGGTTGTCCTAATGTTGATAAGAAGAACCAGATGGGTATAGGAGCAGGGGTGTCGAGTGGGACAAGGGTGTTACGGAGGAGTGAGAGGAGGGGGAGAGACAGTAAAGATGAAGGGGTGAATGTATGGAAGCAGTTGCAAGAAGAAAAAGGAAGAGAGAAAGAGGGGGGAGAAGGAAGGGAAGAAGAGGGTCATAGGGTCAATAGGCTGCTCGGTGGAGAAGAGGATGCACAAAATAATCGATGGTACAAAGGAGCGTGCACGTCTGTCTGTGGCGGGTTGCTGACGAATACGCATGGGAGGAATGGGGGGACCATTGGGGCATTTACACTGCTGCTGAACAGTTGAGCAGTGGAGTGTGAAGTTGAGTATGAAGTTGTAAAGTATGACTGTATGTGTGCTAGGAACAACGGATTTTCACGAGCTAACACAGCACCGTTACAGGGGAAAAGACGGGGAAGAGACGAGGGCCAGGTCGGGATGGAATGTAATTGCAGGGAAAGCCTTTGAGCGGGGCAGAGTGCAATTAGGATGGCATGGGATGCGTGTGAATATGCAGGGATGAGACCGACTGCAACAGCTTGCTTAATGAGAGAGGATAGGCGGACGAAGTACGCTGGTCTCGGGAATTCGATGGACGTTACTGGACAGAACAAAAAGAGGGCGAAGGAAGAGGAGGCAGAAAATAATAGTCTCTCCTTGTTAGGCACTCTATTTCTCCCTCTTGCTCACTCAATCCGCGCCAAAAGAAGCACTGTGCTCAGACGAATGCAGAGCATGCGCATTTGAAAAGGGAGGGGGGGACGGATAGACGCACACAAGCAAGGAAGAAGGAAGAAAATTTTTCTGGGAGTAGGTCGCAGCAACCATGCGCTAATCGATGTGTGGCACTAAATGTGATTTTGACCTCTCTTCCCCTCCCCCGCCACCACCATCCCAAAGCAACAATTGACATGGCATGAAGAGTGGCTTTCCATAAATGTAGCGGTATGTGTATGTAAGACGAAACGGAAAAAAAACCACTGCGGATATAATTTCCTCCCCGATGCAACCATGCATGCGGGAACACAAAAGTGAGGATCCCTCTTGTTCAACGTTTGACTGAGAATGCAGATCAGAAGAATTTTTTTCCTCCCCCCCCCATGTATGTGGTGTTAGTGTGTCTGTTTGCTGCTTCTGTCAGCGATGTCGACAGATTGTTTGAGCAACCCGCATAGCACAAAGAGGGGGAGGGGAGGAAGGAATGGATGTGATGTTACCCATTGACCATGTTGAGAGAGGCAGCATCGATTTGGGTGCTCATGCTCAAGTAACACATCCACTCTAACGGTGTGTTCCCAAGCACAACGCCAGCCTTCCTTCTTTCCTTCCTTCCTACCTTCACTAGTGACCAAGGAATAACAGGAAATATCCCCTCCCCTCCTCTTTCATACTTTCCCCCCCTCCTGCTTGTTTTCCTATTTTCCTAGCCCCCCTTCCCCCTTCCTCCAGCCATCCTATACGCCAAGACCGTTTCATCTGAACGGTCATCATCTCTTCCTTCTTTCCTTCTCTCACCCCTCTTTTATTCTTGAAAGAAAGAAAGAAAGAGAGAGAAAGGGCGGAATAGTCAATAGGCCAGTGCACCATTACCACCATTACGAATGACGCGTGGTACGCGTGGTATTCTAAACCCTCCTTCTCCCCCTCCCCCTTACTCTTTGCCCCATGCATCCCGTGTGTGTGTATGTATGTGTATGTGTATGTGTATGTGTATGTGTATGAGCATTCGTCCTCTCTCATATGTCAATGATGTGAATTTTAAAACAAAGTCATCACGCGTCCAAATTACAGCATGGAAAAACGCGCGAGGAAAGGAAAAATTAAAATGAAAAAAAAAAAAAAAAAAAAAAAAAAGGAATGGACGCGACTTAATAATAAAAGCAATAATTATGGTAGTGACTTGGGGGGAAATGGGATACCATACCTCTTGAAGAGTCCATTGCGCCCCTTCAACGTTCGACTCCGCATCAGACGACGCGTCCGAGTCCATGGTCGTATCCTTGGAATAGTAGTCCTGAGGACCATGCTGCTGATGCATTCCCGACCGCTTCGGTGGTTTCATCGGCATTGATAGGGAGTACGATAGTGTGCGGTGTCTTGAACCATCGGGACAGGGCGTGAAACCATAGCGGTGTGGCGGTTTCTGCGATGGAGCTTGCTGTTGATACGGTCTCGTCTGGATGTGGGGGTGGCTCGGCGAGCGAGCATGGGATCGGATTATCTTACTGATGCCAATGGGCCCCGATCCCTGCTGCTGAGGAAAGTCTTGGGACTTTTGGTGCTGATGTGAAGTTGAGGACGCCGATGGAGGATGTGAGGAAAACTGTACATGGCTACGATGCTCATGCATCGACAGCTTCAATTGCTGCTGCTGATGCAGCCGCATGATATGCTGTTGCTGCTGTTGTTGTAGCGTCTGGCACGAGCCCTGATGACCCTGCTCCAGCGGCAATGGGGACGGCATCCAAGGATGGCCCTGCGAGAGAGAATGCGTGCGGCTAGCGCTAGCAGGGGGGCATGACGCGTGATACGGCGGAGATCCATTGGATCCGCAGAATTTTGGCTGCAAATATGTGATTTGTGCCTGAGAATGTCCCGGATATGACGGGCCCTGCTGCGAAAGCGATAGCAGAGAACCGTGACTACGGTGACGCCCATGCTGGACAAGGCTCTGACCAGCTGCGCTGCTGTTCGAGCCGCGGTGGTGCCCCCTTGAGAACCGCCCGCTATGGTCCTGAGAGGGCATAACTTGAGGACGCGAGACTATGTTCATATAGTGACGCTGTGGTTGTTGCGGTTGCTTTGACGTGAACGACTGCCTCTACCGTTATATAGGGCTGATAGGTGGACTAGAGCGGTTGGGATGGACGGTTCTGTAACAGGCAAGTCAGTGAAACGGTGTGATCGTGGAAGGATACCCTCGGAAGCAATTCAAGACGCGACAGAACCGTATCGGAGGAAGGATTCTGTGAGTAAGGGATGTAAACAGAAGGCGGGGATGAGAATGTGTGTCAAGGAAAATCGGTCATCCGGAAAAGACAGAAGGAAACAAAGCGAAAAAGGAACGGAAAGAAACCGATGAAAAGCAGAGAATAAGGAACGCCAAGGCAAGATGTGAGGGGGTTCACGAAGAAGACCAGGGCCATGTAAGCGCAACAGTCCCGTGCGCCCATTTGCGGGGAGCGAAGGAAGGAAATAAGACTGACCCTTCCAAGGAAGGGGTACGGCGTCGACGATGGTGAGATATGACATGTTCAATTGGCAGGCAGAGTTGCTGTGGTAGTATTCCCTCGCTTATCCCCAGCACGTATTTGCGCTGATTACTGCTGCATGGAAATGGTTGCTGTTGCTATAGTCTTTGGTTCTTCCTGTTCAACTCATGTCAGGGCCCAAGAGATACGATGTGCAAGGAATGTAATGGGTCCTGAAACGGATAAGGTGCACATCAACGTCCTGAAAGGGATTCAAGGTAGAATATATGCACCGTTCGGGTTGTGCAGTGAACGCGCTTGAGAACGCATAAAGCTCAAGCAAAGGCCATCTCGAATGGTGATGCAGGCCAATGCCCATAAGAAAAGAACAGCTTCAAGGGCGGACAAAGAGGTGTCAGAAATGGCACTACTAAATACCTTTGAGAAATGTCCGCCTGGGATCCCTTTGGTTCTTGTGTTCTTAATGAGAGCCTTGGATGATACTACGGAGATGGAAAATGGAGTTGCAGAAATGATTATATTGAGGATGCTGTGGTGTAGAATCCGGTGTAGTGTGAGAAAGGGAAGGGGGAGGGGCCTGTTGGGAGTAAAATATTGTCTGCTTCCTCACGATGATTTTAAAGCAAAGGGAGGAACTTCAGGGTCAAAGCTGCGTTCAGGATGGATTGAACAAGGACTAAGGGAGTAACCCCTTGGTTCTCTCCATCGGACGCTGCTAACAGAATCATCGAACCTCTAACCGACCGGGCATGAATGAACGAATGAATGTCCTCTGACAACAGTGCTTTTCCAAACGCACAAAAGAATAAAGGGAAAAAAAGGGACATATGGCGATGCTGATCATGAGTTCGAATGTGTAGAAGCCAACAACCGGCACTATGCATTGTGAGGAGCATGAATGAGGTTACTATTCACTCGAACTCTTTCTTTTCATCCAGGAGTCGTACACAAACACACGCGGTAACGGTAAGCTCCCTCCGGGGCTGATGCTGACCGACACCTGGATATGCGACTGGAGGAGGCTAAACGAGGAGATTTGTAGACGTGGGTCAATTATGAGTATCTTCCGGGCTGGTCTGTTGGCGAGCCTTGGCCCCTGTGTTCCGAGCTCGGTTGCAGCGTATGTTTATTTTATTGTTTCCGCACTGTTGGTTGTCGACTTCCTGCCAACATGTTGTTTAAGTACGCAAGGCTATATATAGAGAAATATAGAAAACGGCTGCCCTTTTGATCATATCGCCTGTGTCTACTAACACGTCCATTCCCCGCCAGGCACAAAATGAGCTTGGTCTCGCCTCGATGCGCGTTCAACCCTTTACCGCTCCTGTGCAACAACGGAGGACGCACTATGTTTGATGCAGACCAGAAGCGAGGAGGAGGAGGAGGAAGAGAGGAGGAGACGATGGTGATTGACGATTAAGGGAGCTGAGGAAGAACTGTCAATGGTTCTTTGAGAGCCGTTCATTCGTCCATCCAACCCTCAAATGGAATTACTCAAAGCATGACGATTTTCCTCTTTTAGTCGCACTAAATCAGACGGAAAACCACGCTAATGCCAGGGCGGTGGTGCAGTGAAAGAAATTGCAGACCAGGCGGGGAGGGGGGGAAGGGGAATATAAAGTCGGAAGTGAAGATTGACTCCCTGTGTCCTGATCCTGATCAATATGGCCTTTTGTAGCTGAGATATGTGGCGGCCAGGAGTGGGCGTGAGACGCGCAGTCTATCTCGGGGATGACAAGAGAGAAAAAAAAAAAAAAAAAAAAAAAAAGATGGGAGCACAAAGAGAGCACCAAGGGTATCCAAACGACCCTGATTGGCCAGAGTTTGACGCGTCGCTTTGTCTCCCCGATTTGGCTGCCCTTTCCTAACCCTCTCAGCCTGAGGACTACCCCGGGGGAGCGCATAGACTGCACCCGCCCTGTGTGCTGCGCTGTGTGCTGTGGTAGGATATATGTTTACTACGCTCTCTAGTCCCACTTAATCTCTGCACCTCCTCCCCATCCCTCCCTCCCACCTGTGAAGCCCATGAAATGAACCCTTCTGTATCCAACGCGAACCACTTAATCACCCGCAAATTGTCTCCGCCGAAATGTCTTGTCGATTGCAAAGGAGTAACAGCTGCCGCAAGTGCTGTATAGTCTACATATGCCTTTTTTTTTTTTTTCTTTGGTCATCTCGCACTCTTTTCTTTCCATCGCGCTTTTGCTTGTTCATGCATCGACGTGTATGTAGTGTTGTACAAGAGACTCCAAATTGAGGCACACACACACACACCTCCTACATACATGCACCCCTTGTCAATCCCTTCTTTCGTGCCGGTATATATATTTTATGCGCCGTCGAATTTGTGCTTGAACAGGAAGAAGGGTAGAAAGAAGAGGAGCGGGGGGAGGGGGGAGGGAGAGAAAACAAGAAGCTGGTTGGAGGGCGGTATTTGTGGTGATGTGGGTGGGCGCAGGTACTAAAAGGAAAACAGAACATACCTTCCGTTTTTATTTGTTTTGCGTGCTTGCTTGTTCAAATAGCCTCGAACGGTTCTTGTTGTTTGTGTTATTGCAGGTAATCAAAGGGAGGGTATGGAGACTTGACAGCGCAAGTGGGGAAAACAGAGAGAGAATGAAGCGAGGGACAGTGAAGAACCGGTGAGAGTACGGGCAACCGGTAGCATCACCAAGCAGAAGAATGGATGAGTGAATAAATAAATAAAACAGATAGCAGCGTGGTGATAGATTACTCGAACATTACGCACCTCGAGAGAACCGGGGGGGGGGGGAGGGGGGTTTAGTTGACTGAGGGGGCAGGTTTCTTTCTCCTCCCATTCTCCCTGTCTTAAACCCGAGCATGCGATCTCTGGGTCTTTGTTACTTTGGGATCGGCAGTAGCGTCGGTGCAGAGATCAAGATGGGGAGGTTGTAAATTACCCGATGCAGCTGATGGGCCCACTCTACTTTCTTTTTTCGTTAACTGACTATTTCGCGCAAGGAAATAGATCTTCATCTCCAGAGTGTTCACAAAGCAACGGCAGCAGGTTATATGATCACAAGCGATCCTCCCCTCCACCACACCCCCATACGGCTGCTATCCTGCATCCCATGAAAACAAAAACCCCCACATTCCACATATTCCCTTTTCGTCCTTCTGCACTGCTGGAACTGGCACATCAGAGCCATCTGCAGTCAAGAACGACCCGTATTGATGTGATCGGAAGTGGTTTCGTCTCGGCGGTGGGGGCCAAGATGGTTCCCCCTTCTCGTGCTATTTATGTGATGATGGCTCGTTCCGCTCTCCTCTTCCCTCCTCCTCCCCCCCATTCCATTGCATCCTCCACAACGATAGCTTTCGGTTGCAACCCTTGCTTGGCCCCTCCCGCTTCCTGATCCCATCACTGAACGCACACCAGGTTATGCAGAGAGGCCAGGTGTTGAATTCATAAACGTAATCCCCATTGCTCCGGTAACTGCTTTTGGGATGCCCATTCGTCACGTCTATCACCATTGCAGGTCTTTTTGATAGAACAAAGAAAAGAAAAGGAAAGAATAGGAAAGAAAGAAAAAGAGAGTTTACTCTTATGATATCAAGGACCCACTCTGCCCTCCTTTTACAGAATAAAAGGTAGACTTAGTCTAGCCGTTAACGGGGGGATCAAGAATAGGGGAATAATATACTTTGACTCGATCCCATATCTTTTAATGAGAAGGAAGGGAAACATGGAGCTACACCCTAAAGTTCGAGCCACATGCCCCCACAAATACATGATCGATCGTAATTATGGTACCAGAGAGTGGCCGCTGCGATATCCGGTATCACACTCGGAGACGATCCGATCTGATGGGGCAGGACTCGCCTGTGAACAGCCCGAGGATTCACGCTGTTGTTTGTCGATATTTGAAGACAGCTATAAAAAGAAAAGGTTGTAGCAGTTAGTCGGATGAATTCCTCCCCCTATAACGTTTTTTAACAGAGAAAAAAAAAAGAACCCCCTTCGATGCATAGAACACATACCGAACACATCTCCTGCCATTGCCGGTGGTCTTGTACTTTTTCACTTTCCGAATGGGATCAACACCGAACCGACGTTTCCGGACCTGAGCCTCGATCTCCTCCTGAGAGTGGACCCGGAATTCCGTGGCCTGGAGATCCAACGGCGCAAAGTGCCCGCTGAGACCCAGGAGGGCCATCCGACCCTTGGAATCATCGACTTCCGCTCCCGCACACGGCCGCTCCTCACTCAAGACAGGGAACACCGTCCATTCAGACGACGTCTTCTCGGAAATCGTTCGTGATTCCTGAAGCAACCATTGGGATCCTGGACCAAGCGTCGCCCCCAGAGACGATCTCCTCCCGCGGACAATCTCTCCCTTGCTCTCGTGCCTAGAGCCGTTGCTCGTATGCACATCCTGCATTTCCTCATCCCACTCCGGGTCCTCGTCCGAGTCTTCGCCCTCGCCTTCGCCCGACTCGTCCAAAATAATATCATCGTCAGGCACCGTTTCGGCACCGTCATCGTTGCCGGAAACCCTGGTGGCCCCATTGGGCCCGTGCTGTTGTTGTCCGTGGAGCGTACCAACCCAATTGTGCCAGACAGATTTGATTCGCTCGTTCTCATCTTCTCGGTCTTCTCGGCGATCGTCCCCTGTTTCGTCATCGCTCTCGTCCAGAGCGATCCCCCAGATGGATTGCGGGCCGAAATCTGGAGCATTACTCAAATCTAGAGGCCCGTTATGGGCTCCCTGCTGAGGCACTAGAATCTCCCCAGGCGACTCTGTAAAGACCCTGCTGGGCATCGCAGATTTTCCAGAAGCACTGCTTATCGAGCCTCGAGGCCCAAGGGGCATGTTCCCTATACTGCCATTCGAGGACTGGTGATGGAGAAGACCGTATGGTAAACGTCCTGCCCCAGAGGACATTGGACCCGGCACTCGTGTTTTGAGTGCCGCTACCGGGTCAATGCGACATCGGGAAGGATGCATCGCCAAAGCTTTGTATCGAGGTCCTGATTTACCTGCCATCAACGTATTAGCCGGCTCCAGATCCAGCCAGTGTATGGTGACGAACATGAGTCGATTCATGTCCCACAGCGTTGGATACCTTCGGGTAATCCCTCTCAATTCGTTCCTTGTCTGTGCCAGTGCGTTGCTGTTGGCAGAGGGGATCGTTCCCTTAATGAAAACTCCGTGATCCGAGGCCGCCTTATCCAGAACTTCATTCTCCGCAGGCCGATTCAAGGCGCCGGCTCCATTGGCACGAGCTGGATCAACATGGCTCCCGCTGAGTCCATTCAGGTCCCGCAGCATTGACTTGACGACCCCAACCTTGAGTGGACATCTCGTGAATGCGGCTTCAACATACTGGGATAGGGATGTGATCTGGATGTCCTTCATCGCCACCGCCTCGGGTATGCTCATCGAGTTGGTGTGGTTACCTTTCTCCTGTCCCTGTCCCTGTCCCTGGCCCGCAGGTCCTTCAATCGCTCCGCCCGTCTGGACCACCTTATGATAGAGCTGTTCCCGGATTCTGACAAAGTGATAGTATTGCTCCATAAGTGCCAAGACAGAGCGGAGGGTCTTCCTTGCCCGACTGTGATACAGGAAGCAGAGAATCGTCGGCGTCGACACCCCAGTATTGGCGGAAGAGGCGCTCTTCATGGTCAGAAACACTGCTAGCTCCCGGAACAGGACTGTGCAAAAGTCGAGAACCCATCCACAAAGTGGGAGTAGCGACCATAATGAATTGGTATCAAACCCGAGCGGCTTTTGTCCTGTCATCGCATTCGATCCCTGGTCCAGGTGAGCGGCGAGCATTGCAGGGTCGGAATTACAGCATCCAGAAAAGACTTCGCCGATAGACTGCAAATGCAGAAGAGCACACGTTACACGATACTGAACAGTCTTGTTTGGAAGTGCCTGAAAGAGCACCAGTTGTAGCGACAGCATACGTCTCATGACGGAGGCCTTTGGTAAAAAGGGTTCAATCATACTGGAATCCTCTGCGCCTTTGATCATATCATAGCTTTTGAAAATGCCCTCTACGAATCGATCGGCAAGTTCTATCAACAAACCCGGAGAAAAGAAAGAGAGTTAAGTCGATGTAGCCTAAAGATACCTAGTCGATCCACGAGCCAAAAAATAAAAAAAGATAGACGCGGAGAAAAACTTACGATCATCTGTTGATATTTTTGATGCCCTTACAACGACGGACACGATATCAGAATAATCCCATTCATTCAATATAGCCAGGATAGTGCATTGTATCAACGCGTCAAGATCCACATCGTAGCCTATGAACAATGCGATAATGTGTTAAAGACACTTTGTTATAACGTCCCTTTATGCCCCATAACCATGCCAAATCAATCATTGCTTCCCATCCGTACCTGACGATTCCGAGGTGTCTATACTGGAGATTTTCCCGTTGAGCGACGAGGTGATCAAAGCGAGTCCATTAGGCGAGGGACATATTGCAACAACAGGATGATGATTCTTTTCCGCGTGAAATCCATCGAGCAAAGTCGAAGTTGCGTCCAAGAGTTCCGGCCCCGAGAACCGACTATGAGGATCCACAATATCGCAATGTATGAGTGAGGAAAAAAAAAAAAAAAAAAAAAAGGGCGTGTCAGTTGAGATGTAAAAGTTATAGATTGCTCTCTCTTTACCCACCGATCAAACCATGAAACAGAAAAAAAAAAAAGAAAAAAGAAAATGCTCGCACCTTTCCAATCCGAGCAGACTGCCATCTGAAAATCCGACCACAAGTTCCCTGCTTCTAGGAACAAATGCCATCGCAGAAACAAACTTGTTCTCAAACCGCCGCTCTCCGAGAATCACAAACGCCTATTCATGAAATGAATCCAGAAAAAAAATCAGTTTTGAAGTCGAAAAACGCATGAACAATTTTCTTGATGATCCCTTATCGATTTTTTTTTTGATGCCACATACCAGTGAAGGCTGTCCTGATACCGCATCATTCCGACGTGTCGATAACTCCTGAAATGCCGGATGAAATCCCATCAGCTTTGGGGTCACATCCCAAATAGCGACCTGACTCCTGTAGATGATTTCTCCACTTGCGTTCTCCTCTCTCGACGCCACTGCAACTGCTACAGACAATGGTCTTGTTGAGGTCTGGGGCAAAAGTTGCAGGTGTTGAACCACACTCGGTGTCATGACCGATCCTGGACCTGTGAGAGGGGTTGAATTGTGCAAGATAGCTGTCGCATCACAGCGAAACACGACTTCGGGCGTGAATCGGAGGTCGATTTGGTAAAAGTTCACAGTCAATGGCAGCATGCTAGTGGTGTGCGTAACCAGGTGAATTCCTTCAGCTGCCAACAATACCAAAAGAAAAAACTCGAGTCAGCGAGAGAGCATGGTCACCAATCAAGTATTCCACATCCAGCACCCCCATGTTTCGCGGCAGCATCGATAGATACATACCATCGCTCAACATTGAACCGTGTGTTATCCTGGACGAAGCAAGGTCTTCCGTTGCAGACCGGCGTGGCAGATTTGTCGTGATGTGGGTAAAGAATTGTCCCGCAGGCTTAAACAGCGTCGTTAACTATTGTCTCGAGAAAAAGGAAAGGGGAAAAAAGGAGAGTAGCATTAGAGTCCGTCTATGGATGTTAGGTCTGTCCTCTATACTTGCTAAATTATAACAATATCGACCCCAATACCTGGCCATCAGAACTGAGAACGACCAAGGCTAATGGATTCCTTGGACGTCCTGTACGCTCCCGCTCATACTTGGTAGGTCCATCCATTTTTGAGGCCACGTACTAATTGATGAATGGATAGAAATCAACACGGGGGATCGATCAGAAAAAAAGATCGTTTGGACGGGAATCCAATGCCTTCTCCAATAAAGAGGCCTTAGAGTGAAGTTTTACCATGCGCTCGGGATTGATCCATTCGCAGCAAACGACCGGATTAAACAGGACGACCATGTACACGGGCAGCCAGGCGTTGAGATATCGCTACGGCGAACGAACGAAAAAAATGGTCCCCTGTTTAAGTATCCACAGATCTTTTTTTGAAGGGGGTTTTTTTTGGGTCCAGTATTCAGATCATACAGCCATTTTTTTTTTTTTTTTTTGCTCACGCCAGTGCTACCTTGTTCACCCATATGACGAGCTTGCCCTTTTCATCAATTGAAGTGAAGTGGTTTCCTGAATGGTTCCATAGAACATGTGTGATGTGGCTCTGTCCATGGAACATCGAGATATCCTCCATGCACGTATCCCAAAGCTTCGCCTTTCCTTCTGCACACATCAGCAGCGATAACATCCGCAATGACGGACTAAACACACACAAAGAGTTTCATTGTGGTCAATTTCAGTCTGGACATCTTTTTTTTTTTTTTTTTTTTTCAGGCGCATGAAAAATCCAATCCCATGATCAGGGATTTTTTTACGTACTTCATAAGCCCCGGGACCTTTCGGTCAGGTACCCACGACGGAACAATAGCAGCGTTCTTGCAGGACCAAGCAATTGGCCTATGAGGTTAGATAGGTTATATAAAAAAAAAATAAAAAAAAAAAAGAAACAAACGCGTTGGAATGAGGACAAAGACGACTGATGACCTGACAAGAATGGATGACACTGTTCAGGTACAGACACTCCGCGTACCTTTGATGGCTACCATGTCTTAGTGCTGAGTAAAGACCATCGACAGATAGATTGGCAGGGAGGAACGACGATAGTTTGTGTTCCAGATTATCGGCAGCCATGAATGGGGGGGGGGGGGGGGGGGGGTGGTGGTGGTGGTGTGAGAGGCGAACGAACACAAGGGCTTGAGGTTGCTCAGGAACCGGTTACTTTGCAGGGGATCCGTATTGCTGGGGGGGTCGGTGCCGATTCAAAAAAAAATGATGCTCTCGGTCCAGGACTGAATGTTATTGTTGCAGTGTTTGCGCGAGAAGTTGGATTAGAAGTGGGATGCAACGTGAGGATGGATGCGAACAAAAGCAAGCTACAACATGGAAGTGATGTGGAATGAAATGTAAAGTGGGCCACCAAACATGAAACAACACAGTCATGGAAATTTTGGTACTGCTTGCTCCTAGAAAAGTGCTGCTTCAGGTGGACTTCACGCTACACCCATTTCTGCTCATATTCCAAAGTATCGACAAGAAGGGCTGTGTTCATCCACAGCCTTGGTGAACATGGTAGACTAAGCATAAAATATCCAAAAAAAAAAAAAAAAAAAATACACCATCCTCAGCGAATTCGGACGCCCACCTTCATGTCTAAGCTGGAAGAACACTTTGATAGACTAGTTTTCGGTCAATTGCTCGACAATTAAAGTGCATTTCTGACTTGGGTAGTGAGGGGATAGAGTGCCTCGTGTTTTATTTCAACAGTGGTTTATTTGATACAGATTGGCTAAGAAAAAAAAAAATCAAAAAACTATGGTACAAGGTTGCTATGGCAAACTAACAAACATAATCTGTCCGGCAACGGTGGTCTTCAAAGGTCGTGGAAGATAACGCCGGCAACGATACCCAGCTCACTGTCTTCCTCGTCGTCATCAATCACAGAGGAGCCTTTGACAGCATCCTGCACAGCCTTTCTAGAGACTATCCTCGGGAATCCTATTACAGAAGGAACAAAATTCAACAAATCATTAGTTATCTTCTCGGAACCTTAGTTGCCATGACCGTTGCGAGATCGACCGATTGATGCGCAGCAGGAAACTATACATACCAAGACCACCTTCACTACCAGAGAACCACTCGACAAGATCTTGCTTTGCCAAGCAATCTCCGTTTTCAGTGGCAATGAATAGGGTGACATGCCGGCGGATCACAGGCAAGGAAGACGCGCCAGAGATTGATCTGCGCGGAGATGACGAGAATGACCCGCGAGCAAAGAATGGTGCTGGTGCTGATGTACTGAACGCCATTGAATCGGCAGCGAGTGGTGGAACTACTGAACTACGTCGGTTTGCAATTGCGCGGACCATGTCCTGTTGCAGGTACAGACCAACGTATTCGCTGTCGCGATGACGATCGCCTCGACCATGCTAATGTATAGTAAGAGGATGAAATACTCAAGGGTCAGTTATCCATGATATTGATCTACGCGTAAAACAAGGCTGTAAAAAAATAAAGAAAATAAAAAAAATGCAATGTCTCTCAAACACGAAAACAGCTCCACCATCGGGGATGGATGTGCCTGTGTAGCAGGAGAGAACGTGAACACCGTCAGTTGGAAGGTGCCTGATACTCGGTCTACTGGCGGCCGTTATGATGAAAGGACCACATTTAATAAATCGAACAGGAAATCTTACCGGATAAAGGCGAAGACGCCAGCTGCTGGTTGCATTTTGCTGGTTTTTGGAGGTGGGTGTTCCCGTTGTATCGGAGGGTACAGGCTGCATTTCTGATGCGGCATTTGGGTCTGCAGCGACGGCGTTATCCTTGATTTCAAAAACTCTTGAGCGGACGAAACGGTCAGAGAAGGAGAACTCGCTTAGGTTGCCAAGATGCCAGAAAAAGGACTTGTCTGTGGAGTGGGTGATCATGTTTGCGTGGACATGCTCACGGATGAGAGCATCCACGGCTGCCGAGTCCGAGCAAGGCGCTGCTGGAACAGCAGTTGCTGAGCCGGGCGGGGTGTTCATGGAGACGGATAATCGCTTTCCGTAATGAAAGGAGCCATTGGGAGGCGTACGCGACGAGGGAATAGGGACAGGTGCCAGGAACAGATGGTGCGACAGCGGAGATTCGCTTTGCATCTGGGAGCGGCGTCGTCTGTCTTGGTCGCGTTCCAACTGCTTCGCCGAAGGTGGGACAGCGACAGGTGCGGAGGATGCGACCATGGACTGCTGCTCGACTGGGGAATGGACCGCACCCAGCCCAAGGCCAGGCTCACAGTCACTTTCATCGCTCAGGTCTGGCGAAGGATGGGCACTGACGAAGGGCCGAGGGGCGGCGGAGACCTCGTTCATGGAGTTGGTTGGGGAGGTGCCAAAGTCCAGGCCCATGTCCATTTCAAAGTCGCCATCGGCGGTGTTCTTGCTTGTGTCGAAGGGATGTTGCGACTGCAGGAAATGAGAAGCAGGCAGAAGGTTGAGTTTCGGCAGGGAAGGGCCGCGGGAGCGCAGTGCTGAATGATCTTGAGCAAAGTCGGTCATGATGAGAGGGGGATGAAGGAAAGAAGGAAAGGAAGGAAGGAAGGAAGGAAGAGGCTAAGGATTAAAAAGAAAAAGAAAAAGAAAAAGAAAAAGAACAGGAGAGGGCGGAGGGCGGGGTGTGTGGTGGGGAGAGGAAGAAGGGCGTGCGTGGAGAAGAAGACAGGCAGGGTAAGAGGCGGCGGATGGAAATGAACCCTGGGAAGAAGTCCGGCTGATCAGGGTCTAAACGAGAAATAGAGTTGCAGGCGTGGAATGATGCCAGAACGGAGTACAGCAGCACTAGTCTGGTCTGACAAGAAGGTTGGACGTTATTCGGTCGTCGAACAGGAGGGCTGGAAGAGAGAGAGAAAGTGGATGGGTGTCGAGTGTGGAAATAGAACTGTGGGACTGTGGACTGGAAGAGAGCGAGAGAGAGAGTGGAAGGTGGAAAGTGGAAAGTGGAAAATGGAAAGTGGAAAAAAAAAAAAAGAAGAGAAAAGAAGTTGGAGAGGCCGTTCTTGGGAGGATCCTCGTGCCTTTTATACCTGAGAGGGGGCAGTGGTCTGCAGGGCAAGTTTTAGTCGCGATAAGCGAGCGAGTGGTGGTGGTGGTGTGGTCTATCCCTTCCATCTGCAGTCCCTTCATCTGCTATGAGCTCTCTTCCCTCTCTCTCTCTCTTTTCCCGCTCTATCGACCAGCTGACCTGCCCTGCTGCATTATTGTATTTCTGTCCTTGTCCACGTCCATCTCTATTCTATATTCTTTTGGACTCTATTTTATTTTTTACTTTTTACTTCTGCTTCATGCATGTACTTGGCTTTATTATCGAAGCAGCCCTGCTTTTCTGACCCTTGCTTCCCTTCAAGGGTCCGATCCTGTACGTATCTCTCTGCCTGTCTGCTGCCGTCCATTAGGGATCGCATGTGTTCAGCTTACACTACACGTTGTAAAGGGAAAACATATAAAAAGTGCCACTCAAACGATGAGGAAAAGTAGGTGTGCACTCGAGAAGACGACAAAGGAAGGGACCGCATAGGCTGAGGCATTGGAGGGAAGGGTGGGGGAAGGGGCAAGAGAACGGGATTCTCCTTCTTTCTCTCTTTCTCTCTCTCTTTCGCCTCCTATCCCTCTCGCTCGCTCGCTCGCTCGAAAAAGAGAGGAAAGGAAGGAGGGGGAGTCCCAGCAGCATTTGCTCCTCTGGTCCGCCACCACATGATGGCGCGCAGTTCTGATTGGATGTGCCACATACATGGGATTGGTCCGGATACGATAAATACGTCTGCGCTGTGCTCGGGGGTGCTCTCTTTTTATTTATTTTAGTTTTTCTGTCCGCAGACGTGTGCTGAAGAAGGGAAATCCTGCTCGAGTCCTTATCTTCCGAGGAACGTTGACGTTGTGCACAGTACACGCCTCACATAAGCACGAGGCTACTCGATGTTGCTGCACTTCAACGACCAAGCCAGAGACGAGGAGGAAGAACGGGGGGAGGGGGGAGCGCATGGGAGAGGTGGGAAGAAGGGTTATCGGGAACACAAACAACGAGGTGTGTGGGACATGTGGGTCGATCCTGAGGCATGAAAGCATGAACTGCTCAAGGAAATCACCCTCCTTCACGCGCGCTCTCCTCCTACTTTTTTGTGCGACCACCACATTCTACATCAAAAACAACTTCACGCACTTCTGCTCTCACTCGTGCATATCTGCCATATCTCGGGCGAAAAAAAAAAAGAGATGTCCAAGGGAAATTACCCAAAATGATAGCAAGGCCAATTGACATCCACGAAACACCCACGCTCTACAAGGACACAAGAACACAACGACTTGGGCCATTTACTGCCAGCAAACTAAACCTCAATCCATCTTTGCTTCACATGAGATAGCGTGTTTGTCCCCTAAGATCTTCAGTCCTTTGATCGCTTCCCACGTTCAGCGCATGAAAATACAGCCATGCACACCATGCAAACCGTACAAACAAGTTCAATCGACTTCCTCTTAGTCAAATTAGGCTGGAAATGCACAAAAGCACGCACGCAGACGATATCTTTACTTTGTATAGACCCATGTCCATCTAATTCCTCGCTACTCCTTCATGTCCTTGTTGTCCTTGTTCTCGCCTGCAGACGGGGACGATGCCGGCTCGGGATACGATCGTGCTGTAGAGACGAACGACTCTTCCTTGATCACATTCGGCAGCCTATTGACCCTAGGAGGGTAGCGTGAGGCCTGTGCCCTTGCCCGTGCTTGCGCCTGCAGTCTGCTTTTTTTCTCCCGTGCCTCCTTCTTGATCCTTGCGGCCTCTAATCCCTCCTCGGAAAGGTAAGCAAACACTTGCTTCATCTCACCCCGCACAGCAGCTGTCATGAACATGCTAAGAATGCAGGTAGGAGAGACATACAGGAGGGCGGGCTGCATAAACTTGAACACGTGTGCCATATAAAATGCGATGCTCAAACCCAAAATGTAGGCTACAAAGCAGGCGGTAAAGTACGGCTTGCGGAATTGTGTCGATCTTCCCAGCTCAGGGTTTCTGGTGCCAGCCCTGTGTTGATCGAATCGGAGGCAAAGAGCCGCAAACAATCCTGGAATGACGATATCACCAAGACTCAACGTCGCAAACTTGTAAGCCTGACCAGCAGGTAGTCCGAGAAGGAGTCGAGGAAAGATCACCTTGAGGGGCCCATCAAAATTCTTGGCGACAGTGGCCATGACTTCAGTGCTACGGACCCATACGAGGTCGTGAGCGGTCAGTCCAATCAGCAAAACCAGACCGGCCTTGAACGAGTCCAGCGAGAGCAGTTGGATGGCGTTCAGCGCAAAACTGATGGCGAAAATGTTGGATGCGATCCAGCTCTTGGTTGCAACATAGTAACCCGACAGCAGCACCGAAACCACCAACATAAACAGGTGAACGATTGTGAACTTTGCTGAATAAAACTCTATGGTGAATGAAACATACACAACATGGATGGTCAGCGCTCTACGCAGCAGCTGCTGATACATTCGTCATGTTGATACAAGCGCAGTGTTGTATTACCACTAGATTTCTTGGCGAAGTTAACGTGCCAAGTCTCGACCTTCAATCCAAGCAACTTGATGACGGCACTGAGGGTGTTCACACCGACGTGTGCCATTGCCAGGGCACCCATGACTCCAAAGTAGGCGGTCAACACGTAATTGACATACGACTTCTCCAGCTGTGTGTACGCAAGGTATAGTCCATAAAAGGCTGCGGATCCAAACACTAGGAACGTATATGCATCCTGTTGCGAAACCGGTTCTGAGGGCATATCCGCGTCTGACTCGTCCGATTCACCGATCTGCCTCTTTATCGTCTTTATCTTCTCTTTGGGGTTCTAGAGTGGATCAACAACATATGCCAAACAAGCGTGGGTAAGTAATTGAGGTCATGGACAATCTGGCTTTGCTTTTACTTTTCAATGATCCTTCAGTCCTGCTGTGTGTCTTCATCACAAAAGAGATGATGGTACCTTCCACTTCTTTAGAGATGCAAACGATCCAAAGTAGATGGGCACGATCGCCATCGTTGCTAACGCCGCATAGGCAATATAGAGACCCTGCTCCACCACGGCTGGTGCCGCAACGTGTCTTGATGCCATCCTGTGTCGAGTGTTGGTTGCTGGAGCTGATGCCGTGTGTCGGTTCCTGCCTCTGCAAAAGTCGAGATGTTGAATGATGAGAGCAAAACCCGTCGAGAATTAGAACCTCTTTTACTTTATTCCCCTGGGTGTGACACAACCAAGTCTATGAAGTCAATATCCACTCCCAAAATACGCACAAATGACATGCCCTGGTGCCACCTCGACATGGATTAGATGAGATCCCAAAGGGCAGCGTTTTTTAGGCTCTCAATGGGCCCATGATCCTCACTGATCTCTGTTATCTGGGGACCTCAGGCACTATTTCAATTACATGGCGATTGTGCGGGGTGGTTTTCTATATGGGTCTACTACACTACTTCGGGATCACATGGACTTCTTACAGGATTTATTTTTATTTTTCTCGGCCACCACCATTTGTTTTATGGTTTAGTCCTGAAGCGACCTGATCCCCCCACTACTCGAAACAACTTCAGCACCATGAGCAACAGCGCAGACAGCCTTGTGATCTCGTCGGACAAGACTCATCCCGCCAATCTGATTCCGGAGCTTTGCCGCTTGTTCTACAAGGTTGGCTGGGTTACTGGCACTGGGTAATTGACCGGGGAGGGAAGGGGCGCATTTGGGATTCGGCATTCAGGGGATCCTCCACAGGAGAAAGACGCTTTGTTATTCGAACCATACACTATCTAACTGTGAACCTTTGTCTGCGGGATCTGTTTACCTCGACATTATGGATCTTTACAGCGGTGGAATCAGTATCCGCAAAAAGTAAGCTGTCGTATCGTCAATCGGGCTTTTTTTTTTTTTTTTTAAAAAAAGCGTTCACCACCATATGGCCTCAGCAGGACCTAACACAGCTCACGGTTTTCCCATTTAGTGACCATGTATACATTGCGCCATCAGGTTCGTTGGATACGACATGGGGACATGGACAGGAAGAAAATGGGACAGCAGACCCACTCCCCCCTCCTCCCCCTTAATGGAATAACGACTAAATGCCCTCGACGCTTTGTATTCTAGGTGTCCAGAAGGAGCGCATGCAACCCGAGGATCTTTTTGTGCTCGAACTCGCCAACCGCCAAGTCGTGCGAAAGCCCCTGGTGTTGAAGCCTTCAGCCTGTACGCCACTCTTCTATAACGCCTACACTATGCGTGATGCGGGTGCATGCATCCACACGCACTCTCAGCATGCTGTCATGGCAACGCTTTTGTATCCCGGCAAGGAATTCGTGATCACCCATCAGGAGATGATCAAGGGTATCCGCAAGGGAATGAGCAAGGAGAACCTGCGATATTTTGATCGTCTGGTCGTGCCAATTGTCGAGAACACTGCGGAAGAGGAGGACCTGACAGATAGGATGGCAAAGGTGTGTGTCGGATGATGTATATTGAAGGATCACCAGAATGTTTCCTATTTTCTGACCGGGATGCCGCTCTTTCCTTGTTTTTTTTTTTTTTTTTTTTTTTTTTTTTTTTTTTTTTTTTTTCTCCCCTTGTAGGCCATGGAAGAATATCCTGACACCTGCGCCGTTCTTGTCCGTCGTCATGGAGTCTATGTCTGGGGAGGTATGGCTCGCCTGTCGATTCTTAAAGCTTCAAACTCTTTAATTGTCCAGGTACTTACTTCTCCTTTTTTTTTTTTAAAAAAAAAAAAAAAACTGTCGATATAGAATCGTGGGAGAAAGCCAAGTGCATGGCTGAATGCTACGATTATCTCTTTGAAATTGCTGTAAAGATGAAGAGCATCGGTATCGGTAAGCTGGATGACATGGACAGTAGGTTGCGCGAGCTTCATTTTGGATCAGTAAACAAAAAATCTGATCTATCCATTTCTTTCCCTATAATACCCAATATATACAGATCCCGCCGAGAAACCTGCAGATTCGCCGTACTAGTCGAACGACTTTTTTTTTTTAAAAAAAAGCGGAAACGCATCATTGAATAAAATTGCATGGTCTTTGTCTACATTCAAAGCGTTTCCGAATGGGAGCTTGCGCTAGTCGCTGATGGGCTGCTGATCATGGCCCCACCTGTTCAACATCGAATGAGATTATCGGGCCTTATTTCATCTAGAGCAATAGAGTCCTTTGGTCCCAGATGCAGGCGTGTGTTCCTTATAACAGACGGAATCCTTGGAAGGGACACATCCAGCATAGACTAGGACGATGATGACATTTGCTCCAGTCTCGCAAATGAGCATTTATCAACATTGCTAGCCCGATTTGGATATTCATGTGCGGGTTCTAGGATCCACATGTACTCCCCCCCCTTCCCTTCCCCTTTGTACAATACATGGACATGGTGGGTCGAAGGCTCGCCATGAACGACTGGTCCGTATAGCCCCGGCCGAGCAAATAATCGTGACCAGCCTCAAGGCCGATCCGTCTCTTTCGAATCCGGCTATCTCCATCCACGTATCGCGGGAGGCGGATAGATCATCGTCTATAGATTACGAGAGAGAGAGAGATTAAGAAAGCTTGTGCGCATGTGCCTGGATGCAGATCGGCTTGTCTCGGAGCACCGAGAGAGTCCCCCCACACACTCGCTTCCCTGGTCTCTCCTTGTCGATGACGGCGCATGGATCAATGGCCCACCGAGTCTCCCGGTCCCCCCCCTCCTCCTCCGTTGTCATGAGAAATACATTGGAGAAACCGTCCTGGGTCACAGGTGCCCCAGACCGGATCTACTTTCCCCGGTTCCAATTACATAGTCCGGACGAAGATCTTTAATAGGGATGCTGGGGCATTCGACTAGGCTTAGCGATATTGATGGGCTCCGAGATTGGTCTCCTTTGAACCGATAAAACCATAAGCAGCATGCACGAATTAGCACCTCCATGCAACCATGATCCGAATTCGATATACAATGACTGACCTTGTCATCAAGGGCTCCCTGCAGGAAAAAAAATAGTAGGGCAAGGGCGAGAAAATAACGCCAGTGATACTACGCTCCTTTTTTTTTTGTCGCTTTACTGCGTGATGCAGCAGTGCAATGAGGGATATAAAAAAAAGAAAAAAAGAGTGATAGTCGCTTCTACGGTTCAAGTTGGATCCCATCCATAGAAATGTAGACTATAAGAAGGAAGAATCCCCGCACACCCCCCACTTTCCTACGCTCCACTTTTTTCATCGCCTCGTTCTTCCTCTTCTTATCCTTCTCTTCTTCTTCTTCTTCTTCTTCTTCTTCTTCTTCTTCCGCACTCTCGCCTCCATCCACCACAACTACAATCCTCGATAACGATATCTCGTCCATTCTCACTTTTAGTATCTATCTCAGACCAACCACCCCTTCAAAAAGAAAAAAAAAATGATGTCCACTACATCTACATCTCCTCGTGATAAGACCCTCACGAGTGCGAACATGAACCCCAAGATTCGCAAGGCCGAGTACGCCGTCCGTGGCGAATTGGCCATCAGATCCGAAAAGCTGAAAGTTGTAAGTAAAAGTGCTACCTTTTTTGCTAATGTCAAACCAAGAGGATGAGGAAGAAGAGGAGGAGAAAAGTTCGATCTCATATAAAAAGTCATGGAGCATACGAGAAGGGGCCTTTTCACTGACTCTAATTTAAATCAATTTTTTTTTTGGATCCCCCACCCCAGGACCTCGCTAACGGCGCCTCTCACCCCTTCGAGCGCGTGGTCGGATGTAACATCGGCAACCCTCAAGCATTAGAACAGAAGCCCATCACATTCTTCCGTCAGGTACAGACCCCAATTCTGTTCGTTTCTGCAATCGCGCTAAATAATGTTCGCCGGCTCCGTAACAATTTTTTTTTTACCTTTTGGAACTAACAGAGGGAGGGACTATAATTATATTCAGGTCGCATCTCTTGTCGAATACCCAGACCTCCTCAAGGACGAGAACGCAGAACTGACCTCGAAACTCTATGCAAGCGACGCCATTGCCCGTGCAAAGCTTCTACTCAAGCACATCGGTTCCGTCGGCGCTTACTCACATTCACAGGGCATCCCTCAGATCCGTGAGAACGTAGCCAGGTTCATTTCGGAACGCGATGGCTATCCTGCAGACCCCTCGATGATCTTTTTAACCCAGGGCGCTTCCGCTGGTGTCCAGCTCACCCTCCAGATGATTGTCGAACATTCAAACGTCGGAATCATGATTCCCATCCCTCAATACCCGCTCTACACCGCTACCCTGGCGGTTTTGGATGCTCAACCTGTGCCTTACTATTTGGACGAGTCCAAGGGATGGGGCCTGACTGTACGTACCCTAGACCTTCTTGACTTATCTCCCCCCCCCCCTTTTGAAAACCGGCGCGCGGCTGCATGCAATCGATCATCGGACTATGGGAGGCTAATCATTCATTATTTCTTTTCAATCTAGACCGAGGAACTTCAGCGTGCGTATGACGAGGCTGCCCAGGACGGGATTGAGACCCGAGCTCTTGTGATCATCAACCCCGGAAACCCTACGGGACAGTGCTTGTCCGATGAGAACATGTGTGAAATCATTAGGTTCTGCCAGAAGAACAAAGTAATCCTTTTGGCCGACGAAGTCTACCAGACCAACATCTACGAACCCGAGCAGCGGCCCTTCCATTCCTTCAAGAAGATCCTCAAGTCGATGGGACCTGAGTTCGAGGGACTGGAGCTGATCTCGTTCCATTCAGTCTCCAAGGGCATGATTGGAGAGTGCGGTCGTCGCGGTGGTTACTTTGAGTGCGAGGGATTATGTCCCACGGTCCTTGAACAAATCTATAAGATCTCGTCCATCAGTTTATGCCCGAATGTCCAGGGTCAGATCATGGTGGACCTGATGGTGAACCCGCCCAAGAAGGGCGATCCCTCTTATCTCCAATACAAGCAAGAATACGATGCTATTTACTTTTCATTGATCAAGCGCGCCAAGAAGCTCGAGGAGACCTTCAATAGTCTTGAGGGATGCACCTGCAACTCTGCAGACGGTGCCATGTATCTGTTCCCCCATATCCGACTACCCAAGAAGGCCATTGCTGCAGCCAAGGAAGCCGGCAAGTTCCCGGATCAGTTCTACTGCATGGCCATGTTGGAGGCCACAGGCGTGTGCATGGTCGCAGGATCCGGGTTCGGTCAGGTCGAGGGCACAGCACATTTCCGAAGCACATTCCTGCCTCAGCCAGAGTTCTTTGATGACTTTTGCACGGGCATCAAGGATTTCCACGCTTCGTTTATGAACAAGTACAGGGATTAAGGATCAGTCCGATTCCCTCATTATATTTCATGACATTGAGCATTGAGCTAGCTATTTGTAAATAAATGTAATAGAGTGTAATAGAATGTGTCTGTCACACAGCCACGCAACACCTCTTCTCGGACTCAACTCAGATTGTGTGCGCGACAACACCAGAAGGGATGGTGACACCAACAGCTTGACCCGTCAAGCTAAGCCATGTGGTGATATAGCTGTCAAGGAACGACCTCCTGGACTCGTGGAATGTCTGGTCGCTGAGGATCGTTTCCATCAATGACACGGTCTCGCAGGGATGCATGTAAAAGAACGGCCCGTTCAGAATAGGATGGTCTTGTTGTGAGATACCCCCGTTCAGACCAGCGTCTCTGATGCTGCTCTGCCAATCCTCAGGGACAAGCGACCGGTAAATATCCTCGATTGGGATGGCAACGCCGTCTATCGATGATCGTTTTTTGAACAAGTCGACGAATTTAGGGCATTAGGCTTGTTCATGCGCAGACTAAGGGCTCGAGGGGTTGATTACTGGGGGGTGCCAGTAGTTGCATCGCGTACCTGGACGATAGGCGTTGAAGTAGAGCACAGGGACCTGATAGCTCGGTGAAAACACGATGTGATAAGTCACTGTCAAAAAGTTGCACGAGACGTCCTGAGAGTCGTCTAAAGATACTACAGTGATCTCTTCCTCGTCTGGAATGTCCTCCAAGTGCTCAGTCAGATTATCCAAAAGCAATTGATCTGCAGCGCTGACGGTGTTCAGCCTTGACTTGGGAGCAGAAGAATGCGGTGCTTGACGGTCATGGACGACCTGTGTCATTGCGAGATATCCCTGTGGCGGTAGGCCCCTTCTTGCCTAGCAGCATCCGTAAAGTAGCGCAGTTTAATGTGGGAAGGGCAACCTCTTGAATCCAACTGAAGCCCATTGAGTTTGTCTCCAATGAATCGGGCGTCTTTTACTTACGTGATACTCAACATATCCCCAGGGCGAGTGGTGTTTTGCTTGTTCGAGGAAGGACTTGATGGCGGCTTCAAAGTCGTCGTAGGAAAGACGAGCTGAAGGCGATGAAGAGGTTGGTGATGGATGAGTTGCGGCCATTGAATGAAAGGATGATCAAGTTTAGGAATGGTGCCATGTTGAGAATGGTGGTCAAAAAGGACTTCTCAGGGACTGAGTCCGTGCCACCAATTTTCCCTGAGCAGCCCAACTGCAATTGGTGAACCCGACCAGAAACCTGATCAAGCCAAACGATGCAGCACTGGTGAGGTCTTGTTAGTAAAGTACTGTTGCTTTGGCACCCCCAGGGCGCCGGGTTTAGAGCATTCAGGACCATGTTGAACACCCGAGACACTTTTTGCGCCACCAATTTTTTTCTTGTGTTGATCGTAGTCAATGAGCTGGAGCTGGAAACACGATTCCGGGAATCAAACGAGATCGAGTTTCGCGATCAGCCCCCCATCACCAAAAGTGATCATCCCATTCGAGTAAAGTGCCTTTCTTTTTGTGCGGAGGCACCACCTTCCAGCGTTTGAGCCTAAAGGCCTACGGTATTTGGAGTGAAAGAGACTTGCAGAGGACGCATTGCACTCCATGATGGGCCATATCCTGCATCCGCTGCATCCTCATGTTCCTCTGGCTTGGTCATCACCTGTGGACAATCGATGTAAGCAGAGTAGGCAGGATGCATGAACGACGCACAATGCCGCTTGGTCGCACAAGGGGGTCGGGAAAAGAAGTGAAAAAGAAAAGGGCTGGCACGCGTACTTTGCAGGGAAGGATTGGAATCGGGATCGGGGTCGGTGATTAAGATGGATTGGCAGTCGTCGTCTCAGCGGTCCCGTCGAGGTGCTGCATCCGCCAGCAAAGAAACAGAGTCGATCCACGCAGACGGCCTCTTTCTCTCCTTCCTCCCTTCCTCCTCACCCACACTCGGCTCAGTCCATCAAAGCTGATCAGTACCCGTACTTCCTTCCATCCGCTCGTCGATTCCCCGGACTGATCGACCCCTATCTTGACATCCAACCCCCACTCGCTATCCCAGATCAGATTCGCAATGGAGACCGTCCAGTCCTTCTTTCGGGGACCCACGTAACCACGCATTTTCACACGCTCTGTAGGAGATGTCCTGCTCTGGTCAACCCTCACCGGCCTAATACCCTTCTAAACCCATTGCAGATCAGAGTACCTTGGCTCTGCACAGTCGACCGAGCTGAATGCCTCTCTGGTCCCCTCAGGTATGTCGGTTGTCTTCAACCTCAACTTGCCTATCCATACCGTGAACTGTGCCACAACGCAGCGACAAACCAATGCCACAACAACGGTGTATTGAGCAAAACATTGCCTCTCTTTGTAGGCCATCCTGCGTCCAGTAACACCTCGGGTTTAAAGACACAGCTGGCCATCTCAACTCTGTTGGGTCTGAGTTCGTTTTTGACATTCTGCTTTTTGCGAACAAGATGGACGATTCTTTATGCTCCTCGGTCAAAGCTTCGAAGGTATGCAGCACATGTCCACGAGAGAGATGAAGATGTCTCCCGCAAGTTCCGCATAAGCTTTGCTGAAGTAAAAGCAGCGGTGCACTAATGCTAACGTATCCATTACTCGTCTGTCGATTAGGCACACACCTCCTGTTCTATCCTCGACATTCTTTGGATGGATCCCCCAGTTGTTACGTATCCCAGAAGCAGAACTCATCGAGTGTGTAGGGCTGGATGCAGCCATGGTATGTACTCTTGTGATGTATTCGCATAATGATCTCTTGATAACTATGCTAACACAAAGGATCATCTATGGATAGATGTTGCGTTTCTTCACAATGTCCTTGAAATTGTTCGCAGCCTGCATGATCCCGGGATTACTCATCATCTTGCCTATCAACATCTATTCGGCAAGCGAGGGTCGACTACCAACGGATCCGGATGAAGACAATGAGTTTGATCCGTCGCTACCCAATGCAGCACCTCGGCATGAAACGTCGCTTCTCTATTTGTTTGCGCAGTTCACGTTCACCTGGGTATTCTCACTCCTCACGATTTATGTACTCTGGCGCACATACGAGGGCTACATCGATATACGACGGCGCTACCTACTGAAGCGCCGTAAAGCTATCGTGAACAGGACCATCATGGTAGTCGGACTGCCGTCTCACCTGCGGAACGATAGGGCGTTGGCGACATTTTACGAATCATTGGGCGTGGGCACAGTCGAGAGTGCGCATGTATGTCGGCATGTTACGGGTCTGAAGCGCCTTATCGAGCAGCGAGCTTACGCGCTGAGGGCATTGGAACAGGTCTACACGGAGTACTATGGCAACCCGTCTAGTGATCCTGACTATGATCCTGAGGCAATCGCAGCCGAGAATGATCACACGCTGGACCATGGTCTCCATGCTGCTGCAAGTGCAGCTGAGAGTTCGCATGATCCAACACGAGGCTATTTTCCCCATGTAGGGGATTGCCCTTCTTCGATGCAATCGAATGACCGTACCAAGAAGCGACCTACGATAAGACTTGGGTTCTTGGGACTCTTTGGGAAAGAAGTCGACAAGATTGACTATTGTCGCGAAGTTTTCGCCACCCTGGACAAGGCAGTGCAAAAGATGCGCCTGTCAAGAGTTTTTGCAACCACGAGCATCGGATTTGTCACGTTCGAAGAAATGCATGCAGCAGTAAGTATTCACCACACATCATGTATTTTCTTGATTGTAACGGATAGTAAATGGCCTCATTACTCACGGTGACCCTATCACCGACCTCTAGCAAATCCTCGCGCAAACTGTCAACACTCAGGAAACGCTCTCCTGCGAGACATTCTTGGCTCCAGAACCACGCGATGTTTATTGGGACAATCTGAATCTGCCTCCGAGCGAGCTCGACGTGCGAACTGTCGTCATCAACGTCATTACGTTTTCCCTCGTCTTCTTCTGGGCAGGTCCTGTGGGCGTGTTCTCATCGTTTTTAAGCCTCGACTCTCTCAACAAAGTCTTTCCTGGCATATCCAAACTAGCAGGAAAGCACCGGTTGCTAAAGTCGCTGATTCAGGGCTTCCTTCCCACTGTCGGGGTGATCGTTTTCCTCGCCGTTGTACCGAGGATCCTATTAGCACTCTGTCGACGGCAAGGAATTCAGTCACGCTCAGAGATCGCCCAATCATTGTACAACAAATACTTCATGTTCATCCTCTTCAACGTCGTCCTTGTATTCACTATCATCGGGACCTGGTCCCAGGCAATCAACAAAGTCTATCACAACATCGGAGAGCTGACGCTTCTGCTGGCAGCTTCGTTACCGCGAGTCGCGCCGTTCTTTGTCAACTACATCATCCTTCGAGGTATCGGCCTCCTCCCTCTCCAGCTTTTGCAGGTCGCAGACGTCTTCATCCTGATCCTTCAAAATTTTATCTCCAGGACTCCTCGCGACTATGCAGAAGCACGAGCGCCGCCGGAATTGCCATATGGCGTCGTGTATGCGAATGCGACATTGGTTTTTGTGGTCCTCCTGATCTATTCGTGCATGCAGCCATTGATCCTTGTCTTTGGAGTCATTTATTTTGCGCTGGGCTATCTCGTCATCAAGTACCAACTGCTCTATGTCTATTTCCATCCCAACGAATCGGGGGGACAAATGTGGCCCATGGTCTACAACCGGATGACACTAGGGCTCCTCACCTTTCAGCTAACGATGTTGGGCCTTTTTATGTTGAAGCACGCATACTTCTTCGGGGTACTGTTGGCACCCCTGCCAGCGGCGACGGCTTGGTTTTGGTACTGGACTACCAACACGTATAGATGGACTGCCAAATACATGCCCCTAGAACTCCTGCGTCCAGCTCATCATATGGGTTCGTTTTTGGGACACTTTGAGGAGCCCATGGCTTCTCCACAACAGGAATACTCAGACGACAGCAGCCCACTGACGGCATCAGGATTAGATGTGACAGGACCTGGCAGCGGGCTTGGACAGGTTGCTGTGGACATGGATCCTAAAGAATCTTTGTCGAAACAACCACTGGACATCAGTCGACTGGTGGCCGGCATGGTAGTGACCACTCCCGACGGCTTGAAACGTCGAGTCCCCAAAACCGTCGTGGATGACGATGAGTACCAGGCGATCCCAGATCGATTCACGGACTATCAACAGCCTCCCATGACGCTGTACCCGGGTGTGCTGAACTCGGGAATGCGACACTACTGCCATCCAGCTATCGCAGGCGCGCTTCCAACACTCTGGTTGCCCCTCAGGAAGAACGAGTCCGATGGCAGAGGCAAGGGCCCGGCATCCCATTATGACGAATCGAATGATTTCTCAGACCAAATGCGCGGCTTTGATGAAGGTGATAACATGGCAGGAGGCGTGCAGGACGACGACGATGACGATTTGATCAGTTTCTCGGACGAGTGGCAAGGTAACGGCAGCACCGGTTTACAGGACCAGGACCGTAACGGGTATTTGACGATTGTAGAAGAGATAACGTTTGAGGACGATATTGAAGATGGATCGAGTGATATCACTGGGGGCCCTAGTTCTCCAGCTTTGCCGCCCACAAATGACCCGCCAACAAGCGGGGCTCTCAGAAGGAACCCAGCAGTGGAAGGCATCAGCGATGTGTACTACCATCATCCGGAGAGGCGGTCGTCGAATGCGAGTTCAACGTCGGCGATTAGGAATCTTGTAATAGGTGGAAGCGGCGGTAATGGCAGTCTGCAGCCGCCAAGGTCGATGCCTGCGCGGAGCTCAAGGGCAAATTCATTGAGGAACCGGGCTGGATCACTTTCAACGTCTAGGGCCCCTGTATCGGCTCCATCGAGTGGTAGGCGTTCATAGGTGGCCAATGCGCTATATGAGACTATGCGAAATAAAAACGAAAGAAAAGACGCGATGCAGCTCACAACGCGGGCAACATATCGATTTGCCCAGCTATGTGGCCTAATGATTCACCCGGCCCTGGGAAGCACACGCACTCTGAGTGACCCAACATTATTTCGCAGAAAGCCACAACAGATCTTATCGCACGACGGAGGGATAAAAGAAGAAAAAAAAAAAGCATTGTCACCTTTACCCTTCTCGTCCGCTCCACATCCATCGCATCACTCCACCATGTCCTCAGCAGCCACCGCCGCGTCCCAGTCCGCCTTTCAGAAATTCCTGAACCACCCTGCCGGTATGCCCTTCCACTCCTCCCTTTTCTCTTGTGGTCGCACTTTTTGTCCGGTGGAAACAGTGGCACCTGGCCGGCCCTCTCGGAATGAGTGCCCAACACAATGAGCAGCCAGAGAGAGAGCCGTTGGGCACATCTATCAACATCTATACATGCGCACACAGCACAATTGGACATGCTGCAGGATGATGCACTACAACATAACGACACAGGACTAGGACTTACTCACCGCATCGGATCGATGATGTTATCGAGATATTGATACGCACAGGAGAGATTTTTGTCTCCGGACCATGATACGTTCTCCTTGGATACCGTCCTAACCCCCAGCCACGATCATAACTTGCTTCGATATAGGTCCCAAAACCATCCACTTCTGGGCTCCTGCTGCCAAGTGGGTAAGTGCCGACGTCAGGACCTAAAATCATGAAGACAAACCACCTTCTCCCCTCCCCCATTCGAGCACGACTATCGGCAGCAACACTCTCATCTTCAAAGAATATGGAACAGCAAACAGACAGTAAACATACCAGGAATGGGGATGAGACGGGAGTGCGTTGTTGGCGCCTTTGGGATCAGCAAAGACATGGGCAAAGCAGGCTGTGGAAGTAGATCGTCATCACCCCTCGTGAGCAGAATTGAACTATACAACGGAGGATGGATCGCAGAGAGAGAGAGGATTATCTAACGGTGTTTTCCCCTGAAAACTCTGGATGGACAAACAGCATTCTTTTTTTTTTCTTTTTTTTCTTCTGCTGCTGTTGCTGAACATGGCCCGTCAATGCTTATTGCTTCCTCCCAATCTTTGTTCTTTTTTTTCTAGGCTTTGGTCGGTGCCGGTATTGGTGATTTGAGCCGTCCTGCCGAGAACCTGTCCCTTTCTCAGAACGTTGGTAAGTGCCCGTAGTAACAAGCACTTTGTACACCCAACTCCCCCCTTCACAGAAATATCCCCGTCGCTTGCTTTTTCTAGAAACGAAGACTTGAGGGACACTTTTCCTGACTTATTTGTGGAATATCTCTTGCCGGATTGCTAATTATTCTTATTGTTTTTCTTATTCCTCGATAGCCTTGGCGGCCACTGGTCTGATCTGGTCCAGGTACTCGCTCGTCATCATCCCCAAGAACTACAGCTTGTTCACTGTCAACCTGTTTGTCGCTGCCACGGGATTGACCCAGCTTTACCGTATCTTTGAGTAAGTTCTTGGTTCATGTGTCCCCCTTCCACGCGGTTGTTGTTGTAAAAGGCTCTTTTTAATGAAGTGATTGACTGATACACACTCCACTTCCACTGCAAATATTATCTAGTTACCGTCAAGGATTGAAGGCCCAGGAGAAGCCCGCTATTGCCGCCGAGTAAGGATTTCACAGCCTTCCCCTGTTCATTTATATTCATCTCTTGAGCTCCACCTGCCCTTTTCGATCTCTCTCTCCCCATTCAAAAATAAAAACTAGATTCATTTAGATCTTGATATATGGTCGCAGGGATTTATTACAAATTACAAAATATGAAAAAAAAAGAGCTGGTGCACAGCACCAGGAAATTTGATTCTTTGCATCACTATGAAATGATGCATTTCTCAATATCTTTCCGACTGCTTGCGTCGCTCGAGTTTCCCTTGCTATGGTACCCGCTTGGCCGCTGTACCTGACCTTGAAGATGCGGTCGCAATGGTGCTGCAGAAAAAGGTTGCTGGTATGTGCTTGTTCGCTGAGCTTGAGGTGCCGCTGGTGACGCCCACTGCTGCTGCTGTTGGACGGGTCCAGATCCTGGATAATGTGGCTCGTAAGTTGAATGTGGCGCTCCTGGTGCTGGGTACGGCCTATTGCCCACATTGACATTGTGCGCTGCTGGTGGCTGCTGCTGCTGCTGCTGTTGTTGTTGTTGTCGCTGTTGGCTGTCAAGAAGATATGCCTGATGTAACCGTGCCGCCATTTGCTCATCCGTCTCGTATGTTTGCTGCTGTGATGAGCTGAAGACGCCGCCGCCGCTACTGCTTCCGCCACCTTCGTTATGTCCGACGCCGCCATTACGAGAGTCCGAGGCCCGGCTCTTTGACCTCTCAATGCGCCGAGCCTCTTCTTCCTCTTCCTGCTGCTGCAATTGCAGTGCGAGAGCGAAGCTACAAGTCGAGACAAAGAGAGCAGAACGATCGCTGGTTAGGTCCAGAAGCGCAATCAGGTCATATATTTTTTAGCCTAGCCACATTCAAACCTGAGTCAGCTCACATACTCTTCGTCGCCTCCACCATCGCCATGTGCTGAATGCTGAGCGTCGAGCGGCTGGTTGTTGCGTGCATAGTCTCCAACCTCCAGTGCACCGTGTCGAAACAATCCGTCCAAGAACTCGCCTGCGCCGTCGACATCTACTAGCGACTCCCAGACGATGGCCTGTTCATGAGCAAGGCTCTGATCCGTGACGAGGGTATAAAGGGTGCCATCCATAGGGTTCTTGAAGAGCGTGCAGAACTAGGAACGGATATGGATAAACGCATACACTCATACGTTAGTGAAACAGAGCTACTTGGGCCGATTCATGACATAAAATTAAGGTACAGAATAAATCGACTTGCGTGATTGTTCCTGAAAAAGGCACAGAGGTGGCCCTCAGGAAGACTCTCTTGCAGAACATGCAGTCCATATCGCGTTAACTGGGTCTTGGTCGCAGTCATGAACTCCTGCACAACCAACGCCTGCGCAATCTTCTCGTTCTGTAGCTGTGCATCCTGAGCACTCACATTACTGCTCTCAGAAGCATAATTGGAAGATGAGGTGAATGTAATATTGCCCCGCGAATCCTCGACCACTAATCCGCCCCCTGCGTCATCGCCACTAACAATACACTCGACTGCCTTATTATAGCTGGTGATTCCCGCAGGTCCGTCCACAAGTGCATACATAGCCGCGTCGCTAACGGGACTCACAACCCATCCATGGACAAGCTCCACGCCGAATGTGTGAAAGAGTCCCAGCTCTGCCGTCGGTTCGAATCCACGGATCGTTTTGAAGAACACGTTCACGTCCAGTCCATGCTCCAGATGTGGGAGGAGCCGCAGGGCCGACTCGATTTCGAGACGGGACTTTATCCTTTCAGATTCGATCCTCCGTCCTGTTCGCGATTCTCTTGAAGATGATGAAGAAGCATTGGGCTCCGAAGGGTCCTCGTTCAGGAGATAGTCCGCCAGTAGTTCCAAAAGATGGTCGTATCCGATCGTAGGACGATCATATGGTGTAATCGCAACTTTGCCTTGTAGGACTAGTGTATTGCACAGCGCCAGCAATGGGCAGGGGCCATTCTCTGCATAGGGGAATAATTAGAATATGTAAGCCCTCCAAGTCTTGTCTATGCTCACACGACCTGTACTTCTGGACATGAATAGCTTGTCTTACCATTCTGGGTGATGATCTTTATGCGTTTCTCAACCCCTGTTGAAGGTTCGATCCAGTCAATGGGCTTCAGCACGTATTCGTTCACTGGTTCTGACTCTCTTACAGGTGTCGATCTGGGCTGTGCACGTTCTGATGGTGGTGCTGAGGTCGCGGATGTGCTCAAGGATGTCTCTACAGTAGCTGCTGTGATTTCTGGTGATGTAGGAAACGCCGGTGATACGGGAAACGAGGTGTTCACTGGCTCTGCTGAGAATGGCTCCTCAATTTGGACATAGGCTGGTGGTGGAGGCAATTCTGGTGGACTATCCAAACCCGTCGTTGAACTCGGATTCTGTTCCCATGATTGAGACGAAGCGACTGCGTGTGAAGGGTGAGAGTTCAGATTTTGTCCAGCAGAGGTAGCAGAGATGGAGAAGGGGTCCTCGTTCTGAAAGCTGATATCTCTAGCCGATGCGGTCGTGGCACTCAATGGCGGAGACACAGAGGGACTACGACGAAAAGGATTCATGGAGGCAGACGATAGAGGTGTGTGAAGGTTTCGCTGTGTCGGTGTTAGAAGTCGAAAAGAGGAAAAGGTGTATACACAATTAGTTCCTTTCTTTCAATCGCTCAGCTTCCAGTGGCGGCGGCGGCGGCAGCAGCGGCCTCCCGTCCACGTTCATTAAGAACGGGTCCTGGATCTATTTGGGCTGTTCCTATGGGCTGTAGCATTCCTTTTGTCACTCATTCATGATAGCTTACATTATCGCCAAGACTGTTCGCCGAAGATAGCAAAGACGCACTGACGGGGTACGTGGCCCTGTTTTCGGAGCCCAGCGCAAGGCGCTCGATTGCCAGCAAATCGCCTCCGTTTGTGCCACCGCCGGTAGAGGATGGAACTGGGGTGTGGGCTGTTCTGTCGACCCTGGGCTCTGTATTGGCTGTTGACTGGCTGGTATGGCTGGTGCTGCCGTGACCAGGAATGGAATCACGTTCGGTCATGGTGAGCGGCCTGTGAATGCGCGTTGAAGGAGCAGAGCAAAAGAGAGCACCGGATTAAAGAGAGTTTATGTGGGGAGACAGAATGAAGGGTGGTATGAATAAAAGATGCTGAAGTTTGAGTGGAGTGGAATGCGTGGATGGATGGGATGTGTGGAATGTATCGGCAGAGCGGGGCGAAGTTACAAGTGGGAACGCGCGTTTTGGTTCAAACGGTATGTCATCATAGTCTAGCCCCATAGACGACAGTGAGATTCAAAGGTGTGGGCAAATTGGCCGCAATGCTCGATGCTCACAATGGTCACACGAATGAGAAAGAAATTCATTTCATTACAGTATACTGAGTCTATGCCCTTCACTGCCGACGGGTCCAGTTGGATCTATAGGAGACACGCGAATGGTCCCCGAGCACTACCCTCGCACGCTCGACTGCATCCACGCCCAACGCCGGACAGTCGTCGACACAGATACGCTCCAGTCCCCGTCCACGCTCGTTCACCAGCGCCATGAGTCCGATCCCCGTCACCTGGCCCGAGTTTGCAAGATGAACAACCTCAATCTTCGGGCAGTGGTCCTTAATGTCCAACATCAGCCTGTCAGAGACGCTGATATAGCCCCCACATTCCAGTCGACAGAGTCCCGCACCACTGCTGGCTATCGCTTGTCGCAAGCCCAATTCGGTCACGCGTCCGCACTTGTTCAGGAGGAGCGTATGAAGATGCGGCAGAGGATGTGTGCTAAGGGACGACAACCCCTGACATGTCAAATATGGCGAGGAGCTGAGGTCAAGCATCTTCAATGAGCTCGACCACCCCTGCCGGGTCGATCCTTCCTCTGCAGATCCAGCTGCAATCAGTTGAATAGTTGCATCGCTTACTCCTTTGCAAGCATTCATCTGCAAGCTCTCTAGATTGGGTATACCAGCCACCCATCGCTGCATCACAAGGAAGGTCGCCGTGTGGCCGGACGTTTCAATAGAATCCGTGTAAAGATGCTTCAGTTGCGTCAACTGACAAATATTTTCGAGCGCCTCGATACCTCGAGGCCGCATGGTTCGGATGTCGAGCGTACTGAGATTCGGAAACCTGGAGACCAAGGCATCGATGCCCTCCTTTGCAAACAGCGATTCCCATCGGCCGATCGTCAGCTTCTTCATGTTCGGTAAAGGCACTGTGCTGTTGACCATTACGCACACTTCCGTGATCCGACACTCAGAAATATCCAATTCCTCGAGCAATGAACATCGATCCAAAACTGACACCACCGCGGCATCCGTCACTCCAAAGCATCCATGAAGGTCAAGAGATCGTAACTTGGGCGTTGCGGTCCAAAACAGCGAGAACTCTTGGTCGTAAATCCTGGAGTTCATTCTCAAGGACAATGATTCCAGGGCACTTGTCCGCTTCATTTTTATCAATTGGGTGAATAAAGTCCCTGAAATTTGCTGAGCGCATCCGAGTCGTAGCGCCTTGGGCGGGGTATACTTGGCCAAGTTGATGACGGTCTTATTGGTCACTTTGTTGTTGACATCCTGATCCGGCCGAGTTGGCAGATATAGTGCATGCTGAGGAATACGAATCAAGGATGGGACCCGCTTCGCAAGGTCGAGCGAATACCAAAAATGTCGCACTGAACTCAAGTACCTCATCCATTTTTTGCTGATCGTCAAGCATCTCACTCGTTCGATAAAACTTAGGCTGTCAAACACGATCATAACCAACTCAAAGGGTAGCCTCTCCATTGGATCCAGCACGAGTGCTTCTTTCTATCAAGTCCATCATAGGATCAATATAGGTGTAACCTTGTCCTCCCAGCTTTTGCGTGAAAAAAAAAGTATGCGATACCTTTGCGATCTCGTCCAGTTTGGCACTCATCTCACTTGCAATACGCGCTAAAGTCTATAAATATTAGATGAGGCTGTCACTGATTTTTGCGCAAATGATATGTTGAGTTACCTAGCAAAACAACAGCGCTTCTTATCCTACCTCGTACTCCTTTGTGCCTTTGGTGGATCGCTCAGCGCCAGAAATATAGATTTTGGCAGACGATCTGATGTTTTGCTGCATTCGAAGGATCTTTCCAGCGCGCAAATAACCCTGTGAGCGACATATTCAACGCATTCTTTAGAAAAACATGGTTCTGAGGACTGCCTGACTGACACACAAGCCTAATGTCTATGATCCATGGCTCCTACCTTTGGACTTTGGGTATGGTTTCGAATCATTGCCTTTGCGTCTGTCAGAGCGTTGTCCAGCCTGCCGAGTTTCTCAAAAGTCGCTGCTCTGCTGTCCAGCAAGTTGATATCCGTGGGCGCAATTGTCAACGCCCGGGAAAGATACTGGAGTGCGGCAGTAAAATCCTTCTGAGAAAACGCCTGTCGGGCAAGCTGAACGAGATCATTGACAGGCACCAGCTCCTTTAGTGGGGCCACGCTGGCATCAGGCCGAGATCCTGTTAGATATTTGCGTTGTCCAGCCACATTAAATGATTGCTTTGTGGGATCCGAGTCGTTGGTGTCAGCAGCCATAACCGTATGCCGTGGATATGGAGAGGGTCGCTGTTTGGCTAAGAGCCCCGACGGAGCCTTTCCACTGCTCATGATCAGAGTCTCTTGAATCTGCTCGGCTACTTTTTCAACGTGCTACTCCTTCTACGGGTTGGTCTTCTGATGACTGGTCGCCACTTGCCGCCTGTCGTCGGTGGGGTCCAGGTTTGCCGTCGCTTGGTAACAGTTGGTGGTTGGTGCTTTTCAGTGTGCCATTGTTTGATATTTTTTTAGGGTTGGACTGCTTTGTTTTGGGCTGGTCTCTTTCCCCGCACCCGAATTTGGGGGACACTTTCTCTTTTCGTCATTCCGCACTTTCTTTCTCTTCGACATTCTCATCCTCACCACACCCCCATAATCACCATGCCTCGCAAGTTCATCGTCGGTGGAAACTTCAAGGTTCGTGTCGCGTTCCTACCCCCTCTCTGTCGCGTCGCGTTTGCTCTTTGACCTTCTTGCTGTGCTGTGCGTCGCCTCTCATCGCTACTTCCCAGCACTCGACTGATCAAGGTTGTCCCCAACAAATTGCTATTCTTCTCCCTTTTAGCTCAACGGCTCCGAGTCGTCTTTGAAGACCTTGGTTGAGGGTCTCAACAAGGGCGACCTCGACAGCAACGTCGGTAAGGCAGCTGGATTATTCTATGTCGACCAATTGGTTCCTCTGTCAATTTTACCACGGTTTATTGATCTTTTCCTTCTTTTGCTGGACCGCCTCGAATATGTTTAGAGATCGTTGTCTCCCCTCCCTTCGTCTACCTTGACCAGGTTCGCAAGTCCGTCCGCAAGGATGTCGCTGTTGCTGGCCAGAACTGCTACTCCAAAGCCAGCGGTGCATACACCGGTGAAGTCGCGTATGTATTTCAAAGAATGATCGATGAGAATTTCTCACACAGGCGGCAACTCCCAAAATGGGACATGTCGGCTTCAATTGATTCAATTGCTCCCATATCCTGCTGCTCCCATGGTTATCATATGTCAGGGAGCAAATCCACTGATAATTCTACCATGTTCTATTCTTCTTGTACGCAGCGCTGAGATGCTCAAGGACATCGGCATCGAGTGGGTCATTCTCGGCCACTCTGAACGTCGCGAGATCTTCAAGGAGACTGACGAGGAGATCGGCCAGAAGGTTGCCCACGCCTTGCAGGCTGGTCTCAAGGTCATGGCCTGCGTTGGTGAGAAGCTGGAGGAGCGTGAGTCCAACAAGACGACCGAAGTTGTCTTCCGTCAGTTGGCGGCCATTGCCAAGCACGTGTCGGACTGGACTAACGTCGTCATTGCCTATGAGCCCGTCTGGGCCATCGGTACCGGCAAGGTCGCCACCCCTGACCAGGCCCAGGAGGTCCACAAGGCCATCCGTGGATGGTTGAAGGAGAAGGTCTCTGCCGACGTTGCCGAAGCCACCCGCATCATGTACGGAGGCTCTGTTAACGGTGGCAACGCTGCTACACTCGCTAAGGAGGAGGACGTCGATGGTTTCTTGGTTGGTGGTGCCTCGCTTAAGCCCGAGTTCGTCACCATCTGCAACGCCAAGGCCAAGATGTAAAGCAGCTTATCGCGTAGTCGTTCGTTAGTCAACGCCTTATTTTTTTTGTCCACAAATCCACTATCAAAGTATCTCACTTGTATATAAAGTATCCTAAACCCAACAGTGCTTTGCCTTTATGACGGTTGCGAATATCGAACGCTATCTGAAAACAATTGCAAAAAATGACAAAATGAGATAAGATCCATGATCTGGGGATCGAAGGTCTCGTCGAATCACAATCGTGCTTGATAGGATACCTCTCTGACGTTTGATAAAAATCTGTAGGTGGCGCGTTTCTATCGGCGCGTTTTCTACCAGGGCCTCTTTTCCAGCCGAACTGTAGGGGTAGCACTTTAGATTCAACATGTCACTTCTGTGGTATCGGCACGCGAGCCGCGATCGATTCGTTTTTGTAGCCTCATTCACTTTGCCTCCATCCTTTTGCATCTCTCGTCTCCTTGATTCCGACCTCACAATATGACCAGTACGTCCCAATGACAACCGTTTTTATGTATCAGATGAACCCCCTAGCATGAATGTATCTCACCATCGACTTGAAATAAATGTTATTCTTAAGCATACCGATCCATATTCAAGAAGGATCTTTTCAAAGGCCAAGTCGCCTTAGTCACTGGAGGAGGCACTGGTATGTACGAGTAATGCCATGGCGATTAAACATTCAAAAATCGGCATTTATTGTTTTGTACTAAGTGGATCCATTGGGTCAACGATAGGGATTGGAAGATGCATCGCGCATGAGCTCGCAAGTCTGGGTGCCACTGTGGTAATCGCAGCGCGAAAAATAGATCAATTGCAAGCTGTTCAGAACGAGATCCAATTACTAGGTGGAATCTGCGATACGATGCAGATCAACATTCGCGACGCCGCCATGGCCACAAAGCTGATCGAAAATATCGTCATCAAGCATGGGAAACTCGACTGTCTGGTCGTAAGTCGATGCAACAGTACCACGATCTTGTTAGAAAACCACCTTTGCTGTGAATAACATGGGGATTTAACAGTCAGGGCTAATTGGTGCGTCTTAGAATAATGCAGGCGGTCAGTTCATGTCGCCAGCAAGTATGTTAAGCTCCAGGGGCTTCGCTACTGTGGTGGATCTGAATTTAAACGGAACTTTCAATATGTGCAAGGCGGCGTTTGATGGATACATGGGCGAGCATGGAGGCCGGATTGTGAATATCGTAGCGGACACCAGGAACGGTATCCCAAGAGCCATGCACACCGTAAGCATTATCTTTCCTCATATACTGTTTTTTTGCCTACGATCCATCTATTCACTCGCTTTGTTTGGCGAACTTGATCTTTCATTAGGGCGCAGCGCGTGCTGGAATCATCAATATGACAAAAACTTTAGCTGTTGAGTGGGGACCCTATAATGGTATTCGCATCAATTGCGTTGCACCGGGCCTGATTGTCAGCTCTGGGATGAAGAACTATAACGAAGATATGGTCAACATGATGGCAGAAGCCAGCTGGATGGTAAGAACTTGCCTCTCAAGTATACCCTTTTTTCGACGTAATATAAACTAGCTAAACCTCCCTTGATCTACTCCGTTTTTCGTGCGTCTGTAATCAATAGAACCCAAGCAGCCGGTTTGGAACGGAATCGGAGGTTTCTGCAGCAGTCGCGTTTTTGCTCTCTCCTGCCGCGTCTTACATTAATGGTGTAAATCTGGAGGTCGACGGCGCAAGTTCTTTGAGCAAGGGTAATCCCGAAGGAGATGAGCTGAAGTACAATCCTGACGGTAGTCTACATACGGCTTATATTGGGTGGCCAGAAGGGGCCGATAATGTCCATGGAATCAGGCATGTAGATGCGCCAGTCATGGTGAACGAGTTGCTGAACAAATACAAGAAGATTCGCCGGAGCAAGATATAACCAAGATTTGTCGCGTTCCTCTACAGGGACGTGTAGAAGCAAAAAAATAATAAACAACGAAAACGACCACGGCCAATGAGGTTCACCACTGCACAGAAACAGCCAATATCTTGTCCCTCGTTCTTTATCCCTTTTTCTTCGCCATTCTGGTCACTCCAACCTCGGACCAGAAGTAAGAGACTCAGCCAGTACGACTACCATCACTACCAGCTCTGCCTCAGAATCCTGGGAGCGCAGGGCGCCTTCAGGGATATTGAAGCCTCAGTTTTTTATTTTTTTTTATTTTACACCACAATTCGCGGGATCGTATCGGCGCTGCATTCGTCTTGACTCTCAAATATCAAAGCATCTCAATACCGGCCCAAGTCGGCTCCCACACTTGTGCTTCTCGTCGGTACCCAGCTAGCTCTGTTGATGGTTAAAAGGATATAATATGCGATCCAATGCCTCTGTTAATACAATTGGGGCGATACACAAACATGGGATAGAGCAACCAGAAGTACTAAGGAGAGGTGACAGAAATCCAAGGAGAGGCGACATATACTGCCAGTAACACCGACTATCGCCGATACCCCACTCCCCTTCCCTGCACACTTTCCAACAAACACTCCTCGCCTTCCTACTGCTTCTTCCTTACGATCCAAGGTGACTGCCGTCCCCTTCATATGCGCATCCATCTCCTTAACAAAATCTTACTGCCACTTTTTGTGGACTTGATTACTGCCATACTTGCGCCACACTATGGTGTGCGTCACGATCCGGGTGGCCATTCCGCATGGATGCTTGAGGAGGCCAAGAAGCCAGTAAAGGGGCCGGCTTTCCTAAATATACATCAACTACATTACAACCGGCACCCATCCTTCGCGCTTATGAGGCCTTTTGTTATTTAAGAAGGCAACATGGTAGATCCTCTTGCTCCATATTCTCGCTTTCATCTCTTATTTCCTCTATATCAATCTCATTTCCGACAATGGTCTGCAAATACCTCCTGGCCGTAGTGGCTCTAGCCGTCAGTCTCCCGTCCCTGTGTCTCTCGTCTCCTATCCCACAGAGTATTAGCGCCCTCACCAGCACAGAGTCGACAAAGAGCGTAGGAGGCGATATTATCACGAGCTGCACAGTCCCCAACTCGTTCGCTATTACGTTTGATGATGGCCCCAGCATCTGGACCCACGAGTTGCTCGATTATTTGGCCATCAAGAGAGTCAAGGTGACCTTTTTCGTTAATGGTCTCAACTACAACCTGATCACCGATCCGACGTTTGCTGCTGTTGTCAAGCGCGCCTATGATGAGGGTCATCAGATCGGCTCCCACACATGGTCTCATGTCGATATCTCTCAGTCATCGACCAATCTTGCTAGTGAGATGGGCAAATGTAAGCTGGGCTCCTCTGTTCGTTATCTTTGAGAAAAAAAAAGAAAAAAAAAGCCCATGGTTGATCATTTTTCACTTGCTTCGTCGCGTATTGATGTAGTGGATGACGCACTCCTCAGTATCCTGGGTGTCCGCCCTGTGTATATGCGTCCTCCTTATGGCAACACATCGCCAGCGGCACTCTCTTGGATGGCAGAGCACGGCTATAAGGTCATCAACTGGAACGTCGACACCGACGATTGGCAGCACCCAACCAATTACAAAGCTGATTTTGAGGGCTACAGAAAGGCACTCCAAGACCCGTCATCCAAGAACAAATCGTTCATCAGCCTGCAGCATGATGCCGAACAGGGAACGGCTCAGGTGTTCGCCAAGCTTGCCGTCGAATATGTCTTGAGCAAAGGCTTTAACATCATGCCCGTCGGCGCCTGCCTTGGGGACACAAGCGGATGGTATAGAAAATAGAGAGCACAAAACAGGAGGAGGACCAGCCTCCAGCTAGAGATGCATTTTTATGGTCCGTGGGTTGAGCATTTCATCTTTTTTCCGGACACTTTCATAAGAGCCAGATCACATCGCATTTCTCTTGACTAATTTTCCGCGGCAAAAAAACTCATCGAAGTACAGCTCGCACTTTTCGGTGCTGACCTGGATCATCAGCTTACATAGTCTACATACGTATCATATTCTAGAGTATCTATTTCTTTATTTACATACTGCATCATCTATTTTCTAACGGCATAACTTTCAGGCTTTTTCATGTTTATTAATACCATGCGACAAGAACTCGATACATAAAACGAATTATGAACTCCTTGGCCACTTACAGTCCACCAAAAAAATAGGTGACGGATAATTACGAAAAATTCCAAAATCGCAGCGGATGGAACAAAGCTGGGTACTGCTCCAGGGGCGAAGCAACGTTTTCAGTTTTCGTGTGCATTTCCTAGGCCGCTGTGCATTATCGCATTAGTGTGTGTGCACTGCAGGGTCTGCTGCTAAAATACACTGGGACAATGGGCCATTGGTCGGCCATTAATTTGCAGAGCATGTGGACGGGCATCCTGACTATGGGCATAAAAATAGCAGATCTGACTGAATGAAACGCACGAACGCAACCTGAAAACAGCCCCTCTGGTCACTTAGAGTTCATGCATGCGTGGTGCTCTCAAAGGATGCCAGGGGTGTATGGAGAGGCGGATAATCTGTTGCTATGATATTATGGCTGCCGTAGCCTAGTACTGCGACTGTGGCACCGTTCACCATTGCTGCCGGAGTGAACGCCACCGCGGAGTAAATGATCTGAAGCTTAAGGGAGTCAGAACCCTGTCAATTCTTTCGATCACACCGGATCTCGTAGATCCCGTCATAGGACTACCCTTTCAGGTGGCGCCATGAAAACACTTCTTATCTCTATCGACATACATCTATAGGGACACTGTGCAGGCCGTTTTACACCATTAAACCTCATTCTCTGTCATTATCGCACGTCTGTCTTTACCAGGAAAAGCGCGTCTTTGCAAGACACATCACGGAGACAAGGACGCTCTCGGTACGGTCTAGGCCTACTGAGGCGGAGCCCCTCTCTTTTTGTTACATTTCTATTGCCCTGATCCACATCAGAGCATTTGTGGAGGGGAAAACAACAACCTTACTGAGCTGAATCTCGTTATTGGTTGACCGCAATAACTTATATTTTTATTTTTACAACACCTTGAGTATGCGGGCTCCGTTTAAACACCGGCCATCGATGCGGGTTGGCGCGTTCGAGGCTGTTTGTCACCGCGCCAGTGTGTCTTGATACGAGACATGTTGTTCCCTTTTCTTTGTACAATAATAGGAGGAGCTAGAAATGATATATAACGACCCGGGGTTCCTCTTCTTTTTTTTTTCTTCAAGCGCATACCACTTCCCCACACAGCATTCTCTTTCTTTTGCTCATACCACTACCTCTCCTTTCTACAGCATCAACACTCTTCTCTCTCCTCTCTCCCCACAAATATAACAATGGCTCCCATTACTCGTCTCGCTGTCCTCGCGATGCTTGCCTCCGCAGCATTCGTCAATGCTGTCCCAGTCCTCGCACCCGTGGAGCCTTCGGGTGCCGTGCCCGCTTTGGCGGCCAGTGATGCCTTTGCCTCAGCCCCCGAGACGTCCAGTCCTGTTCTGGAGAAGCGTGCTGTTGCCACCGTCATCACTAAGTGCACTAAGCCAGGCACTATTGCCATCACCTTTGACGATGGTCCATCGGATTTCACCAACGGTCTTCTTGATATCTTGAAGAAAAAGGGTGTCAAAACAACCTTCTTCTTGAACGGTGTCAACTATGGCAATATCACTGACCGCGCAGACGTTGTCAAGAGGGCTTACAAGGAGGGACATCAGATTGCATCCCACACCTGGAGCCACCAAGACTTGGCCACCCTTACCACAAGCCAAATTAAAACCGAGATGAAGAAACGTAAGTGGGGTTCTTTTGATGTGTGAGGAGACTTGTGTCCGTGCACCGTCTCTTATCCGTGCAAGAGCTTAGAAGGAAACGGTTGCACAAAAAAAGAAAACAAAGTGTTTCTTCTGTGAGTGTGCCATGGAAACCATCTTTAAAGCAAGCCCTGATCATCTCTCCCTCATTCATACGTGATCAACGTTTTTTATAGTCGATGACGCGGTCAAGAAGATCATCGGCGTGCGCCCTGTGTTCATGCGCCCTCCCTATGGTAGCGTGAATGACCAGGTCCTCAGTGTCTTGGGATCGCAAGGCTACAAGGTTGTTACCTGGGATAAGGACACCGAGGACTGGAAGCGTAAGTTGGAGTATTTTCTGAAGATGTTCAGTGATTTGTTTGAAAATGGTGCTTACTGCTTACTGACATTGCTTCTTCATTCTTTACGATAATTAGACCCTACCGACGTCGCTAAGAGCTTGAAGGTTTACACAAAGATTTTCGGCACTGCTGGCGAGGTCAAGAAGGCCGGTCACATCGTCCTTGAGCACGACACCCACGAGTTGACAGCACTGTCGCTGGCTCCCCAGGCCATCGACCTGGCCATCAGCAAGGGCTTCAAGGTTGTCCCCGTTGGTACCTGCTTGGGTGTCTCCAGCAGCGCCTGGTACAGGAAATAAATATCGACTCTTGAATCGATTTGCCAGCTCTAGAATCATTTTCTGCTTCAACAGAAGCTGGGATTCATGAACGTATTTAATTAGTACATCTATTCCATAATCATCGCAACCTCCTTTTACAAACATTCGTAGTTCAGTGCGAACTCTCTCCTCTCTTCACATGGTATAAAATAGCCCAAGGGCAATAAAATACTATATCCGTATAATATTACCGTTCCTCTTTTTGACGCGACGTAGTTTTTCGTGTTCAATCCCCTTAAATGTGTCTCCGAACTATGGCCTTCAGGCACCAGGAGCTCGGCAATCAAAATCAAAGAAGACGGGGCGGGGGGAACCACACTGATTGACTGTTGCGCTAATAAGTTTCGAAGAAGACCATAGCCTGACTTTTTTTTTTGGGACATGGTCATATGTCGAGTCAACGCTCTCAACTTTGCACCATACGGGGATAGCATCGTCCACTCATGCTCATGCTCAATACTATTATACATGTAATGACATGGCCGCTTGTTGCTATTCGTCGCTCTATATAGCTAAAGAGAGAGAGAAAGAGAGAAAGAAAGAAAGAGAAAGAGAGCATTCTGTTTTTTCCAACTTTGCATGGAATGAACATTTCTCTTTCTCTTCATTCCCAATTCATTCATTCATCATCCTCATTCCTCAATCAGTACTGTCCCTTCACTCTCAGGACTCCCGCAAAATTTCTATCGTAACACAAAACTCGGCTTCGCCCAAATTGCTTCCACCCTCCCGCCCTTCCATCCCCCCCTCCTCAACGCACCCACCTCAGGAAATTCATCGGCATCATGGGCAAGAAAGCAAAGCAAGATATTCCCTTGCATAAGGTCATTATGGTCGGCTCTGGAGGTGTCGGAAAGTCCGCCTTGACACTTCAGTACATGTACGGCGACTTTGTGGAAGAATACGATCCCACCAAGGCGGACTCATATCGGAAAAAGATCTCGCTCGACAGCCACTCGTGTCAGATCGATATCTTGGATACCGCAGGCCAGGAGGAATACGCTGCTGTGAGTAACACTTTGTGGAACAGACAATGAAAATGGAAGGTTAGCAGGTTATGACTGTGTCTGGAACCTGCTTTTCTCATTAACTCTCTCTTTTTTTTTGTTTGTCATAGATCCGCGATAATTACTATCGGTCAGGGGAGGGATTCCTTTGCGTATTCTCGATATGTGAGTACGAGTCCTTTGTGCACACACAAGAGTTCAGAGACCAAATTGCTCGAGTCCTCGACGACGACAAGGTACATCACTCAGTCTCATTCCTTTTTTCATTTATTTATTTAATTATTATTGCATGTCTGCTGACCAACTAACTCAACTGTTCATATTAAAATAGGTGCCATTTATCCTCGTCGGCAACAAGGCAGATTTGGGACAACTCCGTAGGGTGAATGCAGCAGAGGCCACAGAAAGGGCTGCGGGATGGGGCTGTCATTACATGGAAACATCTGCCAAGACTAGACAGAACGTAGAAGAGGTCTACACGCTTTTGTTGAGACAGATCCAGGAGCGTAAACTCGGCAGCAAGGATCGCGATCGAAAGAGGAAGAAGAGAAAGTGTGTTATCCTCTGAAGAGGCACTAGGACCATTAACACCATATCAGTCCAACAGAAAACTATTCACAACCTTCAGGTCCGAAGGAGCATTCGAAAAAAAAAAAAAAAAAAAAAAAAAAAAGAGGTGGGAACGCACGGCCGCGACAATATAGACTACACATATACTTAGCACCATAATCTAATCCTGGAGCCGTTATATACCATAAATATCATTTATTAATAGCTCGACAATGCTATATTTGATGCTCAGTTATGAGCAAAAAGTGCTGGATCATTGTAGAAGATTGAGTGCCTTTAAATCGCCTGTTTCCCAAGTAGCCGTACCAATGCACCGCATACATCCTGACGCTGCATTGGTACTAATGGTACGGGATACTTAACATGAGCGCGTCCGTTGCAACCAGTAGCGGAGAGCAGAAGAACGGATATATTGCACTATGGTGTCGCTTCTGTATAGCTGCGGTTCTCTAAGAGTTGACGCCGTTGCTGTACTAAACCTCAGGTCCACAGTCATTTCATGCGGTACTAAAGTATAACTTCATCGTTAGATGGATGCGGATGGATGAGAGTAAGACGGCTTTGCCCCATAAGCCTTCAGTGTAGCCCCAATGGTGAGCTGTTTATTGCTTATGTACACTCATACGACCATGCATTTCATCGGTCGGGTTCATTTAATTCTTACCCGTATAAGTTCGCGACGTGACGAGAAACGACGACCAAACGCGGTGGTGGTCGGTGCGTAGCGTATAGGTTCGCATTCACCTGCTTGTATTCCATTTTGTATCCGCACGTACACACACACGCAAGCATGCAAACGGACTGTATTATTGAAAAGGGGAAAAAAAAGCATATGTTCACACGCCTTGCCTAGCCCCTCCACAATGCCATTGTTACTTTTTTTTTTTTTTTTGCTGTGCTTCAAGTGGGAGATGAGTGTTTGTGAATCGCATCGCAAATGAATCAGCATCATCTCATCCGTTTCATTCGTCCCGATCACCGATCCGTAATTTTGTCCGACGATAATATCATGCCCTGAAGCTATCAGGGTACCTATCTTGGTACGTTAGTGGCACGAAATCGATTTATGTGCACCATTTGCTAAGAGGAGAGTGAGTTATTTTACATAACTCTCCCCCCCCATTTCCGCATAAACACATGCAGCTCGGGCCGATATTGATTCACTTTTTGCTTGCTGTGTGTACCAGCAATTGTCTTTATTTTTTTTTATGGATGTCTAACCAAGTTCAACTACTACGTACTCTTTTTTTTTTTGTTTTCTTGCAAAATGCGCGTGGAAGTCAGTGGTGACCCATGCTTCATAAGGCCATGTACCCTTGAGGTAGTATTTATGTATACCGGGCTCGCACAGCCATGTGCGTATTGTCCAATTGCCATGCAGCTTTGCTTTTCGATGCGGTTTGTGTTTTTCTCTACTCATTTTATTGATGTGTCCTCGATAAGTGGTACAAAAAAAAAAAAAAGTTGACAGTCGCAGTCAAAACCCCGTGCTGCTGATCCCTGTTCTTCCCAGTTCCAGAATCGATTCCGCATTCATCGAGATATGATCAGGAGCCCGAATTTCGAGCTTTGGTCGTAGTGATCAAAGCTTTCAAAAACTTTTGCAGTTGATGTATAGCAGTTTGAATTATCGATGGTATAGTGAATAAACATGGGAGTAAACTATATAACGCCCGTAGATTTCCAGCAGATTTAGAATGAAGGAGAGAAGAAGTGTGCAGAGCGGGAAAGGGGGGAAGGGATTGGATCCAAGGTCCTATTGCAGGTTTAATGAAGTGCACCGGATCGAGCAGGGTGTGGGGAAGGGACAATAGCGAGGAAAGGGTCCAGGACGGAATGGTCAGGGCACTGTAGGAGTACAAAGATTGACTGCTGGATCCTTGAGCTGGGTGGTCAGAGCAGCGTGGAGGAGGGAAACGATTGCATGTTAGGTTGTCAGAACGAGGATAATATCTTAATAATGGTTGTTACCGCTCATGCATGATTCATCCAACGAGAGATCAGGTTGCTTTGCGTATTGTGTGTGTACATGTACGTTCATGGCGTTAAAGTCTCCATAAAAAAACAAGAGGAAGTATTAATAAATCAAGGCAAAAACTGAGCGAGCGACTATCACTACGTCCGATATTATTTACCAAGATGGGCGAGAGAGTCTGGGAGGGGGAGGTGGACGAAATATACAAACCAGTAATAGTAGAGATCGGCTATGGCGCCCAAAAGCAAGCGGAAGGGCGCACGCTCTTGGTCAAATCAGCCTACGAAACCATCGAATATGGTTCATGGTCATGAGTATGAACCTTCAAGTTTTGGTCCGCATGTCTAAACCGTAGGATAAATGTGTGGCGCTTTGAGACCCACGCTCCTTCAAGTATGTAAGCGCGGATAGCGGCCCAATAATTGGCCGAACTGGGAAGAATGAAGACGCCCATGTCGAATGATGCATCGGCATTTTTTTTTTTTGTACTGTATGAATTTTGGATCGTCTTTATTTTGAATTGTTTTTAGTGCTGTTTTCTTCCATAGATATTGTCCGTACAACAGCGTCACTGCATCTCATCTGCATGGACTCCTCGACTTGGTAGGGGTGCGAAAAAAAGAAGAGATATCCAGGTTGACATCGATCGTGAGGACAAAGTAGATATGCGTTAAGATCTTATGGATAAGCGCGAAAAAATAAAAAAGATAGTGATCAGAATGCGAGTTTTTAGGTATCTAGCGCGTCTTAAGAAGGCCATCTTGACTTGGGTGTAATGATGTCTTGAGTTATTTGTATGACAAGAATTAAAATAAAAACAATGCAGAGCGACTTTTGTGGCGAAGGGATGAAAGAGCTCATGCAAGACCGGATAGTTGAGTTCAAGCCTTTGGAAAAAAGAATTAGCTGGGTAATGATAGAGTGGCCTAGGCTTTTATTATGCTTTCTTGCATCGCTCTTTTACGCTACATCCCTAAACAGAAAGATACACTCGAGCTGTATAGCACAGGATGGGTTGGGGAAGTACACGATCCATCACGACAGATTATCAATCTAGCGTCGACTTCTAAAAAGAAGACGCACTCTCGAAAGGCAAGCAGAACTACAAAACTGTACATACGAGTGTATATGAAGCAGGAGATGCTTCCCGATTATGGCAAAGGCAAGATGTAATTTATCGCATTGTAATTATTTGCAGTCAAAATATCCGGTACTGCATACAAATGTATGGAACAAGATTACTTTAACGTTCATTGCCTTGCCTGCAGTATATAGGAGCAGGATCTCAGACAATCTGGGCAATCCTTATGGTCTTTACGGTTCTTGATAGAAATGTTACCTCCGCATACAAATTCCTTGCCACGAATGAAGCATAGCTTGAATAGAGGAAGTCGTCGCTCACCTCGCAACGGCTTCATGAATTTTGGAGACGTAAAAGCCGACATCTTTTTTTTCAGTCTACTGGATGATTAAGGTCTCAGAAAAGTGGAAGCATCCGCATATGACAATAGCCCCCAACTTCCATATCTACTAGCACACCGGTCCACGTTGTTCTTATATATGTGAAACGTTGCGCCCAGTTGCCCTGCTTCTGAATGTTGGGTGTGAGCATTCACAAGCATAATTAAAGAGATCGGCGTCTGGTCGATAACTTTCTTTTTTTATTTTTTGTACCCTCATCCATATTTTTGCCGACGGATGACTGTTGGAAATGATACCGAACTTTGCGGATCCAGTGCCCTTCTCATGTCTATTGTTTAAGAAGAGTTTTGAGAGATCCGGTGGTGATCATCTATGGGGTAATCGTTCGTCCAAACTTCCAGACAGCTTAACAAGATCGGTCGGTGGTCGCCATGTGTGCTTCGTCTTTTTTTTTTTTACAAAACCATGAAAACAAATATGCGAGCAATGTGGACGGATAGTTTCCACCAAACAATTACGACAGCGATACCTTTGTGTGCGCTAGAGAGCGCAACGAAAAAAAAAGATGGTTAACGTCGTTTAGTGAACTAGTCGACCTTATGTCAACAATGAACCTGAGAGACTAAGAGGCTGGACTTTCTTTCTCTCTCTTTTGCGCGCGCGCGTTCTTTTGCGTCGTTTCTGTCGCTCCCCCTGATACAACCTTTCTTTCTGCAAGCTGCATGAACGCATTCCGGAAACACTCGGGATTTTAGAATAAGAAATTGTGAAGAGTCATCATGAACATGCAAACTTTGTTTGAAAACATACAGATTTTTATAATGAGTTCAAATAAAAGAAAGAGTGAATTTAAAGGTGCGCACAACCAAATCCTGCAACTCACGGTGCGAGAGTGCTGCGAGGTCCCTTGTTCTCTAGCGCGATACAAGATCCGTAATGACATTTTAATAGTAGTATAATAATAATTGATGAGTATGCAATACACAAGGCAAATTGTCGTGGTAAACGAAAGGAGCGGCCCAGATCATAGCTTAACACAGTGTTTCTATATCCTTCATCTAGTCCAGAAAAACATATGCGGGATGATAATGGACGTCTGACATTAAAGAAGGTACAAACCCTTTGTTCTCTGTCGACCCTAAGACAGAGGGCCTGTTAGCCATGCAGCCAGCAATAGCGCAGCTCTCTCTTCTAGATCTGGACTTCGCGTACTGCTCTCGGCTGTTGAAAAAGAGGCGACTGTTTAATACTGCTCTCGTACATTCATCTGGGCAATGCGAATGAAGAACCCTTCTGACATCCGATATCCCATATCCTTTGCTTGTATACACGATCAGTTTGCCCTCGTGTAGGCTAGCTGAAGTGTGCAATGCAAGGACTTGACTAAAGGAAAGATGGGTTGAGGTGAAGGTCCAAGAGCAGATCCTTCTACTTTATCAATCTTGTCATCACGGTTCCGGTTGTTTTTTTTTTTTTTTTTTTTTTTTTTTTTGGTTTACCCAATGAAGAAGGTGCCCACGATTTGAACCTGACTCCCCCTCAACTTTAATTGGTTGGCGTGGTTGATCATGAACCGCAGACGCCGCCCACCTTTCTATGGCTGATTGGTGCCATCCAGGTATTAAGATGAATGACAGTAATTCTAAGTGGATGGTAAGTGGTGCGTTCGTGGGCGTGAAAGCATACAGATATTATCGCCGAAAATGACTGCACTACACTGCTTTTTCGGTCGTGGACTACTGATGCAATTAAAAAATGCTACTCTGCTTCTCCATCTTTGTTGATAATCTTTTGGAAGCCTAGACCTTTAAATAATTCGATGAAGGGACACGTTTTTTTCTGCGTGGACGTGAATGTGGATGCGGATATGGATATGGATGAGAATAGTGTTACTGATCAAGCCCACAGCAGCGGAATAAACTCGACCTTGAAACTGGCATTGCAAGGGATTGTCAATGAATCCAGCGCAGTAGGTCTAGTCGCGCTTTTTCTCACACTCCACCAACTAGTGAGGCCACTGACCAATCGCGTACAAGGGAGGACTCTTGGTTCAATTGTTGATCTGCAATTCATTTCATGTATTTTAATATTCAATTTCTTGCCAACTTCGCCACAGCAGCTCTCTCCTTTATTCCTTTATAGTTCAACTAATTGCAGCCACAACATCTCCATATGGCAGGCCCACACGCACTTTCTTTCTTTTTTTATTTTTATTTACTTTATACAGTATTTGACTAACAACTCGTCATTCTCACACTTTCAATGCCGAGGCGGAAGACTTATTATATGACTTTCAAAACTTCCTTTTGGCAGCCCATTTGAAACCAATGGCCTGTCACCCGGCCAGGACGTCATCGCCCATTTCGACTTTGGCCCATTTGAAAGAGTACCGAGGATCTGTCTTGCGATCGTGCGGTACTCCAGCAGGAATATGGTGGATCGGGCCATCGGCATAAACACGATCAAGAGGTGTTAAATTGCGGAGCACCTATTAAGCAATAAGCGCTCGAGGATTTCTTTCTTCCTTTCTTTTTGTTTTACTGAGCGTTGACCAATCCTGGTTTAGCGACAACAGAGCTGCATGCAGTCTTTATGTGCGTGTGCGTTTTAGTTACGTTCATGGAACGGAGTAAAAGGACGGGAGGAAAAGGAGACTCGACAGAAAAGGAAAGGAACAAGCACACAAGTCCCCACCTCGCCCTTGAACGCTCGGAGTTTTACTCTATACGTGCCGTTGTTCTCTTCCTTGACCTTAAATTCATCCAATGAACAAGGCGTTTATTTATTCAATCCGTAGCTTTCCTCTTGTTTTGTTTCTGATTGCGCGGGTTGTTTTCCCTTTTTTTTTCTTTCTCTCAAGAGTCTGGTCCAGTCTGATCTTCTCTCTCCAAAAGCCCATACGGCCATTCAGATGGTCGTTTATTTCAGGCCATACAGTGAGATGGACAATCAGTCGTCCAAAGCCCGTGGACGGTAAGACCAAGCACAATCGTGCCACGAAATACGCATTTTCTTAAAGAAAGAGAAAGCAGCAAACGAGACAAAGCAAAGGAGGACAGGATCATGAACGTTTCTAATAAAGACTGTCACAACTTTATAGAATGGAGAAATTCGGACCAGACCTTACTGAATCTGGAATGCCGCCGTGAAGCAACAATAGAAATGTATATATATTTATACATATCAGATTTCAATTAAAGTCCTTTGAAGGGCAGGTATCTTCTGTACAAAATAATGGTCGTTGTCACTCTATGGAGTCATGAATCTCGCATATCTCTCTGGAGGTACACTAACAAGAGGAGCAAACAAATAAACAAGCACGGTAGAGCGTAAGCAACCGTGTCGCAGTTCATACCACTCATCGGGTTCAACAACAGACAAAATGTAGGTCAACCCTGTCGATCTTGGGCAACATTGTTTCCTCACCCCTTATTCCCTATTAAAAAAAAAAAAGGCCATTGGATCGATGGAGCGCAAGGTATCCATTTTGGGTAGATACTTGCAAGTTCATGAGTCCATCGGATGAATCTTGGGTCCCCACAACCCAGGCCTGTTATGCTTGGCTGGCGATCCAACTGGGGTCGGGTCGGTGTTTTGTATAGTTGTCATTAGATTTGTGCAAGGATGTTGAGTGCCAAACAATCTGAGCGCTGTTACAGCCCCACGTCGTCCAAGAACACGGTAACGCTCTGAAGCGAGAGGGGAGGGGTTGTATTTATGGTGCAGAATTAGGCGATTGTGATCGATCAAAGATGAAAGAAAAGAATAAATGTATGTAATGGGGATGGAATCGGTGTTGTACCATAAACAGGGCGTGGAAGAATTATGACTTAACGGTCAGCGAGCAATAGCGACATCGGCATCAACAAACCAGAGCTGTTCAGGCGTTTACAAAAAAAGATGCTTTGCCTGGCGGAATCAATCGAGTCCTTTTGGAGAACAGTGTTTTTGTCTGATGGTCAGTCATAAACTTTAACTGGTCGTCGTCTCAGATGCAGATGCCAGGGCCAGGGTCAGGGTACATATGAAAAAAGCACAGTGGGTGAGAGTGAGGAAAGGAAGAGCTCCAGGAATTGGTTCCTTTATAGATAAAGCGGTTGGATTTTGGTGTGCTTGTCATTGGTGCTGTTTAGCTATCTAGTCGCACACAATAGTCCATTTACATGTAGCAACAGAACGTGGTCGATGCTTCTTTTCATACTTTGTTGTTTGTGCAGGAATGATTCTTGATGGTCGCTGGGATTGTTTGTTTTCTAAATCTGTTACTACCACCACTACTACTCTACTACTACTGCTGCTGCTGCCGCTATCGGTGCTGATGATGCTGTTAATATATTACGCCGCTTTGTTTGCAGACACCAGACATTCTCTCTCGCTCATTCTCTCCCATCATATTTTTGCTGGAGAGGCTTTATTTCGTCCCATCGCTCAAATAACTATAGCACGCGGTCGATTGTTTGTGTTTGTGCGTGTGCGTATGATGCGCAAATACATCTTCATAATATGGCGCCGGACAGTCTGGCACCCGCGGGGAAAACGGAGCAGAGCGCAGACGCAGGTTTCTCTCTCCTTTTTTTTTTTTTTTTTTTTTTTTTTTTATTTATTTTGTTTATTTTATTTTTTGAACTACGTTAAAATGAAAGAACTTTAAGCATAAAGCTGTTCTGACCGAGGGAAAGAGAGAGGGTGAGTGTGAGTGGTGGGTGAGTGAGCGCAGACAGGCAAACAGGCAGACAGCTGGAGAAGAGCAAGCTCTGTCTGGCTTCGGACTGTTGGTGGATCTCGCTCTGGATCCCACTGGCTTTCTTCCTTTTTCTTTCTCCCCTCCAACTCGTTCATCCTTCGTCACCTTCGCCTCTATTCAACAAGGTATTCATTCATTAGCACTCTTTCAATTGAATGTTCAATAACAGGAAGACTACTCACCCAGATTTATCTGTCGCGGTTACATAGGACTCTTCTCTTTGTAGGTCATTCAAATATAAAGGGCAGGGTGGTTGACCACCCCTCTCCCCACCGACCTCGGACTCGTTCTCTCCCTCTCTCTTCCTCTCTCTCGCTCTCGCCTTCACCCTCTGTTTTATATATCACTTTGGTTGCTTGTCATTGTATGAAGGTCTCTTCCTTCCACCACTCTGCAACCAACACAGCCATTTGTCCCTCACTCTCCCCCACTTCCCCCCTCCTCCTCCCTCTTCTTTTTCGTCTCCACCCATTCACCTCCTCACCCACTTTCCTTCCTTTCGATCCATCGAACACTCTACGTTACTCCCTCTGCAGCATTTTATCCAGCATCATCGGCCGCTCTCGCCGTTCACATCCACACGTAGGTCCCTTCCCTCCCTCCCCTTCCACTCACTCAATGAATTCGCATCTCTCTCTCTTTCTCTCCCCCCCCTCTCTCTCCCCCCTGGATCGACAAACATGACAAACATAAAAAAATTCGTCTACAACCTTACAGCCACTTTACATATGACATTACGATCGACCATGATCGTCAACCTGAGGAGTATACTATCCCCTCTCCCCTTCCCCCCTCATACACACATACACTTCACATATGTATGAGAACAATACGTGTACACACATCCAACAAGGCGTCCATATAAAGCATACAGCCACCGCCACCACCACGCACAAACGCACAGATAGCGTCTGGACTGTGGTATTTCCATGGTACTCCTTTGACTGCATGACCAGCGCGCGTGTGGTATCAATAGCAACGTTGCCTTTTACCATTCAGAAAATGCGTTTTTGTTTAAATGCTTGCATGCAATGCCACTGGGATATATCAAAACCAGATCACTGGGAATGAACACACAGAGACAGAGCTGAAGGACAAAGGACGAAAAGAGTCGATAGAGCCAGGAGCAGGCAAAGACGACACGCTTCTCGTGGATGGAGACAGACACTCGACAGCAGCGGATCCCCCGACGGACCCACAAGGGTGGAGGTCCACTGGATGGACCAAGAAAAGACTAGAAACAGACCACAGGACAACTCTGGTTGGCTGGCTCGGCAGCTCCGTCCGCACTTCTCGACGTATACACTTCTCATATTCTCCTATTCTAAGACCCCCGTTCTTGAACCCAATTCCCTCTTTTCTTCCTCCATTCCTCGTCTCATTCTCATTGTCTCCTTTCATTCTCATCGCAATCTCACATACACTCATACGCCGCAGTCCCCGCCATCTCCCACTTCTCCTCCCGCTGCCACGCCTTACGATCCGTTGATTACATCGCTGGAAACTAACGCCTTTTTCATATCATTTTTATATGTACGTTCTGCGGACACAGTTGTTCGTTTACGCCACCATCTGTCATTCGTTGTAATATTTCCACAGGAAACATACAAAAAAAGGTACTGCCCGTTACCACATCTGGCACTTTTACATGAGACTCTTCGGTTGCACTGTTAATATTAATGTCCCGATCTAGACTACAGATCGTCCCGTTCCCCCCGCTTCCCCAGTAATATTTGTTCATTTCGACGTTCTGCGCGAAAACCCCTTTTGCCTTTGTGCAACCCATTAAGTGTCGTGCATATCGTTAGTTTTTTTTTCTTCTCTTTCTTATAATTCATTCTCTGTCCGACCACACCACATCTCATCTCGATCGCGACTCCAGAGGTGCCTTTGTGGACGTGTCTTGTCCTTGCTTTGTCTTACAAGCGATATTGAACCGTCGGTTTATCATATTTTGCGTCCTGGTTCCAATTGAGCTGTAAAAGGCACGCTCTAATGCAAACAAAGAAACAACAAAGTCAATGCTGAATAGAGCCTTGATTCTGGACCAATTTTTTATTTATTTTTTTCTCGTCTCCATCGGCCATTGTCCTGTGCGAGAGGGCATTCATCCCGATCTGACAAAGAAGACTCGATCTTTGCACCCCATTCTGAAATGTCCTCCCTTATTCTGTTTCTCAAAAAAAAAAAAAAGGCTGTGCGTGCGAGTGTTTGTTTGCGAGGAGTAGAAAGCAAGGGGAGGGGAAGAGACGGTCGAGAATCTGAAAGACCAGTCCTTTTTTCTTGTGGGCGTCCTTTCGAGAATGAAGGTAGCTAAACACAGCGACTTTATTACTCATGCCTATTCATTCTTTGTAACCTGACTCGTAAGCACAAATAAGGAACAAAAGTGAAAAAGGCGAATCAATCGTCGTTCTTATCTTGCCTATCTTACTTATTCTTGGACCAACTCATTGAATCGAGCCAGTACAGTCCGCACGACATCATTGCCCCACCCACCCTGTCCTTCGCCCAGAACATTGCCGATCCTGCGACAAATCTCACAGCTGGCAACCATCGCCCCTCTTTCTTCCTTCTTCCCCCCTTTGCACCCTTCACTCATCCTCACTCCTCTTCTTCCTCTTTACTCTCTCTACTCCTTCCTTCGCTCTATCAATAATCTATCTCAACGTCTTCGTTATACCCCTCCTTTTTACCTCCATTTTTTTCCATTTACCATTTTCTATTTTCAATACCTCATAATAAATGCCTTCTAATACGATTGTTGCCACCAAACATATACCATCTCCAGATCAAGACGATATGGCACATTCGGTCCGTACACATTCACCATCCCCGGTCATGACCACGAATAACAAGCCTCTGTCGCCCGCCGGCGTCTCGCCTACCCCTTCCAATTCGTCAAATACTGTCGCACCCTCCGGCAAGGATCTCGATCGGCCTGAAGATAATCTGAATCACCGACGTGTTCATTCAAATAGTGACCATCAACAGCAACCACCGTCGCCTCCATATCCTCGACGCTCGCCCGGATCTGGGCATAGTGCACATAACTCGTATAGTGAGCCGAATCTGCGTTTAGATGAGCAACGCCCTCCGTACTACGCCCCAACACCTGGACAGGAACAAGCACCATGGCCACAGCAGCGCGGCAGAGATGCTCGGGATACTCGAGATGACATTGACGTCCGGGATAACAAAGACGTCAGGGACGGGGACTACATGGGCCCCCGCGAGCGATATCCGGCCTTAAGGTACGTCCTGAAATGTATATACAAAGACGTGTGTATGATTAGGCAATTGGTTGTGCAGTAGCGGAACGCTTTTTGACGTCCCTGCGGCCATTGGTGTAATTGTCCGGCCCCTCTCTTTTGTCGGTCCGATGTTTCTGTTTCTCGTTCCCTCTCAAACTATCCATCTATCCACAACACACCACAACCCTACTTGTGTCCATAGCACATGTCATATGCCATCTTCGCCCTATGCGTTCATACGTGGGACATGCATATCTATAACCTGTTTGTCGGCGCACGATAGCGTCCTCAATCCGTCCTTGGTATTGTGCATGCATTGACATGTCCTCTTCTCTTCATGTTTGTGAACAACAACATGCTTAGTCCATACAATCACCACGACCCCTCATACTACAACGGAGGCTCTTCCATCTGGCCACGACCGCAGTCTCCTCCCCCCAGCCAGGGCGCCTACAAACACCTGTCCTTCACTCGCCACGGAGCGGGCCTGCGAGCCAGGTCACCCCCACCCCCACAACAGCCCTACTCCTCTCGTCCACCACACTCGGACCCTTCTCCTCAGAGATCATATCCTATGCCCCCACATCAGGCTATGCCACCCTCGCCATTGGAACCCACGCCACGATCCCATCGCTCGCCCGAATCTTATCAGGCCAAGCGCCACCGCCTCGAATCGGACTCGGATGGATACTCGGACCAAGAGGGCAGACACCGTCAGGCTCAGGGTCATGACCTCAAGTCACCTCGGGATAGAGATCATAACCGGGAACTTTACCATCCCAGCTCATATCATGGATACGGTGATTCCTCCAGAGATTACCATACAATGTCTGCATATCCAGGATCCACCAACCTCGAGGGTCTTCCAGCATTGGCACCACGACCCCCTCGGTATGTCATGGAGGATGACCTAGGGCCGGGTAGTGACTATCATGGGGGACCCTACCATCATCATCAAAGCCAGCACCATATGCAGCAACATTCATCACAGAACCAGACGAAGAAGGAAAATGCAGAGCCATTCAAGATCCAATCCGCCCGCGGCACTCCCAAGGGACCGCTTCCGATCGATGTGCAGATCAGTCTGCTGAGTAGCGTCCTCAAGCATGATCCTTTCAATTGCGCTATCCGCAAGACTACGCAGGCATGGGAGTTGATCTCGAGAGAACAAGGTATCAGAGCGAGGACGTGCTCCCGACGTTTCGATAACATCATCCAGGCAAGCATTGCGGGACGTGATCGACCTGTCGGAACCGAGGAGCAGCAGGCGACCAAGAAGAAGTTGCTGGAACAGCTTTTCGAAATGATGAACCAACCCCAGGCACTTAAAAGGATGCAGAAGAAGCGTCGGTATCGCTCCGAGGATACGGACAGGCGTCTGTTGATGGAAACCATTCGCCTGAATCCATTCGCTCAGAGAGTAGGCCAGGTGGCCAAGGCTTGGGAAGATGTACGAGATGCCCTGAACATGAAAGTCCACGCCCGACAGTGCATTCGGCGAGTGAACCGAATGGTAAAGCCGTATCAACTACGTGAGCGTATGTACAAGGGCAACATTCCCGATGAGATGAAAGAGGCCAACGATGACCTTGTGAAACAGGTCATCCAGCTGATGCGCGTAGCTGGACAGGGCGGATCACTCGATGATGCTTGCAACTCGAACGACGATGACAGTGCCTCTTGCATGTCCGACTCTGAAGACCAGGAGGATGGCTATATGGATTCGAAGCGACAGGACAATGCTCAGGAGGATGACGAGCTTGAGGAGGATGAGGACGAGGAGATGCAACCTCGTAGCGAGTCTGAGTATCGAACTGCGCACAAGCATCAAGAAAATGATGTCAAACGCAGCGTCACTTCACCGATCTCGCCTTCAGCTCCTACTGCGACTTCGCCTTCGACATTGCCTACAACTCCATCACTCTCAGCATCCGCTTCTGGACCTTCTTCGACATCAGCCCCAGCGACTCCTGCCAAGAGAGGCCGACCCCGCAATCCCGTGTCGACCTCACAGTCCAATCGACCTTCCAGCCATAGCTCTACGGACAGAGCCAGAGGCAATGCGTTAGGAGACAATACGAAAGGTGCACAAGTGCCCCATCGAGGCTGGGACGGCGAAGCTTCCGAATCTAAGGGCTCATTGTCTCTGTCGAACGTCAGTCCCGAGGATAAGGTCGCCATGCAGTCGGCACAGCTCTCATCCCCTCTTTCGCTTTATCCCTCATCCGCCCAGGGTCACGCACGCCACTATTCTCAGAGCGATTATGCTGAATCCGGCGACTATAGGAGGCCTATTAAGCATGCGCGAACCAACAGCAGAGGTATTCATGACGGTGCAGACATGGGTCGTCCTGATAGAGCAAGACCCATGTCGCCTAGCGGTGGCCGTCAAGGCCCTGCACATGCTTACCACGGTCGCGAAAAAGAAGAAGCTGGATACAGATATGGATTCCATGGTAGCCGAGGTCCTGCTGTGGACTCGCATGGTCGCCCTATCCAGCCGTCACCACACGAATCGGACTTGATGGGGCCATCTACACCGACGGGTCAGCAATACCGAGAGGTGATGAGTGAGCTGCACATTATGCGAGAATACCTTGCACAGATGGATGAACACCGGCGAGTGGAGATGGAGCAGCAGGGATCGATGATGTACATGATCGAGAAGCTGCAGCATCAGATCCAGCAGCAGCAGCAGCAACTATCTCAGCTACAACATCAAGTCCGATATGGGTACACAGGAACACAGCTACCATTATCTCATTCACCACACCATTCTCACCAGCAGCAGCAGCATCCGCAGGGAGCTCAGGGATCAGCGCCGGCCTCTGGAGGACCCCCCTCGGGCGGTCGGTATCCCTCACATACAAGCGAACATCCCGGGTCAGTTCCGAAGGCTGTAGAAGGACATTCTGTGGATCGGCAGGGACCAGAAGGGGTACACCACTACAGCCGCTCGGATCCTCACTTTGCTCCACGCGATCGTGATCTTCGCTAGCAGATGTATACTCGTGGTTTTGGTATCACATTTGCTCTCCCCTCCCCCTCCCCGCCACCATTTTCTTTCAATCCGTTATTACTTTTGCCTGCGTGCCTGCGTGCTGTTCTAAAATTTTTGTTTCCTGTTTCCTGTTTCCTGTTTCCTATTTCCCGTTACCTGCTTGTTTGTTACTTTGTTTTCTTTGCTGTGCTTGGTTCTTCCAGTTCATAGAACGTTTATTATACTTATTATCTCTTCCTGATGTTCTATACCAACTCACAAAGAGAAAAGAGAAAAAAGAGAAGAAGAGGAGAAAAGAAGAAAAGAAGAAAGAAGAAAGAAGAAAACAGATAGTAATATTTTATTTTATTGCATATACCGAGGAGGGCTATTTGAAAGGAAGTTCTCACTCATATTTTTAAACCCTCCCAACTCTCCCATTTTTGCCCTGTACATTACACAATAAAGATAAATAAAAAATAGAAAAAAGGTATTGAATTGGCGTGTGTGCGTGCGAGTATAGATCGTTGAAGTGGTGGCAATCATGCCATTCCGGTGTCGTCACTGCTGTTGGTAACCTGGAGGCAATTGGGCGAACCAACTCAAGTTTAAAGATAAGGATATGACGAGGGGCAGTAAGAGAAGTGAGGAAGGTAAGGTGGAGTGGGAGGCGAAGGAGGAGGACCGGGGATAGAAGGAGGAAGAGGGGCAGACCAATGCTGTGGAGGGGCGGTAAAGGATTAGAATGATATTGATTGAATGACGAGGGAAGGAAAAGAAAGAAAGAAGGGGAGAGAGGCATTGGCAATTGAGGCACCCATTAGTGTAGATGTACAACAAGCATGCCACGCATTATTCAAACAAACAAACAAACACACACACGCACATCGACACACGGACGGAAGAGTAGCTTGGTTTCCCTACCCTTAGTCTACCCGGAGAGGGGAGACAAGACAGGAACCAAAGAGAGACAGAGACAAAAGAGAGAGAGCTGTCTGTCCGACTGTTTTTTTTTTGTACCTCGTAAGTTGGACTTGTGTTTTTTTTTTTTACCACTCCTCCTCCTTCGCTTTTTTTTCTGCTCCCCCTCCCCCCCCTCTTCTCCTCTTCTTCCACCCTCTGCTGGGTAGATGCATCAACCCGCTGTCTGCCTTCTTTTCTTTTTCTCCACTCGTCTTTGTCTGCTTGAACTGTTGATTCACTTTGTTCTGCCCGTGTATATATCACTTCATACCTCACCATACCACACCACACCACATCACACCACACCACCAACAATCCCATACCATTGCCACTATCCATTACCATTGCTAGTGCCATAGCCATAGCCATAGCCCCATCTTGACCTCCCTCTGCCTCACTTGCCTGCCCAGCTACTTCTACTCCTCTCCCTGTCCCTGCTCTTCTGCACCAACCCTCCACTCTCCTCCGCTTTCCTCTCCCTTGTTCCTGGACCGCCAAAAGGTTTCCCACTAAGCCTGCTTCCCCCCCGCAGATCCACTCATTCGCCATGGCAAAGAAAAAGACCACCACTACCCGCAAGACTAGGCAGTCGGCCTACCCACAACGCAGCAGTAGCACCACCCATAGCAACAACAACAGCAAGGCTCCCTCCAATGCCTCTTCGCCCTCACCCCAGCCGTTGGACTCTCTCCAGGGTGGTCGCAAGAAGGCACTACCCAGGCGGTCACCCTCCCAGGACGATCCCTCCAAGGGGATCGTCTTCTCCTTCCGAATCCAAAAAGACCCTGCGCTCTCCATTGCTGTCGACATTCGAAGCTACGATCAACAGTTTGGCCCACCAGAGGACTCTGAAGCAACTTCAAGCTCCCAGGCCGACGCAACTGCAACCCTGGCAACAGTGGCGTTATCTTATGTCAATGTCAACTCAGGCAGCAGCAGCAGCAGCAGCAGTAGCTCACGCTCCAGCTTTTCCGGACCCTCGTCGTCGTCGTCGTCGTCGTCGTCGCCATCATCCTCAGAGCTCAGGATGGCAGGGGAACGATGGTCAAGCGACCCGTCATCGTACAGGAGTAGCAACGTCTATGACCACAGCCGGAACCTCCTTATTCTTCATTCCCGCAAGCCCTTGACGCCAACGGGAGCTTCAGCGCCCGAACACTCAACAGGCTTCCATCCATATCGACCACAACGTTCGTCGACTTCCAGCTCTATGTCCTCTTCGTTCTCCTCGATATCATCGTCATCTTCATCTTCATCGTTCCCAACGACGCCTGCATTGACTGATTCCAGTTCATCATCATCATCATCATCGTCGTCGTCTGTTTTGTCCTCCCCTGCAAGCTCGCCAAGTTCACCAACATCCTTCGAACTCCCTGTGTCTGTATCATCCGGTTTGACCAAGGAAGATCCATGTGTGATCGATCCGTTGCCATTATCGTTGCCGTTGCCATTGGATGGCATTGGGGCCCAATCAAGCCGGTTCCTGAGTGTCCGGGGATTGGGAGGTGCAAACAAGGGTCGGAGAATGCAAGTTATCCTGGTCAAATAAAAATATCTTTATTTTTTTGCGTTCACACACACACACCCACCCACAAGCACCCGTGCCATGCGTGCAATTTTTTTTTTAACATCCAATCTGTGGCCGACTTGTGTGAAGATGCGAAGACACTAAACAAGAACAACGGTCAATTATATATATGCTGGTTTTTTTTTTCTTCGCTCCATGGATACCTGTTGCTGCCAAACAACATAAACCCCTTTTGTTCGTTGGTTGTGAGCTCTAACTGCTGTCTCAGTCCAACAGACCGATGTTCTGATGGGCACGTGTAACGCCACCAACATGGCAACACTGAGCCCTCCCTCCCCCTTTTCCCCGTCACGAAAGACTCCCTAAGCTGTATACGCCAGGGCTATTGGCATTTTGAAGAAGCATGCCATAGCAAATAAATATGGCCATAGCCATTAAATACGGCATGGGATTTTTTTTTTTTTAAGATGGTAATGTGGCGGATGGAGGGGGCGTGTGTAAATGTGTATTAAGGAAGTTTCAAACTGTGTTTTCAATCTTTTGCAGGTACGCATTTTAGATGCGCGTTTGTGAAATAAACCGGCAATGCTGCCGCAAATGCGTCACCCGCCGTTGACGCATATCAATGATCATGTGTACGCATTTTGTGTTTTTGCGCGCAACTACTCTCTCAACCATCACCCGCCCTAACAGATGAACAGACAAGTGCACTGCGAATCCCTCTCACCACCACCACCGTCTTCTGATGCTGGACGAGACCTCGATCAACCCTCCATTGTCTCTGCTTCGACATCCCGAAAAGACACGTCGAAGTCAACCGCATCCAAGGACCGATTTACAAAAGAAGACTTTGACCGCGTTCTCTCCTGGCTCGAACATAAGCCCAACTTTGACTTACTCCACAGAACTTCAGGACGGACGTCTGTTGGGAAGCCATCAGGGACAGCATCAAGCGGGTATGCTACACTGGCAGCATTAGTTTCGCGGCATAGCAAAGGACGCCTGAACCTGACAGCGAGGGCAATGCGGGAGCGGTTCCAGCGGCACAAAAACAAATACAAATCAGTCAAGGATCTATCGTCACGTACTGGCTTTGAGGTGACAGACGAGGACCGGAAGAATGGTATTTACACAATGACGGGCAAGCTCGAAAGCCTGTGTGCTTGCTATCAGAGGATGGACAACTTGTTTGGACAGAAGCCGAACGTCCCCCCGTTGGTGGAGTTGACCAGGAGAAGGAATAACAGGAGTCGGGGCCTTCCTGATGCCGTCGTCGAGGACCAGGGCGTCATCGCTCTTGATAACTCTTTCATCGACAACGACAACGACAACAGCAACGACGATGGTAACAATAGCAATGACGACGTTAATAGCGACTTGGAAAATAACGAACCCAGCAGCGAAGATAATGAAGAACCTAGTATCAACCCAACTGATGTCTATAACCTCGATGACACCCTCGATGACATCCAAGTTTCAGCCTTCACCGACAATGCAGACCAAGGTCTCTTGAGTGAGCCTGGTATTGACGGAGCGTCTGCCGCTGCAGATCCCCCACCTGCGCTGCAAGTGGGTAAATCTCGCCCATCAAAACGACAAGCATTGGATACAGAGTCAAACGTTTCTAGCAAGAAGTCCAGGGTCACAGACACGCGCAAGGCTCCACCCAAGGTGGATCATGGCCCCTCTCGGAATACACGGAATGGATTCACCACTGCTTACCTGGATTCATCGACCTCTAAGCTTGAAGGTACTGAGGACTGGATCGTTGTTTGTTAGTGTCTGCATATTGTTTTCTAATCTTTTTTTTTTTTTTTGGCGCACTGAAAGAAATCGAGGAAAAGAAACTGGAGCAAGAGAAAGTCAGTGATGCGAGACGGATGAAACTCGATCAAAAGCGTGTTGCGTTGGAAGAACGAAGGATCGCACTGGAGAAGGAGCAGGCAGAAAAACAACGGGAGGCAGAGAAGGAGCTCTTGGGAATCAGGCTTAAATGGGAGAGAGAGAGTGAGGAGAAAAGGATCGAACTGGAGGAGAAGAAGTTGTTGTGGGAGAAAGAAAAACTGAAGGCAGAATCGGACTTTAAGTTCATGATGCAGAAGGCTATGTTGGTGCAGTCAGCCATGAGCAACGGGTTCAAACTGGAGGATATCAAGGCCATCATGGCCATTATTAAGGACAAGTAGCTGGAATAAATTGTCTTTATAACTAGGTTCAACAGTACTCCTCGCTGACGGTTGGGTTCGAGGGTAGTCTAGTTCTCTTCAATATCTCTCTAAAGTTGTTGGCGTCTCTTGGTACATCAATGTTTTCGTCAGCTCTATCCACAGCTTCATCCTCCAGAAACATTTCCTCCCATGCATCACCTCTGACTGACATCGAGGCTTTTACGACCCGCTTGGTGTAAAGAATAATCATCCCCACTGCAAGACCAGCGAGCGCCTGTTTACTCATCACAGATGAGCCATTTCCAGCACCGCCAAAACGAGCCAGAGCTATCGCGATCTGCCAGGCAGGGTGGAGCTGCGCACATCTAGAATTGTTCGAAAAAACAGGGTGGGCCCTCGAGTAGCCTCACAAGAGCGGCAAAGCCTTGCCTCATAGTCCTGAATGTTGACTGAAACTCGTCGCTGTTGAGCGTTGGAAACTTTTCGAAAATGACCATCTCGATGTCGCCTAGTACGGTCGTCCATGAAGCGAGACAACGAGATGAATGTGTATAGAGTCATTAATTCTTCTGCTTCCTCATGGTCGTCTTTATCGTCAGTCGAAAAATATCGTTCTTTCCAGGTAGCGAAGTTGTTGTTTTTTGCGCTCGGAGATGTAAGGCATGGTGAAAAATAAAGGGCATGGAAATAGTAAAAATCACCGCCGCACTCCGTATTTTTGAAAATACAGGGACGTATTTTGCTACACACCTCCCCTCAGGTTGGTGTATTTCTATCATACGCGTTGTCACCAAATGTGAACCTATTTCAACGTACGCATTTGGAAATGCACATCAAAAAATTACTGAGTTTGAAACCCTGTGTGCGGTACGCCTGCGCGTACGAGGGATTTGATTCTAAAGAGTTTAAGCTCTTGATGTGAGGAGAGAGAGAGAGAGGGAGAAAGAGGAAGAAAAACACATGCAAGAACGCATTCCATCTTTGCAACACAATCCCTCATCTGCTACCTTCATACACCTTCATACACACATCTTTGTTTTACTACAAACTACTCGCCCTCCCGAACTATTAATTGCCCCCAAGGATACGGCTCAGCAAACGTCTGCATTCAGTCACGACCCACGTTCAGCCTTCATCCTTCATCATCGTTGAAAAAGACGACGGAAATCACCAAACCCTCTCAAAGTCAAGACAGGACAGCGACAGCAACTCGGAAGAAAGAATCAGAATGACGATGGCGCATGCTCCAACACAACAATGGGAGAATGAAATCCTGGGCCTTTTTGCGAACCGCGACAACCACGAGAAGGCCTTTACGAACATGGTGGAGTCCTGTAAGCTGAAGAAAAATTATGGGAGTCTTTTTTTTTTTTTGTTTCTCAAACAACCGGAAATGTGTTCCTTTAAGTCATTGATGAATGCGATACCAGGCGACAGCGATAACGAATGATTCTGGGGTGCTGACGGCGGACGTTTCTTTTTTGGCTCTCCACCCACGCCTCGTATACATATTGAACGCTTTTTTTTTTTTATTTCTCTTTCGCTTTTTAGATAACGGACTTGTTCAGAAGCTGACTTACTTTGTGGAGCAGAATAAGCATCTGGAGACAACTGCCCAGACATCAAAGGATCAGCATGATAAGATGGCTCGTCAGGTCACTGTCCTACGCGAACAAGGGTAAAAAAAAAAAAGGACAAGCACCCTCCTTTGGGGAGGAACTTTTTTCTTTAATGTTCATGGGATTTTGGATATCCTTTTTTTCGACAGAATGCTTAGCATACTGAAAACCTGCGTCTAATTTTTTTTTTAAAAAAACCCCCTTTTGATGAATGGGTTGGATAGGAGCCCCATGAACCAGAAGCGAAGTGCGGAGCTCGAGGCTCAGATTGCGAGTTTGAAGGATGAGCGAGCAGAGCTGTACAAGACCCAGGGAACGAATGCTCAACGATTGTTGGATTTGAATGATATCTTGCGAGCCAAGGATCAGACGCTTGCTCAGAACAAGGAAGAGTATGTTTTTTATTTTATTTTTCGCTATGCTATGCTTCGCGACTGCGGCGCAAGTTGTCAATCCCGATCCTATACCCAAGTTTTTGCTCTATTAATGTATTGCTTAACGCGTTTCTTTTTTTCTTCTTTTTTTTTGCGACCGTTATGTGTTCCAGTATCCGAACATTGACAGAGACGAACCACACGTTGGCGCGCAAGACCCAGGAACTGCTGGATCTCGTGAACGAAAAGAACATCACGATCCAGGTGATCCAGGACGAACTCACGACTCTGCAACTGGAGATGGGAAAACTCGACGAACGACAGCGTGATCTGGAAAGAGAGAACGCGCAGCTGTTGCAGCGATGGCTCAAGAAGATGAATGAGGAGGCTGATAGGATGAATGCTGCGAACGTGTTCTTGGAGAATGAGCAGCAGGAGGCAGTAGCAGCAGCGACGGCAGCGGCACAGTCTCCACCGAGCACGCGGTCGCTCCGAAGTGCGGGACCGGATTCACCGACGCAGTCAAGTTGGCGGGGAGGATCTTCGATCTTTTCTATTATCCCGCAGATATCCTCTAGGAAGATTGTACGTCCTCAGCGGATATCTGATCGTGTTTGGAGAGGGGGGAGGCTTCAAGTGGGATATATGAGACTCGGAAGATATTTGATCGCCTAATCACTGTTTATTTTTTGATTTTATTATTATTATTATCATTTATGTAGACTGCACACGAGTCAGAGGTGAATACGGTTGCGATGTCGAACGGAGGATCGATGTTTGCGACGGGATCGAATGATAAGAAGATCAAGATCTGGGACATCAAGACTGGATCGCTCAAATCGACGTTGACAGGGTGTTTACAGGCTGTGATGTGTGTGTCGTTCAATGCGTCCGATGAGCTGTTACTTGGAGCATCGAATGATAATGCAGCACGACTGTGGCATTTGGGTACTGGACGACCTAGAGTAAGGATGCACATGGACACTATTGGCGTGTACTATCTCTGGTTTTTTCTTTTCTTTTTCGAAGCGAATTGACGTTGCTGTTGCACTTTTTTTTTTTTTCGTCTTCTTGTTCTATTGAATAGCATACGTTGACGGGACATATTGGAAAGGTGTTTTCGGCACGGTTCAACCCGGACTCGAGCAAGGTTGTTTCTGGAAGTCATGATCGAACGATTAAAGTGTGGGACCTTCAAAAGGGATACTGTAAGTTGGACGACACCTGCTGCTATTTACTCCCATATAGCCAAGATGGTTTTCAGTCCTTGACTATTTTTTTTAATGTATCTCTTTTTTTTTATTAGGTATTCGTACGATGTTTACGTTTGCGAGCGTGAACGATGTATGCCTTTTGGACTTTGATGGGGCAACAATCGCAAGTGGACATTTGGACAACAACTTGCGGTTCTGGGACGCGAGATCGGGTAACTGTGTGAAGGAAGTGACTGGGATTCATCTGGGCCAGATCACGTCCGTGTGTCCGTCCTCGGATGGGACACAGATTTTGACGAACTCGAGGGATAACACGTTGAGGATTTTGGACGTGAGAACCTATGAGACCTTATCGGTGCTCCATGCGGATGGTTACAAGACTGGAACGAATTGGACGAAGGCTTGCTTCAGGTAATGATAAGGAAGAAAAAAATACACAAGAGAAATGACGACGACGGCGACGACGACGAAAACAAGAACATGGATGTCTCTGTTTTGCCGTGTTTGGCAGTTGGTCTTTGGTTGTTGTTGTTGTTTTTAACGCGTTGGAAAAAACTGACGTGGGTTTGCTTCTTTATTCTTTCATTATCCTGCCTGAAATTAGTCCCGATGGTCAGTATGTGGTGTCTGGATCTGCGGATGGAACGCTGTACTATTGGTCGACACGCGATGGTGCGGTGGAGAAGACGACGAAGGAACAGAATGGACCGATTGTTGGAGTCGCGTGGGCGAACAGCTCAGTCGTGAGTGCTGAGAAGGACAAGACGGTCGTCATCTGGGGAACCACAGCACGCCGTCCTACTGTCTATGAAAAGTAATTTCTCCTTCCCCCTCTTCATTTCGACGCCCTAATAAAATTAATTAAATTGAAAAATACCTATTTTGAATGAATGATCAATTGGATTCTGGGCCGCGGAGGAATTCATGATGTTTTGCGTTTCGCGTTTTTTTCTTTTTCTTTTTTTTTCATGTTATTTTTTATTGAAAAAGTTGAAGATGGAAAGCGTGATGCAACGACCCTTCTTCTTCTTTTTCGTACGGTTCTTCTTTTGACCACTATTACTGCTATTACTACTATCGCCCTTGGCATCGACAGTCGATGTCGAGCTTGGTGAGGAAGAAGGCGAGCAAGCAGGTTGTTGATCTGCGCCGTGTGCTTGCTTATCTCCATGCTGGACCTGATGAGGACGATAGTTTCCGGGAACCGAGGTCGTTTCGGAGAGGGAGGCGACCATGAGTGATTCCTGGGACGGATGATGTTCGTCTTCTCTTCCTGATCCTCCGGGACTTGCTTGGAGGACTTCTATTTCTCCTCCACTACTACCACCTTCTCCCCCAGCGGAGGCTGTGGATGTACCAGAGGGAGCTGCGGAGATCGGGCCGGGGATGGCGGCGATCTGGTGAATGTGTTCTTGTGCACAATACTGTGGGTCGTATGGGCGGTATGTCTGTTGTGGAAGATGGGCTTCAGGATAGCTGAATGAGAGTGGTGGAGGTGGATGTTGTGTCTGTAGAGGTGGGGGTTTAGCTGCAGGCACGACTGGAGGAGGGAGTACGGATGGACGAGGACGGGATTTTGTGGGGGCGGAGGAGAGGAAGTTACTGTCGGTGAGCGAGAGGATGCTCTTGCTGGTGGCGGAGTGGGATCGCGTGCGGATGATGTTGTTGTTGATCGGGGTCGTGGTCGTACTTGGGCGCAGGGCCAGGGAGGATGAGTCGAGGGAGTAGGCATTGCGCGATGGTGGTATTGATGACATGGTTGCGGTAACAGTCTCTGTTGAGTCTTGCGCGAGTATTTCTGTTGTGATTGGCAAATCCGAGAGAGGGACGTTGGAAAGGTATGAAGGCACGGGCGGGAGGGGTTTGGTAGAGGTGTTCGTCAGATCCGTTGGAATGTTCGGACCTGTAGATGCGGTCGGTGAAGCCGAAGAAGACGAGGACAAGAGCATGCTGGCCAAGAAGGAGAGTCGGTTCTTGGTACGGATGCGTGGGCTTGGGGGTGTTGCAGAAGATGTAGTGGCATTCAATGGACCGTCCTTGATGGCTGACGCGGTATAGCGCCGGCTGCTGGACCGGACCGGTAAAACGTGTAGGTGCCATGGTTCATGGGCGTTATTGTTGTGGCTGTCTATGTAGTTGTGATTGGTGCCCGCAGTAGGTGGCGGTGTTGTGGAATCTGTGGAAGAGAGGTACGATCGGCGTTTGGAAGAAGTGGCGCTACGGAACAGCCCTGCGACCGTCGTCGCTTTTCCAGTGCCCATTCCTGTCGTTGATGAAGCTGCGGGATTGGTAGAACTTGTGGAGTGAATCCGGGGTGTATGGACCGAGGATGATAGCGGCAAGGGTGGCAGTTCAGCTGTGAAACGATCCTTCTTGAAGTTGTTTGGGTGTGGGATATGGGTACTCGTAGTATCAGTAGCCATGGGCGACGGTGGTGACGGGAAGGCATCCTGGACCTCTTTGACGAGTTTATCGTCGTACCCGAACGTAAACCGTGCCCTATGCCCCTCAAGCGTCGGTGACCACGACGCCATGGATGTTGTCGTCTGATCTGCTTGTGCTCCCTCACGCTGCACCTCATGAGAATACATGATCGGCGTGTCGTTATCACTCCCCTCTCTTCCTTGCTGTTGTCGTTTCTGCCTCTGTCGAACAGCATTGATCGCCTCGACATCCAGACCAAAAGTCCCACTCTCAAGCGGGCTCGTGCCGGATGTAGGCGAGTTTGAAAGCGGATGTTGACTTACAAGATCAGAGTACTGAAACACATCTTCCCGATCCCCAGCAAGGGCAGGGAAGGAATTCGTCAGAGTCGTGGGAGATTGAGTGAGGGTCTCGAATAATGTTGTGAGAGGCGACGATGGGGAAGAAGGTGCGGAAGTTGATTGGGAAGAGCCGGACCCTGAACCGCATACGGAACCGGGTCCACCAAATGTGGTAGAGATGCGGTTTTGGCGTCGGGCTCGTGCTGATGGGGTGACCATGTTGGGCGCAGTGGTACCGCTTGGTGGGTACTCTGAGGCGCTTTGATTTGTGGTGTATTCATGAACAGGGAGGTGAGGGTGGACAGGACTGTGCTGGTCGTGCTGGGGCTGGGAGTGCGGGAAGATGGCGCCGAAGATGGCTCTCCGCCGCGTGGTAGGTGTGGATGTGGTGTTAGGGGAAGCCCCAGTCGTGTGGGTGTGAAGCATTTGGAGTCCAGAGAATGAAAAATAAATCGAGGAACAAGGTTAAAGGAATGTGAGGACGTACGTATCAATGGGTATCAAAAAAAAATCGTTGCGGACAAAAAAAAAGAAAAGAAAAGAAAAAGAAAGAAAAAAGATGGAGCTGAAGAATTGCTTGGTTTCTGTGGAGGTCAAAGAGTGTGAAGGCGAAGAGGGAAAGGATGAAAGAGTAAGAACGGAAATGGCGAAGGAGAAAACGTGAAGATTCCAGCTCTGTCTTTGAGGCGCGTGGTCGTTGGCGCAGGAGGAAATAAATTACAGACTTAGCAAAAAAAAAAAAAAAAAGGGCATCGGTCCGTGGAGCGTTTTGGATGCCCAAAGACGATCGAGAGACAGTACAGAGAGGCAGAGGAAGGCAGTTCAATTTAATGAGACAGAAATCAGAGGGGGCAACAGGAAAGAAGAAAAGAGGATAGGAGGGATGAATGACGATCGAGTAAATGGGGAAAGGAAAAAACGCACGCAGCCCAATGCGCATTTCCAACTTTATTCATATTCCTGTCAACATTCTGCATTTTCTGCATAATAAAATATGAATAGGGAGCGCAGTGGTGTTGTTTGTTTATGTTTGTTTGTACGTGTCCCCTGTTGGTCGGTGGTGTCAATGATGCGCTTTTTCCTCCTCGGATACCGACACTCTGGACACATGTCCATCATACTCTTTGGCCATTTTTTATTCTTTATTACTAACGCTTCCGCCGTCATCTGTGGTCTAACAACACGCACGCACCCAAATAAATGAGGGGGCGGTGTTGTTGTAGAAACTACTGCTTCAGGTCGACCCATCGGTTGTTTTTTCTTTTTTCATTTGTGTTACCAATGGTCCATTAGGTGGCAATTGACTCTTGGTATGTCCCTTCTGTTTGCTATATTACAGTAATTGGGGTCTAGAGCGCGTCTTACAGCCATACTCTTTGCCCTCAACTTCAATTTCCTTGCTTGTATCGAAGAATTTTCTTTTCATTGCTCACCAACTTCTATTGGCGACCGTTGTATTTGTTTTCATTTTGTCCGCTTGCGTAGATCGCTCTATTCTTTGTATTGTTAGTAGTCTTACCAAACTGACGGTGCTGTGTTGTTACGTGGTGAGTATTAGTCTAATGTATTCTATTTTTTCTTTTTCCCTTTTTTTCCTGCCGGCATTGGATGATGGAGGTTAGGCTCATGCGCACATTGTTTGCTACTATCACAACCCTGGGCAAGCGCACAACATCAATGCGTAGAAAGAGCTTATGTACGCTTGCTGCCCCTTGAGTCCATATTCTCATATTCTGGAAGCTTCTGCGACTGCGAACAGACCTATCCTAGCGAAAAGCCATTGCTGATTTGGATAGCATTGATATGCGAGGATGGATTCCGGTGTTTGCACCAATAGCATGCTTATCGCAGGCGTACTTAAAAAAACGGCATCGTCGTGGTTTTAATGAGCTATCAAAAATAAATTACCCCCGTCCCAAGAGTTGGAACAAGCCTTCCAAATAATCATAGCTTTTGCTTATGGGATCCTGCATCTTTTAATGCCTATTTCATTAACCGTAAGATTGCGCATTGCCTTGGTGCCCCCATAAACACTTGTAGCTAAGATAGACACGATAAATGTCCCCAATTCATAACATCTCAATGAAATTAAACGTGAGAATGCAGCAGCAGTGCCCCTTGCCTTAACGGTCAAGACGCAGCAAATGCTTAGTAATACAAAGGTGGAGTTTTGTTGTTTGGTAAAGAAAGTCAACACCGATATCTCTTGGGCTTAGCAAATTCTGCATCCTTTGTAACATTGCGTTTTAACAACTTGACTTTTTTTTTTCTTTTTGGCGAAGAGAGAAAACTAATGAAAAAGCAAGCTCTGCGTGGCGGACTTCAACAACTGGACGAGCCAATATGCGATGCTGGCACGGGGCACAAAGCAGTGCAACTTGCAGCTCGTTATATTGAGATAATATAAGGCGCCAGGTGTCTAATTATGGTTTATTGCAATTGAATATCTGAAACTGGACCTGAGAAAGCAGCTTGGCCAAAGCTGACTAAACTCGATTGCGCGGGAAAGACCAGAGTCCCTAGCTCATCCGACAACTACAACCAGCAGCAACCATCGGTATCGCTTGAGATCATTGCATTGTTTGCCTCAGATCGACATCATTGTTTCGATATGAGAATCTAAAGTCCTTCCATAAACATCTTTACGTTTGTGCTGGGTCTATCGCCGCTATCTCGGGATATATTGCGGCACTATCTCGGTATCAACATCCAATGAGGTTCCGAGTCGGCCCCTGAAATCCATGAGATTGCGGTCAGAGACCCTATATGCGACACATGTCTATTGTGTCAGATCGAGTATAAAAGAAGCCAGGAGACAGCGGGCCTGCCAGTTCAGATGCTCAACTACCTTCAGCTGGATGATTTAAAGGGATCAGACCATATTCTTATTGTCATCAATCCAAACACTATTCCACTCTCCTTGCCCCCCTACAACAGTCGGGTACCCTTCGATATGAATAGCCAGGCTGCAATCTACATTTGTGCTTTCATAGTCCTGCTGCTCTTGCTGGGTATATTCATAGGATTTATCCATCGCAAACATCTTCAGCAAGAACGGGAACAGAAGGAGTTCAGACGTGTAGCCCGCGAGAGGACACAACAAACGATCGGTGTGTTGGAAAAAAAATGCCTTTAACTGTTCTCAACCAGTGCTACAGTTCCGACCTCAGATTATTTAACCTTGGTTGCATTTGTTCATAGACCTGAATCTGCCGCCATATTACATCGACCATGTGCGAGACCCAATCTGTATCTACGAACACGAGTTGCCGTCTCCGACTTCACCATATGAGGGTACACAGCGCTCCACGACTGGCGACTCGGCCATATGTCTGGAGATGCCTCAGCAGGACAGCGTTTCGAGAACCCCAAGTACTCCCATCAGATCCACGTCGGCAACTCCGGTCGTTGTAGTCGTATGTGATCCGATTATCGAGCAGCTGGACATTGCACAGATGCCACCACCACCACCATATGAGACATCCAATCAGAGCGCAGGGGGTTCTCCGGTCGCGGAACATACATCCTCCTCTGGTGGGCGCTGATAGCAGCGGATTATGACCGGACCCAGCATGTCGCCTCGATCTCAGCACGGCAAAACTCCAGGATTTTCGAGAAAAATTCTTTTTTGGTGCATGCCAGAGCTATAGCAAGCAGTTCAGGGATTCTGAGGAAGCAGTATTCGACAAGCAAGTGCATCTTCAGTCTTCGGGCAGCACAATCATCGCACAGCAACTTCAGCAACTCTTGCAGCCATCAGCTTTATTTTGTCAGCTTCCGCAGCTCTCAATTCACACGATGCTCTTTCTCGCCAGAGCATCGTAGTCGACACGCATCTGGAAGTCGCATGCTATGCTCTTATATCGTGAGCATAGGCATTAAGCAACTAGCGTTCTCAGAGCGATCAACAGCTGGCTAGATATTTACTCATGAGAATAGCACGGAACATGAATTCGACGCATATGTACATCCATCACCACAGTCTGTCTGGGCCGCCACTTGAACTCTGTTTCGGTTAAGGTTACCAGAATTGCGACGGCTCTTTTGAGGTCAACCACGAGATGAGAATAGGGGATTTGGCAAAGCCCATGAGGCGGGTAAAACGTTTGGGATCAAATGTCAAGGAACAGACTTATCCCCCTCGAGAGGACACAAAGGGAGCCCGGAGGAGCAACGACTCTTGTTATTTCACCCGCAAACAACACCCACATAGGGCGAGGAGCGAGGGGAGTGGATTACGTATCTGGCGAGTACATTGCAATTGGCGACCGGAGTGTAGATAATGATAATGTATCTTTGGGATGTCAGCTCTGGCTGGCGTCTTTCTATATTTTTCTCCACAGTGCATATACTCTTGATACATTTTCCCTCGAGCATATTTTCAGCCGAGCTCCTTGTTGCAGTGGACATTCTCCTCTTCACTCCTAGCCCCCTACCTGTCTTTACCTTTTTTTTTTTGCTCTTCCTCTCATTCATCAAAGTCATCCATCCACTTCATCTCATCCCGATCCCTTTAATACCGCACGACCAATTGACGTTGCCCCCTCACACATAAATTAATATAACGTCCTTCACCTAATATTCATCCAACAAACAATGGCTTCGATCGCAAGATTGCTGCGGCTCGACCACTTCGAGCCCGACAGGATCGTGACCTCGAACCTGGTCCGCCCTCTCACGCTCGCCATCCTCCGCGGTCTTTTGTGCCTGTACTGCCTGATCGTCATCGTCTCGGTCTGGGCGACTAGCGAGTCGGCATCGGGATACCTCATGTTCTTTACAAACCTCACCTACTTTGGACTGAACGCATACCTCGTCGTAAGTGTCGTTTGTTATTGTTGTTGTTGTTGTTGCTGTTTGTTGCTGCTGCTATTGCCATGAATGGATGAATGCTTTGTAGGGCGGTGTTTCTTTTTTCATTCCCTTCTTTGTGGCACATTGCCTGTGGCATGTTTAGAGTGAGCGAGAGCCGGATTTTTTTTTACACTCTGTCGATTAGAAATTGTAAATTTAGAAACTCTTTTTTTTTTTTTTTTTTTTTTTTTGTCGTGTGTCGTATGTACGGATTCTCTCTCCACAACTACCTCCTTCATCATGATACAGCCTCTCATGCATATCTTGTCTCCCGCGGTTCTTCTACGACTCATTCATTAGTGCTCCACTCTTTGGTCGATCGGCTATTTGAGACAACCCACCCCCGAGCGGGCTCAATGGCTTAAAAACCGTTCCCCATGGTGGGGCTACGCGCACTGGCTGCTCTACTCCACCGTCGTAACCTTCCACATCGTCGTCCCGATCGTCTTCTGGACCTTGCTCAGTACTGGCGCGCACATGTCGACCTTCGGCTCTTGGCAGAACGCGTCCGTCCATGCCGTGGACGGTGTCTGCGCAGTTTTTGAACTGATCTTCAACCGGCATGTCCTCGAACCCGTTCACGCGTTCGTCGTGACCGGAGTGATGCTCTTGTACATGTTCCTGACGTTCGTGGTCCACAAGACGAAGGGTATTTGGGTGTACCCGTTCCTGAACTGGGACCAGGGCGCGATTGCAGTGGCGTATTATCTGGGCATTGCGCTCGGACTGCTGATTATCTTCTTTGTGTTGTTGGTGTTGCACAGGTGCAGGAACAGGTGGTTGGCGGGACGTTGTGAGCGCGTAAACCACGATCAGCAGCTAGAGTCGCTTCAACGCCAGGATCATCAACAACACCAGGATGTGGAAAAGACGGGGCCCTAAGATCGGTCCTTGGAGGAATAAAGAGACACAAAATTTTATCAATATCTTTGTGCGCTCCCTACGTGGAGTGTGTGGTGCAGCATCAAAGTTGGTGTGTGTGTGTTTTATTGGAATGCCGTAAAGAGATGCCCGTGTATATATTACTATTGTATCGATGTATGGTTGCATGGTTGTATGGTCGCATCGCTGTATCATTGCATTGCTGAACGGTTATTGCTGGGATACGCTTGCTCTTTCCTGCCATTGTATATAGGTCTACTCAAGACTGATAGGGATTCGCCATACGCATCCCCTCTGTTCTTGACATTGAGGTGTGTCCTTGTTCTGCTTCTAATGGTATTCCTGGCCGCGTTGTTGAGGTCTGATATTGGCCGTTAACGTGATGGTGGGCGCTATTGCTGGCGCTGTGGTGGTTGCTGTTGATGTAGTTGATGTTGTGGCTATTGTTATTCCCATCATTATGTCCACTGTTGCTGCTGCTGCTGCTGCTGTTGAAATCGTTTGCTCCTCCTTCCCCGTCAGAGGAGGCCTTGTTGCCCGGCTCATCCAGAGCAGCTATCTCGGCGGCCGTCAGAAATCGTCCCCCTGGTCCACGTGGGCGTCTCATTGCGTGCAAGTGGCGCGACTCATGCATGAACTATAATTGAGAGTTAATACACAGATGGTGCACAGGTCCAGATCGAACAGAGAAGTAAGAGGGAAAAGATGATTAGCCTTGGGTTCCCGATCAAAGTACGAGTGCAGAGAACACAGGGAAGGAGGAGGACGAGGTAGCGAGGGAGTACAGCTTTGATATGTGTATGTGTGATCTTTACCTTCCGCCCGCGCTGCATCAACTTGTTCTGTGCGTCGAGGTTTGCTCGGGCAGCTCTCCGCTTGAGGATTCGATGGTACTGCCAGTTTTTGTATTTCGAGGTGAGAAATAGAGCAGAGTAAGAGTACATATGTCCATGGGTTAGTCTACCTATTGCCCAATGGGATTCTGTCAATGCTCGACACAGACCAATCATTTTTCTGGGGTCGCGTAGGAGAGAAACCGTTGGAAGGGGGAGAACCGATCGTCCAAGATGAAAACTCCCAGGCTCAACTGTGAGCTGCATTTAAGAGTCCATTGCAGACAGATGGGCAAGAAAGAGCTGGAGGGGTGGTATACTCACCTGTTTGGCATTGACATAGAGGGGTTCCTCTGGCTCCTCGATCCGGGGAGTCGCTACCTGTCCGATCACATACCCAGGCGGCATCATGCTCTACATTGGTTGATAGTTTTAAAACACTATCGGTTTCAGTATGGATGCACTGGCAGCGGCCAAAGGGGGGATGTATTCAGCCTAGTCAAAGTTAGTGCTGCACACTTACAGGATCAACCACAATGACACCGGGGTATGGGGCGGCAATATGTTCATAATGATGGATTCCCTGCGGAACCGACCGGGCTTCGACATGGTGAAGGGACTGAGGAGAGTGCGAGGCGTGTTCTTGGGATGGGGAGGTGACCCTCGAAGACTGTGTCATGGTGAATTCGGAATGAACAAAGCGGAATGAGCCAATGGTTACAGGTGTGCGTGTGCGTGGAGGTGGGGTGCAGTGTCAAGAACTGAATGAAAGGTTGTTTTTGGTACTGCAAACAAGATAAAAGGAGGAGAGAAAGAGAAGCACCCAAAACACTTCTGTGCAAGAAACAAACGCCCCGCGAGGAGCGTAGGGTATACATCGAACAGAAAATTGGGCACAGTTCAGACCATAGAAGGCATGTCGCAGCCTTGGTGCCATAGTCACTCTCTCCTTTCAGGCACAGCTCACCGCCACATAAAACGGAGCATCGATTGCCCTCGCCTGTCTCTTTACCATGCTTTCTCCTCCCCCTCTCCTTCTTCACCTGCACGCCCCATCCAGGATTCGAGCCATGAAAATGTCTACTATTGATGCCCCAGAAGTCGTTGACAACGGATACAAAGTCATCTTAAGGGAGGACATAGCCCACTACTATCTCTTCAATAAAACTTAGTGCTCCCTGGCTCTGGCTCTGGCGAACAGTCATCTTCACTAGAATGAGTATTATTAAGGACCACCAGGCCAAGTAGCCTCCCGTCCGTGGAACCGAGCACTGTGGTCACTATTTGCGGACAGTCTTTACCGCAATACCGCCGGAAATGGGCTTCATTATAAACAGCTGCACTCGGACAACGACTCTGGAGTTTAGTCCTGACTGCAAGTTCCCTGTTACAGCAATGATTGACGTCCTCAAGCATAATCATGGACTCAGAGCATTGCATGTAAGAATAGGTTACAGAGGCGACATGTGGAATGATGGAGCTGGAGATCCAGTTTTTGGGCGCCTAGATCCCATATCCAAAGCCAATAAGCCCTCGATCAAGACTGCACTTCAGAGTATAATGGTGAACTGCCCACAATCATTACCATCCATCATCTGGTTTAGGAGTGGGGATGCTTTTGGTGTGAGCCGGACCAACATCCAGAAACTAGAGGTCTAGAACCCCCTAACCTTGCTCTGGGATTTAACTACGGTAACGGTATCTTGACCTGCAGATATTGCGGCTGCCGCGCGCGTGTATGGATTTGGAACACCTATTTGTCAATATCCTTGGCATCTCGCCTGTTTTGCCATAACTTGAAGGTTCTAGCATGCTATTGAATAAATACCGATGCCCATCCCAATCTGTAATCCTTCTTTTGACATGAACGTGGATTCTAAAATAGATGCAACAACTCCAAAACCCTTGATATAGAGTCTGCCATGTTTTTTAACCCACCAACTAGAGACTATCTTCGCCCGCCTCCCTAACATCAAGAATGTCTCATTGTCAGATACCTGCGTCGAAGCCGGAGTTGATGCGACCTTTGACTCCGGAATCTGTCCTTGTCTGCTCAGTATGCAATGATGGCCATACTTTTGTATAGGACCTACTCTCGGCAAGCCATAGCCTCCGCAGAATCAAAGATTTCCACAAACATACTTGTGGAACTAAGGATGGTGTGTACTCAGCTGAAAGCTTTATCCCTACCATTAAAGATATGGAAGAATCCCCTGGGTCTTCCAGGGTTTGTCCATAATGAGGATGAAACGCTGATTCAGCCTGGAACAAGGCATCCTCAGGACCCTGCGGTTGCAAAAATTCTGAAATCAGAATGGCTGCAGGGTCTCGATGCTAGTCTACGCGCATATTTTGATGCCGATTAGGTTTTCGACCAACTCGGCATCCTGAAACACACGAGATGAGTCTCGCGCTATGACTGGGTAATGAAGTGGCAGAGAATGAATAGACAAGACATAAAGCAGAGAGTGGCGTCGATCGAAATGCTAATGATAAGCAGGCATGTTCGATGAAGTGAGTGATACTAGATCACCCTACCCCACGTTTCCTGGCCTCCTGTTTGGACGCGTCTGCGCTGGAACAAAGGATGTGTATGTAGTGTAGTTAGACAGACAGACAGGCAGGTTGTCTCGGATAGGATAATCAAACCCCGCATTTCCTTCCCCTTCCCTCTTTGTTTTCACTCGGTCTTGCCGCGTCCACTGTCCTCCAGCCGCTACTGCAATTGTCCTGATCAGGTAGGTTTGTTTTGTAATTGTGGCATAGACATAGTTTAGCTCAACGGCAACGGGTACAGTAGCGTACACACAGACTGCGGCCGTCTCGGTGTTGGTGTTGGATTACAGAGTCTGTGTTGCCATCGAAATAGCGATCATGGCGGCTCTCGGCGAGTTTTCCGTCAGTGCGCAAGTGAATTCGACTGAATATATGCGAAACCTTTTTTTTAGTTACTGTTGTCGCTCGGGGGAAAATTGGGGCGAGACCTGATCCAGCGCACACACCTCCCCGCCTGCATGCCCTTCTCGCCTGCGGTAGACTGTTCACAGGCTCTGCACATATGCTTTAAGGTTTGCGCAAGTCAGGAACATATCCCCGCAGATATCTCTGTCTCTCCTTTCTTTAAAGATAAAAAGTGCTCGTGCGCTGCGGTCTCTCTCTCTCGCAGACCGCCTGCAGTCCGCCGTCCCTGATCCCCTGTCCCTGCCCCTCCCCTGCGGCCTTTTCCCATGTGCGCTGAGCTGCATCAGACCCAACAAGAACCGTGGCCACCAAAAACGCGTACGTGCGTGCCTGTGTTTGTGTGAGCTACAAGACACGCCCATGTCTCAGTGGCATTTGTCCGATACACCATACACATGGAACACAGGCATCGTGGCAACCGACAGACCTCCACTCCCCCTCCGCTTGCATATAAATAGGGCCCGGGATAATGGGGCATCGCCTCTTCCAGCAAACATCCATTGTTCAATTGTTCTCTGCAGCTAAAAACAACAACTACTGCTACTGCTACTCGACACCAACGACAACAATCACCAGAAAAGACATATATACCCCTACTACTCCTGTTCTCTTTCAAACAACTTCGCCCAGCATCCGCTACAGCTGCCCCCTTCTAATTGTATGACCAACTCGCAACCTTCACTCCTCAGTCCACAACCTCATTCCCCGATCAGCTTCTCTCATTCGCTTTTTCAGCCTTTATTTGTTTTATAACTACAACTACCAATTAAAAGTCCCCCCTACACATTACCACCACCACTACTACTACTATCATCTCCACAAAGATGTCCAACCAATACAAGCACACTCCAGTAGCACCCCTCTCTGAGGCTAACCTGTGCAGGCACACTCTCCAGGTGAGTTCTTTTCTTCTCCGCGGTGGCCCTGCATTCACTTTTTTTCCCTTGCCCCCTACGGCGTAACAATTGCGGACCAACTGAACAAGCAGGCTGGAGTGGAAAGTGGCGAAGAAGCTGCATGGAATGAGGGTGGGAATGGGAGTGACATGCAGGGGCGATGCCACATTTTTCCCATCCCAATCCTTCTTTCCTACTTTTGTTTGGTTTGCTGTGTGGACTATTTTTCTTCACATCCCATCTATCGCTCAGCACTGCTCACTCTTCTGTCTTTTCATATGCTCGTTTAATTCTAAGGACATGTTCTATCTTTGAACCCTACTTTTTCACCTCACTAACCTCAAAATCATTTTATTTCATTTCCAAAGATGAGCCCTGTGTCGCGACAGGCCAAACTGAACAATCTTCTGGGCTACGTTGATCGCCAGCGAGAACTTCTTTCTTCGGAAGAGGAGACTGAAGATGTCGCCGATCGGATGGCCGGTATTGGCAACACGCAGTATCAGCCGGTCAAGGCTTCTTCGACCCCACAGAAGCTCTTCAAGCACACTGGAAAGCAATTTTCCGAGCCCATTGTGTCACCTTCATTAAACACCTTCGCACAGCAGCAAGTCAGCCCCGTGTGCCCTCCACGCAGACAGGAACGTAACCATGGATTGGACCCCAGCATGGCCTTGCCTCGAGCCCTACCAAGGAACATGACGAGCCACCGTTACGATCTCAGTCTCTACCGCGATTCTGCTGCCGACGACTTTGACGCACTAGGCAGTCCCAATGGCTACTCCCCTGACTACGACTTTGCACCTTACCAAGGCTGGAGACAGGGCGGCGATCGATCAGCTGCACGCAGATCATTCACCATGGTCAAGCCAGCGCGGTACAATATCTACGAGGATTTCGAGGCACAGCGTAGACCTCTGGTGAGACAGCTCAGTGGCTCCTCGAGTGAAAAGGTCAAGAAACTGGGTCGGCTCGGCGCTTTCTTGACCAAGGGTCGCCGCACCAACCTTCGTCGCAACGGCAGTCTAAACGCTCCTACCACTAGGAGCGAGGAGTCTGGATCGACCGAGAGCAGAGATCGAGCCTTCCAGTCCCTGAGTTACCGCACCGGAAGGGCTTTTGGAACTGCTGCCCTTCGCACCGACTCTTCTGACAGCCACTCGGACGACATTAAGCTGAGGAGTTCCGTCAAGCAGATGCTCCGCGACGTGTTCAAGAAGTCGAACAAGCCCTCGCACGAGACTGCCGAGATCTCGATGGAGGATGGTCTGCTCGAGGAGCTCAGCTTCAAGGCACAGGAGCAGAAGCTGTTCACCCTTTGGCCTCAGGTTGAGCTGGATCAGGATTCGTCTTCAAGTGATCAGTCACCCTACACTGCTCACAACCCATGGGCACCTGAGCCAGCGCCTCTGTCCAAGATCCACCGCTCAGCCTCGTTCAACCATATTCTTAAGTTTGATTTCGACAATGATGACGATGAGGAGGAGAGCCAGGCGACCTTGCAGTCAGCCAACTTGGTCCCCATCGCGGCGCTGATCCAGGAGCTGTCGATGTTTGGATTGGATTACGTCAAGCCCAACCATGTTGCAGCTGCTTAAAGCAAGGACAGTCAGCTCTGAGAGTGCGGGGCCTTGACATTAGTCGAGGCGGCCTTGTATATTTCCTTTTTCATGGTCCACTTTAGTCGAGCTGAATTTTTTTCTTACAATACCCTTACCTGTTCATACATAGTACATAGCACAATACCCCCATATACCACGTCGAGCCCCATAGTGATATTGAATTAATGAAGATAATAATAGTAATAACGTACTCAAACCGGCATGATGTCCTTACAAAAGCTTCTTTTTTTATTGATATCTGATGCTGGAGGTTCTCCTCAGACCGGCGCGCGCTCTTTTTTTCCTCCAAAGATTCGCGCTTCTGAAGAACATGATCACGTGGATCATTGACTCTCATTCAGAAAATAAGTCCTCAGCTTGTCCTCCCCTTTGTCACCTCCTCCTCACTTACAAACGTTGCCAAGATGAAGTTCGCACACAAGTCATACCTGAAGCCATTGCTCCATGCTGCCAAATACCCGACCACGGCTGTTAATGGTGTTTTCTTGGCTGACAAGGGCTCGGACACCGTTGTGGATGCGATCCCTTTCTTTCATTTCTGGAACACACTGACACCCATGCTCGAGGTCGCCATGACCCAGGTACTACTTTTGGCAAAAAAAAAAAGGCGATGTCATGGAACTGCACAACATGGAGGATGGCTACAAAGGAAGCGGAGGGAAGGAAGCTTTGCATCAGGAACAAGGTTGACCTTATCTGCAGTTGTCGACTTGAACTGATGCAAACTGGAGGAGTCGGATGAAGCAACGCCAACAGGATGAGGGTCGCCCTTACAGACCATGGACTTTCTCTAACGCGTTCGTCGTCTTGTGCGATGGTATCATTTACGGGATCGATTAGGTTGATTTGCACTGCAAGGCGAACGGACTGAGGATAGTCGGATACTATGAGGCCAACGAGAGGCTCGAGGACGAGGCATTATCACTGGTTGGCCAGAAGATCGCGTCCCAGATCCTCCAAGTTATCCCGGATGCGTTTGCTGTCGTGGTGAGTGCATCGTTGCATCGTTGCATCGCTTTCTTTCTTCTTCTTTTTTTTCTTTGTTTCTTTGTTAAAGGCGTAGGATGTCGTGTCTGATCTACCTGTGCTAAAATGCCATTCTTTGTCTCTATGAATTGTCTATAGATCAAGAACGGAAACATTTCGACAGAAGATATCGCTTTCTTGGTAAGCACTTCGTGTGTGTGTGTTCTCAGGACCAGGTTGTCGAATTGCTCGAGTATAATGTCTATGAATGCTTTTATTAACGACGACTCTTTCAATCCCTTTGACGATACCTGCATGTATAGCCATACCAATTCAAGGAGGGTCAATGGCGTGCGAACAAATCAGGATTCACCACAAAGGGCGATGCCTTTACACTGGAGGATCCCTCGAGCCCTTCATTGGCAGCCAAGGCAATCCGTGAAGGTCTCTACAGCAAACTGGCGGATTTCGATAACCATTTGGAGAACATCAAGGAGGACTGGCTGACGAACAAGGAGATCGTATAATGGAGGGGCAATTGTATGAAAAGATTGTAGAACGACAAATACAATGTATTCGATATAAATAAAAACGGCAATAGCCACTTGTCATTGAGAGAGGATAATGGACAGAGGCGTGTGAAGATGTGTCCAAGCTGCTTAGAGGAGGCCGACCTGCAGCTTACATTCGAACCGTTTGAAATTCTAGGGGGAGGAACGGTTCTGAAAAATAAACAAAAACCACAAAGGACCAACCTTTCGCACTTTTCTTACCCCACGCTTCCCTTTCGTTTCATTCATTTCAAGTCTTCCCTCATCTCTCGGCGCCCGCCTCTCATCAAACGCAGCGACTCATCATTACAAGGCATTAAAGTGATGAACAGGCAATCCAGGAACAGCGCGCAGATCTACCAGGATCTACCCGGGAACCGCACCCCACCACGGAGTGCCCATACCAACCAGGACGAAGACCCCGAGGATGACAACGACGAAGCCCTGCGTCGCCAGCTGCATCAAGGAGCACCCCAAAAAGCCCATCACCATCAACAATATCAGCAGCTCCATGGTGCAAGCGTTCGCCAGCTGGAACTGGCGGCGTCAGACACAGAAGAGGTCATCCAACAGGAATCCTATCGCTTCGAAGATGTGAGGGCGGTCTATGAAGAACGTATCAGTGTACATGGTAATGGAAGCGCCAGTGATCAGGAGAACGTCCAGCCTTCTGTTCGCCATCATCGGCAGGATGCTGGAAGGTCGGTTGTTGCCGCCACTACCGCTACAGCTGTGCGGGAGGTGGCTCCGGTGTCGGATGCGCGACAGCAGCTGCTGCAGCGGGATAAGCATATTGCGCAGAAGTATCAGCAGGAGCGACTCCAACAGCAAGAGCAACAGCAACAGCAGATGCGTGCACAACTCTCGCGGCAGCAATCGATGGCACAGCGGCCACAGCAGCAGCAGCAGCCGACACAATCGGTGCAGGGTGAAGTGCCTGGAGGACTGCCTCGGAAGAGATCACGGACGGCGGCGGAGGAGGTTGAGAATGGGAAAGTGGTTAAGGCTCATGTGGATCCACAGCAGCAGCAGCAACAGCGGCAGCGGCAGCGGCAACAACAGCAACAACAACAACAACAACAACAACAACAGCAGCAGCAAGCATCGCACCATCAGAAGCAGCAAAAGCAGGCGGATGAGTGGTCACCACTCAGAGTAGCGGCGCAAGCTATCGTCTACGGAGACATGATCACGGATGATAAATACGAATACCGCCATATCATCCTACCAAAGTATATGCTCCCACTCATCCCCCCCAGTCTCAAGGAGTATCCGAATCATAGATATAACCATACACTTAAGCTGCTTAGTGGTAAGGCAACCATTCCTCCCAATTTCCCTCTGTCTTTCTTCGCTCTATATATAAGAGCGTCTACAGACGCATCTGTTGTTCTTTTGAACAAAGGCGCTTACTTTTATGGCTGGTTTTGCTAACGCGACTTCTTTTTTTTTTTGCACTATTGTTAATAGAACCACAATGGCGAGCGATTTATGTGCAAATGTCCCCGGGATGGGTTCACTATATGCGCCACGACCCTGAGCCGCATATAATGCTGTTCCGGAGGACGATCGAAGAAGGAATCAGAGTCAGGGCTGAGGCGAAGGCGGAAGAGGATAGAAAAAAACAGATGGCGCTGGAGGAGCAAGCACGATTGCAGGCGCAGGCGCAAAAGGCACAAGGCGCACAGCCAGTCGATCAGGAGGATCAACATCGCCTTCACCAACAGCAGTTGCAACAGTTGCAACAGCAGGTGAAGTTGGAGCATCAGAAAATCAAGGTGGTGCATCAGGAAGTCAAGGTGGAGTATCAGGAAGTCAAGGTCGCACAAATAAACCAAGAACAGCGGGAAGCTAAACTGGAACACCAGCACCGGCAGCGGCAACAGCAACAGCAACGTCGGCACCCACCGCAGCAACAGACCCAATAGTACTTGCAACAGCGCTAGAATCTTATTCAAGACCAGGACTAGGGGCCCTATTTGAGCGGGATGTTGAGATGGTTTTAAGAACCTCTTTCCCTTGCCCCCTACGCTGCTGCCCCACTCATTCATCGTCATTTCTGCACTCTTTCTTAGACGTAGCACATATTGTGTTTTACTCCGCTACTCCATTTTTTTCACGCGTTCATCTATTGTAAAATCTCAAGAAATAAACTGTAACATAATTCACTATTCACATTTGGGTTTTTTTATTTTTTTGTTCTTTATTTTTTTGTTCTATTCCTGATGACAATGGGTAATATGGTGTTGATGTGGTAGTAGTAATAGTAATAGTGACGATTGATAGTTACAGCTGTGCTATGTACTTTTTTTCTTTTTTGTTTCTGTTTGTACAAAGGCTTAATGGTTGCGAACAACATCATCGACAGCCTGGGCAAAGTACTTGACATTCTTGGTGTTGAGACCAGCCATGGAGATGCGTCCGTTATCGGTCAAATAGACGTGGTACTTCTCCTTCAGGACCTTGACCTGAGGGGTGGTCAATCCCGTGAAGGAGAACATGCCGATCTGATCAACAATGTGGTTCCAGGTTCCGGGGGTGCCCAAGTTCTTCAGCTCGTCAAACAGTGCCTGACGCATCGAGATGATACGGTTTGCCATCGTCGACAGGTTTCCCTCCCACTCCTTGTAAAGCGTCTCATCGTTCAATACCAGGCTGACGACTCTGGAGCCGTAGGCGGGAGGGTTGGAGATGACGGCACGCTGGGCCTTGGCGATCTGGGACTCGATCTTGTTCTTGATCTCGGGGGTGCGAGCGACGATCGTCAGGTTACCGGCACGCTCAGAGTAAAGACCGAAGTTTTTGGAGAAGGACTGAGCGATGAACATCTCGAAGCCGCGCTCAACAAAGTAGCGGACGGAGTAGGCATCCTTGTCCAAGCTGCCGGAGGCGAAGCCCTGGTAGGCAGTGTCGAAGAAGGTGAAGTGACCCTTGGACTCCATGACGTCAGCGATCTGCTTCCACTGATCGGGGGTGGGATCAACTCCGGTGGGGTTGTGAGCGCAGGGGTGGAGCAAGAAGATCGATCCGCTAGGGGCTGCCTCCATGGCGCCGAGCATGCCTTGGAGATCGAGACCCTTGGTCTCGGCGTCCCAGTAAGGGTACTCGAGGACGGGGATGCCGACACCCTCGAAGATGGCACGGTGGTTGGCTATTATGAACAACATATTATGTATCCGGCCGGAAAATGAGTCGAATGTTCAATTGAGCGCAGTTTTCAAACGATGCACATTCCAGCCCGCAAATGTGTATAAATAACAAGGGAAAAAATGCGGGGTATAAAGAAAAAGATGGGCCATGTTGTTCATCTGTCCCTGTCTTGAGAAAAAAGAACGAAATAGAGAGCCGACGACCAAAGTATAAAGTGAAAAAAGGTTCTCTTGCACATGATGAAAAAGAAGGATCATTGACGGGACTTACCCCAGGTGGGCTTGGAGATGTAGCAGGCAGCGCTCTTGAAGGGGTAGTGCTTGGAGAGAAAGTGTGCCCCGGCATAGACGGCACCAGTTCCAGAGATGCATTGGGCAGCACCGACGCGACCCTCGGCAATGGCCTTTGAGTCAGCGCCGAGGATCAGCTTAGCCGAAGCCTTGCGGAAGTTCTCAAGACCGAGAATGGGCAGATATTCGTGATCCAGGTTCTCGTCATCGACCATGATGTGGTCGGCCTACAAGGACGACACCATAGAACGTGGACAGACGAAGGAAGAAAGTTGCACAAACACATGCACACATGCACGCGGGGAGAAGAAGGACAATTAGGGCACGATCGATGTCTGTTTTGGTCCGGCGCTGTCCTGTCACCATTGATCCATGAAGATGGTTCCCGCTGAAGCTGACACTGACGCAGAAAGAGTCCTGCGGAAGCGCTTCGTTACCTTGTGGACGACAGGAAGAACCCAGGGCTTTCCCTCCTCAGTGCGGTAGGCACCGACGCCGAGGTTCACCTTGCTGGGGTTGGGGTCGGCCTTGTAGTCGGCTGTGAGGGCAAAGATGATATCCGCAGGGGCAGCGGTGACGTTCTCGAAGACAGAGGCTATTTGTACGCGCCAGAACGAAGAACAAACACAATGGATTAGCTCCAGGACTCGCATTCAATACCTCTCAGAAGAACAGCCAATGCTCCTTTCACGTTAAACTGCTGTACTTGAGAAAACAGCTAGCTGACTTACCCATGGTGGTTTGTGTGGAGTGGATGAGGAATGAGGGAATGAAGGAAGGGGAAAGGGTGGAGCTGAGAGAAGGAAGAAGCGACGATTTGTACTGGGCCTAATAAAGGGACCAAAAAAAAAAAAGAAAAAAAAAAAAGTGGGGACCCTTCGGAGGAAGATGATCCTCTCCATGACTCCATCGCACCACCCACCCGCCTCCTTTCTTCTTTCCATCGTCCGCTGGGCGGAACTTGTGTGTCTGTATGTACACATCGAGCAGCCCGATGCCTCTAAAGAATACGCAGATGTTCATTCCCAGCTCCAACTCAACCGGTCTGCGCTTTTTCTCAGCCTCTCTGTTGGGCACACATACATTGCACCGTGCCTGAGTCACCGCAGATGCGCTGTTGACTGTCCCACAGTCTATACCCTAAACTAGGTAATATCTCTAGAAGAGTAAGGGGGTCAATGACAGCCTCGTCAACGCTGAACCCACGGGCCCCTATCTCTGGTGCTGTGCCTTCTTAATGCTTTAGCGCCAGTGCATGATACTCCCTCGTCTGCAAGTGCCCAAAGCGGCCTCAGTGTTGCTATTGATCGCCTAGATGTTCCTGATCCCCTGCCTGTTTTTCGCGCTTTTTTTTTAATAGACACCAGATCCCCTCAGGCGTGCTCGCTTTTTTTTATTATTGATGCCAGATCCACCCCGCCTCGATCGATCACGTGCTGGACTTATGTAGGGAATTTGGCCGCCTGTTCGTCCAAAGTGCCTGGTCGGCTATGTTGGCTGGTGGAAGTGAAGCTCGGATTCTGGCGCTGTAGCAGTTGTAGTTGTGGCAATTGACCTAATATGCCGGTAACGCAAATATGTCATACATGCACCCACAGCTAGACTATGTCGACCGTAGAACCAAGAAAGAGACAAGGTTCTGCCTATGAGAGGTAGCCCTCCAATTTATACGCGACCACCGTTCCCTATACCATAACCTGGTGGTCGAACTGAGTTGGAGCGTCCCATTCCGCCAGCACCTCGATTGCCCGCCTATACGAAGTGGATCTTTTCCACTCATATTGCCATATGGAACACGAAATAAAGGCGTGTCAGTGAAATTTACTATTTTCAATTGCAGGCCCATGGACGAGTGCTGTGCCTTGATGGTACACATGATGCCTTCGGGTACGTTTGCTTTATTTCTCGCTCGCCATTACCCTTCGCATTTCACCATACAGCACGTACTGAGGATACTGAGGGTTACCTTTATCATCTATTTTTTAGACATAAGACAAACCTATTTACACAGGTCCTAAAGAACAGGGATACAGGAGCCGGTATCCCTGTTTCCTTCCTTCTCACCAAGAGCTATAAGGCTCATATCCTCGAGAACTGGCTGAAAGTCATCCGAAGGAAGATGAAGGACGTCTTTTCTTTGCCCGATCAAGAGTGCGACTTCAAACCCAATGCAATAGTCACCGATCAAGGGAAGACAGAGGTCCAAACTGTCGAGAATGTGTTTTCAGATGTGCCCTTACTCTATTGCGCTTGACATGTGTTGAAGGTATGAGAACGTGAGGTCGAGTCCAGGTTGAAAGGTCTCGATGTCTGCTCTGTTGCGCGTAGACTTGAGATAAGGTCTAAGGTATGTGCGCAGACCTGTGTACTATGCTTTGAAACTTCTCCGGTGTTGGGCAGGAACAGCTTTGATATTACTCTGTTTCTCTGCTGCTGAAGGTCAGGACTGGTCTCCGTGCCATATTGTCCAAAAAAAATAAGGCGGTAGTATTGAGCCAGATAGCCAACTTCCAAGAGAAATGGTCGAAATACGAAGAGCTCCTCGTTTATATGGACAAGAACTGCTTCGGCAAAGATATGGCCGAAGCTGAGGACAATCAGAAACATTGGATGATCTGCTACCGTCAAGGCATGTCCTGCTCAAGCATTAATACGAACAACTACATTGAGTCATAGCACAATATTCTGAAGCGCCATTTCATTCAAGACAACCAACAGCGGAGAGTAGACACCGTCGTTTATATTCTTGCGGTTATGGCTATCCCACACTTCCAGCAAAAGTGCTTGCGACCGCTTGTCAATGTTGGTCGAATGAACCCTGCGCAGAAAAAGAAGCTCCAGTTGACTAACGCAGCCTTGGAGCATCTGAAAACGAGATGGACAAGGGGCTAGAAAGACAACTACGTCCACCGGAGCTCTGACACGACGCTCATCGTGGAATCCTTCACTTGTCCTGGGATAATGTACGATGTGGAGATCAATTTTAGCAAGACTTCTACCGAGCACATCATCCGCTGCACTTGTGAATATTTCCGCTCCTATACCACCTGCTGCAAGCACATCGCTCTAGTGGAACTGGAATTGCCTCCAATGAAGTTTTACCGTGAATAACAGTTGAACTATGAGACATAGTTTGGGCTTGACACGCTCGGGCTTGTTCCAGAGGCCAAGTCATTCACCGACGATATGGCATCGAATAGGTTCGATCATCTTATACAACGTCTCCAGGATCTGGAGTCTCTGCGCGATCGATCTGCGCCGCCACCATATGAAGGGAAGCTGGCTAAACTGATGCAGCAAGTTCTGGACCTTTATGAACCGAACTTTCCTCGACAGCAAGGTCAAGATCTGAGCACCAAATGGCGCAAGCAGGGTTTCTGGGAGCTTTATAAAGATATAATATATTCAAATAGAAAGGGCATTGAGAACGCAACAAAGATGAGTTCTCATGCTGTGGGGTAAAGGTTCACCTTGTACGCTTCCATCGGTAGAAACTATCAACTGCATGGTCTTTAGCAGCGGCACGACCAAGTGGACAGCATGGCTGATAGTTCTTAAATTTCAGAATTCGTATGACAGGAATCTGTGGAGAGTTGATGAAAGGTTATGCCTGACTGAAGTACACATTATTACCTATTATCTGCTTGTTTGGCAAAGAAAGCTGCATGTCATTCCTCTAGTTACGGTCCTATATCATTCTTAATGCAGCGCGACGTGTAGTAACAGAATAAAGGTGGTTTTAAGATAAATGATCGAGCTCACCCATCAGCATGTCATAGCAAAAATGTGCTTTTTCGACACTCGGCGACTTTGAGTACAAGCGAACTTATAGAGAGGTACGGAGATTTAGCGCGCATCGTCTTCACCATGGCAACTCCTGCCTTTTTTTGGTGTTGTCCATTTTAGAAAATACTCCAACACATTTCTATAGTGATCCCTATCGATCTTCGTCTCTAGATCAACGAATTTAAATTGTACTCTATGTCGAGTCCATCCATTTTCGCTTAGAAACATCTCCAACGCGCTGAGGACATAGTATTTAATTATATATGTCGATAGCAGAAAAAACGAGTGTATTTGAAACGGTATTGAAGAGCTTTGCTATGTTGGATGTTGAATTTAGGCGCGGTCATCCTAGGAATCATTATATCCTGTGTGCGATAGAAGTATTTCTTGTCACAAATGACCCCAACAGAATGATTCTATGGCCTTGTGTGTACATAAGGACACTCGCTGTCGAGGGTCTCCACCAGCTGGTTTCGGTGGTTCGAGCAGTGGCGGCGGAGACGGCGCATGTCAAAACTAAGTTCGTTAAAGACCTTTTTTGTCGCAATACTGCTCCACCACACAGTATCTTGATAGCTCCATACAGAGTATCCTTTTGATTGCGACATGAACCATATGACGCAGCAGGGCTGATTTATTGATGTACAGTTCCCTTTCGATAGAAGTGACAGACTGTCATCGAAATTGTACTCTTACTGCTCTATATATTGTTTTCAGAAAGCACAATCCATACGCTAAAAGATTGGCAATGAGTAAAAATCAAGGCACCGTTGCTAATCTCCTATTTGCATCACCTTCACCATTCAGGAAAGCGAAAAGACATTCGCCGAATCGACTGGCTTTGCTGACTGTACAGCAGGAGAATCGGCCGTGGCAGGGGTATCCATCATACTGTGGTTTGACGGCACCTTGGGTTTATACACCGCAGATGCCATGCTAGTTAGCTTTTTGCTTGCCTCGCGGAAGCCCAAAGGTGGAATCGGCTTGCCCACAGCGCCGCGTTGCTCTAATAGCCGCGTATTTATCCTGCTTAAGCCTTGAACGTTTTGGATAGAGGCATTTGACACGATAAGTCTGTCATGCATCGAGCTCCAATGCGCGCGGACCTTGTAGCGATCCTCCTCTTCTATGACCTGCCACATGCGAACAGACTTATCGTAACAGCCGGTTGCGAAATAGGTGCCGTTTGGAGTAGCGTTCCAGGTGATGCTTGTGATTGGTCCATGGAAACCTTCAACAATTGTCAAACATTGACCCGAATTCACATCCCACAGCCGCACCGTGTTGTCGTAACTGCTTGAGGCGATCTGCTGGCCACTGGGCGAATACATCAAGCTCAAAACACACTCGCTATGACCGCTTAAGATGGGGCCAGGTGCATCGACTTGTACGTCCCACAGTCGCACCGTGTTGTCCCGACTTCCCGAGGCGATCTGTTGGCCATTGGGCGAATACACCACGCTCGTAACAGACTCGGTATGACCGCTTAATATGGGACCAAGTGCACCGGTTTGCGCGTCCCACAGTCGCGCCGTGCAGTCGTAACTTCCCGAGGCAATCTGCTGGCCACTGGCCGAATACACCACGCTCGTAACAGACTCGGTATGACCACTTAAGATGGGACTAGGTGCACCGGTTTGCGCATCCCACAGTCGTACCGTGTTATCGTTACTTCCCGAGACGATCTGCTGACCGCTGGGCGAATACACCACGCTCCAAACATAAGAGGTATGGCCGCATAAGATGGGACCGGGTGAACCAGTTTGCGCATCCCACAGTCGCACCGTGTTGTCGTTACTTCCCGAGACGATCTGCTGGCCGCTGGGCGAATACACCACGCTCGTAACTGGGTCGGTGTGACCACGCAAGGTGTGGGCTTTTGCCCAACCCGAAGTGTCACACACGCTGATCGTGCCGTCGTAAAGCCCTACCGCACAGAACTTCCCATCGGGCGAATACGCGCAGGAATTCACCCCGCTGACTTCTAAGAGGTACGGCCATTCGCCAGACTGCGCGCCTGCCATC